ACCAAAAATGGCCTCGGCTTGCCGAGCAGCAGCCTGGCATCTTGGTGTCAGATGACAACAATACCAACCTGCAAAACACCTGACAATAGCTAGCCTCCCTAGCTAAACAACATCTGACAACAGCTAGCCTCCCTAGCTAACAACACCTGACAATAGCTAGCCTCCCTAGCTACCAACACCAATCTTGGCTATTCTAGCCGCTGACAAAGAGCTATCTTCAACCTAGGGACAAACAACTACAGCTGAAGAAAAGAGCAAACCTTTAAAATTGAAAAAAAACTTGGATCAATAGGGAATAGTGGAAAAATTAGGGCCTGTACTTAGTTATCTGTTATCTCCTGTAGTAATAATACCTAGGTATTATTACGTGCTATAACCTATTACATATATAGCATCCGCTCTTGTATTTAGGATAGCAGTGTTATAGTCTTAGACTCAATACACATATTGATACAAAAAAAAAAAAAAACCTTTCTTACAACAAAGGTACTATGCTGCTCATTAGTCATTTGATATTGAATGAAGTATTGTTTGAGTTTTCGACCCTCGGGAAGAGAAACGGCAACCTGAATACGCCTCATCGAGCCAAAAAAGCAGGTCACCGACTCTCTATAAGTATATGGCAAATGCAGACCTATCTCTATGTAAAGACATGGGGTATGTACTATATTCTATGTTGCTCACAAAACGATGAATCTAAGCGCTATATCCCACCTCAACCAGGCTCTCCTTCAGAGCTTCTATGGCCTTGTCGATATCTGTGCGATTCGGATCCGTGACGCTGACGCCCATGTGTCCAAACCTCACGTACTTGCTCGCAATATCTCTATGCAAACCTCCGGCAAACACGACACCTTTCTTCAGCAAGGATGGTAGAACGTCTGGTGGTGAGATGCCCTCAGGCAGATAAATGGCCGTCATGCCGTTGGCCTGGTTCTCTGGCTTGGATGCAAGTTGCTTGAGCCCAAAGTCGGAAATAGCCTTCTTTACGCGCTGGGATGCAGCTTTATGTTCCGCAAAACGCTGCTCCAAAGGCCGAGAGAGAATTTGAGTAAGGGAGGTGTGCAACGCACGCACGAGCTGCGGAGATGGCGTCGCAAAATAAGAAGGTTTCTTGGCCTCGTAGTTTTGCATGACTGGAAATGATATCAATACGTGCATTGGAGTGCATGTAGAGCGGGACGCTTACTCGGTAGCCAATTCTTCCAGGAGCCAAAATACGAAGTAGGCCTCGTCTTGCGGGCCTTGAATACCTCCATGGCGCGCCCAGAGACCATGATGATGGAGAGACCGGCAGGACACCCAATGGCCTTTTGAGAAGCAGTCAACACAACGTCGAGCTTCCAGTCATCGAAGCGAATCTCCTCGCAGCCTACACTGCACACGCCATCGACGACCACCAGGGTTTCGGGACTGACGCGATGCACAAGCTCGGACAGAGCCCGGACCTCGCTGAGGACGCCGGTGGAGGTGTCGACATGGGTGACGGTAATGATCTTGTATTTCTTCTCCTTCAAGGCCTTCTCGACCTCATCGAGCTGCGGGCGATCGCCAATGGGGGCCTTCAGCTGTGTGACCTTGACGCCATACGTCTCTAGGCAGTCGGCGAAGGAGTCGGCAAAGTAGCCCGTGTGCAGGACGAGGGCTTCGTCACCGGGCTCGCACAGGTTTGCGGCCACCTGGTCCCAGCCAAGGGTACCAGAGCCGGAGACGACGAAGGGTTGCGAGGCGGGATCGGTGGTCTGGAAGAGCTTGCGCAGGCCGGTGAGGACCTCGCCAAAGATGTTGACAAAGGGCTGGCCGACGTGCGACTCGCTGGCGAGGGGGAGGAAGTTAGCAGGGCACCGACAGGATTGCGTTACTTTGAGACGGTTCCCGCACATACCTGAAATGGCTCATGGACTGCAGGACGGCATCGTCAAACTCAATTGGGCCCGGAATCATCAGGGCGGGGTGCGAAGGTTGGCTGGACATGGTGGCGGGCTCTTCGGGCTGCACCTGGGCCGCTTTTTGTTCCTGCTCCTGCTCAATTGCTGGCTGTTGGGCCGGTTTCGTTCGGATGATGTTGCCCTGAGGGTCCTCGAGGTGGGCGGCGCGTTCGGTGGAGAAGGGGGTATTGAGCTCGAGGAAGGGCTTGTTGGGCGCCAGATGGCGGGAGAACAGATCGAGGCGGGCTGAGGGGCGCGAGGACATAAGAGTGACGAAAGGCGCGGCGATGGGAGTGGTTGGAGGGAGGGTGGAGGGGTAGGCGGGGCGGAGGCGGTAATTCACGGCCGGCGGCAGGATTCGTAACTGTAGTTGTAGTGTGGGCAGCGCAAAGCGAACAGGACGCGGGCGCATGAAAAAAAAGAGGGAAAATGGGATAGACTGAGTTAGAAGGAGAGGCCGCCGCACAAGGACCGTTCTGCTGAGTGAGTGGGTTGTCGAAATAGATAGAAGAAGCGCAAAAAGAAAGGGATGTGGCCCTCCTCGAAGGGGTTTTTTGACAATTTGTTAACGTGAGCGGCAAGCGAGTCGGTCAGGTAAGCGAGTCGGTCACTAAATGCAGCCCTCCACCTCCGTACGTGAATATCTCAACACCACAACAAGCTATTGCAGTGCACTATAGCTTAAATTAATCCTCTACCTCTACTGCATCTTTCTTGCATGTCCACTTGTTGTGCCCTGGCTCACCACACTTCTTGCAGCGTCGAATGACCCCTACACTAGCACCCACTTGCCCTCTCTTCTCACGCCTCTCTGCCTCAAGCTGAGCCTCAGCATTCCTCTGAGCTACTATCACCTCTGCTTCTGCCTGCGATAGGGTCCCTCCCCTTTGAATCCACTTTTTCTTACACTTTTTACATTCAGAAGCTGCCTGGCAGGCCTGCTCAAGTTTAGTGATCCTGGCGGCCATCAACGCCTATGAATGTGCCATCAATTCTGCCCCTTTTTTAAACTACATCACCATCTCAATAATCGATGCTGGCGAAGAGCTCCGGTGCCTTCGAATCCAGCTAAAGATAAATGTTGATTGAGCATCTATCTCAACTGCATTGCTTGGTGTTTTAGGTTGCCAGATGGAGCCTGGTAGAGCTGGCGATGGGATACGAGGCTTTGCTTCAAGCTTTGATAGCACTACCTCTGGAATGTATGGAACTAAACCAGTTGCTCTAAAGCTTGATATAATGTTTTCCTTTGAAAAAGCCTTATCAAAAACATTAGAAAAGGTAGTTAGGAAGGCTTTCTTATCGATATGATTGATGTAGCAGTTTGCCAAGACATTGATTTCCTTCTTGTATGCCTGCTTTAGGGGAGCAAAACACCCTACATCGAGCGGCTGTAGGATATGGGAGGTATGTTGAGGCATACAGAGAGTGATAATCTTGTTCTCCTTATACAGTTCCTGGAAGGCAAGCGACTTGTAGCTCTCATGGCCATCAAGAATCAGCAGCCGGTGACTACCAACTATCCGAGCCTTAGTATGCTCGATAAAGTAGTGCAACCAGGCTAACCCAAGCTCATTTATTGTCTAGCCATTGTCACTAATACCTATCCTCCAGCTCTTAGGGTTGTGGTACCAGGCCTGGTCGTGGTGCTTTGCCTTGAAGATCAGGGAGGGTGGAAGTGGCCAGCCCTTGGCATTGATAGCAGTGATCAATATTATCCACTCGCGATCACCAGGCTGCACCTGCAGTGGTTTCAGTCACCTCTCAGATGCTGTTACTACTTTTACTGTCCCTCCAACATCCATCTGGAAGCTAGTCTCATCAAAGTTGTAGGTGTCTTCATCCAGGATACCGTACTTGGCTTTGGTATTATATACAAGGTCAAACCAGGGGACCAATAATCGCAGGATCGCTACATTTAACTCTTTGGTGATCGTGAAGTCTGGTTATCTGAGATTTAATCTCAGGCTTCTGGTAGACAAGGTTCCTAGCCCATTTTTCTCCAACCTTCCTACCATCATATGCAGCCAGCAGTTGATCAGCCATATCATGTATATCACCAAGTATAGGAACAGATCCTCGTGTATCAAGCTTCCGTATATGTTGGACTATTGTCTCCTCCTCGTGCTTAGTGAGCTTTGAAGAGTTGGGATGGGTATTGTGTTGGGTAGCTGTTCTGGCACGTCGGTCACTAAGCGTGCTTTGAGGAATATCATAGAGAGCAGCAGTGCGTCGCTGGCTTAATGACATGTCGGATTTCATCGCTTGGATAGCAAGGATAATCCTATCCTCATGAGGGAGCGATTCAAGATCAGATTATTGAGATATTGAGATAGGTGATTGAAAGAGGTGTGATCTTGGCAGGGTGAACGACTCGTTTACCTGACCGACTCGCTTGCCGCTCACGTTAATACTTGTAGTTAGTAGTGGTGAGTTTTTGGTGGCGCAGGCTTGGCGCAATCCGGCCGTAGACTACCTGCTGTTTACTGCAGTAGTACAGCTATCGGGATGTAGGCACGGAGTACTACTGAGAGTACCTGGCTGTTGTACCTGACATTCACCCGAGGGACCTAGACCCTCCAGCTCAATGTATTGCGGCGGCATCACGTGGCCTCTGCCCTCTCCAGGTTCCAAGGTTCCAGGTAGCCTAACAACACGTCTGACAAGATGGAAAGCATTCACAAAGGTTATTACTTGTTATTAGACTGGGTGTTAGTTGTGGGGAAGTGGGAGTTCACGTGACTGCGCAGCCGTTGCTAGGGAGAGCAGAGACTTGGCCCCAACAAAAACAAAAACAACACGGTTCCCACGACACGTTCCGTCGCACAACGCTCAAGCGCACCTGTTGACGCACTCCGCTGCCCCTCGCTTCATGTCGGTGGCCGCTACGCTTCCACTGTCGCCCCCTTACCGCGCATTACCATAACCCGTCCGCCTTTTCGTCACCGTTGCGACAATGCGCCTCACACGAGCTGCACGACGTGCTGAAGCAGCGCAAGATATATCAACATCACCCCACGCACCAGACGCGCATACTAGCGATCCCAACAGACGCGTTCCTCTGGGAAACGTCTCCATAAACCCTATCCGCGAGCCCATCGAACCAGACGACCTCGACCCCAAAGCCATGGCGCCTAACAAGCCCAAGGCCACGTCAACGAAGGTCACGAAACCGAAGAAGCCGAAGACTAGAGAGAGATACAATGTGGATGAAGTTCAACTTGTGCTTGGAGACGAGCGTCAAGCAGCTGGAAGCCCGGCCTCCGACGCGGCTGTTGACGATTTGGCGGCGTCGCCCGCGAACGGTTCGCCTCACCCCAAGATGCATCACCGCGGCGCCCAAAGCTGATCTTGTCAATAGGGACAACGCAAAGTCCGCTCGCCGATCGCATGCCCGCTAGCCCCTCATCACGCGCCGTACGCAGGACACGCCGCCAACTGGCGGCACAAGACGAAGCCATTCCCCCGTCGCAGAGCGGACCTACCCTAGCTGAACGCGTCTTCACCGAAAATGTAGACAACTCGAAACCCTCTGGCTTCAAGCTTGAGGACCACACGGAAGGCACCACGGCGGGACACCAGGGTCCCAACTCGAATATCCGACTGCCAGCCGCTGTACCTAGTGCTCAGGAAGTTGCTGCTTCTGAACAGCAACCGTCACCACGTGCCGAAGAAGAGATCGGGGACGAATCCCCTGCTCTACTGAAGGCCTCTGATGCCCATGGCAAGCTCGACTGCAAGCTCCATGACGCCCAGTCAGGGGCTCCACGAGGAGACACATTGCCTGTTAGCCGCACTCTGAGCAGAAGCCCCTCCAGATCGCCGGCAAAGTCACCATTGCCTCTGGAAGAATCCATTGAGGCAATCGATGCATTGCAAGAAGCACTGGAGAAAGTTGTCCCAGAGTTCAACCCTTCTGTCGACGAGCAATCCCCGCGGAAACCACGACCAAGCAAGGTCCAAAGGTCCCAGCATAACAATACCAAGAAGGTTCCCCCACGTGCCTCAGTGGTGACGAGAGCTGCCAGGCCCTCAATGACACGTTCGTCCAGTGTGCGCACTGCATCTGCGAAAGAGAGAAAGGGGTCCGCAGAAGTGGTGGATTACCTTGCCAGCAGGCGACAACCCATCAGCATCAACTTCCCGGCCCCTCGCCCGCCACCCAAGGCCACAAAGCCACCCACTGTGCCCACCTTCCAGCTACCAGGTGAAGCCGTAGCGGCGAAGCTCAAGGCACAGAAAGAGGAGCGATTGAAAAGGGAGCAAAAAAATGATCACCAGCGGCAACCTCGCGAGACCTTGACACGCCCATTTGTCAAGTCATCGAAGCCACCTACCAAACCCAACTTTCAGCTGCCGGGCGAGGCGGTGGCCGCGAAACTAAAGGCACTGAAAGAAGAGCGTCTTAAGCGGGAAGCCCAGGGTCTCACGGCACGACCAAGCAACGCGACTCTCCAGCCACCCTCGTTGGCTAAATCTTCGAAGCCACCGACAGTGCCCAACTTCCAACTACCTGGTGATGCCGTAGCTGCCAAGTTAAAGGCACAGAGGGAGGAGCGTCGGAAGCGCGAGGAAGAGGAAGCCGCTAAAAGGCCAGCCTTGAAGGCCCGAGGCGAACCAACTCAGAGGAACGGACCGGTTGTTGTGCGACGGACCGCAGCCAGCAAAGCACGCGAGTCTGTGCTGAACGAAGTCGGAAAAAGAGATGCCGGAAAAGGTGATGCCGGAAAAGGAGAAGCCCCTTCCACCGAAAACTTGGTGGAACAAACGAGTTCGGTCCAACAACAAGTTATGAAGCGAAGTAGCGTCGTTGCTGCGCGCCAGACACCCATTGCACCAGTAGACGGCGCAGCTCTGCGACAAAAGGGTCGCGAAATCTTCAACCGGGATAAGGTTGAGAAGGAGCAGCGTGAGAGAGAGAGGCGGGTAAAGGAAGAGGCAGCGAAAAAGGCACGAGCCGAGGCTGCAGAACGCGGGCGTATCGCCAGTCGAGAGTGGGCGGAGAAGCAGAGGAAGAAGATGATGGCGGCGGCGGCCGCGGTGGCGACGACAACGACGACGAAATGATAACGACAAATGAACTGTTCCAACTGTGTAATAATGCTCTCTACTGACATGGGTACAAGCCCGTGCAGCTGCATAGACAATATGCACGTTATTGCTAGAATAGTCTCCTGATATGTATCGTATGACTAGACAACATAACCTCATTCAGTTACATTCATAGTCGCCCACGCCACCTTGCAAACGCGACTGTCTGTCGCCATGGATAAACTACATATGCAACACACCAAACACACCAAATGCACCAGACGGAACAAACCAACGACGGCGTCTTCCTCCCTATCAGGAGTTAGACCGACATTGCGACTCTAATAGTCATCACCTCGGCTGATGACCTCCTTGACGGTAGGACGGAGGATAAAGGTCTACAAGGATGCTTGGTCAGCACTTCTCATGTCTGATAACGAAAGCGCCTACGACTTACATGCTCGGATTGCGCGGTATAGCTTCCCTTCACGTCACAGAGTGGGGGGTATGCTTCTACGATGCCGGCAGAAACGAGGCTATTCAACTGTCCGCTGGTCAGCATCTACTTCTTGGCCCAAGTGGAAAGGTCAGAGGACGTACACCTAGCAGATACTTGTCATGGCCAAGGCGGTCGAGATAGCGTCTGCAGAAGGGCAGAGTGCCGAAATTCTTCGTGATGGAGTTCAAAAGGGTCTTGGCTGACGAGACGCGCAAGGCCACCTTGGGAGCGTCTTCGCGCTTCGCATAATGAGATGTTTCCATCTGCAATGGTCAAGGTTAGAAGTTTGGGTGGGCAAGAAAACATGAATTCTAAGGTAAGACATACATCATCCCTGACATAACCTTTGCCAGTGCTTCCAAAGGTCTCGATGGCAAAGGTTTCACCCTCCTCCATCTTGGTCTGGTCGCCACCTTTGACAATGGGCACCGTCTTTCCGCCATGAATGGTGTAGTGACCGATGCTGTGTCCGTTCAGATTGCGGATGCACTTCACAGGGTACGTCGTGCCCTTGATCTCGCACTCATAGCTCTCCATGACCTCCTGGATGGCGGCGCCAATATCAGACATGCGGACATCAATTCCAGCCTCCCGTATTCCAGCATTGGTGGCATCCTTGCAGGCATTGATGAGATTGTCATAGACGGGATCGAAGTGCAGGGTGAAGGCACTATCCACGATGCGGCCGTTGACGTGCACGCCAAAGTCGACTTTCATGACATCCTCGGCATGCAAGACCATCTTGTTGCCTGCATTGGGCGTGTAGTGGGCCGCGCAGTGATTGATACTCAGACCCGTGGGAAAGCCCATACCGGCCTTGAGAGCATCACCTTCCTCCAGCCCTTGATGTCCTGTCAGGGCACGTACTGAGTCCTCGATGCCCTCGGCAATCTCGGTGAGGGTCATGCCTGGCTTGATCCAGTTCCGCGCCCACTGGCGTACTTGGCGGTGTACCTCTGCCGCGCGGCGGTAGTCGGTCAAGAAGTCATTGTTCATGCGGTCCAGGTAACGCTTCTCCTCGCTTGTGGTACGATAAGCGTTCTCATCGCGGTACTCGCAAATCTCGCCTTCGGGGTAGGTGTGGTTGGGAAAAAGCTCATGGACAGGCACGCGTGGAGGCGATGTCTGCACTTTGAGGCCTGAGCTGGCGCCGGCCTTCTTTTTCTTCCTAGGCTTTCTTTTCTTCTTCTTCTTCGCAGCGCCGTCGGCTCCTGCCTCGGGCGCCCCCTCATTGTCGTCACCCTCGTCTTCGTCGGAATCGTCATTTTCCGCCTTGGTACCGGCGCCCGCACCGTTGGCCAGCTGCGGTTTCCCGTCTTCTACCACTGGCCATCGGTCAGCATGTAGGGGAAGAGATGGGATGGGGGGAATAGTTTTTGGGGGGGATGGGGAGTTTGCCTACACGTCAAGTTGGCGATGCCCTCTTCTGCTTTTGCAGCCATCTTTGCGAGTAATGAATACCCAGCGCTTTCAGAGGCTCACGGCGAGAGAGCAAGACGGGTTCTGTATGGAGATCTGCTGTGTACGGAGTACTCTGTATAGTTTTCTGGTGTGGCGGATTCCGCCCGCCCCGCCCCGCCTTCCGCCTCTGGCGGCTGGTTGCCCAGGTGGGTCCGTGCCGTTGTTCGAGTCGCGCGCCTGCACATGTGCAATAGATACACGCGGGCAAACAGGGATGGATGAATGACGTCTCCATCTTCACAGTACTGGTATATACCTGAATTTATCTTTGGTTTTTGATATGTGAAAACCCTTCACACCAATCCCACCACCTATTATTGCCGCTTCAACGTCGACGACAGCCTCCTTGTCGCCGCCTCAGCTTCCCTCCCTTCGCATGCACCGCCGCCCCGGTCCCGTCTTCGCCAGCGCGCGCTGCTGTCTGAGGTCAACACGATTGCTAGGTCCCACGCCTGCTCGCCCGTTGCACACAACAGCGTCGCTCAGCGAGAGTCAGCAGCCTGAGAAGTCGCATTACGAGACGCTCGGCATCTCCCAGACGGCCACCGCGGCCGAGATCAAGCGCCAGTATTTCAGCTTGTCCAAGAAGCACCATCCCGACCGCAACCCAGACGATCCTACCGCAAGTACGCGCTTTGTACAACTGAGCGAAGCATACAATGTGCTTAGCTCGCCTGGAAAGCGGGCCACCTACGACCAGCAGCTCTACGCCGCATCGGCTTCCTCACGGGGCGGTCGCGGACATGCGCCTGCACAGGGGAGCTACAGCTCCCATCAAACCTTTGCTGGCTCCCGACCTGCGACCGGGCTGAACAAGAAGAGAGGCACTTTCCGAGGCCCACCCCCGTCTTTCTACAACGCAGGCGGTTATGGTCGGCAGGGTGCGAAGCGGGCAGAATATGCTCACTACAACCCCCGTGCAGGCGCCACTTCGCACGAGCAAGATGCAGGGCCCGAGAGCTATGGCGACTTTGGGGGCGGCATGGGCCCAGGACAGATGGGCCATGGAAATCGGGTTCCTCATTTCGATGACCGGCGGCATAGACAGACGCATCACAATATTCACGAGCATATCCAAGCCAGGCGACGCAGAACAAGACCCGCCGATTTTGGAAACGTCGAAGTCCACGGGACCCTTGCAAGGTTCCTGATGATCTCCGGTACCCTCGTTTGTATAGGATTGGGTGCCAAGTTAATAAAGGATAGGACCGAAGGTCCCAGGTCTGAACGCAGGTAATGACCATGGTTGGCGAGCGGAGAGTCCCATGTACAAAAGTGGGTATTAAATGCGGCATTGAGTGAACTGTTGTACATGTCAACGTGCAATGCAAACTGAATGCTCATGGCATGACTAGCAAAACATGTCGACTCGCTGCGTCGCTGAAATCCTAGCCCACGCACATGCTCCATCCAACCGTTCTACACCTCCAGCCACATCCCATCGTACCCATTTAACCCTCGAAGGTAAAGCTGGTTCCGAGCTTGTGGCCAGCCTCGTTGAGCTTCTGCGTATCGAACGAGCCGCCAATGCCAAAGGTAAGACCTCTGTTGACCTTGGTGTTGTACGCAAGCGACGCGATGCCGAGGTTGTTGATCTTGGCCTATTCCAACAGTTAGCCGGTTCCACTCCCTCCACAAGGGCAGAGTGACGTGAGGGCTCACCTTTGCAAAGGAGGCCGGGTCAATCTTATACTTGGCCGCGAGCTCGAGGCCAACAGCGGAGCCCTGCTTGGCGTCCCAGGTGGCCTTAGCGCCAGCCTCGACGGCGGCGTTCACCTTCTGGTAGTACGAGGCGGCAAACACGTTCAGGGAGTTGGTGGCAGTGATGGCGGCGTTGTACGTGGCAGTGGTATAGCCGACGGCGGCCGAGTACTTGGTGATGGCAGCCTTCTGCACATCATAGCCGACCTCACCTCCAACCAGGAAGCCCTCGTGGCTGAGGACAGCGTCGGCGGTAGTGCTGACGGCGCCGCTGGGGTTCAGGTCCGCGAAGACGCGGCCGTGGAAGTTGGCCTGCTTGAAGTGGAAGTTGAGCTTCTGGCCCTGGTTGCCCTTGGCGGGGTTGAAGTTGGAGAGCACCTCCGTCTTCAGGCCGCTGGCGAAGGTGTTGTCGAGCTCCACCTTGGTGGAGAGCAGGTTGGCCGTGTTCCACGACTGCGTGATGCTGATGCCTGGCCGTCTGTACGTCAGAAAGATGATTACTCGCTTAGGTTGGAAATCTGAGGGTGAGAATGTTGATGACCGATAGTGTACTTGCAGACCGGATCTCAAGCATCGAAAGTGAGGGAAGGATTGGAAGTAATCAGACTCGAATAATCGTATTGGAAGCGATAGACAATGGACAAGACTTGAAGGAAAAGGAAGGGAGTGTGTACCGTTGGCGAGCGCCTTCTTGCCCTCGAGCTGCAGAATGTGTCAGTCATGTGTTTCCGCCACCAAGACGACGGTCCACCTACCGAGGAGGAGACGGGTCCCTCATGCGCCGACGTTCCCTTGGCGGTGAAGCTGACGCCGTTGGGTGCCTTGAGCTTGACCTCGAGCGCGGCTGTATCCTGTGAGCTCATCTACGCGCGGGTACGGGAAACATTGCGCCGAACCTGCGGCAGCGTGGTAGAAGTCCTTGTTGATGAGCTGGCCAGCAAGAGTCAGTCAATTGGCAGCGCGCGCACATGCTGTCGGACTCACGTCGTTGGAGGCCTTTGCAATGTCGGAAAAGGCCGGAGGGGGCAGCTTCACGACGACCTTCTCGAGCGGATCAACGGGGATGGTGGCCATGGTGGTACCGAGGTTGCACGAAAGGGCAGACGGGTGAATTTCAGAGGAAAGTGGGGGATGAATGGGTTAAATAGATGGAAACCTTTTGGGGGGTGGAGGAGGGTGTTGAAGAGAGAGAAAAACAACGCAGGGTGAAGGGAGGTAGGGTGCAACTAAATGAGGCTTGTTGCTTGCTTGGCCTTGGCCGAGAGAGCTTTTCCTCTCCGCCAACCAGAGACGAGCCAGCGGTCCGTCAGGGCACGTGTTGGATCTTGGCCCTAACCCCCGCCAAATCCCAACAGCCCCCAGCAGAAAGACCCCTTTGAACGTCATCCACCTCGCACTGCACACATCGAGCACCCTGGAAAACCCCTCTCTCAACTCTGCGACCAAGCCAGGTATGATGTGAGGCATACTCTCTCTTTTTGCTCTTGAATCTATGCAACCGCTCTTGTCTAGCCCAAGAAGAGTCTACTATGGTATATTCTCAGCGCGCTCAAAACTCCGCCAATATGGAACGAAACGGAAGCAGAAAACCCGTCCTCGAACCCCCCCCCCCCCCCCCCCCCCCCCCCCCCGAAACGAGGCCAGCTGAAGTGAAACTTCCCCACATCACCACCGTTGCAAAACCGTAGAGATTTCTTGTCGCCCTCTACAGCTTGCTGCGCGGATCCTGCCCTTCAATTTTCCTGAAGATGACGTCGGAATTGGGATTTGGGTCCACGACGATGCGGTTTAGAGGGTTCAGCTCGCTTGCGCGACAGAACATATCCTCGTACACCTTGCCATCGTACCGGCCGAGACTGCTGTCGAGGACCCAGTCGTCAAAGGCCCAAGCATCCACCAGTCGGACGGCATGCGGCCTGATCTCCGCCAGCAGCTTCTGTTCTACCGTTACGCGGATAAGCGCAACCTGTCGCTCGCTGCATGCGCCTGTGCCCGTGAACTCGGACGCCTCCTGGTCAAGGGTCCAGAGGGCGTACAGGCGGAAGAGGGCGCGGAGGATGGCCACTGCATCTCGGGAGACCTGGCCACGCTTGGCCTCTGCCTGGACCGTCTCGTAGAAGTTCTTGACGACCATGTACTGCGCAAAGGATTTGTTGAGGCGGTAGAAGTCGACCAAGAGGTCGTTCCAGGGAGTCTTGAGGGTCTCGCGCTTGTGTTGAGCATCAAACGCCAGCGACGACGCGCGCCAGGCATAAGCAGCGACAATGTCTGCGTCCGAGCCAATGACATCGAAAGCGCAGCCGGTCTCGGCACGCGAGCGGAACTCGGAGAGGATTCGAGTCGTCTCATTCTTAGCAGGCTTGCCCGCCAGAACGTCACGAGCAGACTTGAGCAGCTAGTCTTCGTCAGCACAAGGAGAGTTGCCACAGACACTGAACTAACGGCTTACATAGTTCGCCACCTGCTGGGTCAGCATGTAGTTGTCACCCTCGAATGTGACAGTCGGGAGATAGTTGCCATAGTATTGGCCGATACCACTGCATTCCGGTTAGGCGGATTCCTTACACAGGAGGAGGGACCATGCGGCCTTACCTGAACGAGGAGAAACCATGCCCACCGCATGCCCTTCGGCAAGCTTCAAGGCCGTCGACTGCGATTGTACTTGAAAGAGCCTTGAGAGCGCAAGACGAGGCATGGAGATCGGCCAAAATGCCAGTGCCGCCTTGCTTCTGGTTCTCGGAATACATGTCCATCATGGCCTTGCCAGTGAAGTGGAGGGCGTAAGTAGCCGCCAGGAGGGGAAAAAGCCTGGCCTGCACCATCTTGTAGTTCAGGACGGCTGTCTCCTTTGCCGAGGCGGGTGCGTCCCGGTCCTGGAACTGGCGCCGAACGGCGCAGTAACGAGTGGCGATGGTGACACCACGGGCAAGAGCACTGCCGGCCTGCATCACAATGGTCGACCGGACCCAGGTCATGGTGCCGTACACCAAGGTGGGGACAGGATTCGGGACGTACGTGTTGGTCTCGGGATCAACACGGGAGAAGCGCGCAAGCATGTTGACGTGAGGGACCTTGACATGGTTGAAGAGAAGAAACCCGTTATCCATGGTGTTGTAGCCAAACTTGGGGCCAACGTCACCGACGTGGATATTCTCCAAAGGCTCGTGGGTCTTCATGTCGCGGATCTGCACGATGAAAGGGTGAGGTCCATACGACTTTCCGTTGATGATGAGCTGGGCCATGACGCAGGCGTGGGTTGCCATCTTGCCGAGACTACCAATCCACCATTTGCTGGCAGTAAGATGGGGCGAGTGGATGATGAAGGTCTTATCCTGGGGGTTCCAAGTCGCTGTCGTCTCGAGGCCACGGACGTTGGAACCGTGGCCCAGCTCCGTCTGCGCGTAGCATCCTATAATCTTGTAGTCCTCTGCCGGCTTCGTGAAGAGCTTTTGTTGCTCGGGCGTGCCTTGCTCACTGAGCGTCACCTGCCGGAGGTTAGGTAAGTCCAGATACGTGATAGGGCAAGTACTTACCACGAACATGCCATCGTGCAGACTATAGGGAAGAGGCTCGCTGATGAGCTCATTCGCCAACCGGTACTCTTCCAAAGTCCAGTTATTCTTCACTCTTAGGTTCCTGAGGGCCTTTGCGCGTCTAACGGCACTCTGGAAGTGTTCAGTCCGTCCCAGATAGTAGTTTGGGGTCTTGTCGAAAAGCTTCTCCGACTTCAGCACACTGAGGACCTTGTTCTTCCTAGCCAGACCCTCCTTGGTGAACAACAACTCGGAGAGCTGCTCCACCGGGAGATTTGAGCTTGCGCGCTCTGCAGCAAGAAGTTCGGAGCCCTGGGGGCCTGAGGGCTTCAGTTGTTTAACCCAACCTGGCGTTGACGACATGGTCGTGTGGAGAGGGAGAGGAGAAGGGATGAAGGCGAAAAGTTCTTGTTTGAGCATATTTTGGGGAAACGCATCGCAGACCTATATGCTATACTTTTTTGCCCGAGCCTCGGCTCGTGATATGACAGGGTTAGGGTTGGGTATCCAAGCTCCATCGTACCTAGGTACTTCCGAGGTTGCTTGTTGGTGTGATCATGCTCCGGCCCACTGTCCACACTCTACACTCGAACAGGGTGCGAACAATATTCAGGGGCGGGGTATCTGTTAATAGTCTCCTGTCGCTTTGCCCAGAGAGGTGTCCATCATCCAAAATGCGGCAGAGAAGATGGCTGCGACTATATCAACACAGTCTTGGACTGTCCGCACAACGGTTTGAGGTGAGTAACGGAACGAATGGCTGTCCTATACTTCCATCAACAGCGGCAAACCTTTCACTGGTACAGGAGTCGGAAGATGGTCGCGACAGTACGGAGCAGTGAGTCCACACATAGTTGCAGAGAGTGGATGCGGGCATGTGATGGCCGCTGAAGCCGCTCTGTATTCACAGGAGAGAAGTCTTTCCATCATCCCCACGAACTATGGAGGCCATCAAGGCTACGGAGGCTGCTTACGTAACCATAAAGGAGTAGGACGGGAGGGTGCATTCCTCCGAGCTCCGAGGCGGTTGTTGGTGAAAAGTTTCGACAGGAATCCCATTTTCGGGGCGAACAAGGTAGTAGGACGTTGCACGTGCTTCCTGACCGTCGTACCTAGGTAGCTGGACATGCGGGTCTGGAGTAGGTAGACTACCTAGGTATGGCGTAGCTGGAGTCTATGTACTCGACTCCAAAGCGTGTCCCGTGTGTGTCCCGTGTAGCCTACCGAGCTGTGGCTGGGCCATTTTTCATGCACCGCCACAGCCAGTCCCTTTCTCCCACTAGCGCCAATGACGCCGTTTCTCAGCCCCCGGAGAGGGCAGGTGCCCAGCAAAGCCCAGCAAGCCCTGCCCAGCACACATCCTTCTCTTTTCCCCCCCAAACTTCCCCCCCCCCACGCACACACACACGACAGACAACTGCTCAACTTGCTTCCCACAAGCAAACCCCACCCCCCTCCCCCCTTTCAACGGCCACAACTCCAACACCCCGTCACCGTCTCCACCGCCTCTCTTTCTAACTCCCACCTTCGCTCTCCCTCGCCCGTTTCGCTGGGCACCCTGCCACGGACCCCACCTGCTGCGAGCCCGTCAATTCAACCAGTGACGCCGTTCCCCAAATCTATGCCCGCGAAGCCACAAGTGCTCCTCCTCCTCTTCACTCTTACCCCAGCCCGCTCCTTATAGACAGCAAAGCGCCCATCATGGGTCAGACGCTCTCTGAACCCGTCGTCGATAAGGTTCGTCGTTTCTTGCTTCTCCCCGCCCCCCGCTGTCGTCGTCGTCCGCTTCCGTCTCCCTCTCCCGGGCCGTGTTTCGCTACCTCGGGGCTCTTTGGAATCCTCACTGCTCCTTCGATGCTGACCTTGCGGCTGCGGTAGAAATCGGAAAACGGCGAGAGCGACACCATCATCTATGGCCTCTCCTCTATGCAAGGATGGCGAATCAGCATGGAGGACGCCCACGCCGCCGTCCTCGACCTTCAACCCCCTGGCAGCGACGGAAAGCCTGCATCGCCGGAAAACAGGTTGAGTTTCTTTGGCGTATACGATGGGCATGGGGGTGACAAGGTGGCCATCTACACTGGCGAGCATCTCCACGAGATTGTCGCCAAGCAGGATGCTTTCAGGGAAGGAAACATCAAAAAGGCCCTCCAGGACGGCTTTCTTGCAACAGACCGAGCGATACTGAGCGGTAGGCTGCAGCCATGTTCCCGCTGCTGCTGACGCGCACGGCTGACTCAGGCTATCCCAGATCCCAAGTACGACGAAGAAGTATCGGGATGCACTGCATCCGTTGGCATCATTTCCAAGGATAAGATCTGGGTGGTATGTTGCCATCTGCATCCTTCGCCCCGTTCGCGCTAAATCTCTTAGGCGAATTCAGGCGATTCTCGCAGTGTTTTGGGAATAAAGGGCCGTGCAAAGCCGCTCTCTTTTGACCACAAACCTCAGAACGAGGGTACGTTTGACGCTGTCCTATATCACAAGATGCTTATTAGTCGTAGGCGAGAAAGCCCGTATCCAGGCCGCCGGTGGCTTCGTTGATTTTGGTCGGGTCAATGGCAATCTCGCCCTGTCACGGGCCATCGGCGATTTCGAGTTCAAGAAGAGTGCCGAGCTGCCCCCGGAGAACCAGATTGTCACCGCCTTTCCTGACGTTGAGATACACGATATCAGCGAAGATGATGAGTTTTTGGTCATTGCATGTGATGGTTAGTCAATGCGCACCCGCTGAGTCTTCAGCCAGCGGCTAACCCGCATCAAGGGATCTGGGATTGCCAATCCTCGCAAGCCGTCGTGGAGTTTGTACGACGGGGTATTGTAGCGAAGCAAGAGCTGTCCGCCATCTGTGAAAACATGATGGATAACTGCTTGGCTTCGAACAGCGACACGGGCGGTGTTGGTTGCGACAACATGACCATGATAGTCGTTGGCCTCCTTCAAGGGCGAACAAAGGAGCAGTGGTACGAGGACATCGCTAAGAGAGTCGCGAATGGGGAGGGTCCATGCGCTCCGCCAGAGTATGGCAAGTCTAATTCTCCGCTCGCCCCCGCTGTGGAGGGCAAGTAACCCGGGATCTAATGCATTCTGTAGCCGAATTCCGCGGGCCAGGAGTCCATCACAGAACTGACGACAGCGCGGACGACCTCGACATGGAATTCGACCATCGTTTCAGGCCCGGAAATGGAAATGGAATGGGTAGCCGAATCATCCTTCTCGGAGACGGATCCGATATTTCGGGTGACGGTCATGATACTGAAATGTTCGATCAGGATGATGAGGACAAGGACCTGGAATCGCAGGTGGACAAGTATCATAACCAGGCATCGTCCAACGGCGCGAACACTACACCCGTAGAAGCATCCCAAACTACGGAATCGCCTTCCTCCGTCGCCACCGAACAGTCTGATGCGCAAACTCAGAACCCTGGTAAAGACAACTCTCCGCCAGCGCAGAGCCGCGCGGGCGAAAGCTAAGAAGAGTGATGGTTTTGGGGTCTGGTTGGTTTTTTGCTGCCCCTTCACCTGTGGCTGGATATCTGGTGCTTGTGCTTTTAGCAGGATGATGCTCCCTCTAGGTCCGGGTCGTGTTGGGAGCTGCACAGCGCGTGGGACATGTGTCACGAATCAATCACGCGTCATGGTCATGAAGGCGAACCTCTCCCGCGGTTGATAGGGCACATCACGAAATGATACCTGACGTCGCCCCGTCGTCGTCGTCGTATGCTCTTCCTTAGTATATCCCTTGTTAGGTTGCCTTCTCAAGACGTTGCCTTAACAGCACCACTGCCATGGTCGAACCTCGACATTTATGTTTACGATGGACGCAAATGTTGAGGGTTGTTTGTTAGTAGTCTACTAGTACCGTCAGACAAGACACGCATGCACTGGCTGCCGCGCTTTTGCAAAATGAGCCAAATGAGCCAAATTCATTGTACGGAGATAATAAAGTGTATGCGCAAATGTGCTCCCAGTTGACATGTCCGACTCCACTTCAGCATCCATCCTTGGAACCTGGAACCCTGGACAAGCCAAAAACTCGCCTTGCCTATTTCGGTCACCGCCCTGGATCCCCCGCCCCGGCCTTGGAGCTCTCCTTCCATCATCTTTTGCGCTGCCAAGAAATAGATGCCGCAACCTCTCACCGTCATGGGCGGGCTTGACAGAGAGCTTGTTGCAACATCATCATTCCAGGCGGGAGGAAACTGCTTGCTCTAGCGGTTTTGAACTGGCTATCCTACTGCGCAAGTAGGTGAGGCATGGTTTGAGGGGGAGGGGGACAGCTCTCCAACCTGCCATCCATCTCGTGCACCCAACACCTGCTTCCACTCCACCATGTCCGTTATACTCTGTACCGGTAGGTCCTGGCCATAATCTCCTGCATCCAAGCAATGCTGACTGTTGTAGCTGGGTACGATCATACCATACGGTAGGCAACGCATCAGATCCACAGCGTGCGTATTCACTAAAGCAACCAGATTCTGGGAAGCCCTCTCCGGCATCTGCTCTCGCACCATCCCACACCCGGACTCCCAGGTGAACCGCCTCTGCATCGCCCCTGACAAGCGCTACCTCGCCGCTGCCGGGCACCACACGGTCAAGCTCTACGACATCAAGTCCAACAACCCCAATGCCGTCCTGACCTTTGAGGGACACACCAACAATATCACGGGCGTGGCCTTCCATTGCGAGGGGAAATGGATGGTAACCAGTTCCGAGGACGGCACCGTCAAGATCTGGGACACACGGCAGGGAACAGTGCAGCGCAACTACGTACATGGGGTTCCAGTCAACGATGTCGTCATCCACCCAAACCAAGGAGAACTGATTAGCTGCGATCGAGGCGGCAATGTGCGCATCTGGGATTTGGGCGAGAACAAGTGCTCGCATCAGCTTGTTCCTGAAGAAGGTGTGAGCGTTGCGAGTGTGACAGTCGCGAGTGATGGGACATTGCTATGCGCGGGCAATAATGCGGTATGGTATCCTGAGGGACATCTTGGTCTCTCGCATCGACCAACCGTGCTGATGCAGAACAGGGCAACGTCTACGTCTGGCGCATGATACAGCGCCAGGACATCACCTCCCTCGTCCCGGTCTGCAAATTTGTTGCCCACCAGACTTACATCACCCGCGTCCTGCTCTCGCCTGATGTGCGTCATCTAGCAACCTGTTCAGCGGACCACACAGCCCGCATCTGGTCCGTCGACACTTCGCAACCGCACAACGCCGGTCCGCAGGACAACCTCCCGGCAGAGCGCGATCCCAATGCATTTCCCCTGGAGACCACGCTGCACGGTCACCAACGTTGGGTATGGGACTGCGCCTTCAGCGCCGATTCCGCCTACCTGGTAACTGCCTGCTCCGACCACTTTGCGAGGTTGTGGGAGCTGAGCAGCCAAGAGATCATCCGTCAGTATAGCGGTCATCATCGCGGTGCAGTGTGTGTGGCTTTGAACGACACCGCTGTCGGCGGATGATGGCGCCTTTGCATGGGCCCCACTCTCTGTTTTGCTCGGAAGATCTCGTGTTCGGATATGCATGATAGCCGTGTTCTTGGGTCTGATGTCATGGAGACTTCAGGGCGCATGGCGGCCCTGGGCCGGTCTTCTGGGCGTGGATGCTTTTGAGCTGGATGCGAAAATATCCACGTACACCTGGAGGCTCCCAAGTTTTGTCTCTGATGCAGTAGACTTCCGTCTAGACTAGGCGCTTTGGGGTCTGGAATAGCAATCATCTCCTTCGATATGGAGACAGTCATTTATGACACTCAAGACCCACATGACCATGTATATATCAGTGGAATGACATCACCGTGAGACTTCGTGCCAATGCGGTCAAAGCTAGAACAGAAATCGATCTTCAACATGGGCCAAATACCCTGTGTCGATTCTGATCCCTTGATACACTCAGCTACGCCCCAGCACATCGCTGTCCGCAGCCACGAGGTTAGGTTGGGACGGGGTAATGAAGGGAAATTTGAAAATATAAAAGCCGATATAAAGCGAAGCGGCGCTTGTAGGAAGCTTGCTTCCTCCGGCACACCCCTAACCCCAAGAATCCTCATAGGATGCCCACGCATACTTGTTGCCATGGCAAACTATAACAATAATGCCAAACGCCAAACTCCACGCACGAACGCTGCAGAATAAGACATGCAAGGAAAAGCAACCCCCTATGCTCACTTGAGTTGACACAGCATAGTACACACAGCGGATTAGAATATTAGAGGATGAAAGGAAAAAGTGAAGGTCGTTGACGTCCTTGATGCTGAATACTGTCGGACACTTCTTTGCTTTCTTCAGGTAGGGTTCGCTTAACGACCGAAGAGCCCAGATAGCACATTGGCAAACCGCCTGCTGCTCGTGCTGGGTGTCACGCTGATTACGCTGTCCGCATCGCCCGTAACCGACTCTGCGCGCCCATAAACACTCGACATTGACGCAATTCCGAGCCGTGGAGCGTTCGGGCCAGTCACACTTTGCGCGCTCTCCGCGGTGGTGAAGAGGGATGTCGGCGTACATTTGCCGAAAGCGTTGCTCACGGAAGGCCACTTCTGGGGCGACGATGTCAGATTGAACGCTCGCGTGAGAAAGGCTGGTGGAGGGATGCTCGGAACCATCGTCTCAACGATAGATCTTCCCTCATGAATGTGGCTTGGTGACGACTGCCTTTCCAGTCGGCTCGCGACATTGCGTGATGGAGGGACGGTTGTTGGCGACAGGCCCACTTCGACTCTGGTAACTGCAGTATAGGTTCTCCGCAGTAGCACATCTGAAAGGATATCAGCCAAAGCTCGGTGAAGCTAAAATGGCCTAGGGATTTGCAGGGTCTGCACCACCTTCAGGTGCATCATCCTGCCCATCCTCTGGTGGACCCTGGGTAGACGCCTGCTCTACCTGACCAGGCGCTTCACCATCCTCCTTGTCGTCGTTTGCATTCTCCGTAGCCACAGCCGATGCAGTAGCGGCAACCTTTTCTGCTCGAGCTCTCTCCCTGGCGGCCGCTCTCTCATAGTTCTCTTTGCGGGCTCTTTCGTCTTTCACCTTCCGCAAACGCTCGGCCTCTTCAATCCCGCCACTCTTTTTTAGTCGACCTTCCTCAACAAATGCGCCAAGTTCCCGTTTGAACTCCCCATCTCGTCTGCTCTCAAGCTCTTTCTGTCGTGCCTTCTCGGCGCGCTCTATCGCCTCCAATCTCCCCTCATGATTCGGCTGTAACGCTTTGACCTCACCCAGGACGCCGTCCCGTGCCATACGAGGATCAACTGCCTTGTCGTAGGCCGCCGCGTTCATCCGACCACTGGCGGAGCGCACGCCCTTCCCTTGGGTGTGATCGTTCTGCAGATTCTGTTGTTTGGTCGCCTGCTCGACCAGCTCCAGAGTCTGAGCCGCTTTTTCCAAATCATCTTGCAAGTCTGCTGCAAGCTCCTCTTGCATCGTCAACAAATCTCGCTCCTCACACACAGTCTGCAGTTCTTGCTCCCAGATCTTGGTCCACAGAGGTTTCTCCTTTGCCAAAAAGTCCTGCAGTCTCTTGAGCTCAGCAGTGGCAGAAGCGAGATCCTTGGCCGTGCTTTCGAGTTGACGTGGCAGAGGACGCACGCCTCTAGACACAACATCTTTGCGTAAGTCTTCAACTAAATCCTGGAGATCATCCACGCGCGTGACTATCTTCTCTGAATCGTCCTGAAGCGTTTTCTTGCCTGCATTGATGTATGCACGGCCACTGTCGCCGGTAAGGGCGGGCAAGGAAGCTTTCGCGGCAGTTGACTTGACTGCAGCAGCCTTGGTGCGGATAGCAGACATGTTTGCCTCCATGTCCGAAACAAACGATGTATACGTCTGGCGTACTACGGCGAGATCTCGACGGAGCGATTGTACTTCGCTCAATTGAGCGGCCAAAGGTAGAGAATCTGACGAGGTTCCGGCAGCGGGCTGCGGGGATCGCGCCAGGATCGTAGACACACGCGCAGAAGCGATCGGAGGGGCAGCAGCGAAGCCGGCAAACTCCTTGGCTGCTTGCTGTTGTCGTTCTGCTACTCGTTGAATGGCGGATTGCTGCTCATCCACGATGATCTTGATGCTCTCGACCAAGCGGCTTAGTCCACTGAATCTGTCATCGATGTGGTGTTTAACCTCTTCAAGCTGCTCAACGTTGAGTACGAGGACAGACCGGTCCTTGATGTCGTTCAAGTCTTCCAGCTCGTAACGGACGCCAGACACAGGATCTTGAATGTGAATGTCCGGAAGCTCTCCGTTACGATGCGTATCCCATGCAAACTTTTCGATGAATGCTAACTGAAGGCGTGCAGCCGAAAGATCGGATCCGTCCGCAAATACATACTTTTTGATCTTGCTCTTGTATTGAAGGAAGAGGGTGAGTTCTTTACCCGCCTGTGGCGACTGTTCGGGTACAAATTGCTCTGGCTGCGGTGAGGGGGTTTTCATCCTTCGTGAACCATGTCTGGCGGGTATGCTTGCAGGCATCTTCCGCTCCTTCATCGGCGACTCTAATGCATTGTCGGCTGGGTCACTCACAGGGCCGCTCAAAGTAGCCCTCAACGCAGGCTTCTCTTCGGCTGACTCCAATAACCTTACACCGTCATCAGGTGTCTTGCGTGCGACACTTTCCTCGGGTAATGACTCAGGTGCTGGTTCAGTAGTGGTCTCCTCAGAGATGCGCCTGGAGATATCATTCGCCTTGTCCAGGGCTGGTTCGGCTGCCAGCCGCTGGGTTGAACGTTGCCGCCCATGCACAAACGGACCCCTAGTACGCACGGCATTCATGGATTCACGAACGTCCCGTCCGCGATTCGGTATAGGTGAGTTTTGCACAGGTGGTAGCGGTATACCATTGGTTCCGAGATGTTTCTGTATTTGGTAGGCCGAGAATCGTCGAGAAGCCCTCCTCTCGAGTTCACCACCACGTTGCAATGCTGCTAGTGCGTCTTGCTGCTTGGGAGGCGGCGGGGGTGGAGGAAAGTCAACGGCATAGTTGGGTTGTTGGTGGGGTGCCGGCGACTTGGGCATGGCATCATCGGCTGGGTAGGGAGCGATGACGGGCATATGCTGCATGGTAGTGCTTGAGAGAGACGAGTCGCTGGAGAGCTGGCTGGCTGTAGTGGAGCGATTGGCCCTGGGATTGGAGGGAAGCGCGTCGTACTTGCTGGGTGATGCCCTCCCAGGTACAGAAGAGGAGCGCGGCGGAAGGCCAGGACCGTCATTGACAAGATCTTGACCGTCCTGACGTGGGGGCAATCGTGTACTTGCTGCTCGTGGTGGTTCCGCGGTGTCACCTGTGTTATCCACACTGCCCTGCCTTGGACTGCTTCCGTTCACAGCAGCATCGCGTCCCGTTCGCTGCCGTAGCCGCTGTTGCTTCTTCTTCAGCCCTTGGAGTAGGTTGATGATGATGTCGCGAATCCGTGGAAGGAAGTTATCGAGACTGGCCTGCGAGGCTTCTTGACTAAGAGTCTCCTCCAGAATCCCTCGAAGCAATTCGGGAACATTTCCAAGATCGGCGGTGTCAACTCCTATGGCGTTGAACGCGCGGGAAGCAATGTTGAACTCGTAGCCCAGTCGGACGTAGACATCGGAGACTTCGCTTTCAGTGGCGGTGCCACGCGACCAGAGAGTGAGCGTCTCAAGGAGCTGCTTAGTAGCGACGAGCAGGTGTGTGACGCTCTTCTCTATCTGGGAGAGCTGCTGCTGTGGCTGCATTGGCCGTGTGCATCAGCGGATGCGAAGGAGGGTGCAGGGGCGAACGGAATAGAAACGAGAGGACATATACGACGGGTAGCCTCTACTCACATTCTGCATGCGCCTCGAATGCGACGAGCGACCGGATCCATGCGAGGACCGCGTGCCGGGCTCGTCGCCGGTCATGGTCGTGTTGTTGGAGGTGTGCGAGGGCGGGTAGTGGGTGGATTCCGAATCGCGCGACGACGGCCTGTGGGTAGAGGGGAGGGAGCTGTAGTGCCCCCGCAGCATATCACGGGGAACGGCAGCCGTGGAGGTGCGAAGAGCGAGAGGGGTGAGCGAGGGAGTGAGGGAGTGAAGGTGAAGGTGAAGGTGAATGTGAGGGTGGCATCATGTGCTGTGGAGTCCAGACGTCCACGGGTGCGGGAGGGCTAGCGTGCCAAGCCCAGCCGCATCTGATTAAGCCACAGCCACCAACCACCAGCTCTCTCCTCCCCCATCTTCCCTAATCCCCCCCACGACAATCCGACAACAACAGCTCTTCGAAATCACCTTCAACCTCCACCAGCAAAAATCGTGCTTCATCCACCATCCCTCGTCCACCACCCTCCAACCCGCTCCCGGCGCCGTATTGCGCCCGTCAAACCTACTACGCCCATTGGCCTCCCCTCCTCTCGCTCCCAGCTCCATTGGCCTCTCTGCGCGCTTGCCTGGCCATTCCCCGGAAGTTCGGGGGCTTCCTCCTCCTTCGACTCCTTTGGCTTCCATGCCCACCGCCTCCATAGCGCCTACAAGCGGCTCCAATGACCACGGGCCTTGCGCCGCGCACACAGCTCCCCACGTCTCCGGCGGCAGAACCGTATTCAACATGAATCAAGCTGCCAAAGCCCCCGAGGGCGTCCGCAAACAGGCCGGCAGCCCCGTCGATGCTTCCCAAAGGTAAGTCTGCCCGAGCTGTTGATTGACGCCAATGCTACCGGCGCGGATCCCTCGCACCTCGTACCGAAGTCCTGCCATACTGTCATGTCAGCGGCGTGTCGCTCAAACCACGCCTCTACTCCTCGTTGAGCGCTGGGCACACTGCACCATCCATGGCAACAACCCGTGGCTACGTGCGACCCACAGCCCGTCACATGAGCCCCGGCCGTACCACCATGTCGTTTTCGAGCCTCTGCGCGATTGCAACATCCTGCCCGCTCCTGCACCCACCTCTCGTCTCTTCCGCACACGCGCTCACAACGCTAATTTGCCGTCGTCTGCAGGAAACCTCCACCCAAGGCATGGACCCAAGGTACCAACCCGATCACTCAACGTCCTTCGAACCCGGCTACGTCCAACGGTGTTGCGAACAACCCCAGGCCCACCCAGATTTCCGCTCGCACCTCCGAGACGCCTTCCCCCATGAAGCATCTGAACGACAGGATGATGTACCTACTGTCGAATCTCATTGTGAGTCATCTTAACGTAGGGATCCATGACAGTGCTAACATCTAATAGGGACAGCTTGGTGAATTCACCTTGAAGAACGGCGAAAAGTATACTGGTGTCCTTTCTGGAACTTCTCTTGACCCGACCGAGATGCGATATGTGTTCAAAATGGTCCGACGGATACAACCGTCGAGTGATGTCCAAGTGAATGGGACCAGCGATTCCTCGGACGGATACATTGGCCAAGGGGATGACCGTGTCATGACATTCAACTTTCAGGATGTAGCGCACTTCCATGTCCCAGATGTGGCTTTTGAAAGGACTCAAGCTAGAGCATCAAACGGTAGGTCAATTGGATTGCCGTTGATGCGGTTACTGATTGTCTCTAGGAATTCCCTCCGGTTTCCGGACCGACTCTGACATATCAGGTAGGATGGCTATCCGCGAACGTCATCTCCAAAAGTGGGAGCCGTCCGCGGACGACACCTTCAACCACTCGTTGGAGCCAACTGGTCGGTCGACGGAGTGGGATCAGTTTGCTGCCAACGAGGCACTCTTTGGGGTGAAGAGTAGCTACGATGAGGGCCTCTACACCACCGCCATCGACCGCAGCGATCCTAGATTCGCAGAGAAGGAAGCACACGCAGCTAGAATCGCCCGAGCTATAGAGTCCAGCTCCACGACGAATGCCCACATACGCGAGGAACGAGGCTTGGCTGTTGCGGATGATAACGTCGACGAAGAAGCAAAGTATGTTATGTCCTATCCACAAGCGTTTAGCTCGATGTTGATTTGTTGCTAGGTACAGCGGAGTTCGACGTGATTTCACTCCCCTCGCCGCCGGCGGGCCCAACAAGTATACCCCCCCAGCTCGACGCCCTCCCACTGGTCAACCTACGGTGCCTGGCGCGCCTGTAGACCCAGCTATCATCTCGTCTCAAATTGCTCGCCCTGCCCCATTCACTACGAAAGGGGTGATGCGCGAAGATTCAGGAATTGCGCCCCAACCCAATGCTGGCACAGAGCAACCGAAGCAAGAGCCTTCCGATACGAAAGCCGCCTCGTTGTCTAAGTCTGAACTCCTCGAGAAACCTGCAATTGAAGCTACCAAAGACACAACCTCCGATCAGGGTCCAGGCCCTATCACAGGATCGGCCAAGGACGCGGTCAAGCTGCCCGCCAAGGATGCTACCGCTTCGCTTGACAAAGTAACAGCCGGCCCCTCCAAATCCGGAGGAGCTTTACCACAACCTAGTCAATCCTCAGTGCCTGTTCCGTCTACTCATAGTGTGGAGCATGAGCTGCTTGACAAATTCAAAGAGTTTTCAGCCCGAGAGAAGCTTCGCGCAGCCGACCTGCACCGTCAGAAACAGCGCGATTCGAAAGCTGTGAAACTCAACGAACTCAAGAAGTTCTCGCAGAATTTCAAGTTGAGGACGCCTGTTCCCTCCGATCTGGTGCCTATCTTGGCTAAAGACGAAACCAAACAACAGGAGATTGTCAAGAAAGCTCTTCGTGCCGTGGAAGAACGGAAGTCTGCTTCCGCTCAGCCCGTTATGGCTTCAGACGCGAAGATTGCTACGGGGATGACTGCAGCTAAGCCCAGCACTACGCCTTCTGCACCTAGCGCTGGGGTGGATCGTCAGCACATACCAAGAGGTCGACCTGGTCAATCTCCTTATGCGGCGAGTACGATGCGATCCGGGAGTGGCGCCAGTCCTGGTTCGACCCAAGGCTCGCGGACCACTGGATCGCTGGGCCCAAGGCTTGCGCAGAATCATCAACAGCATAGACAGCAAGGCGCCATGCCTTTCCATGGCACGCCGTATCCAATTCCGCTTGTGGACAGAACGCATGATGTGAGGGTGCCCACTGGCCCATCCGCGCCATCTAGCGGAATCCAGACTCCGACCTCCGCAGCTTCGGGGCGGTTCAACGCGCGAGCGGCCGAATTCAGGCCTAATGTTGCGGCAACCGCCTTTGTCCCTGGCGCAACTGCGAGCGCGAGCTCTAGTCCACGACCTGGTTCGGCTGCTAGACAAGATGTACATCGTCGTCCTCCTGTAACCAGCTATCTTGACGGCGCGAAACCTACCTTGGAGCCGCTCGATTTCAATGATTCTTTCAACTACCTCAAACGCGCAATCGCCGAGGCGCCCAAAGAGAAGGTGCGTGAGTATGCCGTCAATGGTGGCGTGCCTTTTTCCTACAAAACTCCGCCAACTTGGGATTTCCCCGAAACCAACACGGAGAGAGGCTACTTGACCCTGTTCAAGAGCACATCAACAGGCACACATCTTCCAGCCTCGGCCAACACGTTAAACCATAATCCAATGCCGATGCAGCACCAGATCGCCCCGCACCTTCAAGCGCCGCCTCCGCAAGCTCAAACGCCACACCAAACGCCGCGGCATCCGGCAGCGCAGCCGCACCCGGCTCATGGCGGGCCTGCTCCGTTCGAGAGCAATCCCATGCAATATTCACACTCCACCTCTTCCGTAAACCCTTCCCCTCGCGCTGTGCATCCTTATATGTACGGCACGCAACCACGAGCCATGCCTGGCTTCCCTCAACAGGGCCATATGCCGCCCTACATCAGCCCTGCTGTAACGCATGCGGCTCTTCAGCAGCCCTACGGCAATACCCCCGTACCTGGAATGGGAGGGCAAATGATGGCACATCAACCCTCCAGTGGCCCTTATATGGGTATGCCAGCTACGGCGCAGGTGCCAATGTTTACGCCTCCTGGACCGGCATTCGTCCATTATCCAAACCAGGGACCAGGGCCTGCTGCTACTAACAGCTTCTCCAGCCCTCGGCCAGGCGCTCCAATGATGCACCATCAAGGCTCTCAGCAAGGACACCAGCCTGGACTGGTTTACGTGCCGCCGGGGGCTCCAATGTACGGACAGATTCCACCTACGTCAAGTAAGTGGACACTATTCTAGCCTCGATTACCTCCGAGACTAATCGGAATTCAGTGATGCCGATGCGACCGCAACCATACCCGCAAGCACATCAGCAGCACTACTCTCCCCAAACCCATCACCCATTCCCACAGCAGAACCACCGAGGCACGCCTAGTGGAACCTATGCGCAACCAATGATGCAGCAACACTCCATGGCCCCTCATAATGTTGCGCCCAATGGGCCGGCCAACCATGGGCCACTCAATCACGGGCCAGAAGTGGCTGATGAGGGCAAGTGAGCACGGCACGGACCTAACGTCTCTCTATGGAGTAAATGCGCCAGGTATTCTGAATGTCAGGAGCGAAGTCCCGGAGGGCTGATAGTCCCTCCTCGATGAGTCGAGGTATTGGGTCCTTCCTGCCGGATTCCGATTGTGATCCCCGTTTAAGCCCGGTATGCGCGCGATGCGCACGGAAACGCGACCAGGCGACCTGTCAGGAGAAGAGGACGGTCGAGTTATTTTTGCGACTTTGGAAGTGCTGCTCGCTGCGCGGGGGTGGACTAGCGATTCCTGAGAATGTACATATACACTCCGGGATGGCATAAGGTACGGAGTCCGCGATCCTTCTGTTTATCGCCGTGCAATGGGGACGGCAATGGGGAAGGCGTATCATATTTCAGCTCGTGCACTGTCGCGTACGATCACATCATAGAGTGGAGTCGTGGACTGATACTCAAATGCAAAACCCAGCGGCGCTCTTATATCTCCACGCTGCACTCTTGAAATTGGATCTTCTCTGCCAAAATCGATACTTGCAGGTCTAAGTAGTAATAAAAAGGATGAAGGATGGGCCTTGTGGACCCGTGCACATTCACCAGCACCTCGCTCTAATAAGTAATTGCCGGCTTGGCTCACGTGCACCGCCACGAACGAGCCGTATCCGACTGATCCATGGATCATGCATTCGCAAGAATCGCCCTCACCATCCCACTGCTGTCGGCATGGCCATGTACGAATAGCTTCCTGCCTGAAAACGTAGCCAGGATGTCTGTTCCCAACAACGAAGACGCAGCCGCCAGAGACAATGCTGCCGAACCGCTATTTGCTGAAAGCCTGGCGGGCGAACTCGATGAGAGTCTTGTAGCATCGCCCGGACCGTTCGTGTGGTCGTTGACCATGTGCGCAGGCGTCAGTGGCCTTTTATTTGGCTACGAGTACGTATTCAGAACCTTCCACCACGGTTTACGCCCCAAGGCTCTGATCGGAGCTGACTGGATGCGCAGCACTGGTGTCATATCTTCGACTCTGGTATCTATTGGCACAGACCTCTCCTCCAGACACCTCACCACGATGGACAAGTCCCTGATCGCCAGCTGCACATCTCTGTTTGCCTTCTTGATCTCCCCCTTGACAGGTCTCTTCGCCGACCAGCTGGGGCGTAAACCAGTGATACTGGTTGCTGGCATCCTGTTCATTTTGGGCGCCTTGATCCAGGCCTTGACGGCCAGTGTCGGAGGCATGATCGTTGGCCGAAGCATCGTTGGAGCGGCAGTAGGCGGTGCCAGCTGCATAGCACCACTATATATCGGCGAATTGAGCCCTAGCCCGTTCCGCGGAAGAATGGTCGTCATCAGTGTTCTTTTCATATCAACCGGCCAGGTTCTAGCGTACGTGGTCGGTTGGGCTCTATCAGAAACGCAAAGCGGTTGGAGGTGGATGGTCGGCTTGGGTGCGGTTCCGGCAGTCGTCCAGATCGGCCTGTTGACTCTCCTGCCAGAAACTCCGAGGTGGTTAATGAAAGCTAATAAAGTCTCCAAGGCCAAGGAGGTGCTGGGAAGGGTTTACGGCACCAATAAGGAGACCTTGGTGAGGGCCATAATGAGAAGAGTTGAGAGGGAGATATACGAGGAAGAGAACGTGACCAGCCACCGTGGAATCTCAGGACCAGAAACAAGAGGATGGAAGTGCAAGGTTTTGGCGATCAGACATACATTCACTCAGTTGACAACTGTCGGTGGCAATAGGAGGGCGCTAATCATTGCCTGCTTTTTGCAAGGGTATGTTGAGCAACACCAGTCTGCCCAACCCGAACGCTGACAATTGTGTAACAGGTTTCAACAGCTTTCCGGATTCGTGAGTGCCCATAACAGATTGGTTGCCATCGGAGAAGGCGCTGTATGCTAACAGAATTAGAACTCGCTGATGTATTTCTCCGCCACCATATTCGCTATGGTCGGTTTTCAATCCCCAACTCTGACGTCGCTTTCTATTGCATCAACGAATCTCATCTTCACCCTCGTGGCATTCTACTATATTGACAGAGTAGGACGGAGACGCATCTTGCTGTACTCCATCCCTGTCATGGTCTTGGGCCTCACTGCATGTGCGGCTGCGTTCGGTTTCCTGGATTTGCCTGCAGCTGCATCACGCACGTCGATTCCCCGGGCGGAAGACGTAGCCGTTGGAGTCGCATGGCCGCAGGTCATTCTGACGAGTACGGTTTTGTATGTTGCAGGCTACGCAATTGGGATAGGTAACGTCCCATGGCAGCAGTCGGAGCTCTTCCCACTCTCCGTGCGAGGTCAGGGTTCCGCACTTGCGACAGCTACGAATTGGGGTTCAAACTTCCTTGTTGGCATAACTTTCCTGCCATCTATGGACGTACTGACTCCTGTGGGTACCTTCGCGCTGTACGCCCTTGTATGTACCGTCGCTTGGTTCGTCGTGTACAAGATATACCCGGAGACAGTGGGGTGTTCCTTGGAGGACGTAGCTGCGCTGCTGGAGACAGATTGGGGGGTTGCCCAAAGTGTTAGACGGTTGAAAGAGGGGCGGCCAAAGGGGAAAGTGGCTTCACCGAGGGCGGGGCACGACGAGGAGCAATAGTAGACGGATTGAAGCTCAGCATTCTTGTCACAGGAATTGTCAGTGCCTCCAAAACGTGGTCTCCTCATGGGTATGTGATTGATGTAGCCAGGCGGACCCCGGGTTGCCTCTTTTGGTCGCTGGGATGAGAGCGAGCTTGAGCCGCTTTGTGGGAATGATCAGGTCCACGCCCTCAATGCAAGTGCGCTGAAGGACGATGTACCTGTGAATAGATTGGTATGCTTGAAGTGCCTGCCCTAGGGAAGCTTGCAATGCTCGCCGAGTGTCAGTCAGTGTATTTCATACCGGATCCCGGCGAGGCGTAGCTGTATCCGCCTCCCTACACGTCCAACAAGGGAAAGGCTAGGGATTGAAAGGGTTCATATACCGTTCCCCTCTCAAGGGACGGGACATCTCATTTCAGCGCATGTACAATAGCGAAGCAATCAAACGGTTATGGTATATCACCTACACAAAGTCAAAAGTATCACCCCGGTCGCCCACCATTCTGCCCACTCTCTTGCTGCCCACGATGCGTTCAAGTGCTTGCACATCCCATTTGGAGAATGCGCACCGAACCCATACCTCCTTCTTCTCCGCTTCTCCCCTCTCCAATGTCTTGCCGATGAATCCTACCGCCTCTTCGTAGAATCTGGGATTTTCAGGAAGACCGTAGAAGACGACGCGTTTCACGCCGCGCATATTGTAGCGGTGGAAATGGTGTGCGCGGCCGGTGTATAGCAGCACCGAATGTCGGCCGCTCATGAAGTGGGAGCGCGCTTTACGCACGTCTGTGGCATCAGTGTACTCGGAGATGCTGGCGTAGCTGAAGTTGCTCTCTACGAGCGAATTGCGGACGCGCACGAAATCCAGGTAAGACGGTATGAAGACAAGAATTCCCAAACCACCCGGAGCGTCGGGAGGTCTGGAGCTGACCAGCTTCGTGATTTGGGGGAGTATGGCTGAGTTGAAGAAGGCAAAGCGAGCGTCTGGGTCGGAGGGAGGTGTCTGCGACGTGAACCTCGTGAAGGTCTGTCTGATATTGGTATACGGTAAACTCTCGATTATGCCGTCCGCATAATCCGGAGTGTACTTCAATCGTCCAGACACGTTTCTCATGTACTTGTTGTAGAGGGCATTGATCTGAGGGGTAAGATAGGCGGAGAGAACGATGGTTTGCCGCAGATTGGCCGCATGACCATCTAGATACCAAGAACGGACTCTTGAGAAGTCACAGCCATGGGCATCTCTGGGTTGCAGGTTGAGATGGGAGAACACATACTCAATGTGATCCCAGTTTTGCATCTGCGTAGCGTCGGCTTGCTCCATGACGACCATTTCAATGGAGCTAAGGAAGTCGTAGTCTTTCTTCTTCGGATCCCCCGATTCAATGGCACGACGTAAACCGAGCGCCGAACCGAAGATGATATCGGAGTTGTAGAACTTGGAGTATAACTTTAGCGTCTTGCGGGTGAACTTGAGGCCTATGCGAAACTCATTCTCATCGTTGCCCTCGAACAGTTCGCGGAAATCGTCAGGCCGATCGTCGGAGAACTTGTTCTCGGGTGCAGAGAAGCTGTCCATGAAGCGCTTCTTATTCTCCTGCTGCTCAAAATCGCATAGCTCTGTGATGGTGTTGACTGCACGCACGCAGGCTTGCTTCGTTTCCAAAAGGAAAAGGATCTTGGGGCGGGTGAAGCCTTGGTCCCGGTATTCGACGTCCTCGTCCGCGGCCTGAGAGACCTTGGCGTTGTTCTTGATAACTCGGTCCCGAGTTTTGAAGACATGGTTCAAGGCGTGAAGACACGTCACCTGGCGCAAGCGGCCAGCATTCTGAACAGTTCTGCCGCCGAACAGAACATCCTGATAGTTATACAGAGAGGGTGCAATGGCTTGCTCCACGGAGGAAAAGGATCCCACGACAGACTTTGCTTTCGACTGGAGACGAGGCTTCAGGTTGAGATCGGTTGTGCTCGTTACTGCTGGCCTCTTGGGTGGGTTTGCCTCTTCACCTGGTATCTGCACGAGGCATTTTCCTCCATCGGCAACAGTGATACGCTCTGTCGACCATTGGTTTGCTGCCACAGCTTTCAGTCGCTTCGTCAGCTCGTTCTCGTCAGGATCGGCAAAGTGGTGAACGAAAGGATCGCGACGATCTTGGTCCAGGTCGTCTCCCTCGTCCAGTTCTCCAGCTACCTCCTCATCCTCTTCGTCGGCTTGCTTTCTCGCAGCGTCCGACTCCTCGTCTTCCCCTCCTTCTGACATCTCGCCACGCTCATGCGTCGTCTTCAACCGTTTCCGGGGATGTTGGCGTGACCCTTCATGTGAGACGTGATAGGATCGCAAGAGCGTCTGGTAGGCGCTGATGGCAGGCTGAGCATCGTCCTCTTCATCATCTTCCTGCTCCACGTCCTCCACATCGCTGACGTCTCCGTCGGGTCCATCTTGGGACTCGACGTTGGAATCGACGTGACCTTCTGCGGATGCGTCTCGGGCGGGCGTGTCGTGTCGCCTTTTCTGTCTCCCTCGTCCAAACCGGCCAGAACCCCCTGGTCTTCCCCGGAAGCCGCCGCGCGCTCGAATCGGCGCCATCGAAGACTAGATCTGTAGAATGTCACAGGCTTCTATGACGAGAGGGTTGCAAGAGACGCTCACTCACTCGTCGCAGTGGGGACAAAATATAATAAATACTATTATAAGAGGTTGGCCCGTGCGACGGAACGTTGGGAGTTGAGTTTTGGCGAGCGCCCGCACGCCGCCCGCACCCTGCCAAGATTTTGCGCATCAATTCTCGACAATCGACAATCTGATAGAAGAGAATACAACCACGGTGGACGACCACGGACGGCATTCACCCACCCTCGCTCTCCTCTCCCGCCAGAGCCCTCCCTGCGTCCCGAATTGCTCGCTGGTTGTACCCAGGCTCTCGTTCGTTCCCCCCTCTCGCGCCTTGTCCGTTGAGAGCAGAACCCATCCTTCTCCGCCATCACAAACCCCTCCCCCCCGCCATCATGGCCGACAAAGACTCCTTCCTTCACCTGGCTCGCCCGCTGGGGCCCGCTCCGGTTGGCGCACAGCCCTCGACCGCTCCTCTTACCGTGACCATCCAGCCTCAGGTCAGTATCGTCCTTGCTGCGCTTGCTGTGGTGCAACTGTTAGCTGATGTCGTCCCCGCCCACAGGCCATTTTCTCCATCCTCGACCACTCGCTCCGCCGCCCCGCCGACCAGGACCGCGTCATTGGTACCCTCCTCGGTACCCGGAGCGAGGATGGCACAGAGATTGAGATCCGGAACTGCTATGCGGTCCCACACACTGAGACGGCCGAGCAGGTGGAAGTGGATATGGACTACCAGAAGCAGATGCTTGCCCTTCACCTGCGCGCCAACCCCCGCGAGGTCCTTGTCGGCTGGTATGCAACCAGCAGCGAGCTCAACACCTTCTCTGCCCTGATTCAGAACTTTTACGGCCAGCAGGGGGACGGCACATGGCCGCATCCCGCGGTCCACCTCACTGTGAGCACCGTTCCCGGTGAGCCGATAGACAGCAGGACGTACATTTCCGCGCCGGTTGGCGTCACCGCAGAGCGTGCGGCCGACTCGTGTCTTTTCATTCCCGTCCCCCACGAGCTCAAGTATGGCGAGGCGGAGAGGTCGGGCCTGGAGCTCATCTCGTCGGCCAAGGACCGCGAGGACCGCAGCCAGGGCATCATTACCGACCTGGAGTCCTTGGAACGTGCCATCCAGCACGTCCTGGATATGCTGGAACGTGTCACCAAATACGTAAACGATGTTTTGGACGAGGAGGCTGAACCCTCATCAGCCCTGGGCCAGTTCCTGCTCAATGCGCTAAGCCTTGCACCAAAGGTTGATGCGGCCGATATTGAGCGCGACTTGTGTGTTCACTCTCCCCCTATCCGTTTGAGGACCGAGCTTACTTCGACACAGCAACGCGCACATCCAAGACGTTCTTGTTGTCTCCTACCTTTCCAACACCATCCGTACCCAGATCGACCTTTCCAACCGCCTTGCAACCGCCGCCCTAACCCTTGGCTCCAGTGATGCTCTAGCGGAGGGCGGAGCACAGCGCGAAGGCGGAGGAGACAGGCAGAAGGGCGGCGATCGGCGGGGCAAGGGAAGGCAGCAGAGGGCGCAAGAGGCATGAATATCCACATATGGAAGAAAAGATCAAACGGTCACGGTCGGTTAGGGGGGCAACAAATAATGCTATGTTTGGAGTTGGGCGGAGGTTCCTTTGATGATGCATACCAAGTCATTTTCTCCCGACAGATGTGGGTTCGTCTGACAGCGCGTTACTCTTTCGGCGATGACGAGGAAGGGGAAGGGGCCTAAAAATGGGATAGATTATGAATGACGCATCCAAAAAGCCTGCCTAGCACATGCCTAGCACTACTGCCATGGGCATGAGGCGGGCCTTGTATGAATGGCCTGGGTTGGGTTAGCGGAATTCCCCTTTCCAAGACTAAGTCCGGTTCTGCTCAGGACTTGATGGGCGATATGTTCGGAGCGAAGTTAGATACAGCTGTTGCTGCTTGAGTGCAACTGAACATGAACGTATTCTTCCCATTTCTTCATTGAGTGAATGAATCCGACTCCGGTTGCTGGATCGCATGGGTGATTCGCCCGCTTCCCCCATTGACCCGACAAGCCCTCTCATTTCTCCAACCAACGCCTGTGAAGTTAACTATGACCATAACCATGCAGATGCCGGGTATTCTACCTGGAAGCACTCCAAACGCCCAGACTTCCGCCCTGAGATCCCATGAAGAACAGCTCCGCTGCATGTCAAAACGACCTGCTACCTCCCCCTCACACTCCCTGCATCCTCCCTCTCCTTCTCCTTATTCTTCTTCCTCTTCTTCTTCCTGCCCTCGTCCCCCTCCCTCTCCCCCTCTCCCTCCTTCCTCTTTCCCCCAATCCTACTCCGCCCACTCTCACTCCTCGCCTTACTCGCCCCCTTCTTCCTCCTCCCCTCCTCCCCTTCCTCGGCGCCTTCCTCCTCTCTATCCACTCCTTCCTTCTCCGCTCCCTTGGCCGCCCCCGCAACAGCCCCCTCATTCTCATCAAACAGCTTCCGCTGCGTCTTGAGCAGCTTGTCGCGCTCCAGCATCTCGCTCAGCCGTCCGAGTTTGGTCGTGTCGCGGCGGAGCATGAATTTGAAGTCTTCGAGCTTGATTTTGGCGCGGCGGGCGTGGTGCGCGACGGCGGCGGCTTCGTGGCAGGTTTCGATGATGTAGCTGCGTTTGTGTCAGTGGACTGCCAACCAAGGGCTCTGAGAGAGGGAGAGAGAGGAATTGAATAGGGGAAATCGCACTCTGTGATTATCTCGTCGAGGACCTTGACGGTTTCGGGAAGGGGGTTGTCCGAGTCGCCGTAGGCGATGAGAAAGGCTTCCACTAAAGGGAGGTCGTTAGTGAGATGAGAGCTGTAGGCAAGAGGATAACTGCTGACAGTCCTGGGTGGAGAATTGCTGGCCCTTTTGGCGCAACCGCATTCGCGGTTCCGTCATACCGCCGTGGGGTATTTATCCTTCCCGCGGTTGCTCTTTAGGTGGAGAGCTGAGCCCCGCTGCCTGAAATGATACCGTTGCACACTTTGCTGATTCTCAGAGGCTGGCGGTACTCCAGTTTTTACTTCTCCCCCGCCCTCTTCCGCCCGTGGATGTGCTCCGACACACAGAGTCGTCAATCGATCAGCGAACCGGTTGCGAGAGGATGACGGGCAGCCTGGCGTGTGTCATCCAGGCGCAAGAGTCGTTTTCCAGACGCGGTTAATATCCACCTCGCCGCAAGGACGTACCAGAGGCGGAAGAGCAGGTTGGGACAGCTGGAGGGCGAAGGTCAGGGTGAAGGTGGACTGTGGTAGTTCGATTCTCGTCGGGGGTTCAACCGCCCCCGCGCGCGCATGGGGCTTGCGTCGATCCCGGTGCACGGGCCATATATGAGGTCCTTGGGTATTTAGGCGCATTATTCGCACATGCTTTCGACGACGTTAATCCCGACATTGGACAGCGACGACATTACACAGTAGGGGCACCCTGACCGAGAGGGGGAACGCCATTTCGAAAACACAGACCCGCTCAGCACTTCCCACCAAACACTGGCCACAGCCATCATGGTCCGTCCCTCCTCTCCCCCCGCCTGATTGAACACTGACTGACAACGCAACTGCTAAGACCGCCCTCTTCAACTTCCAATCCCTCCTCCTCGTCCTTCTCCTCACCATCTGCACCTCGACCTACTTCCACGCCGTCTTCCCCGGCATCATGGACCGCAACAAGGACAACTACCTCGTCGGGCCCTTCTGGAAGTGCGCTCGTGTGGGGGAGAGGCTGAGTCCCTATGTGAGCATCGCATGTGTGGTCATGGCGGTGGGTTCTCATGGATGCGCGTTTCACCGTGGGGAGAGAAGCAACGCTGACGGGAGACAGGCGATCGAATTCATGGGGTAAACAAGGGAAACTCTGCGGTAGTTGGACATCATGTGTGCATCTCTGGCCATGGTGGCCATGGGCTCAGTTAAAGGAGTTGATCTTCCTGGAAGCCCGAATCCACTGTTGGCATGGAGCATGGCGTTGTGGGGTTATCTAGAAACGACGTCGCTTGTCAGGCATGAAACACCGTTTGAACCCTCTTCCCCAGCATAAAGAAGCAGGATTGGATCACGGTGCAAGAAAAAGTAGCTTTTAGAGATCTAGAGTCTTGATTTAGAAGAATACCCAATCGCGATCATTAATATCTGTATTTACAAAGAGCAGGCATCGAAGCCGGCCGTTTTCGTTTTCGGACATGCCCAGTCTCCAAGTCAGTCCGTCCGCCAGTCTACCACTCCAGAGGTCCCATTTTTGAAATCCATACAAGCGATAATACACTCAGACGTACCCAGCGCCTTTTGAACAACACCAGAAGACGCCCGCAAGAGAAGAGATTCCCGGATATTTCGCGCGAGATGGTCGAACAAGAAAACGAAGCACCACAGCTCGAGGACAAGGAGAAAAGCGTCATGAGACATGAAGCTTCTCGCCATGTCCAGGGTGTAGTCTACCCCTAACAATCCGTGTATACTCCCTAGTACACAAAGAGGAAAACGGAACAGATCTATAACGGACACGGGGCCGGAAAAAAAGAGGGGAGGTTGAAGAGGAAAGGCAGCTCCTTCGTTCCAGAGGGAGACGCGCGACGAGGCCCGCAACAATGCACCTATGCTTTTTGGCTAGGCCCGCCCTTCTCAAAACATCCAGGTAGCACCTTTCGGGAGCCAGCGCGCTCATGGGCCCCTTCCACATCGCTAGCATCTTCGACGACAACATGGTCCTCCATGATGACGTCTGGCTGACTTCGGGCATCGTATCCATCCTCCTCGTCGTCGTCGTCGTGGTCGCTAACCAATCCAGGATTGGAATCGACAGTGTGCGGACTGAGTTCGACCGGGGACAAAGACACGTCACGGCCAGGGCCGGGAAAGGCAACATCCGGCATCGCAGGGAGACGGCTCGGGGCACTACCTTGGCCTTTCCTTCCCGACCAGACGTTCGCAGCTTTGCTGAGAGCGATCCCGCTAGTGCCATTCGGAACGCGGACGAGCGCCTGGGCAGACCTCTCGACCGTGGGTGTGGCCGATACGGAGACATCCTTGTCTTCATCCGAAGGCTCCAACGAACTGAGGTCTACCCTGGTCCGCGCGCTCTCCACGAGACCCTTGAGGTCCCCTTCGAAGCCACGCTTTGCAAGCAAGGAGTTCAGGTAGGGGGTCGAGGATGACTGCGTAAAGTCCACCTTGCGGGTAGGGCGACTCTCCGAAGCCTTGGAACGGGGAGGTGCGTCGAATTCGCGATGCACATCCGGTGCCGACTGCGGAGGATCCGAACGAACCAGAGGATGGACGGAGCCAGGGGCCACGGGGGTCGGAATGGAGGTCGCGGCAGGGGTAGTGGCCACAGTGGACGGCGGTTCGGTAGCGGTCACGGGCTGTCCAGCTTCGTTGACGTCGACGGGGATTCCGCAGGCAATGGCAGCCTGATCGTGACTCTTGAAGACCTGAAGGTGCTTGATGCGGCAGTGGTTGAGGAAGCCCTGCGTGTTGGAGAAGTTGCTGTGACCGCACTCGGCGCAATACAAACGAACCCACTGACCATCCGTGGAGCGCTTGTGCAGAAGAGGGTCGATTTTGGGGGCCGGTGGCGGATTCTCACCAAGGGCCTGAAGCTTCAACGTTCCAGTCGAAGTTCGCGACGTGCGGGCCTTGCCGGTAGCGCAGAAGTCGGCAAAGCTTCCGCGCGTCGTGCGGCCCTCACCGTACCCAAAGGACGCCTGAGACTGCTGAGCAAGCACGTGCTCGGGAATGGGATCAAATCTAGGATCTGAAAGCAACCATTTGGCGTAGTGTCGCGTGTAGGGACCATCGGTAACGCCCCAAGGGGCGGCGAACTGGGGTGTTGTGTAGCCGGTAGGAGGTTGAATGGCAGCGCCTACACCGCGCAAGACGTCCTGGGAGGGGCCTTGGGTACCGGGAAAAGGGATCAGCGAACAGCGTCTCAGCTGCTCGAGGGCAACCTGGCACTTTGCTAGCTCTTGCTCGATGACGCGCAATTCATTGTGCTTGACGAGAATCTCGAGGTTGAACTGCGCCTCGATGGCCTGCCGCACGCTTGAAAGGGACGACTCCATGGTGGTGCCGGTGCTCGTGCTGGTGGTGGGTGTGGGGCCTTGGACTGGCAGAGGTTGAGGCTCAGACGGCGCATCCAGAAGAGGGTTGGAGGTAGCCGCGACGGAAGGCGTAGGTATGGCAGGGTCAGGGTTAGGGTCCACGGTCGGGCCTTCAGCAGCAGCGGCGGCGGCGGCGGCGATTGGGCCCTTCCACTTCTTCCATGCGTGGGCATCGGGGTGCAGCGCGGGTTCGGGGCTGTGGGAGCGCTTCCGCTTCAGCTTGTGGACGAGGTTGGGGATCTCGACGAGCGACACAGGGCGAGGCTTGTGCAGAGCGGCCTTGTCCATGAACTTGTCGGCGGGGGATTCGGTACTCCATGGCAAGCGGAACATGGACTGCATGGTGGAGGAAGTGGAAGTCTAGTGCAGACGGCGAGCATCTGCTGGCGCAACCGACGGGCGCATCCAGAGCGCGAGCAGAGCTATTGCGGGCCAGACAGCAGGTGACGTCGCAGCTGAGCGAGAGTGAGTGGTGAAAGCGAGCGCGACAGCTTTGACAGAGCACGCGTGCAGGCGCTGGGCGCGCAGCGTCGAGACAAGGAGGGAGAAACGGGAGGATTAAAAGGAAGATAAAAAGAGAAACAGACGAAGAGATGATTCAGGAACTGTTGGTGGCAGAAGATTGGCGACAGAAAAGGGTCGCTGAAAGGAGCGAAAGAAGGAAGCAAGGCCGACGTGGGTCCAGTGACGTGTGGCGTGGAAAGGGGATTTGGGGGGGGAGAAGGTTGCGAAGTTGGGCCGGGAGATGGGGGGGGAACCACCAAGATTGATTGCCTTTCTCCTGCGCTGACCGGACTGAGGGGAAGGTGAGGTGGTGGGGCCGGGGAGGAGGAGGAGGAAGAGAAGGAGGATGGTGGCGGTGATGTACAGTGTAGTTGTGGCGGGGAGAGAGAGAGGGGGAGAGGGAGAGAGGGAGAGGATGAGGGTGAGGGTGAAGGTGTTTGTGATTGAGAGGGAAAGGCGCGAAGGAGGATGGGAAAGGTGGACGGGAAAGGAAGGAACCTTGGAAGGGGCAGCCCCCGGCCGGACGCGCTCACCTCACAACACAAGCATGTCTCTTCCTCTGTTCTTGGGGTCAGCCTAACCCGCATTGGGAAAAGGCGTTGCGCACGGCCCGATGACGAGTGGCTGGCATTGGCTGCCCGGCTCGCAAGGACGACTTGGCAGACGTTTCTCGAAGGGATACGGAATGCAGTGCCGCCCAGGGAGAAGACTCCACCATGACATAGCACAGGATGGAGTAGAGTACAGTACTGTGAAATACTGCTAAGTACTCTGTACATACACAGTAGTAACAACAAGTAACAAAAGGAAAAAGCGGAGAAGAGGATCCTCTTGCAAAGGGAACAGCAAAAACAAACCATGGGTCCCTCTGGTATGCCAGGCAGCCAGAGACACAAAGTTACTCCAGGCAGAAGAAGTAATCAAAGATACATCCCGAGTACGCAATCAGGTGATACTGTTACAGGTTGGCTTGCCCACAGCACTACTGTGTATGCCTGGAGGAGTGCTTCAACTGAAATGAAAAAGAAAGAGCAACGAGGTCTGATGAATTCTATAGAATCACGTGATGAGAGATCGTGCAGGCACGCGCCTAGGGCAACAGTAATTGTTGGTGTGGGACTGATGTTGAACCCCAATATGTACAGGTAGTCTACCAGCTGCTTCGTGGACCAATAACTTAATCACCAGAGCGAGAAAACGGATGACTGCAGATCCACGTCCTCTACACTCCTTGTTCAGGTACCCGCGAAGGACCTGGGGAACGTCTTCGACCCTCACAGCTTTGACAGTGCCAGTGCCTTTGCGCTTGCCGGCTCAACTTCAAAGCCACCCCCACGCCCAGGTCAATCAACACGTCCCGGCTTCTTCCGAATCCCCACGCACGACGTAGCTGTCAGTACCCTTCGTACGAGGAACTCTCTTGCAAACCCCCCAAAAGAAAACATGATTTTAACACACTCCTCCGCAACATATTTGCTGACGATTCCAGCCTCAATTCTCAGCGGGACCGTCGTAGCTGCCTGGCACCGTCCGCCTCGCTCAGGTGCTCCAGCTCGTAGATGATCTGCTCGGTCCAAGCTTGCAGCCCTTCAACCTGCCGTCCCATGTTTCCGAACTTGTACCAAGTTACCAGTTGGATTCCGCCCCAAGGAAAAGTAATACCAAACGGTGGTGAGGTCATGGTAATGATGTGTACTGTACTAAGCTCTCGTTGGGGCAATCCAGTTGCTCAAAGCCCTCATTAAGAGGGAGCTTCGACGCAGTACATGCTGAGTCCCGGTCGAGTTGTACTGTTCCGACTGATCCTGACTCCTGATGGCGACAGCTATGCCCCCGCCGTGCCGAGACAGCGCCTGAGCTTTGTTCCGTACCTATTCACCATCATTACCCTGCGACCCAGCAGTCTTGCGGTTTACAGCCCCTGATGGAGCGTCACGGGCTTTCGTCTCGTTGGAGATTAGATGGACGTGAACGCGGCAAGAAACTTTATCAGGGGCTCCCTGTCACCTTTCACTGAACGCGCCAAGCCCGTATACCAACCAGCACACCTACCTGCGCCCTCAGTATCGAGTGCAAAATATTTAGCCGACTTCTTTATCACTTGAAGCGCCCATGGTACAGGTATTACATACCAAGAAGCATCTGCACCGAGAGAGGGGTACACCTACTGTGTAATAGGCAGCATGAAGGCTACCCTAGGTACCCAGCTCCTCATTCATCGACCACGTACAGACAGCATAAGCTCACCCCTCTAAAGTATGCCATTTATCTCTCTTCACCTTTATAACTCGATTTGATTCTTGGTTGCACCTTCAACGTCCGTTCCTTTCATAAAGAGCCACGAGTCTTCGGGCCCCCCTCAGAAATCATGAACCTCGTCTTCAGGCACATCCACAGGTAGAGGCCAGCGTGATCTCAATCATAACACAGTACGTTCGGCCTCAAGCCTTGACACTCTTCGACCTCCGTCGGTGAGCGCCCGCATGGTTCCAATCAGAAGGTTTCTACGCTGTACGACAGGAATGCGACCACTCCTGAACGGATCGCATAACCCACTCGACTTCGGGTTTCCGATGCAGTCATGCCAGTCCCGCCGACAACCACATATTCGTCGGTCGGATATCTGACATGCGCGTCTTGGCCACACGGGTGGCTCCCTCCCGAAACTCGGTTCCATTTCCGCATCGACAACCTGAAACCACATACGCTTTGGACGCGCGGTTCAAGCCCTCCTGCGGCTCGCCTCTGCTACAACTCTTCTAACGAGCGCCGTTTGATACTGGTTTTGTTCGTCCGGCCAACCTCCTCTCAGCACGCATCGACGACCCTGTTGTGCTGTTTCACAGTTCTCGTCGTGCTCATTTGTCGGATCTCTATAAACCATTCGCAGATGGTGCTCATTCTCCCACCCTATTCGTACAATTGCCTACCAGGGCACGGCGCGGATCCCGGCTGTCCTGTCAACCACCGTTTGACATTTTGTGGGACCTCCTCTCGTCGTCATCCTGAACTCTTGGCCTGCTCAGAGACCGCGAACGCCCACCATAGCAACGGGCCCGTCAAACCCCTCCGAGTAGTGCAAACAAAGTCGGTGCGAATTCTGTGCAGATGGCCAAAGCTACATGTGTGCTATATAGCTAGAAACCCTCAGGTCGACTTCAGCCTGTTCTTCACTTCACAAAACAGTTTGTTTCGCTCTTATCCATTCTTTTCGGTGCTGTGCGCTGCTTTTATCCGCCTATTCTAATAATTCTACATCACTACACGCTCATTTAGCCAATTTTCTGTTCTCATAATGAAGACCGTCTATCCTCTTCTTACTATCCTTTGTTCGACCTTTGTAGCATCAGGCCCGGTGCCTATACGCGAATATGCTATCCCTAATGACAGACTCTCTGTACGGACCGAGCACTTGGTGGAGCCACCTCCGGCGCCAATTCCACACACTCCGGTGAATACTGCTCCCACCCCGTCTCCAACGCACGTGGCTCCTCCGGCACACGTAGCTCCTCTGGCACCGCCGGTCCAGGTGGCTCCCCCGCCAGGTACGACCTTCTACCACATTCCAAAATGAAATTGCACTGACGGCTGAGCCAGATGCAGCTGGAGAGCAGCAGAGTGAGTGCTGCTGTCTTTTACATGACGGACGGGAATTGATGTTGTAGCAGGAGCCGCAGAGCACAAGGCAGCCGCTGACAAGGCTGGTATGAAGACACCGATCTGGCTGTCGTGAACATGCTGACACATGTTTCTAGCTGCGGAACACAAAGCAGCCGCTGACGCCATGGAGGCAATGCACGTCGCTAAAGCGGAGGCTGAACAGAAGGCCCATCAAGAGGGTACGTGGCTGGACATGGCTCGGAGAAAAGAAGGCTGATTGGGATAGCGGCCAAGAAGATGGAGGAGGAACACGTAGCCAAAGCTCAAGCTGAGCAGTTGGCGCATCAAGAAGGTATGCAGACACAAGCACCGAATCATGGCCGATTATTGACGGCCCTCAGCGGCCAAGAAAATGGAAGAGATGCATGTTGCCAAAGCCCAAGCCGAGCAGTTGGCTCATCAACAAGGTAAGCCCTTGAGCACACTTCAAAGAGTTGTCATTACTGAAGGCCAGTCTAGCCGCCAAAGAGATGGAGGCAATGCATGTGGCAAAGGCAGAGGCCGAAGCTAAGGCACATCAAGAAGGCAAGCATCTTGACCTTGGCTTATGAGTCGCTCAAGCTCACCCCATCGTAGCCGCCAAACAGATGGAAGCAATGCACGTTGCGAAGGCCGAAGCCGAGGCGGCCGCACACAAAGCTGCAGCGGACGCTAAAGAACTCGCACATCAACAAGCTGCACAGCAGGCCGAAGCAGAGCATCAAGCAAAGGCAGCAGCGGAAGCAAAGGCCCATCAGGAGGCCGCTGCTGTTTTACCGCCACCACCTCCTCCAACACATGCAGCCCAGGGTCCCGTTCCCGAGCACACTGTTGCATCGCCTACGCCCGCTGGGCATGTTTCTCCCCAAGTCGAGACGCCGGTCGTACATGCCGCTGTGAATCTTACGGTTCGTGCACCGATTGAAAAGCATAGCAACGCCTTCCGTGCCGTTTTATGAGTCCGAATCCGCAGCATACACGCATATAACGAGATGCAGATGATGATTTCCAGCGAGAAATCAGCGTTCACTCATACTTTGGAAGCGTACTGTGAAGAAATGACACATTCTGGGGAATCGCGTAGATGGACTGATTGGAAAAGGAGAATAGAAAGCCCCGAGAAAGAGGACGCTAATAGCTAAAAATGTTTACTTAATGTGGCCCGCGGTGGATTCAACGTTTGAGATAGACTGCGCGTGTTGCAACTTCGAACTGCGCCAACCTCAAGTTCGCATCCCTCAATGCCAGATGAGGAGGCCAATGAATGAGGCAATGGTTGCGCTCACGCCTAACATTAGAAGCTCATCAAGTGTCTGGCCCCACAAGCATCCCCCTTTCTTTGTCCTTAGACCCATCGTGAGTGTCACGTGATGAGACTATGTTCATGTGGGGCATGTCGGTGGGATCTGCCTCTGGGAACGCGGTTCCCATAGCTACTTGTCCTCCAGCCTTCCCGAGTCTCCATTCGAACCTTGGTTTCCTTTCTTGCCTCTAGAGGTTACCGTTCCTCTCTTCAGAGTCGACATTCACCATCTGGGCGCCCAGGGGTTAGGAGCATACGGGGCAGGAACAACAGGCCCGCAATGAGTGCCCTCGAATCCAGCATTCATCGCGTTCTGCATATTCTCATCCCGAAACTCAAATCACCCAGCACACAACTCCATCACCCAATAGTTCTCGGTATTACTGGCCTCCAGGGCTCTGGAAAATCCACTTGGGCATCGATCATTGTAGACATATTACAGTCCCAGTACCAATTACGCGCCATCACCCTGTCCCTGGACGATCTGTACAAGGCACACGATGGCTTGGTAGAACAGCGCGAGAAGGATCCAGCCAACAACTTGTTCCGTACACGGGGGCAACCGGGTACGCATGATGAGCAACTCGCATCTCAGTTCTTCAGTTCGCTACGGAACCAAGACGCTGATTCAGAACTGAGGATTCCGAGGTTTGATAAGAGCAAGTTCCATGGAGAAGGCGACCGGCTGCCCGAGGCTGAATGGCCTGTGGTCAAGGGGGCTGTGGATATTCTCGTATTTGAGGGCTGGTGTTTAGGTTTCCAAGCTCTTCCCGAGGACGAAGTGAAACGCAAGTATGAGGCGTCCTTCTCAGGGACAGCACAGAGCCAAGAAGAGCCGGAATCCACAAATACCTTGGCTGATCATGCACTAAGCCATTTGCAAGACGTCAATCAAAATCTGCGGCGGTATAACGAGAGCTTCATGGGGCCTGAACACTTTGACTTCTTGATCCACTTAGATACGGATAACCTGAAGAATGTTTACCACTGGAGGGCCCAACAAGAGGAGGCATTAATAAGGTCAAAGGGCTCCGGTATGTCGTACGAAGCCGTCGCAGCCTTTGTACGAGGATACATGCCCGCATATGAGCTTTATTTAGACGGTCTTCGGAGTGGATTCTTCGCACGCAACACTGGGAGACAGATCAGGGTGGTGTTGGATGGAGAGAGAAATGTGGCGGATCTTGAAGTGATATAAAATGCATTTACTCTCCCATCCTTGCTGCGACTCAACGCTGACGCAAGCATGCACCGACGCATGCGGAGCTTAACATCCTCCCGGCTGTCGCATCATCCGACTCCCGGCCACCAACATTGTGAGGCTCTCAGTCATATATGTGGTCTACAACAGCCCAGTAGGGTCGATAACCTCCAAAGTTCATAGAAGTGACTGCTCGTTGCAGCATATTCACCCTGTTTGCTATACTGTTCACAGCTCTGCGGCCAAGCCGATATGTGCCCGTTAGGAGTAGGACAACTCATCTTCTCAGCAAGTAATGTTCCCATGCGTCGTCAATGTCATACCTTCTATTGCTTTAGGAGCTAGCCCGATCCGTGGACTCCGCCTTCCCATCACAGCCCGCAAGGAGAGTGCAGGTCTCTTGCCACTTATCATCCGTTTCTCTTTCCTTTCGAGATGGCGGCCAACTGTCTGAATGACTATCGTCACTCATTGAGGCAGACCTTACGCCAAATGTTCTAGCCAGTATTACTCACCAAACTTTCATCGTACCCATACCCTTAGTCGACACATTCCTTATCTGTACCAGAGATATATCATCGACTATGCATCGACTTACTTCCTTTATATCCAACCCGTTCCGCCGAAGGCATCTTAGCACGGACGGCTCGGACGATAGGAATCAAAAGGAACAGCCATCACAAGGAAACGATGATCCCTTGGACATCGATGATTTTGGGGTCTTTTCTAAGACTGAAGCACGGGATGCTTCCAACCAATTGGAACAAACGTCGGCGTCTGGCCACGAAGCAGAATCATCCTATCAATTCGAAAAGCGAAGCACGGATACAGATTTGAAGCTGGTAAATCTCACCCATGTCAAAGTGTTCTCTCTCAAAGAGCCGCTCTCTGGGCCGCCTCCGTCTCCGCAACCCAGTGAGCTCGAGCCTGATGCCGAGGAAGAACTGGCTATGTGTCACACCATCAAGCCGGACGATGGACGCCTTTTCCAGGACTCACACTTGCTTCCAGAGGAGCCGCTCCATCCTAAGCCTTCCACGCTGAGCCACTGCGCTCTTATCGACGACGGTTCAGCCATGCCTTCGCATATTGCTCGTCCAAATCCCTCAACGTCGCCTACAATTGCTCGAGCTCTACGTACACGGTATGAAGCCACTGGACGCCAATTCTGGGCCGAAATTCTGGATCAGGATAATGAAAAAACGGTCGATAAACTATACGGTATCCGATGTTCCATAAAAGAACTGTTGGAACCAATTCCTGGGGAGTGGACTCAGTATGATCTCTATCTTCTCGGTATATGTCGCGATCGCGACCTCCCTAAGGAAGAAACCAACTACATCGGTCGGTTGCTGGAAAGCAGTTCTGCGGTTAAGAAGCTCCACCATGAACTTCTCAGAGTACTTCACGCCGCCAAGCCACCTCGACTTCTGAGGAAGGTCGATCTCTGTTGCCGTTGGGATTCCTTTGGCGATTCTGGAAAGATGTATGCGCCCCAACGCCCTAGTCCTCTTCGAAAGGAATTAGAACCTCCACCGGGGTTCCCAAAGGATGTCAGGACTCTCCACTGCAACCGACGTTCATTGCAGAACGTGGCCTCCGCAACTAGCCACGACGAACCACATAATAAAACAACCGCTTCTTCTGCACGTTGGAGCCGCTGTGGTGTTCAGTTAGTTGTGGGAGTTTTGGATGCGGAAGCTCTGGCCGACATATTTGATACAGGTAGCGTGGGACGATTAGAACAACTCACCAGAGATAAGGGTAGCTATTCCTTAGCTTGAGGTTATGTGTGGTGATTGGAGGCGGAGGTTGTATATGATCTGTCCAAGTGCACCTGATCGGCGCATGTCTGAGCGCGTCCGTCGAGGGCGAGTGCCTTCGTTTCCATGGTCTGTCGCATGTCACACTCTTTTTCTGTCCTAACAGAAGTCAGTTTAGGACGTTCAATACACGTATTTAGATTGATTCAGGGCTTTGCTCTTCGAGCAGCTTGCTAATGCACTGGTAAGATAAGTTGTGATATCATTCATTGGATCTACGACTCCTCACGCAGCCAACTAGATGGCGTCAAAGGTGCTGCGAGCTATACAATAGAGATCTATGATGGCTATGTTAAAAAGAGCTGAAACGAGGAGCAATCTCTATTACTATTTCGAAACAGTCGCGTAAAAGACGACACTCGACGCGTTCGCGGCCTACATGCCCCCTACCCACTTGCGAGGGGCATTGTTCTGTTTTCGACTGGGGATATTCTCGTCTCCTGGCGGAAGTATGGCGTAACCCTTCCACAAGATCGGGTCTTGACCGCCATTGGTATCTCTAATGAGCTGGTCCACTTCCACACTAGACATTTGACACATGGTCGCGCACAGCCGACTGAAGAACTCAACTCGCTGGCTGAGTTTTCTCTTCTCCGTGAGGTCGAGGAAGATGTAGCATTGAATCCCCCCTTGCCGCATAGGGAAGTTCAGCTTGGTCAGCTGGTGGCGAATGTGCTCTTGCTCCGGCTTTTCTAGCCAGTCGGCCAGAGGCACGAGCAACCCAAGGCTCTTCTTCATGAAATCAATGGAGATTTTAGCCCAAGTAGTGAAGTAGCCCCTGGGCGTTTGCACATACATCAGCTTTTCCGATGGGGCCAGCAGGAAATAGTCGAAGTAGATCTCTTTTCGCCCAGGCATATGCGTTTCGCCAAGGATCTCTTCTACCCGCCTACTTACCGTCACGTTTGCGGCGCCGGCATTTTTCGGGGACTCACGGACGCTTCTGCTCGTTTTGGAGCGTTTTTGTGCAGGTACACTCACCGTCCGCCTCGCATTAGGGAACTTGATAAGTCGAAGAGCGTCCTCGTACGAGATCTGCTTGTAATCCTCCCGATAATCCTTCTCACAGTTACTTAGCACCGGTTCCCCGTTTTCGCCAAATGCCGACGAGTAGCGGAACACAGGTGACTTCTTCCTATTCGGAAACTCCATTCGCGTTAGCGTACCGAACTCTTGACCTACGTGCAGCAAGAACGCGGTAGGATGGGCCGTTACGTCGACCACGATAATCGAGTCATTCAGAATCAGCGCCGCCAGGGCATGGTACGGTTCCTTAGCTCTCCATGCCTTACCCGTTTCGTCACTTTTACGATACGCGCCTAGGAGCTGTACTATGCTGGCGAAGTGAGCGAGCTCGGGAATCTCGAGAAGTTTACGACGGAGCTCACGATGGGAGGCGTAAGCGTGATCGACACAGGTACCATATGGTAGCGGTGTGGTCCACAACTGCTCGTATTCAGCAAATTGTCCAGCCTCGTCTGTGGCGCGCAGGGAGGAAACGGATTTCCAGGCGTGATAGCTACTCCATTTTGTGGTTCTTGATAGATCGAGGGCGACTTCGTTGGCTATGCTGAGGAGTTTGTTTTTGGTCTCTGTTGATTGAATTTGGAGGCCGAGTGTCAGTAGGAATGGACGTGGAATCTTGATCTTGAGGATGAGGCGCTTTCCTTTATTAGGTTGATTCGTACACTCGGAGCCGGTCCGTTTCCTTTTCAGCGGAGATGGAGCCATGATTTTCGAGGGTTGCACTGTTGGGTATTAGGAAACGCGGTTGAGTTGGGCTATCCGCTGTCGACCTCGAAATGCCGTCAACTCCTAGACGTTACCATTTAAGAGCCTCGAACTGGATGGGGGATGGAATTGCATTGTTGATTGCCTTTGTGTCCTTTGAAACAAGACAAGTTTATTGTTAAGGGACATGAGCTCATCATTTGTGTCTATACACACGCCCGGACATTGTCCAGGATGTGGAGAAAGAGAGGATTCCATTTATTCATACTACAAACAAAGACATTGTTCTTTCAAACGTTTAAAAACGGGACTGTCGACTCGCACACTCGCCTCACCAGCCACATTCTGTCGTTCAGAGGTGCTTTGAACTCCCCACCCACTACTCCCACACGAAATGCGCTATTAGGGGCGAGACCAAAAACCAGGCATCTTCTGGTTCATGGGTACAACCATCTGCCCTATGTCCTTCTCCCATCTCTTGCAGTAGAAGATAACGTTGTCTCTGCCAGGTCCCATCCTGAACACTTGAAGCTCACCGTTGTCGTGTAAAAGTACATCTGGTTTCCGTTGAGGAGAAGGACGAAACCCTGGGAACCAGACGAAAACCCGTAAATCCCACGGCTTGATTAGCAGATTTTTTTTCGGCTTTATTCCACAAATATTGACCTCTATGTGTCGCTCCAGCGTCTTACAGATATGATATGGTTTGTGGGCCTTGAAGCGAAACAGTGTAGCCGGCGATGGGCGCACCAGCAAATAGAAGCGGATCTAGGTCGCGGTATTCTGACCGCCATGATGCACAAGGGCGGTTGATGACGAGCAACTCGTTGTCAATAAATGCCTCATTGCTGGCGCTCTTCTTACGACTTCGATACACTTCACTTCACTTGTACCACCTAGTGGATTGTTAAGAATCTGACACTAACAGTACTTCTCTCTTGGGGCACCACGTAAGCCCATTGTGTTCCCGTTGTGTTCTGTCTCCTCTGGTAAGTCGAGGTAGTTAAATGTGTCGAGAGCGTGCGGTGATCGCTTTTGATGATTAACTTTGTAAGCCTAGTTCTTCCTACCTAGGTATGACACTTTCACACCGGCACCTCTAGTCCGAGTGCGCGAGATTGTAGCAGCTTTGCTTGCAGTCATTTTAACAAGCACCTTCCAAATATCCAGCTACCGAACCCGCTTGTTTTCGAAACACAGAGAGAGTTATCCTGTAGAAGAATCCTGTGTGGTCCGTTTGACAACACACTCACCCGCGACCCAATGGTGTCAATACTACCGGTATATCTACATATTTTGGTCTCCATATCAGCTGAAGCAATTAATTTTCACGGCACTAGTACACAACACTAATCCAGTCGCTCGGTTCTCAAAACCAGACACTATATGTAGCATTCTCCTTGCGGTATCAATGCCCTTAAATGGCATGCAAACCATCTATTTATTACTCAAAGGCCAGGAGAGAAGCAATCAAGCCTGTCCTACTAAGCAACGATGATGCGGCAGGCATGTCTATACAGTGCATCTGGAACGAAGTACACTCCATGCAGCTCAAACGTCTCGTGACCATGTCTGAGCCTTAATGTCGATGTACATACCCGCTGCTCCATACTCGCCAACTTCCACCATGTCTATATATGTATCGAAAAAAAAAATCAGAGGAAGTCCACACCCCATGCCTCCGTCATTCAAGTCCAGGTAAAGCGAACAGCACAACCCCCCAAAGAAACGCCGAGTCATGGTTATGCAACGCCGTTCCAACCACCGTGTCTACTGTCTATCCCTAGCAAAAGCAAGAGTCACACATTCGCCTTTCTAAGTCGTATCCATCGGCTCTCCGCCACCCCCAGCAGTGGCCTCCTCCCTAGCCCTCCTTTCCGCCACCTTCTCAGCCAGTCTCTGTGCCTTCCACTCTTGGATCCTCGCCCTCAATTCCGGAAGGGGAATCACATCCTCAATCTTCAACGGCATGCGATTAAACGGATCATGTGCATCACTAAGCAAGTGACTCTGAATCGTACTTCTATCCAGGATCGCCCTACTCGCAGGCAACTGCACGGGGTCTTCCATCAGGGTCGCCAGCAGGGGATCCGTGAACTCATCTGGCAGCTCTCCTAAGTCCGCTTCTTCCATTTCCGCCGCTTCCTTGGCGGCTTCGATGCGTTTGCCTAGGTCTTCCCAGTCACGCAGCTGTTCGGGAGATTTGAGCACGTATTTGCGCATGATACTCATTGCTGTGGTGAAGTTTTCCGGCTTGTATGACCGACCATCCGTGGCAACTGCTTGGATGAAGGAGTCCTTCTCTTTGAGATTGAGGAAGACGTCGGTAATTTCCGCGAGCATCTGCTTTGGGTTGAAATTGTATGTTTCGGGATTCTCCACCGCGAGTTGCTTTCGCTTGGGACCGACCAACGCATCCAGATTGTAGTCAAGCATGTGCGCTAACCGCACGACGACTTCCGCCTTGGTGAAAGAGTCGCTGAGGGCTTCGGTAAATAGTTTCAACATTGCCACCGTTTCGTTGGTCAGTTGCATGTAACTCTTCGCCCTATCCTGGGCTGCTGATAGTTTCTCTTCGTGCTCTTGTCGTGCCTCTGTAGTCATGTCCGATGGCGGATTCTTGAGCAGCTTCGATAAGTCATGGATCTGGGTGAAGGCCGTGAATGACTCGTCTAGAACAAATGTCACATCGTTAAGCAGCATATTGACGAATTGAACGAAGAAGTTTAGGTTCACCCTGCCAAAAATCAGTTTACCATTTCGAAAATCGCAGGCCCGCACGAGATATACATACCGAGCCTCAGTAGCCAAGTTGCCTCTATAAACCGGGTTCGGCCAGACGCACTTAATGACTTGGAAAATTTCCCACCGTATGTTGAACTTGTCGAAGAACTGGGTATGGGCACCCGTAGTCTCGCATTCTATGTAGAACTTCATCAAAGCATGCAGCAGATGCTTCGTTGCGAATTCATGCGCAAACAGGACATCGCCGAGAATGCCCTTTGATCGATGAGCAATAGGGAATACTCCATGGCAAAGGATGGTGACAAGCCCAGATTTCAGGTAAGGGTTCTTGATATATTCGGTGCTGCGCAGGAAAGTGATGCATATCTGGACCAGCTCTTCGCTCTGTGTGGAAGTGATGATATGCGGCATCCGCCGGGTGATGAACTTGAAGTTGTCGACAATGTCTTCCAGGAAATACTCCGGTAAGCACTGAAACGTTAGTGGCTGTTCTTTTGGTAGGGGCAGTTCGAGCTTCTTTTGCGGGTAAGTCCCGCCAGAGACAAGCCTGAGCAGCCATACTATAACATAGCGCATGAACTGCATGGAACGCGCCTGTGTAAGCTCATCCAGCAATACGCCTTCTGTTGCCATGATGGTAGACTGGATCCTGTCGATTCGGTCTTTCATTTTCTTGAGTGCGTTGTCGAAAAGGGTTAGCTGCGCAGGATTACTCATGTACTTGTGGCGCTCTGTTTCGAATTGTTCCAACTGTTTCCGCTGCCACTTCAAAGACTTGCCCAGGTTGATGATGTTCGAGTTCGCAGCCTCCAAGCCGTAATGATGAGCAGCCACCGTAAGGAAAAACACCTCCGTGATGAAGTTATTAGTGCCTTCAACCGATTTCTCGTAGAATTCATCTGAAGCCCTTTGGTCTGCGTTGATCTTGGTTTCATCATCGATCGTCACGCGAGGTTTGCGGTGGAAATAATTAATGTCGATTCGGTCGATCTTGGAGAAGGTAGCATCCATGAACGGCTCACATAGCCGGTCGAGTGTAACCGACACGTTCACCATAAACCCGTCGGAGGATACCGTCTTCGGATCAACCTGGATAGCCCTCTTCTTGTGATTCAGATTGACCGTAAGCGCGAACCAATCGAGGATCTTCTCCCGTGAATCCTTGGACAGTTTGACGAAGCAATTAGCTATATCAAAGAGCTCATCCTGGTGAGTCTGGAGACTCATACGCAGGGCCTTCTGCGAGTTCGCGATGTATCCGGGATCGCGTGTCCCAGGACTAGAGAAATAGTTTTGAGCAACCTCCACTTGCATCGGCGACAAGCGGAAAAAGGGTCCGAGGAGAGTCATAGTCTCAATATGCTGAGCCTGTACCGGCGGAAGAAACATTGGCGATTCGATCATGGCGTTCAGCAAGGCTGGATACCGCGCGAAGTTCCGCATGGCAAGGACATAGGGCTTGTAGTCGTCGTTCATGGTGATCATCGCGAGCTGACGGCTCAGCTGCTCTATAGCGCTTACCAACGCCGCCTTGACGTCATCTCCATTCTCGGGATCTGAAAACCGAGATACGGCTTCATTGAGGAAGTCCTGGCAAAGTCCGCGATCGCTGTTGGGGTCGGCCAGGAGGTACTCAGCCAGAGGAATCGGGGCAGCTGCAACGTCCTCCTCGCCAAACATATCCGGAATGGTAGCGGCGAATATGCAGTAATTGAAGCACAGCCGCCTCGCTTCCCGAATGACGGCATATCTGGCATCTTCCTTATTATGCAGACCTCGGAAGAGTCCCGAAACGCGCTTCCAGCACGCGAGCAAGTATTCCAGGGGCTTCCCCAACTTCCTACTTGAGGCTGCCTCTAATATCGCCTGATCCAGGATCTCAGTAGTAAGACGCAATTGTTTATTCTCTTCTTCCAAATCACGCTTCACGCTTTCCGCGAAGTACAGCTTATGTCCGTATGCATCGCGAGTGTTATTCCCATCAAGCGTTACCCGGAATATGCTCCTGAGGGTCTGATCCGTCCAAACTTCGATATTGAATTCCTGACCCTTTGGCGTTGCACTCCTAGGCGTGGCGGAGGGAGTTCGCGGCCGGATATTGATCTTCGGTGACGGCTTATTCTCCGAGAGACCGAGCTGCGAGAATGGATTCTGCGTCGAGGCGGCCGCAGGCGGAGGCTGAGCGGGCGCAGCGGCGGGAGGCGGCGTCAAGGAAACCGAGGCTTCTTCTACTGGAGTTGATGTATCCTTGGTGGAGGGTGCTGGTGGTGGTGTGGCCGTGGACGATGGACCGCTGCCACTTCCACCGCTGCCGCCTAGTTTTGCCAGACGTTTGGCGCGGATCTATGCATTACAGTAAGCCTTTTGAACTGGAGAAAGGAACAGAGGCGTGCCTTATCAGCATCCGACTGGGCATCAGGCTGGGGCTGCTCTTGGGGTTGCTCCTGCGGCAGCTCCTCTGGAGGCTCCTGGTCGGCCATATTGAGTTCGCCGCAGGCTTGCCGCAGTCTGCTCGCACAACGCGAATCTGTAGCGGGTACTGTGTAGGCTGTACTGCCGCGCGTGTTCCGGGGACGGAGGTCGGTGAGGCGGGACGTGGAGAGCTTCAAACGAGGGTGGAGTGTAGGGATTAATAATGGGCGAGGTGGACGAGCTTCTCTTGAGTTCCGTCCGGGGAAGCTCTCACTGTCTGGCGTCACTTTAACGGGACGGTGTCGGAGTTCTAGCGGGGTTGCCAAGCAAACAGGGGTTCACTTTCCTCCACCTGGCACGGGCATACCGGACATTCACCACACGTGACATTCCTCTTCCCCGTCCCGTCTCCCCTAGCGGGAAAGTGTGAAACAACGCAGCTCGAGTCCCATCTATCGGATAATTGCTGCTTCCAGCCATTGCTGCTACTCTTCATCTTGCTAGGTCTTCTTGATTGATTTGTACTTAGCTTTTCTCTCGTTTTCGAACCGATGTGTTGCAAGGCCGGATTGACTTATTCAATATAAGTATTGCATCCTAAATATCTCGACCGTTCCCTCGGCTGCCATGCTCGGTCCACCTTCGCTATGGACAGCAAATCTATTGATATCGACGCTGCCCGCTGCAGTAAATGCCTTCTATCCATACCACCCCGAGTATGAACGTTCCAGCAATGAAGCCCTGTCGCCATCACATAGCCCGCATTCGCGACGACAAGGAGCAGCATCTTCACATAACCTTCCCTCTCCCGTCCTCCCTATACGCCGCGTCCCCGTACCCAGAGACAACATCTTCAATATCCTGAAGTCGGAAGACCCGAAGCAGGGGAACAGCGTAGCCATCGACCAAGATGGCACCGACGTGTCCTACATGGTCGCCGTGACGTTTGGAGACAGCAAGAAAGAGTACCACCTCCTCCTCGATTCAGCCGCAAGCAATACCTGGGTCATGGCAAGGGACTGTCCCACGGAAGCGTGTAAATCACACAGCCTCTTTGGAAAGGAAGACTCGAGCTCCCTAAAAGTGACTCTGCCTAAGCACTCCACTCGATGGTGCATTCCTACTAACACTTGTCTCCCACTAGGTCCAGGCCACCCCCTTCCACGTCACCTATGGCACCGGCAGCGTCTCCGGCGTCGTTGCCACAGACACCGTCTACGTCGGCCCGCTCTCCGCGCCCCTAACCCTTGGCCTCGCAAACAACGTGTCCCAAGAATTCTCGTCATACCCCATGGACGGCATCCTCGGAATAGGCCGCGGGTCGAAGGCCGAAGGCTCCATCGATGCACCCTCGGTCGTGGAGATTTTGAAGTCTTCCGCCCTCATACCGAACACGATCTACGGGGTACACTTGAACCGCGCTTCTGACGGTGCAAAGGACGGAGAGCTCAATCTGGGTGGCCCAAACCCGGAGCGCTACGATGGAGACCTGAATTACCTTCCCCTTGTCCCCAATCCCGATGGCTTCTGGGAGATACCCGTCTCCGCCGTCGGCGCCGGGGACACCGACTCCGATATCCGCGGCGACAGGACCGCCATCATCGACACGGGCACGTCATTCATATACATGCCCGGCCCAGATGCAGACGCTGTTCACCGTCCCATTGTCCGGTCTAGGAAGAGCGGGGAGACGTATGCGGTTCCCTGTGACACGAAAACTCTGGTGTGGCTGCAGTTTGGAGGGCAGTATTATAACATCTCCACTGTGGATTATATCGGCAGAGATGTCGGTGATGGGTATTGCCAGAGTCTGATCGTGGGGCGGCAGACTTTCGGGGAGAAGCAGTGGCTTGTTGGGGACGTGTTTTTGAAGAATGTATATACCGTGTTTGATAACGAGGGGGGAAGGATAGGGTTTGGGGTCAAGAGGACGCATCAGGAGGGAGATGGGGATTCATCGAATGCGCCAAAACCTTCGTCCTCGGCGAATCCGAACGCGTCCACGGGGTCGTTTGCGCCTTCGAACACGGCCGTTCCGGAGGGGAGTCCCTCAGCAGGTGCTCAAAGGGGACCAGCGGGATCGCCGTCCCCTACCGGCGGAGCTGCGAAAACACCTGTTTCTTTGGGAAGCTTAACGGTGTCGTTCGTGATTGGTTTGGTTGCGATGCACCTATATTGATTTAGGTAATTGTAAGATGTAGCATAGCATAACATAGCATAGCATAGCATGGCCTCTGTGTGCGGCTCTCCTCGTACACCCTCATGTTGCACGCTTTTATTTTCAGGACTGCAATGACGTCTCTAGCCTCTTTTGCAGGTGGCAACAATCGAATATCCTACTCAAGATATCCCACGAAAACCCAAAATCGGTCATCAGCACACAGCTCTCATTCCAAGGGTCCAAGGAAGCACTTGTGCGTACTCAGTCCCTTATTCGCACGTCACATCATCATGTATGCAAGCATGGGGAGAAACGGCAACCACATAGAACCACACTCACTCACTCACCACCAATCCATCCGCGGGAGTAGCCTACCAAGGGGCTCATACAGTACCATGATATTCGATATCCACGCCTTTAATCTTTCCATCCTTCTTCCCCACGGCTACCGGTGCACCGGGAGGCAGGATAAACGCCGAGCAAACGACGACTCCCATTACCCATTAATTGTTGCTCTCCTCTCAAGGACTGAGTAAAATAAACTGAATAAATAATGAATACGGAATCCCGCATGGCAGTAGTGGACTAGTAGCATAATGAACTCAATCTTGGGTGTAAAACTCTCTGACGCACACTCCCACGCTGCCTCCTTCGCGCCCTCCTACCTTTCCATCCATCCATCCCACACAACGGAAAATCCCGAGATTCAACGCCTTCAAGAGTCGCCGTGTAGAGCAAGCAAAGTAAAACCGGGGGTGAGTTGATCGATTAGCCTGCCAACCAAAACCCCACACTACTACATCCAAAAATGGTACCGTACCGCTTGAACATGGATAGCAAAACCCGCCAAGTCGGAGCAAGAGGACAGGACATGCTGGCTACCACAGAACATTGTCAATCCCTAGAGTGAAACCATCGCTCGGCAGGTTGTGGCGGACCAAACACGACAAGGAAGCAGACCGACACATCCGATCTACAAGATCCTGCACTTCTTCTTGCTCTTGGTCGTTCGCGTGAGGAGTGCGGCGCGCGTGGCATGCTCAAACACCTCCCGCACGCCCTCGTTCGTCTTGGCCGAGCACTCGAGGTATTTCTGGGCACCGATCTTCTTGCGGACTTCCTCGGCCTGGGGTTTTGTATCAGCCTCGTATGTCATTACAAATCACAAGTCGTGGGTGCACTGACCTGTTCAGGAGTCACGGGCTTCTGCGAGGTCTTCTGCAGTTCCTCAATGGTCTTGGGGTCGTAGCGGAGATCCTTCTTGCAGCCGACGAGGATGATGGGAAGGCCCTGGCAGAAGTGCAGGACTTCGGAGATCCACTACAAAAGCCAAAACGTTAGCCGGTCGTTGGCGGCAAGGGTGGTGGGGTTGCGGAGTCTGATGACGAACCTTCTCCTGAACGTTGTCCAGCGAGTCGGGCGAGTCGATGGCAAAGCAGATCAAGATGACGTGGGAGTCAGGGTAGGAAAGTGGCCGGAGACGGTCGTAGTCTTCCTGGCCGGCGGTATCCCAGAGGGCGAGTTCGACGTGTTTACCATCAACCTCGACATCGGCGACGTAGTTTTCAAAGACGGTAGGGACGTAGACCTGCAGAAATAGCCATGTCAGCAAGAGGATCAAAGAAGTCGATGAGCGACGGCGAGCGGGAGGGGTGCGGAGATGGGCAGGCTGATGCATGGCCATGGGTACAGGATCCGGTGGAGGATCAGGGGACTGACCTCAGGGAAGGTGCCCTTGGAGAAGACACTGCACACACAACGTTAGCAGACGAGCGGAGTGACGGGCGGCGAGCCAGGAAAGCCTCAATCTGAAGCGGAGGGCGGTACTCACATGAGCAGACAGGTCTTTCCACAGGCGCCGTCGCCGACAATGACGAGCTTGCGACGGATCTCCGCCATGGCAGTGGAATCAGGGAGAGACGGGGAAAGGGGGTGTGGGAGTGAGTCGAACGAGGCCTGCGAGCGGCTGGAATGACGAGGGCGCAGAGAGCGAGTAGATGAGTTTTGTAAGGTTGGTGGGTTGTGGGTGTTGAAGCTTGGAGGGTTGTTGGGGGGGGTTGAGGTTGTGCGTGTGCAGGTGGTAACAGGAGGAGCAACTTGTTGCACCCCCAAGCGCAGGCTGCAAAGACCTGGAGCGGGCCCAGCGTGCCAAGCACAAGTGTGGCTGAGCGTCCTCCCTGCAATCTGATTGGCGGTGAATGCGTGGCTGGTGCGGCTGTGATTCCTCCCGTACACCGCCCGGATCACAGTAGAGTCTATCTATGTATTCCTGCCATCAGCTCTCTATGTATTGAATGATATTGTGTAGTTCATTAGGCATCACTGCAGGAACTGATTCCACGGGTTATCTGGGAACGAAATCCTCAAACTCGTCACAAGCGTGCAGTGCGGCTGAAGTGGGAGTGCTGCTGTTACCGTGGGGAGCCAGCCCTGCCCAGGTGAAGGGAGGTGATCAGATTGATGAGACAGGCAAGCGGGAAAGATGTGCTGGTCCCTAGGAATGCCCATTGCGCAGATATGCACTGCAGCTCTTCACGGATTGCATGCCTCTTGGAAGGGTATGGATTACTCCCTATTGTGTATATCCTATGCTCCACTATGCACATGGTCCCTCGACTTGGCTACTTGGGACCCCTATTATGTACTTTACAGAGGACCTTTGTGCCACCTCCTCCTCCCTCTCCTTTTTGGATCTTGGGAATAATGAGCGCTATCTCCGCGACCGTCCGCTTCCCCTCCCCCACCGCTATGTACTATGTACTTCGTAACTGTGTAATCACAGTAGCACCAACGCCACCGTCTCACGTTTGGCGTTTGGCGTGTTGCTGGTTGGCTTCGCAATCCACAGTCACAAACAACAACAAGAAGTCGTCGTCAGCAGCAATGCATGACGACCTCAGTGTAACTGTGGCGCACCGATGACTCAGCACGCCTAGAGCTGCCCATTGTGGCACAGTCGCCCTTTGTTCCCCGGCCAGCCCTGGAGACGGAGGTCGCAGTTCTGCTAAGGACCGGGTAATGATATAGTACAGCACACCCGACGGCTTGTCTGCGAAACCCTCCAACCTTGGAACGACACCTGCCCCATTATTCGTCGCCTATAAGATGCTCTCTCCTTCAACGGCTCAAACTCAGCAGACTCTCCACATACTTCCTCGGGTCAATGCCAATCCCCTCTGCCAAACCACCAGGACGCCATCCCGCTGCAGCTCTGCCCATTTTCTCAGTCGTAGAGGGTCGACCAAGACGCCAGAGCCCACTACTGCCTGAAGTCTTACTGGAGGAAGTAGTCGCATCATTTGACCGCCGTACGAGGAATGCCTCGCGCAGCTCTTCAACCGTGAAACCAGCTTCCGTCTCGCCCTGTGCTTGCACATCCGTCAGCCTGTCCATGGCCGACGGTGCCAGCCTCAGCCAGACGACCCACCACCCACGGCTAGTCTTGCACGTCCGTTCTATCTCCGAGAACGTGCGCCGTGTGCCACCCACTGTAGCCAGAATCTGAGAGTGCACATTGAGCGCCTCTGCACGGCTCCACCCTACCACGCCACCAGGACCGCTGAACCCTTCCGCGAATAGAGTGCCTGGTTCGGGAATGTTAGGTAAACTGGAATGCACCGTCAGCGTGCGAGGATCGAAAACAACATTGTATATTGGTTGTGGGTTCTCTCCGGAGCCTGCCGCCGTTGAAACCGTTGTAAAGGGGTTGAAGGCCGCCGAGAGACGTGCGCCAACCTTGTCTGGTGATGTACTGTTGCTCAAAGGTCGATGTAGCGGTGAGAAATACTGGTGTAGATTGCGGTAGAAGGTGCTCAGGGTGAGCGACTCCGTCTGTGGACGGAACAAGAATGTGTAGATGAATGGACGGTGCTAAAATCTTCTCATCAGCAAGCAGTCATCACTCCCGGACTCTTAAAACGTACCGCATATACCACCGCACGCAGCCGAGATAATCTCGGCCCGGCGGGTGCAGCTGGTGTCAGTTCCTTATCGACAATAGGGGTCCCGCCATCACCATCAGGCGTTGACGGCAAGGCGTCCACGAGCTCAACATTCACCGTCCGAAGCATGACACGCTCGTCTGCTTCGCTGTCCTCATCCACCCCTTCCTCCTCCACGTCCCCTTTCAATCCAATGACATAGTATCCGGTGTTTTCTTGCCAAATCTGCTGCTTTAGCCTCTCTTGCACCCAGTCAACGTCAGGCTTCGGTTCGACATAGCGCATCGTCTTATCTGATTTTGGTACCGGATCATGCTTAGCAGGATACGCAGAAGCAGGTGGCTGCTCGCCAATGTGCGGCCCCTTTCCACCCCACGCCGTCCCATAGCCTAGAGTCAGATACTTCATCCAACCTTCTGTATCGGCGGGTGATGATGTGGCTGCTGGTGTATCTTGCTCGCTACCCTGAGACGGGTCAATAGCCTTCGTGGCCTTGTTCAAAGATGTTTCTACAGCCTTAATGATAGGCGGAGGAATGCCAAGAGGCAGAGTCGTTTCGCCGGGAGATGTGGCAGGGCCGGGAGAGTGCGCGCCCCTCGACTCGGAACGAGAGACCTCAGCGGCGGGCAATGTGTCCGGTTTCCTCCTCCGCCGTTTTCTTCTGTCAGCAGTGGGTCTTTCTTTGACTCCGTACGCTTGCTCTCCATAGGTGTAGATGTCTTCCATCCAATGTGACACGTCTCGTAAGGATCTCCGACTCAGCGCCCGAATTCCCGAAAACACCACACCATCGCCAGCATTCACATACTTCCCACCTCCGAGCCATGGCTCTAGCTCAGTGACGTCCAGCTCCTCTGTTCTCTTATTTTCTCTCCCATTCTGACTCTGCTCAAGTGATGGTTCACCGAAACGTGAGACAATGATGTCAACCAGGCCTTCTGTCCTCCGAGCAAAGTCTTCAAGAACCTCACGCTCCCCACTCCCCCAATCTTCTTCTCCAACGCCCACACCCAACTCTCCTCCAGCGGCAAGCTTTAAGCCACGGAATATGTCTACTGCCGGACTGCCATGTAACAGGACATCCCAGAAACCTGCGAACTTCGCCCAGTATCTTTCCAATGCGCTGCAGAACTTTGTGCGGCCGAGCTTGTCAAATATGCTCTGGAGGCTTTCGCCGTGGTGCAAAAGGAAGATAGAGTGTGCCCGGATGAGTTGTTGGAGGAGTAGCGCAGGAGGACTGACCTCACGCGAAGAATACTCAATCGCGTAATTTGAGGATTTTACGCTCCCGTCATCGGTTTTCAAGTCGTGAGTTGCAGGTGCCGGAAGTTGTGTGAGGTCAATTGACTGTATCGATTCAGTATGGTCGACCTTCATTAGTTGAAGCAAAACTTACAGCCAGAATCCACCATCCAGACTCTAACTCATGGAGAACGATCCGCGACTTCTCAGTCTCGACAGAATTGACGGCATCACCATGAGAGAAGCTCCTACATGGCTGATCAGTGTAATGATCTTGAAGCTCGACAGTCAGCTTTCATACCGGGCAAAGCCAACCATGCCCTGCGCTAGCCCAACCTGCCGGAGCTTCTCGTTTAGTTCCTCCCGGAGGTCCTCCGCATTCCGAGGGTTCTGCACTTCAACCTTCCCTCGTACCTTCGTTGTACGGGAATAATAGAAAACGATCTGGTCCTGGATGGTCTCGTCGGTAGCCCCGAGAGACGGATTGTATATTGCGAGGAAGGATAGCTTCGCGGGTATGACCCTGGGGGCCGTGGACGACGACATCGGTAGACGTCAACTGCCCCGAACCTACATTGGGGGTCCTTATTCGAATGGTCGACTGCGCAATTGACTGCGGAGGACGCTTCCGGAGTTTGCGCGGCTTTGAATTATCCTGCGCTCCAAAGAAGAGTGGAGAGAGAGCAACATGTCTGGGTGGGAGCTGTTTTGCGGCGCGTGTGGGCATGGTGCGATCGCGCATAGGCTGATCGCTGGACATCATCTATCCGCCAAGCCGACATGGACGGATGCGGCATAGACAGGTACGGTTGGTACCGTTCCAAAGTTTGGTGGGCTACTCAATCTAAATTATCACAACAACATCTCTCTGCCTCTCTTCCCTCCTGTGCTGTATTCCCCTGCAGCAACTGCACACTATGATTCTGAGGTTGCCAACAGCTCCCTCCGTCCGCTCCTTACCGGTGCGTCCGGGTCAGCGGCGACTGACTTCGACGAAGCCCTTTGACCCTCTAAGAATCTTATTCTGCGGGTCAGATGGCTTCAGCATCGCGTCCCTGAGGGCTCTGTACGATGCAAAACAGGCAAATCAAAATTTCATCGAATCAATCGAAGTTGCTCATCGACCAGGCAAACGGACTGGAAGAGGGTTGAAAGTCATCAGACAAGGTAAAGGCTCGTCTCGGAGCCATAGGCTTTGTAAATAGAGTGTTGCAGTTGACTGGTGCCAGTCCCCATCCAAAAAGTCGCTAAGAAGGAGTTAGCTCTCCAGACTCATGAGATTGATACATTCACGGGTTGGACCCCTCCCACACCCTTTGACATCATCATAGCCGTCTCCTTCGGTCTCCTTGTGCCTCCCCGCATCCTCAATGGCACCAAGTATGGCGGTCTCAATGTGCACCCTTCCCTTCTCCCGGATCTCCGTGGTCCAGCGCCCATTCACCACACTCTGCTGAAGCGACGCTCTAAGGCCGGAGTCACAATTCAGACACTCCACCCAGAGCATTTCGACCAGGGGTTAATCCTGGCCCAGACACCTCCACCCGGCATAGACGTGCCGGAAGGTGCAACACCGACTGACCTGATTGAGCAGCTAGGGTTGCTGGGTGGTGAGATGCTTGTTCGTGTCCTCGAGAACGGAGACTTTGTCCCTCCCCTTAAGGAGGCTGGTTGGTATGCCGGATCAGGTGGCCCCATTGACCATGCAGAGAAGATCACTCCTGCTCATCGACACATCGACTTTTCTACTGCTACGGCCCAAGACATCCTGACCCGGCATCGAGTGCTTGGGAATCTATGGTCCATGTTACCCGGAAAGGAGGAGAGGTTCATCATCAATGAGATCGAGGCGTTCGACATCGAGTCAGACGCAAATGATATAACTTCGGCACTGGAAGAGGGAGCAAGTGCTAATACAACTCCTGGGGTCTTTGTGGCTTTGAGCCCTACATCTCACGCACTGTGTGCCCGTACTGCAGACGGCAAGATACTACGGATCAAGAGTACTACGTGTCCTGGCGGTATGAAAGGTAGGGGTAATAGCCACATCATAGGTGTGCTTCTGCAGCAGCAGATGGTACCGGAGAGTGTCTCAAAGTTGGAGATCCCTTTCGGCCAGTTTGGACAACTTCGACAACGGCAATAATCAGATGGCCATTTGGGAGCTGCGGGGCAGAATGAAGAGCAGTTGCGACTCTCATCTATCACTATCTGTCTCGGCTGAAACAGTTCAGAAGACGCATAGTTGTCATGCCAAAAGTTTTGTAACCATAGTTGATGTGTACAGTTAGTAGTAGACAACCACTTAAGTGATCCAAGTTAATCCTCAAGACGCTTTCGGATTGTCCATGAGAATACACTGTTAGGATCCTGCATATGCACATATATGTGACCTCTGCTGATTCCCAATCTATCAGGATACCCGGAACGGGTTTTCCAGACCAGGCGCCCAGCCATGGGCCTTGTCTCTTCTACGCACAGCGCGAAAACAGCCTCGACATGATGGGTCGGGGCTGCCGTTAAGTAGTGTTTTCTATGAGCTGGCGGTGATAAACAAGAAAAAAAGGAGAAGCAGGCAAAAAATTCGGAGGTGCTTTTGAGGTCAGCTTCCCGTCCCGCGCTAGTGCCTCTTTCGAACTAGCGTACGACAACCTCCAACTGGCCAGGTGCACCTTCACCACCTGCATCATTGAGGCAGCACGTCCAATCCATTCCGAAGCATTGCAACCGCCTGCTTTCGCTGCGGGGTGCCTATCCTCTGCTTGTGCCTCTGGAAACTCTCGAGTCACCTCTGCGCACTTCCATCCGCTTCCTGGATCGCCGTGCAACCTCGTCCCACCTTGCTCCTGACCGCCCGCATCTGGCAGCGGAGCATCCAACATGGCCGACTACGAGGCGCTCAAGGAGCAGTGGAGTGAAATTGAGGACCGCGATGGAGTTCGTCTCAGCTGGAACACCTTCCCCAGCTCACGCATGGTAGTCCCTTTCCTGGATCCTGAAATCGTACCACAAAGCTAACGATACCATAGGAAGCCTCGCGCCTCGTCGGTAAGGTGTCCTCTGCCATAGGGCATTCAGAGCTCACTCTCGCTGACCCGCTTCAGTCCCTATCGGTGCGCTCTACACGCCTTTGAAGGAGAAGACCGATACGCCTCTGCTGCAGTATGAGCCTGTCTCTTGCAAGCCACCATGTCGCGCGGTGCTCAATCCCTTCTGGTATGTTGCATCCGGGAGGGCAGATAGATTTGGTCGCTAACAGCATCTGAAGCCAGGTCGATATGCGAGCTCGATTGTGGATATGCCCGTTCTGTCTTCAGCGAAACCAGCTTCCTCCGCACTATAAAGACATCTCCCAAGAACAGATCCCGCCAGAGTTGCACCCAAACAGCACGACGATTGAATATCGGCTCGCGAGGCCAGCGCCGTCACCGCCCATCTTCTTGTTTGTAGTGGATACTTGCCAGGAGGAGGACAGCCTGAAGGCCTTGAAGGACTCCATTATCATGAGCTTGAGCTTGCTTCCGCCCTATGCCCTTGTTGGCTTGATCACCTTCGGTACGATGGTGAGTGACACTGCCACGTCTTAGACGGTATCATGTGCTGAAATAGCCCAGGCACAAGTCCACGAGCTTGGATATACCGAATGCGCGAAGTCTTACGTCTTCCGGGGAAGTAAGGACTACACCTCCAAACAGGTTCAGGAAATGCTCGGTTTGGGCACCATGGGACCCCGACCTGGTGCGGTTCCTCAGCAGCCCGGACGACCACCTGTTATTCCTGCTGGTGCTGGTGCACGTTTCCTCCTTCCGGTTTCGCAATGTGAATTCCAGTTGACCAACGTCCTCGAGCAACTACAGAAGGATCCCTGGCCGGTGGCCAACGACAAGCGTGCCCTGAGGTGTACCGGCGTGACCCTTAGCGTTGCTGTTGGTCTGTTGGAGACACAGTATGTGAACATGGGTGGCAGAATCATGCTTTTTGCTGGTGGTCCAGCCACCGAGGGCCCGGGCATGGTAGTTGGCCCGGAGCTCAGAGAACCGATGCGTTCGCACCACGATATTGACAGGGACAACATCAAGTATTACAAGAAGGCTCTCAAGGTATGTTTGGCTAGACACAGAATAATGTTTGCAACTAACCATATCAGTTCTACGACAACCTGGCTAAGCGCGTTTCGCATAATGGTCATATCGTGGATATCTTTGCTGGCTGCTTGGATCAGGTCGGTCTTCTTGAGATGAAGGGGCTTGCCAATTCCACCGGTGGCCACATGATTTTGACGGACAGTTTTACGTCATCCATGTACAAGCAATCCTTTGCACGCGTCTTTAACAAAGACGACGATGATAACCTCCTCATGGGTTTCAATGCATCTCTGGAGGTGCTTACGACAAAGGAGCTCAAGGTCACCGGCTTGATAGGACACGCTGTCTCCATGAACAAGAAGTCGTCATCTGTCGGTGAGACAGAATGCGGCATCGGCAATACCTGCTCATGGAAGATGTGCGGCATCGACCCGGAGGCGAGTTATGCCATCTACTTTGAAATTGCTGGACAAGGCGGGGGGCCAACGAATCTCCAGCCCGGTCAGAATAAGGGCATGATGCAGTTCCTGACCTACTACCAGCACTCTGCAGGTCAATACCACCTGAGGGGTAAGATGATTTCTTATCAAACAGGGATCACAAGAGCCATTCATGCTGACATGTCTAGTAACTACGGTTGCACGCAACTTGAGCGGGCCTTCTGGCGATCCTGCGATTGCGCAGTCCTTCGACCAGGAGGCGGCAGCTGTGCTCATGTCACGTATTGCGGTCTTCAAGGCCGAAGTAGATGATGGCCCAGACGTCCTGCGTTGGGTCGACCGTATGCTCATCAGACTTTGCTCGAGGTTTGCAGAGTATAGGAAAGACGACCCCTCTTCCTTCCGGTAGGTTCTTCTCTGGTTCAACATGCTGGGTTGGCTGACCTTCATCAGGCTCGAGAAGAACTTCTCCCTATATCCGCAGTTCATGTTCCACCTCCGTCGTTCGCAATTCTTGCAGGTTTTCAATAATTCTCCTGATGAGACCGCCTTTTATCGACATGTCTTGTTCCATGAAGATGTTAGCAATTCCCTCATCATGATTCAGCCTACCTTGGACAGCTATGGCTTCGATCATGAGGGCGGGGAGCCAGTCCTGCTTGATTCAACGTCCATCCAAGCCGAAACCATTCTTCTTCTCGATACGTTCTTCCACATTCTCATTTTCCACGGCGAGACGATGGCCGAATGGCGAAAGGCAGGATATCAGGATCAGGAAGGATACGAGAACTTCAAGGCTCTTCTCGAAGCTCCGAAAGAAGACGCTAGAGATCTTATTCAGGACCGATTCCCACTTCCGCGATTCATTGTCTGCGATGCTGGCGGTTCGCAAGCCCGCTTCTTGCTGTCCAAACTCAACCCCTCGACAACACACACCTCGAGCTCCTACGGCGGCGTCTCTCAAACTGCTCAGACCATTTTCACGGATGATGTCAGTTTACAGACGTTTATGGAACATTTGATGAAGCTTGCGGTTTCGGGTACGAATTAGAAGCATGCGCGACGGTGGTTGGGAAGCGAGCTCATTATTGAGTAATTGAAAGTCATTCTTCCAGGTTCTTCTCACCATCCAATGGAGAGGCTAAATTCTTTCATGTGTGACCTCCTATAATGTCTTTGGTTACAGTTTGCTTCCGTCCTTCTGCTGTGCTCCGCTCCCTTCCGGATGCCCCTCCGCCAACGTCCTCCCCGTTCTTGGGATGCCGAAGGCTTGCAGGGAAGTGTCACCGCTACGAACCGCGCTGCCTCGGTCTTACTGTATGTGTGTCGAGCTAATGGTAGGGATGTGAGAGAAAGTATGTGTCCTAGCAAAAGTATGTGCTTCTGGACTCCGAAGAGGCAGTTTCACATGTTCTAACAGTGGCTCATGTGCAGGATTGGCAAATGTTGTGACGAGTTAGCTTAAAGGAATCTATTGGCGGTGAAGTTCAATGACTATACTGTACTGTGTAGTCTGCTCTGAAAATCTTGGTTGCCGTACGAATATCATGCCTCAAGCAGAGACTAGAAGTCAGAGTCGACAATGTCCGGAGAATATACCCTTGGATATCTAGGAAACTGGATGTCAATCCACAGTTGACCCTCACGACGTCGGAGATTGTGCTTAGTAAGCCGGAGTTCCGAATGTCTAGGACAACCATCAACGCCAAGGATCTCGAATGGAGAAGCCGAGCAGACCCAAGAATTAGACGACTGACGCTGCGCTGCTCATCGCGCTCGTTACTTTCTTTCCTCATCTGCCTCGAAATGCTGCTACCACGGATAGCACCTACTGCCCTCCGGTTGCAGCCCCAATATGCGCACCAATGCCTGCGGAGAATGACTCCGCTACGGCATGCATACTCCACCGAGCAGGCCTCACCACCAACCGTACCCTGGAAGACTCCACACAGCATAACCTCATGGCCTCCGGAGCCGCTGATTCCACCGCCAAAAGAAGGCGAGATCTTGCTGGAGCGGCGACCAAACCGCGATCTCCCCCCGTGCGTTTCCCGCTATCCGTCCCCTCCACCAAGTCCAGACCTAGGACTCGACGCCTGTATGGGAGTTGATTAAAACTGATTATCAACAGTCTCCCACCCTTAATCCCCACCCAAGTCAAGCGCACCTTCCCCATCTTCGTCCTCGTCATGGCCGCGTCCATCTTCGCCTTCTTCAACTACCAAAAGCAAGAATCCTCCGTCGTAACATCCACGCTCTACGCCCTGCGCACCAATCCCGCCGTGAGGGAACAACTAGGCGATGAGATATACTTTGCCAGCAAATACCCCTGGATTAGGGGCGAAATCAATCAGGTTCATGGCAGGATAGATATTAATTTCTGGGTGAAGGGGACGAGGAAGCAGGGCCTTGTGAGGTTGAGGTGTAGGAGGAGGGGGAAGACTGGTTATGTGAGTCTTGCACCGGGGGTAGAAGGACTTTGTAGTGTGAGTGCTAATGAGGAACTAGTTTGTGACCCAGGAGTGGAGTCTGACCTTGGAGGACGGGACGGTCATGCAGTTGTACGATCCCGAGGGTAGTGCTATTGATCCATTCCGGGGAATGGGAACCGAGGATGCGGTATAGTCCTTGTATTGTCATTGAAGGTGGAGAGAGTGAATGCATAGCGCATGGGCTTCACAAAGCCTGCTGCATAGATGCCGGATAGCGAAAATTCGGTGTGTATTACCTTGTAGATATCTTCATTTGTAACAATGATGTGTAACAATATTCAGCATGTAAGACCGTCATCATCCCACGCCGTCCTCCCGAGATCATTATCCATGTGCGAGTATCAAAGCCAACAAGGGGAGAAACTATCGGTCCACATTTTCGTCTCATCTGAAGAAAATGCGACCAGGCTGCGCCATGAGATGACGCCCTTGGCAAAGACATCTGGAAGTAAATATGCCGGCTTCGTCACATTCGGCGTTGCCGATACATGGCAAGACGGCTTTGGGCTATCGACAGAAAGCTTTCCCGCGCCGGCGCGTCCTTTCGAATGACCACGCATTCAGCTAGACTATAGGTAAGATAGAGTAATTGTTGTGACTTTTTCAGTAGAGAGCATGTTGACGATGAAATGCATATTCCGTAGAGAGCTGTTAATGGCAAGGCCTTTGGGAACCAAGGGTCCGAAGTAGACGTCTCTGAGACGGAGCGACGATAGGCAGATTCGTGACGAGCTGTACAGGAATACGAAGGGAAAAGAAATTGCCATCTTTGGTTGATGCCGGGACGGGCGAAGTGTGCTTGTACATGTGTAGAGTTTCCGTATTGAGCATCCAACATCCGAGGAGGTTAAATACTATGTAGTAGGCGGAGGTCGTTGTGGCTGACACAGCCACGGCCAACTTCCAAAATCTTGGCGCTCGGCTCTCCATAACATTTTTTTCGTCAAGATGCTGACCGCGAAGGAATGAACTTCGGAGGATCCACCTGCATCAACTGCGATACGGCTAGGGCGGACTAGAAAAGGAACTGGGGAATATGGCCCCCGCCACACTTTCACCAGACGTATCAATATCCTCGCACACGCTTTCCGCTGCGTCCGTCCCGACCCAAATGGATCTACCGACGCCTACAAACTCACTCGCAAGCCTTCTCAGCTCACCATTCTCTTTCCTACAACCGAGGAAGCAGGCGCAGACATCGATACTTTCCGCTTCGAAAGATTTCCTCGACCATGTCGCCACTACGGTTAGCGAAACGCAGTCGCAGCGTCAACATGAATTGCGGCGAAAGCGGAAGCGCGCCAGGTACGACGACGCCGATGTGGGTGTTCTTAACCTAAAGAAGTTGCATGTGGATGGGTTTGCGATCAGTCAAGTCTTCGAGCAGGGACGCAAGATCTTGGACAGCGTGGTGGAGGAAGTCGAGTTGTCGCTTCCGCAAACGAATGCTGGAGACCTGTCCGCACCAGAGGACTCGGAAGAATTGAGCGAAGGGTCGGAAGCCCCCGGAGATTTCGCCAGTGGCTCAGACATCGAAGAAGGCTCTGAAGAAGAGGAAGACGAGGACATGTTGGACGGTAACATGATAGACGGCGAGGGGATTTCCGAGGATGACGAGGCTGAAGAAGCTGAGGAGGTGATCGAAGGCGCAGAGGACGGCATCTATGATGATGAGTCGGAGGTTTCAGGTGACGATGAGGAAGCACAAGAGTACCGTCCGGATCCGCACGGCCTCAACGATGGCTTTTTCTCTATCGATGACTTCAACAAGACGTCCGAGTTTCTGGAGCAGCAAGATGCGCGCGGAGAACCTGTAGATGACGACGACGAGGAGATCGATTATGACGCAGATCCCTTTTCATTAGGGAAAAGTGGGAGAAAGAGGGGTGCAAAAACCGAATCAGACGTGGAATCAGATGAGGGTGGGCCGACATTCGGCAATGTGGATCTGAACGCTCCAGAAGGCGAGAGCGATGACGATGAAGCCCTTGAAGAGGGCGACATGGACGGCCTAGGTGATATGGCCAATGCGAACAACATCATGTATGCCGACTTTTTCGCTCCTCCGGCAAAGAAGGCTGGCAAGAACAAGAAGAAGCGCGGGCGGCCTCATCCACACAATTTTCCGGAGAAGAAAGAGGAGGAGTTGGCCGGCGCCGAAGATGAGATGGAGAGGACGATGAATGCTGTCCACCGCGACTTGTTCGAGGATGATGATGACGCGGAATCAGAGGGCGAGCTCACTGACCTTGACCCTGCCGATCCGAAATCACGGCGATCAGCGTATGAGCGGAAACAAGCCAAGCTTGCAGAAGAGATCAGGAAGCTAGAGGCTGCAAATGTTGCAAAGCGGCAATGGCAGCTCTCTGGCGAAGCTCGCGCCGCCGACCGTCCCATGAACTCGCTGCTTGAGGAGGACTTGGACTTCGAACGCGCAGGAAAGCCCGTACCTGTCATCACAGCGGAAGTCAGCGAAGACATTGAAGCATTGATCAAACGACGTATTCTCGCAGGCCAATTTGATGAGGTACTTCGCAGACGCCCAGACGATCTGGCAACGGGGCAGACGCGCCGCGGACGATTTGAGCTTGACGACACGAAGTCGGGCAAGGGCCTCGCTGAAATCTACGAAGAGGAACACCTGCGCGAGACGGACCCCAACTATGTGGATGCTCGGGACGAGAAACTCAAGAAGGAGCATGCCGAGATCGAAGCTCTATGGAAGAGCATACGCGGGAAGTTGGATTCCCTTAGCTCCTGGCACTATAGGCCCAAGCCGGTTGTACCGAACCTCGAGATCAGGGTTGATGCTCCAGCGATTGAAATGGAAGACGCCAGACCTACAGCGGGCGGAGAGGTTGCTGGTGCAAGCATGCTTGCGCCGCAGGAACTCTACAAACCGGGCGATGAGAAGGACAAGGCGGAGATTGTTACCAAGGGCGGGCTACCAATCGCCCGGGAAGAGTTGACACGGGAGCAGAAGTTGCGGCGGAGAAGGAGAGAAAAGGCCAAAATCAAGAAGGCCAATGCCAATGCGCCGATCAAGGAGACTGCTGCAGAGAGGAAGACAAAGGAGAAAAAGCAGTTGCTTGGCGATCTGAAGAGGGGCGGTGTGCAAGTCATCGGGAAGAAGGGCCAGATCACGGATGTGGAAGGGAAGCAAGTGAAGGAGGGCGCGAGGGCTGGCGCTGGAAATTTCAAGTTATAGACGATGTTGTATGCATAGTAGCGCTGGATTCAATACGTCTATAAGTCGTGAGATCCTTTAGCAATCATGCTCCCATTATGCTCGTCGTCAATCATATCCCGTGACCTGCAAGCATGACTCGATACCAAAACATTCGAATGGCAATTCTTATTAGCCCGGCGCGTCTCCTTGCTCACCTCTTCGTTATCCGGTAGCTGGTTTTGCGTGAGTCACGGCCCCTCGCTGCGCCAAATCAGCACTCACAGAAAGATATTCTCCCTTGAGTAAATCTCCCTTTCAGGATCATCCTCCACCTCCTCCACCCTGAACATCTTCCTCGCCGTCTTCATAAACTGCAGATCCGCCCGTCTCCTCTTCTTGAAGCAAAAATAACACACCGTCTTCTCGCCAATCAGATCTTTCAGCGTCTGCTGAAGCAAAGGAAACGCGGGCTCGAAGTAAACGCAGTCGGCGGCGAGGACGATGTCCGGGTGACTGGGGATGTTGGACGGGGGCGGGGTGCCCCAGTCATAGATTGAGGCATGGACGGTGGAGGAGAGGGAGTTGAGGGCGATGTTGCGGACCATGAGGTCGTACATGGGGAGTTGGTCCGTTATGTGGAGAGGTTGCTTGAGGGAGGTGGAGAGGGCGAGGGCCAGGCTAAGGATGCATTCAATCGAGATGCTCATGAAATGAAAGATGGAAGTGGAGAAATGGACGATTAGGGAAGATGGATTGTTTGAACGGAATGGATATATTATACTCACCCTACAAGGCCGCCTCCAGCCCCTAATTCGACTCTAGCATTTCGGTCAGCAAATACGCCGTGCCAGCCAGCATACGCAGCGTTCAGTAATGACATACACTGTCTTGTCTGCTATGTCTTCACTCTTCTTAGACAGCATATATTTGCTCAGTACCATACCGGCCGGCCATAATTGCCCTCCACAGCCATTCTTCAAGTCCTCATGCAGTTTCAGTGGCGGCGATAATAGGCCGTCGAAATCGACTTCTGTGACCCCGGCGGGTTTGATTGGGGCAGGAGGTACCAGGTCCTCGCCGAAACCTAGCACTAGGTCTTCGTTTTCGGAGTCCGGCATGTTGTCCTTGGGCTATAAATATGGGAATGAGCGGTGGGGTGTGTAGACCTGTTGTGCATGTGTCTGGAAACGGAAATTTATTCAGGCGCAGTGTTTTCCTCTCTATCCCTAGCCGCCAACACCACATCAAATAAGTTCCAGGGAGTCAACAGCCAAACAAGCAAACATATAGATACTATCGTGACTGCACATGAGAATAATTCACCGCCTAATTATTAGTCAATGACTTTCATACAGTAGTACTGTGTACCTAGTAATATGAAGCACAGGCGTCCCTTCCGCACAAGGTCCGCCGGATCAGCCAATCATCGTGTGATTGTGCCTCCCTGAGTCTAGCCCGTCTAGACCTGGTCTCCGTCTGCAGGGACTCGTCCGTGCGCCGAAACCCCCAACATCTGGAACCAAAGATAATCTTCATAGACCGCAACTGACCGTCATTCTCCCTCGCTCCACACTCGTTTACATTCCTGGCTGCAGAGATGCAGTCTTCAGTCGCTACTGCAACCGTGTCGCCCCGGAAGAAGCAAAACATACAGAAAGTAGGAGTCTCTGAAACTCCAAAAGAAGAGGACCATGACCGCTTCTTCTGGACATATACCGAGGAACCGCACCGTACGAGGCGGCAGGCAATCATAAAGGCACATCCGGAGGTAGTATACTCTTCTCGCTCAACTGCCACCATTCGACTTATGTGAGATGTAGGTGACGAAGCTCTGCGGGCCGGAGCCGCTCACGAAATACCTCGTCGCCCTCGTCGTCTCCATCCAAGTCCTCTGCGCTTATCTCCTCCGCAATACCCCTATACTATCATGGCCCTTCCTTCTAACGGCCTACATAATCGGAGCGACGGCGAACCAGAACCTCTTTCTCGCCATCCATGAGATCTCGCACAACTTGGCCTTCAGGAGTCCATTGGCAAACAGGGTCTTCGCCGTCTTTGCGAACCTGCCCATTGGAATTCCCTACAGTGCCTCCTTTAGAGTCGGTGGCCCGTCCTGCAAATACAAAGATGCTACTGACAATACCATCAGCCGTACCACCTTACCCACCACAAATCCCTTGGCGTCGACGGACTCGACACCGATCTCCCCACTCCCCTTGAAGCCCTCTTCCTCGACTCCGTCCTCGGCAAGGCCTTCTTCTGCACCTTCCAGATCCTCTTCTACGCCCTCCGCCCCATGTTCGTATACAAGCTCCCCCTCACCAAAATACACGTCTTCAACATCGTCGCTCAATTCACCTTCGACTACGCCCTCGCCAAATTTGCCGGAGCGAACGGATTGGGCTATCTGATTTTGAGCTCTTTCCTGGCAGGCTCCCTTCACCCCTGCGCAGGCCACTTCATTGCAGAGCACTACGTATTCTCGCCTCCACCTCCAGAAGCAATGGATGCCGCCAACCGCATCCCTATCCCAGAGACTTACTCGTATTACGGACCCCTTAATATCCTGACGTATAACGTTGGATTGCACAACGAGCACCACGATTTTCCAGCTGTGCCCTGGACGCGATTGCCCGAGCTGAATCGCATTGCGCATGAGTTTTATGATGAGTTGCCCAGACACACAAGTTGGGTATATGTGATTTGGCAGTTCATTTGGGATAGGGACGTGGGATTGTGGTGTAGGGTCAAAAGAAAGGAAGGGGGAAGGAAAGTCGGTGGGAGCTTGTGGCGGGAGGATGAGTTGGGGGCGAATGAGAAGGTGGGCCCCATACCTGGAGTGAGGTAGAGATGCATAGAATTGTAGCTTGGAGACAAACCGATTGCATGTTTTGGATAGTATGTGTTTATGCGTCGCTGATAATGGGCCTTTATGGATCGCCGGCTGAAATTTGTACACGTGATATATTCATACAACCTTCCACGAAACGCCGTACATTTCCCAGTCCTATCTCGGTGCCGACACAGTCTCGGGCAATTCTTCAAATGAACCCTCCACCTCAGGCGGGGCCGACTCTTCCGGGTTCACGGGCCCTGAGAACAATTGTGCCCGCATCTGCTGCTCATCTTCAATCTGCTGTGCCGCCCATTGCTTCCAGTTCTCAAATGATTTGTCTTCCAGCTCCATGCCGATTTCGAGTGGACCTTTTCCGAAATATGCTCCAACATGCAGGGCCTCCTCCTTGGCTATTCGCCGCCGTACATCCTCAAGGTGTCTATGCTTGTAGAATTCTCGACGTGCAGTATCGTATGCGAGGGCCTTGGGGTATGCTTTGTGCTTCATGAGCCACATTTGACGCTGGACGACACTGGATACCCCTGTCAGTCTGACATTCCCGTGTAAACCGTCACAGAGCCCACCTTTCGCCATCCAGCTGCTTCCCCGGTTGTACAATGGTCGCCCAGTTGTAGCCCTTTGCATCATTCCCGCTGTCCTCCACTACCAACCGAGGCCGCGCCAATTCCCAGGGATGATCATTGAAGAAATCTGACCGCAACTTGTCCTCCGGATATGCAATTGGGAGCGGCTGAAACATTCGACTCGGTTTCTTCGCCTTACCCCGAACGCGCGGAGTCCGCTGGACAGGCCTCGAGAGAATTTCGCTCGGAGGTATATCGCCCACGATTTTGTACCAGGGCGGAAGCGCAGGGTCGCGCCGCGTTTCGACGAGGGCGCGAGCCGTCTGGCGGACGCGGAGGGCTCTGAAATCGTAGCGGCCCATGTTGGGGTCGCGCACAAGTGGACGGTATCCGTCGATAGGAGGAGGATGGCTCTTGAAGCACAAATGGTAAGTCGGAGGTTGCGGTGCCAGCCTCAAAGTGCTGCCGGGGTTTTGCCGGCTCGGAGAAAGTTTCCAACATTCATCACGACCGCCCGTTCAACAAGTCTATAATACTCGCCTCGCCTCCCGTCGTTCCGCTGTTGTTACCACCCGCCAATTGCGTCGTTTCAGCTGCTACGTCTGCTTGGAGCTGCCGTATGTCACCATCACACCGCTGCTGACACTATGAGTGCCATCTCATGTCCGTCTTGCGCGCCGTCGACGGGACGTCCTGCTCCGCCGCCGTGTCGAACTCCTCCCGGCCATTGCTTTCCTTCCTCTGTCCGGCTCTCCGGATCGAGAACCCGCGGCGGGGCTTCCATCAGAGCCCGGTAGCCTGGCCACCGCGACCATCGCCTCCTTCTCCCGACATGTTCAACAATTTTTTCATCCATGCGCTTGTACAGGCGGGCACTTGCCAGGAACACCAGCGGTACTTTTCCACGTACCGCGAAGTCCTTTCAAATGTGGGGAAGCATTCTAGCACCCCAAGGAGACACGGTGGGCATAAGGGGAGGCGGCAACCGAAATCGACTTTCCGGGGCCCATTTGCTAAGGTGAAGGAGTTTGCCAGGAATGAACTCAAGGCCCTGGTTGACTATTACGGGATTGAATTGAAGACGGGTCCGATGCCGGATAACAACGTAGAAGACAGCGGGCTGCTCATATGGAACATTGGAGACGATCACCAGCCGTGGCCGGTTAAGGAGGACATACACAAGACTTATATCGCAGAGTTGGAGCAAGAACTGGCGAAAAAGGACGATGCATCACATGACGTTCTCTATGAGCTCTACAAGAAGCTTCCGGCTCCCAGCGTCGCCTATCTGAAACTTGCCACGATCCGTGACCTGCTTCACCATCTATCCGTCGTGGAGCGGCCAGATGCCGTGTCCATGCAACGGTTTCTCGGCATACTTGACGATATGAAGTATGCGCATATTCACATCACACGCTGCGAATGGACTGCTGCTATCCGCTTCGCCGGTCGCTTCTTGGGGAAGGTTTCCGGTACAGAGCTGCACTCTGCGCTCCATGTGTGGCGGGATATGGAGAAGCGAGCCGGGATTCGCGGAGGGACAGTCACCATGAACGTATTGTTCGACTTGGCGGTAAAGGCAGGAAAATACACCCTAGCGGAGGCCTTCCTGAGGGAAATGCAAGCACGGAAGCTGAAGCTCCATCGTCACTTTAGGGTATCCTTGCTGTACTATTACGGGGTCATGCAGAACGGGGATGCCGTGAGGCGCGCATATCAGGAACTCGTGGCCGCTGGCGATATTGTCGACACGGTCGTGATGAACGCAGTCATCTCAGCCCTCATACGCGCCGGCGAACCTTCCGCTGCGGAGCATGTTTTCGAGCGTATGAAGCGGTTGCATGCCAGTAAAGTAAAACCAAGGCCCTCTCCCCGCAACTGGCGAGAACGCCGCCTGAATGGTTTGCAGTTGACTTACGAAGGGCGAAACGCAGCAGGAATTGGGGATATGGAGAAGCGGAAAGAACTCCAGGAACAGGCGTCTATTGCTCCTGATGCGCGCACTTACGGGTTGATTATCAGACATCATGCAGCCACTGCGGGAAATGTTGACCGCGTCTTGGAACTTTTGAAAGAGATGGAGCTCAATGAGGTTCCCATGGACGGCACTGTCTTCATTGTCATTCTATACGGGTTCAATACCTTCGGAGGCCTCAGATACTCCTCCTGGACCCTCGACAAACTGGAACGCGTCTGGAAACAATATCTCAATGCCGTACGAGACGGTGTTGAGAGGACATGGCTATCCCCCATGTCGGTCGTTGTGGCGCTGAAGGCGTTTAAACGGTGTGGTGATGCAGAGCGCGTATTGCAAGCTTGGGAAGAGGCTCGGGAACTATGGAAACCGAACCCAGATGAGCTTGATCGCGTCCTGAAGGAGTTGCGACGACTGGTGCCAAATCATCCGTTTTTCAGCGTCAATGTGTAACACGGCTTTGTTGTACTGTACATGTATATATAAGGGACGAGGGCATTGTTGCATATACTGGGAGTTGGATTTATCGCCTGTTTAACCAGCATGTGGTTACGGTATTGTTGAACTGAACCACAAGATTATCATATGGTCATTCTTGCAAGGTTGGCAGAAACAATCAAAAAGTGCAAGCCATTTCCATGACACTGTGAAATTCGCCCTGATGCATACATAACTTTGGCGATAAGGCAAGGGTTCGAAGATACCACACCATCTCTGAAATCATACCATCGGCAACAAAACAACAAACCCCTCATCGCGATACAAAGATACCAAACAAGGGACTCCCATCCTAAAGCATCACCCCACAACATCCGCCATGCGCCTCCTAAACATCGCCCTGATAGGCGCCTCCGGCACCATCGGCCTCCCGCTCCTAACCGCCCTGCGAGCCCACCCCACCTTCATCCCCTATGTCCTTAATCGCCACTCCTCCAGAAGTATCTACCCGCGTACCCGCGTCATCATGGTCCCCGACGACCTCTCCATTCCTTCCGTCGCAGCCCTCCTCGAGGACAATGAAATAGATGCACTCATCATCGCCATCGCGGGATCGCGCGTCCAAGAGCAGAAACGCCTCATTGAAGCTGCGTGGCAAGGTGGAGTGAAGAGGGTGATTCCGGCGGAGTTTGGGAGTTGTGACTCCGCGGACCAGAAGACGGTGGAATTGTTGCCGTTGATGGAGGGGAAGAAAAGGGTAAGGGAGTTTCTTGAGGAGGTGTGTGCGAGAGGGGAGGGAAAGGTTGGGAGGCCCAAGGGGAGAGGGAAGATGAGTTGGACGAGTGTCGTTACGGGGCACTTTTTTGATTGGGGGCTGGGCAATGGGTTTATGAAGGTTGATTTGGGGGGACGGAAGGCATGGGTTTATGATGGTGGAGAGACGAGGTTTAGTGCGTGTACCTTGGGATTTGTGGCGCAGGCTGTGCTGAGGGTGCTGGAGAGGGAAGAGCAGACGGAAAATCGAATGTTGTATGTGCATAGCTTGAGCGTAACGCAGAGGGAGGTCGTGAAGGCGGTGGAAAAGGTTCTGGGGGAGGGGTTTGAGGTTGTGGATGAGAGGTCCGAGGAGGCGATTGCGAAGGCGAGGGCGAGAATGTTGGAGGGGGATAAGGAGGCGGCGGAAGACGTGGTGGCCGTTTGGGGCATGGTGGCGAGTGATTGGAGCGCAAGGGAAGGATTTGCGAATAATTTGTTGGGGTTGGAGGAGGAAGTGTTGGAGGACGTGGTCAGGAGGGTGTGGGAGGAGCATAGGAGGAAGTAGGATACATAGGACGCGTGTTGTCAACTTTGTTCTCGAGCTGCGTCATGCAGGACTCAGACGTGTTGCCAACCCCATTTGCAATCGAGAGCCTTGCCCTAAACCCGCGAGAGCGGGACAAGCTGTCCCACAGTCCAAGTCAGAGATAGGCGGCTCACTGACTAGCATTCGCTTCATACAGAGGTTAGATACCCAGTTCCTGTTGGCAACAGCCTTCTATGGTGATTTATCTCATTACAGCAAAGGCAGTGTCACCTGAGCGTTTTGAATTCACTTTGTCGAAGATCAACGCATGGAAGAGTAGTTGAATGTCATTCCGAATACCTCGCCCAAGATAATTTACACGTAACAGAAACACCCCATCTCCTTCTGAGCATCTTAGTCTCTTCTCCTCTTCTGCTTCTCCACCATCTCCGGTACCCTCTCATGCGTCTTCTTCCCTTCCTCCTCCCTCCTCACCACCTGTTTCGCTTCCTGAATCTCCTTACTCGACATTCCCATATTCTCAAGATACTCATTAAAACTCCTGAGAATCTTCTCCAACCCGGTCTTCAACGCATTCCTCACCTCCTCCACCTCGGGCACCTTTGTCCTTCGCTCCTCCGGCAACGCCAGCGTCTCGAAGTCCGACCAGTGGATCTCCAGGCCCTGAAGATACGACTCTATCGACTTGATAGCGGAGGTAAAGACGCCGATGATGGTGGGGACCTCGTATTGGAAGCAACCGCCATCGTCTTCTTTGAGAGAATGCACGGAGAGATTGACGAGAATAGTGATCGCATTCAGAATCATCATCTGCCGCGAATACGGCGCGCCAAGCACAACCATATTTGCCGTGCGCTTGAAGCTGGGGCGAAACAGCCAACCCAGAGGCGTGCGCGCGAGCCCCTTCTTCCATTGCTCCCATGTAGATAGCGCTTCGGTGACCCCCTCACGACCCTTCTCTTCGCCTTTTTTTACCAGAGCTCGAGCATACGAATCTTGGACATTTTGCGGCGAGCTTTGCTTCCGCACAATATCACTGGCTATATTCTCGAACTTCTGGAGGCGGGTGACTGCTGGTTCTGCGGGTCCGGCGATGTTGCCTTCCTTCAGGGGTTGGACTATTCGGGGTACCAGCTGGATCGGAGCCGCGGGAGAGGACTGCTTCGTCTCCCCTTCAGGCTGCCAGTTAGGGTCTGTGGCTCTCCGGATACGGTGAATAATTTCGCGGATCTCGGAAAGGCAGACCGTGGTGATTTGCGTCCACGTAGGCGCTTTCCTGCGGTCATGCTCTCGGTATATGGTTTTACGGCGGTCGTCAAAACGTTCAGTGATCAGGGCCAGCTCCCAGAATGCCGAAGTCCTGTTGTCCTCTTTTCGAGACTTAAGACCGTTGAGAAGACTTCCGTTGGGGTCGCTTGAGTCGGCTGTTATTGGTCTTCCTTTCTTCAGAGGTTTTAGCGCCATGAACACGTCTATGGTCGCGTTGGTGAACTCCCAGAGAAGGAGAAGGAGCAACCCCTGGAGGAAGAAGACGGAGACAATGGTGATCAATGGATTCAGGCCTGAGGGTCGTGAGGTCTTTCCAACAGAGACGAAATTCTTCATAACAGAGTAGTATGGCTCCCACAGCAATTGGCGGAATCCCAGGAAGTAGACGAACATGCCAACGAAGAAGGTCCATACTAAAGTTATACCAGCCGTGGGCGCAAGCTTCACCATTCTCTGGAAAACCTGGATTTCCGGTTCCAGCTGAGCGGACGCTCCCAGAGACGGCCGAATCTGATCGTAGTCCGCCCACACATGACGGATTGTCTGACCGAAAGCCAAGGTCCAGAAGAGGAACCGCAGGAAGATCGGTCTCTCATTCAACCTGCTCCTTTCGTACAGCTTCCCTTGCTCTGTGATGCCCAGCCCAGCCGACCCAGCTTTTGTCCAGATGCACACTTCCGCAAAGAAAGCGGCCGACAGGAGATACGCAACAAGTGTGCCTACGGTTCGCCGTGATAAGACATGCGTCCAGAAAGTATCCATAGGAGTCTGAGTATTCCGCCGTCCGATATGCATATGCGCCACTCGCATCAGATAGACCACTATAGCGGGAATGAGGAGGAGAAATGTCCTGATGCCCGTGAAGCTGATTGGGAACAACGTCCAGAAGATACTATGCCAGCCGGTCATAAGAATTGCGATACCATAGCAGAGTAATACCGTACAGAAGGCGGCTCGGACGAACCGCCTATGCAGGGCGGGCATCATGAAGTCCCGATACGGTCGTGGGGTTGTGGGAGCCATGGCAAAGGTGCGGGCAGACGTAACGGCAGGTGGGTGGGGGAAACAAATATGGATTGAACTCGCTTTTATATCATGGCAGCGGCGAAGATCGTGTCTGACAGTGAAAGTCACGTCTCTTGAAACGTTGGAGCTATTGCTCTGTCACGCTGTGAACAAGAAAGTACGTTCGTTCAAACAAAGCTCACCTGCCAAGCCAAACATGCTCGTCGGCGTTTCTTTTCACCGAGTACCTGTCTTACATAATCTGCGGTCCATGGTCCATGCGTGCACGGGTCTGCGTCATTCGGCCGGGGCACATGCAACGACCAGGCGGCGTCGGGCCCAGGCTTCCTCCATCTCGGAGTTGATGGCAGGACGACCAGCTGTTTACAACACCGCAGCATACCTCCCCAGCCATGTCGTTCCAGCGCTCTTCCGACCTAGAAGCGCAGCCCACCACCTGGCGCCGCGAAGATGACCCCCAGTATGCCGATGATCCCGAGTTCCGCGACTTCGCACAGCAGCTATCCGACAAGCTCTTCTCGCTCACTCGCAATGTCGCACATCTTGCAGACCAGATCGCTATTCTAGGGACAAAGCGCGAGACCGCACGGGTACGGGAGCGTGTCCGTGAGATAATCGACGATACTTCGGCCAGTTTCAAGGACATCGGCGAGGGCTTGAAGAAGATCACGACATGGCCGGACCTCGGGGTATATGACTATCTGCACAAAGCGAGGGGTGACGCTGAAGTGCTAACCTGATTTTAGCCCTCCCAGAAGTTTACCCAGTCAAAGCTGAACCGCGAGTTCAAAGCCACTCTTACGGAGTTCCAGCAACTGCAACGCCAGGCGATTGAGAAAGAGAAGGCATCAGCGTCCGCAGCACGTGCAGCATTGCAAGAGCAGACCTCGCCCACTGAAGAAAGAGGAGGTTTCGAGCAGCAGCAGGACCAGGAGCAGCTACGGTTGGCCAACCAGGATGAAGTCGATTTCCAGGAATCGCTGATCATTGAGCGTGAATCCGAGATCCGCAACATCGAACAATCCGTTGGCGAGCTCAACGAGCTGTTCCGTGACGTAGCGCATATGGTCCATGAACAAGGCGAGCAACTGGACATCATCTCAGAGAATATTGAGACCACGCATGACGCCTCGCGGGGTGCCCACAAGAACCTTGTACAGGCGAACAGATACCAGAAGAATGCTCGCAGCAAGGCCTGCATTCTGTTGATTATACTGACTATCGTCTTGACCATCATCATCCTGGCGGTTGTCTTGGACTAGTTCTCAGTTTTTCTGTTCGATCGGAATCGTGGTCTGCATTGTCTTAGATGTTATGGGCGTTGCACTGGAGTTGGCACTGATTTAGGCCTGATATCCTCGGGTTCTGGACCGCGGTGTCTGGTTTGCATAGCGGTAGCTGAGCCTAATTGTTCATATTATACCTTTACAACAGGACATACTCTTACACTCTCTTTTACAAACATTAATCGTGGCCTCATAGTCCCACGAATCGTAATATCCTCGTCTTGATGCCCTCCCAACTATTCAGCTTGGGCCGCACATCAAGGTAGAAGCTCAACTCCTTGCCCGCCTTCTTTTCATCCTTCCCTGCGTAAAAGTCAATGACATATTCGACCTTCTTACCGCAGCGATCCACGACCCAGTCGTGCCGATCGAATGGTGGCTGGTAGCCCAGAAGGGTATTCCACCTTGCGCGAGGTGTGAGCGACGTCGCAAGACCCGAAAACGACGCTAACCGAGGGCCGCCGCAACTACACATATCCATCAGCAACCCATCAAGCCGGCTAAAGATTCAGAAGGCAGTCCACATACGCTTCGGCCCCCCTCCCCTTCTCCCACTCCTTGATCTCCTTCCACGCCCGCTCATTCACCGCATTGTGTATCGGCACAATTGTCTGCATGTCCCTCTCATTGGGATTATAACTCTTCCGCTTCATGGCATTGAAGAACATCTCCTCGGACGGATAGATCCAGTTCCCCGTTTTCTTATCCGCGCCTGTGTCTTGTTCATTGTTTGGCGGCGCGTTGCTCGGGATGTGGTCTAGTGCGCGCGGTATTGTGGAGACTTCGCGGTCGGTGCTGAGGCCTGACCGGGAGGAGGAGGGGATTCTGGGGGGGATTGAGGGGCTCTGGTCTATGTTTGAGGAATGGCAACCCTCGGCTTGGAGGGGTGAAGGTGCTGCTGGCGCTGATGCTGCGGCGGCATTGGCTGTGGGTTGCGCCTTTTGAGCATGCTTTAGCCAGGCTTCGCGCGTTTTGTGGTCGACAGGGCAGGCGGCCGCGGGGTCCGAGTCCGGTGGTGGCATACTGTCTGAAGTATTCTTTTTCTGTCCTACAGTGATTGCAATAGTGGACGTCCGATGGCCGTGGATGATGGCATTCAACTCGCATCGGAAAAGTTGCGCTTGGGCCAGGACCTCGGGAGCGACCAGCCCAGCCCCTTGCCTTTCGTTTGATTGGCTGTTTGAAGCCAAACCACTGGACCCTGGACTAAAACAACGCCCGTCGATTTGACCTCCCCGCAACAACAATACCGCTCCTCTCTCCCCGTCCGTTCCTCCCTCCCTCTCAAACCTCGGACAGAGGAAGCTATATTCAAAATGTCTTCCTCGGAGGTATACACAGCCAGCACCACCGCCCCCGTCAACATCGCCGTAATCAAGTACTGGGGCAAGCGCGACCCAAAACTCAACCTCCCCACCAACTCGTCCCTCAGCGTCACCCTCGCTCAATCCGACCTGCGCACCCACACCACCGCCTCCTGCAGCCCTTCCTACCCACCTCAGGACTCCCTCCTCCTCAACGGCTCCGAGCAAGATGTCTCCGGCCCCCGCACCCAGGCGTGCTTCCGCGAACTCCGCGCCCTGAGGAAGCAGCTCGAAGATGCGAACCCGGAGCTCCCCAAGCTGTCGAGCCTCCCGCTTAAGATTGTCAGTGAGAATAACTTTCCCACTGCAGCTGGTCTGGCGTCGTCGGCGGCAGGCTTCGCCGCTCTCGTCCGCGCAATTGCGAATCTCTACGAATTGCCCTCCTCGCCGACAGATCTGTCGCGTATCGCGCGCCAGGGCTCCGGTTCAGCCTGCCGCTCCCTATTCGGAGGATACGTAGGCTGGGAACAAGGTTCTGCAGCCGATGGCTCCGACAGCGTCGCCTTCCAGGTCGCGCCCGCCTCGCACTGGCCACAAATGCGCGCTCTCATTCTTGTAGTGTCTGCCGCGAAAAAGGGCGTCTCGAGTACCACGGGTATGCAAACCACGGTAGCAACCTCCTCTTTATTCCCCGCCCGTGCAAACGAGACTGTGCCCAGGAGAATGAAGGAGATGATCTCGGCGATTGAGAACCGGGATTTCGAAGCCTTTGGCAAGTTGACCATGATGGATAGCAATTCCTTCCATGCTACGTGCTTGGACACGTACCCGCCCATCTTCTACCTCAATGATGTGAGCAGGGCGGCTATCAAGGTGGTGGAAGCGATTAATAAGAAGGCGGGCAGGATTGTGGCGGCCTATACGTTTGACGCGGGGCCGAATGCTGTCGTTTATTATCTTGAGGAGAGGGAGAAGGAGGTTGCCGGTTTGTTCAAGGCGGTGTTGGGGGAGAAGGATGGATGGCAGGGTGAGAGAGGCGAGAGGGTGCAGAGGGATGCGGAAGGGTTGGAGCACATCAGGGAAGAAGCGGGCGTGGCATTGGAGTTGCTGAAGGAGGGTGTAAGCAGGGTCATCCTCACGGGAGTGGGAGAGGGACCCATCAAGACGGACCAGCATTTGATCTGAGCAAGCAAGCGTCTCTTGTGATGTAAAAGGAAGAACTGTGGTATCCAACTAGCGTGCTCCTGAAAAAGTAGCCCCTTAGCCAAGAACAAGAATAATATATAGACATTGACACACCCTATGCAACGCCAACCCCCGGGTTCTTTCGCCACAATCCAACTCAGACCCTAATACCCAGCTCCCTCGCTCTCTTACAATTCGGCATCTCCATCGTCCTCGCCTTCTGCATCTTTTCCATATCCGTTGAGAACCACCCTTGCGCCTCTTGCATCAATGCTTGCTTGGCCTGGTACTCTCGTTCACACTGTGCCGTCACGATTTGTATATATCTTCCCTCGGCGACTTGGTCCAGAGATTGCCACTTTCTGCTGTTTCTCGCGCCATAGTCTTCCACGTCGACCGGTTTCACATAGTAGGGAACTTTGAGTGGATGCGATGTCCTGGATTGCGTGTAGGGTGCTTTGGGGCCGTCGAAGATAAAGGATGGCGTTGAGGATGTGGATCCGCTGAATAACGACGAAAGGAGTGGAAGGATGAAGAGTAGGAGGAGCGGTAGAAGAGATGAGAGTGCTGAGAAGAAAGAGGGCTGTTCTTCCGACCCCGGAGGCTGTGCGGTTCCTGGTCGTCTTCGCGGGCGACCACCGCCGAATTGGTGGATGCGGATGCCAGGGCCACCGCCCATGTTGAAAACGAAAGCGGGGCCGGTGTCGAAGATGCCACCACCTGTGCCGATGTCAGCATGTCATTGAAATGGGCCTGGTAGGAGTAAGTAAACATACCGAACGGTCCACCCATACCGCCGCCAAAGAACTGCTTGAACAGGTCCTCCGCTGATATCTCCTCCTCAAACATTGGTCCTGCCCTTTGTGCGCCCCCTCCTCTTGCGAAATTGCTAAATGGCGAGGCGCCAGCCGATGCGCCTCCACCGAATCTGCTATCAGGGTCCCCGCCAAACCGGTCGTATTTGGCCTTTCTATCCGGATCGGACAACACTTGAAATGCTTTTGAAACCACTAAAACTCACGTTAGACTCGATTCTCCAGGAGCCTCACACATAGCAGCAGAGACTTGTCTCCGTCAAAGCAGCCAAGGGAACGTCGACAACATACGCTTAAACGCCTCATCCGCACCCTCATAACCATTCTTATCCGGATGCGTTAACAGACTTAACTTCCGATACGCCTTTTTGATATCGGTCTCCGTGCACGTCTTTCGCACCTCTTCCAGCCCCAGGATCTCGTAATACGCCGTCGGTGAGCAGCGCTTGATCCTTATGACAGCCGCTTTTTGCTCGACGGTGAAGGCTCGCCCAGAACTGCCGTCGTGATGTTGCCGGTGTCTGGCCTCGCCGTTGGGTTCCGCGCCTGTGGTTTTGGCAGACATGCTGGGGTGCGCGAGACGGGTGTGTCGGAAGGGGAGGGGGTTGATCTCTAGGTGGTGAGGCTTGAGGCGGGCTGTGTGAGGGCCACGCGGGCCTGAATAAGGTGGGGAGAAGACAGCAATAGGAACGGATTCCGGGTGCGGAATTAGAGGAATTCGGGCACGAAATGAGGGACCGCAATGGTGATGTTTTTCGGTTTGTGTATGTTGTCGTCAGTTCGTGTTGAAGCCACGAACATAGGAGTGTCTGTTTGGCACAGGCTTGGCGTGACCTACTAAAGATTTACTCCATGGGCTCTTGCTGAATGATAATACCTGCACCACTCAATGTCATCTGGGACAAATTGTTGTCCTAAATCAGCCAACGCGCATTATGGCTGAGAAACCGTCCGAAGATGGCGTTTTTCAGACGCTGCGGAACTGGGGCGGTATGGGTTGTCTCTCTCATTGATCCGTCCTCACGTGCCGTTCCATTCATCCACCCAGCTCGAATCAATCAACACATGCTAACAATAAGTTTTGTTATGTACAGAAAACCCGGTTCCGCCAACACTGCTAGCGACATTGATTACTGCCCAGCACTTCCGGCCCTTTCAGCCTCTCCCTATGATATTCCCTCCAGTCTTGTTATTCTCGAGTTATCTCAACTTAGCACAGTTCAAGACTGATGCGGCTGGTATCACGGCCGCATGGAGTGGATTGTACATGCTATTGGCTATGCGAAGGAAACAGGTACGGAGGATCCGTTTCTCGACACCATGTTTTCTACTTTCCGACCTAACGGGTCTCTACAGCAACTGAAGAACAAACTCACAGTACGGGGCGTCGTCCGCGGCGCATCGTTGGGTCTTTGCGCCGTCAATGTTGCTGGGTGTGGTCTCGCGTATGTACTTGGAAAGACAGAAAAGGAGTCCGAGAATAGTGCATGAGCAAACATGACGGGACAAAAGTGTACCATCATTCTTTCTCAGCCTCGACCGCCACTTAAACTTCCAGAAAACTGACAATTGACGACCAACGATTCCCAAAGGGGGGGATCTAGGCGGATCAGGGTTTCGGTCTGGTCCATGTATTATTACCAGTTTCAGGTTCCAACGCCTAGTGCTGTACAACGATCATATGCCATACGAACATCGCCAGGCCCTTCTATCTATAAGAATGGGGTATAACAGCGCAAGCCTCATTCCACAAGCAATTACCATGCATCGGCCCACCCTTCCTCCTCGTCTTCATTCTGCTTCTCCTCAACTTTCGCCTTTTCCACCTTCTTCGGCGCCACACCAATTTTCCTTGTCCCCGTCGTCCCGGTTGTATTTGACCTCCCCGCTATACTGGGTCGTGCGGTCTTCGTCGCTCCAGTGCTCTTAGAGAGCCCCTTTGGCAGAGGGCTCTTCAGAGGCTTCTTCGATGAGGACTGTGCTGCCAACCAGCCTGCGAAATCCGGCTCTCCCTTATCGTCGAACGCGGTAGTAGATGAACTAGCCACAGTAGGTGCAACGGGAGCCCAAGGGTCCTCGTCTTTTGTTGCGGTAGAGTCTTCCTCCCCGAAACCGCTCCAGTCATTACTAAAATCTTCTACATCGTTAAAATCTGCGGCGACGTCGGGGGATAAGGGCGAAGACTTGTTGAGTGCCATGCCCCGTTTCGGCTGCAATGTGACGGCCGCGGGTTTTGCGTTTTCTGTTACGGTAGAGGGCGAATTAAGTGGGGCAGAGGAAGAGCGAGAAACTGTTGTGGCGGTACCGTTGGCACGTATATCTCCACTTGCGGCGCTCAGCTTGTTGGTGAATGACGAAATGGCCCAGCCGGCCCAGGAGTTTTCCTGGGCTGGGGTGCCCATTCGGGGTGCACCTGAGCCCGTCTCTGCTGTGATTGAAGGGGATGGTAGGGCGGTGTCAGGCATAGATTGTGTGTATTTGCGAATACGGGCGAGATAGATGTCCAGAGTCTTCTGAGCTTGATCACGAACAAGTCTATTACATGATATTAGCAGTTGCAGGAGGGTTGAAGACTAGTGAATGTTACTTTTCCTTGTCGACTAGTGCCGGACACATGACGGGAAGTAGTTTGGTTGCACAGTCGTCCTCTGAATAAAGGTCAGCCGTGGCGGCAAGTGCCAGGAGTGCTGCATTTCGTGCGTGCACGAAGGGATCTCTTAGTGATCGTGAAAATGCCGCCGAGAGGACTTTTGCGCGATTCTGAAGGACAATAAGAGGACTGATCTTGTACTTGCGAGTTGGACAGACTCACATTGGCGCCAAGGTTGCGTGCTATTTTTCCCAAGCAGATAGTTGTGTTGGTACGTATTCCAGGTTGTTCGTCGTTCGCTGTTTTGGCAAGGTATCGCAGGAGTTCGCCATTGACTATTCGGTCAGAAAGCTTCGGTACCACGGTGAGTACAGCCTTGACGGTCTGTTCGCGGACGACAGGGGCGACGTCAGTGAAGCCGGTGACCTGGTGCTGTCAGTATATGGAATCGCAGCGTGTGGGGATCAACTTACCATCTGAGGAAAGATCTTGTCGTTTACAAGCTTCTGCGGGAGATGATCAATCATCAAAGGGAGGTTGTCAAGTAGACAGACACGAATTGCGCGATCAGGGTTGGCAAACAGTCGTACCACCACTGGCGTGATCTGAGCTTCATATTCCTCATCGGAAAGGTTGGCTCCAATTTTCATGACTGTGCTGAACACCTTAGCACCGCCACCACCGAATTCTACAGATTTCAGTAGCTCTGGGAGGACTTTCATCTTGAAGAACTCAGCAGGAAAGTCATCTGCAACATCGTCAAGCTTTCTATGAGAGTGTCAGCAGGTGTCGAGGCAAATAGGTTGTAGAAACTCACCCGAGTAGCTCATCTCTTTCCGCATCAGCCTTTAGCCCTAGATTTTCGATGTCTTCCGTGACCCGAATCAGCGGTGTCTGGAAAAACCCTCCCATGCGTTTGCCTTGGTCAAGAAACTGAGAGACACTCATGCGTGCCTTAGGATTTGGATTCAGAAGTCGTTTGTAAGACTGATGCATGCTCGGAGGTATACTCTTCATTTGGCCGAGCTGATCACTGCCGTGAAAACTGCCATTAAAAACTTCAAATATAAGAGTACCCAGGTTATATGAGTCAACGGCATGGGTAGGGTTCTGGCGTATGACTTCCCATCCACTTTTCGCGACCTCTGGTGGCATGTACCGTCCTGAATCCGGGATGAGGCTTCCACATGCCTGTGCAATTGTTGGTAGATCTCCATGTAGATTACAGCACCTTCTTACTTACCGGGAGCACAGCATCTTCATCTTTCATAGAGCTCAGAGCCTCGAACCCGGCAAGCTTCCACTCGCCACTCTCGCTGAAGAAAATCGAGGAAGGTCGAATACAACCGTGTATTGACGCGGCATCGGTATTAATGAACTTCAAGGTTTTCTGCTCGCATGCCATGAGTTTGTGCTTAATGCCGTCCACAAACTCGGAGACTTACAGCAATATTATGGAGGCCCCATTTTATGGTTTCTTCTGATAAACTCTTCCGCTTTACATGCCAGCTGAGCGGACTTAGCCTCTCTGTCGCAATGTAGATCCAAGAGTCGGTCTGCTTCGTCTCAGCTAACAGCCTAGCAAGACACGATAATCTTTTCTACCTCCACCGTATCGAGGACTTTCACCACCCCTGGATGCCGCAGCGTTCTCAATTTCCGTACAGCGTTGCGTGCGAGAGGCAACCGAGATCTATTCGCATTTACGTCGAATGAAAAGATGCTGCATTTTGAACCATCTTCCTAGCATAGGTCAGTCAGATACAGGGGCCAGAGTAGAGAAGAGAAAGAACCAAGGAAGGAGCCTTTACTCGTTTTGTGCCATTATGTAGGGTCCAAAGCGCATCGTCAATATCGACGCGATCTCCGAAGCTGTAGCCAAACGCGGGACCCTTGGAAATGGCCGATGCCACCGCTGACTTCAAAAAGTCCATGAGTATTAGAGAACCGATATTTGCGCGCAGTGAAGAAATGTGTGAAGGCAAATATTCGCGGCGCCGACTCCTTCTGGTATGATGCCAAGCCCTGTTTCAATGATGGATGATGAGGCCAACTTGGGGTTTGTGGAGCGGGAGGAGCTCGGGCCCTGCTAGTTCAACAGGTGGAGGGGTAGAGTGCGCGATCGGCTAGCGAGACGCATCACGTAACGAGGCACATTAGCACCCAGGTTCAGCTCAATTTGCTGCATAATAACTTATCTACGCTATATAATAATTATACTGTTAGAAGTTACTTTTTATAAATCTCTGTACGCGCTATAAATTCTAAATTTTAGCTTGCGAAAATATATTGTTGTTCTGTTGTTCCTTACGCGTTACAGAGGCTACTTTTTAGATACGATAGCATTACCTATACCTAGCAGTCCTGCTAGTTTCTGCAGCCTTCTTAAGCTGCTACCTCTTTTTATTAGAGAAGAAGCTGTATAGGAGGCTATAAACTCTTTTAAAAATAGCTCTGCATCCTCCCTGCATGCTGCAGCAACTGCTTTAGGTACTGCACAGTTAACTGTCTGCTACTAGGCAGCTAGCTAGCTAACGTGCTAGCAAGCGCATACTATGCAACAAGCTCTTATAAATAAACAAAAAGAGGCCTTATATAACTATATTATATCTACTACAAGCTAGAGCTTCCCTCTATAATATTGCAACATCTATAACTTTGCTAAAGCATTAACGTAGAGAAAGTTAGCAGTTTGTTAGGTGTAGAAATTTATATAGCATTGCAGTCTCTATACTATATTTATATCTATACTAGATAAAATACATGCCTATAACTATAATAACTCTACTTTCTAGGATTTTATATATCTTCTGTGTACTATTAAGTAGAAGTATAAGATTTAGATTAAAAATAAATAGAATATAAATAAAAAGAAGGTGCTGCTTAGGCAAGCATATTTAGCTAAGGTAATTATCCTAAGGGTTAACTTATATAAAGAGCACTAGCGCATATTTATTTAGCAGCTAGGAATCTGTAAATTAAAAAAATACCAACATTGGACCAAATTTTCTGCTCAGAATTATGGCTCCAAACTCGAAATACTATTTTATTGCAATAAGACGCACCTACAGTTCAATTTGCAGCCTTCTGCAGGCTGTACAGCAAGAGTTATTCACTGAAAAAGACCTGAAATCTGCCTCTCTGATCCGGCATCTGAGTTTTCCCAAAGGCTTGGCAGCCTCAGCAGCCTCTTCCAGCCACTGCAGGCCGCACCAGCCACACCTGCAGCCTGTGGCTTGACCACACTAGCCATAGACATCAGCCACATCTACCCAAACCAGACTAACACCGATCATCCACCCACAAAAACAACCACAATAGTTCAACAAAAAATCACAAAAGAAATCAGCCACCATCACATTTTTTATCACATCCTGCTGCCCTTGTCTCCACAAGGATGAGATCATATAATTTTCTCTGGATTTTCTATACTAGAAAAGAGTTGGATCTTTTTTCAGTAAGGCATCCACCTTTTCTAGGGAAAGGGCTATAGTCACAGCTTCTAGGAAGAGGCCAAGTGACAGTATAGACAAAGGTGCTATTCTGTTAGTCTCTGCTCACCCTACCTAGGCAACTAGGAGCAATAGTGTCAGATGGTAAGCCAGTTTATGGACATCCCATCTGGGACTAGAGAGGAGAACTAGGAGAAACTGTCTGTACCGGTATTGTCTGAGGATATGTGGCTAGTGATTCTGCAGTGGCTAGTGCCCTGCACAGCCTTGGTGCCCAGAGAAAGAATATCAAAACCAGTGTTAGGCCCCAGCCTCACCCACATAAGCACATACCTGAATACAATCAGTTAACCCATCCTTATTCAATCTTTCTGTCACTGTGACATCTTTAGATATCATCAAATCTGACAAAAATGCTGTATATTATAGAGGGAAATTAGGCGTTAATAAAGCTCTTTTCCTAGCATTTTATTACTAGGCATATAAAAAGGCATTTTAGATAAACAATATAGTTAGTGCCTAGAGGGCTGCTAGTTTAGAGCTACTAAGTGCTTAGCTAGCTAAACTACGCCTCTAGGAACTATAGAAAGAATCTATAACTAAAAGAGCTAGGTTAAATAGAGCTTATAAGACAGAGTACGCAGAGAGGATGTTGCCCTACATATCTAACTTTTATAAAGATTCCTTCTAGCCTTTTACCTTAAAGATTTAACAGCATACTAACAAGTTATATAAGAAGATAAATAACTATCTCTCCTCTTAAACTAATAGGCTTCTTAATACCCTAGTAAAGCTATAGATTAACAAACTTGTATAGGGGTATAGAGTTCTATAGACTTTACTAGAAGTAAAGGAGGTGCTTCTACTCTAGGGTAGATAAATATAAGATGTATAATATAATAGAGAAGAGGAAGAAGGGCAAGAACTACTTGTAGTTAAAGGGCAGAGTCTTTAGGCCTAAGGAGATTGCGCATTTAGAGAAAGAGTAGATAGAAAGGGTAGCAGAAGATAACTAGAGGGCTGCTGCTAAGGCTTATTTAGAGGGAGAATATATGCTAGAACTTAAAGTTGCAACATCTAATAGATTTGTTAGAGATCTAGGAGCTATTAGCTATCTAGATAAGTTATTTTAATAGGTTCTCTAGGTTAATTTTTAGGGTGCGCGGCCTAGTTGCCCTAGATTTAGATAGGATAGAAACTCTATGTTTTGTAGTAGCACAAAGGCCCCTGTTATAACCCTTAGAAACTACATTTTTATACTAGAGATGTACAGGATAGAAAAATAGGCCTAAAAATATGTATTCTACTAGGTTTCTTTATATATATTATGCGTTGTAGGTAGGTAAATTGTTAGTAGAAAACTACCCCTACACTGCCTCGTTACGTGATGCGTCTCGCTAGCCGATCGCGCACTCTACCTGGGCATCAATTAATCAAATCCATCCCTCCACGTGAACACGCGCCTCCCCCATAAGTTGGGCTTCATGCTCCACTTCCCCTCTCGTCTCCGACACCAAAGCTCGCACATCCCGAGTATCATCCATATGTCCTACACCCAGATCACGCCCTGTCTCAACCCTGGTTCTTGCGTGCCATTGCAATAAGACAAGAACGACATCTACTTCGTCCTTGTTCGACACGCTGCTGTGAAGCGTTAGAATATCCCGGTATACTACAGGTGAGACACATCTCTCTGAACATGCATATATTTTCATATTCCGAGATGAGAATATGTGAACCCCATATCGCGAATGCTCTTTTTCGATGGTTAGGCTCTGCTGGAACCTCAAAGAGAGTGCGAAGTGTTGGTAAAACTGGAAAGATCTGATGATGGCTTCCACTCCGGTTCCCTTGACTTCTTTTATCGGAAATATATGCTGATAAGGGTGCAGCGAGCGACAAGAGTGGAAGAGTTCCTCCGAGAGCATTCACTGAATGTGTATCTCCACTGACATCAGCTCAGCTGATCTCCCGTCTATACTGCGAAGGCACGCTTGCGAGAAGTTATGGATCATCAAGGTCTAGTTGACGCTGGACTGCGTGGTCTGCGTAAACGTACAGGCGGCCTCTCGGTCGAGATTTCGCCTCCGCCCCTGAAACGCCAGCGATCGCTCGCCGTGCCCGGCTCGGAGCAAGGGTTCTTGAACGGCGGGAGTCCCCAGGCTCTTCTCAGGTATCACGGACATCAGATTAGATGTTTTACAGGACGTAATAATAATGAACAGCAGAAACTCCACCTTACGGGTACCAACCGATTCTGCTGACAATAGTAGAAGGCTGTCTGGGCAAGGCGAAACCTCCCGTCACTCAATCGGAGAGTCATCACCGTGCATCGGTACTGGCAACTGTCAAGAAGCGCGACGGCCGTCTACCGCTAGTACGGCTAGTCGGTCAGGTAAACAAAGGTGCAATCAATGTGGACAGCCGTCAGCCCCAAGATATGATCCTTTCGTGAAATGCTCCTCGTGCGAAACCCGGTTCCATGATCGATGCCGGAAGCCATCTCTGAAAGAGAATGAGGATTGGTGGGTTGATTTTACCTCACGAGTAAGGCGTATTCCAACGACTGATTATGAACTAGCGCACAGTGGAGATGTTTTCGATGCATTGCGAAGAACCGAACCAGCATCGCATCCCACCCTGCGAATCACCCTCATCTAGCATTACAAAACCCTCTTCAGGAAGCTGGAAGGGACGTGCAAGTGGGCGAAGAGCGACACTCTGCCGAACAGACAGTGGCAAACGCACCGCGGGACGTCCTTTCTGGAGCGATCTTTTCTACGCAAAGGGGTCAGCTATCGCTTGACAGCGTCACTTCAAGTGAGGAAAAGGCTGCAATGCGACGGTCATCAATAATGAATATGCCCTTGCCTAATCTTGCTAACCATGGTAGAGTTCAAGCTGTAACAAACGGCCTTGATTCAGAACCAGTGGATATCCAGTCAGCAATACGCACCAACCGATCTCAGTTCAGAGATTCAGAATACGTCTCTGAATCAAAATTATGGGTTGAAGACGATGGTCTCTTCATGCCATTTCAGCCTATGCGGCAAACTACGATAACAGTTGATGCAGACATGCGGCTAGAGACAGAATTTCACGCTGCCTTTCCAGACCTGTCCGGTCTATCAATCCACAATATGTCGCAAGAGGAAAAAGATCTGAAGATTATGGAGATTAGGAACCGACCGTCCAGAAAAGCAACATTTGGGAAAACGGTACTCTCGCCGACTGGGAGTTCTACACTATCGGTTCAGAGCAAGCTGCGACGGTCGCCGAAACCCACTGTTGCGGACTCGAAGCAATCGATGTGGATTGCATCTAGGGTGGAAATACAAAGTCGACCCAACTCATGATTTGCTCGCTCCGTTATAGTCCGCAATTCATGCGCTCCGGCTCTCGGAAACGTTCGGAACGCACCCGAAGGTGGTAAATGGCACTTTGAGACGTGGCTATCCCAGTAATATGTAGAGATAAAGGTGTCAATAGAAGCAAGTGAGGATTGGAAGGCTCTGAGGACAGGCGGTTATGGTCCACAAATCAGCGAACACAGGGCCGATCGAGATGGAGTTGGATGTTATATGGGACTTGCGTCCCCGCAACTCGTCCTCCCTCGAAGGTAAACTGCTGATTTCTACTTACTTGGAAGAGGACATGCTACCGATGCTACTTGCTCAATGGAGCCAGTTTGTTGGTTGGAGGCATCCTATGCATGGCATGGCCACGCGCTCAGTTATGGTCTCCAGTGTCTAGGGCTCTCCGCAGTGAATGAGCATGGAAATCGTCCTTTAGGATGCTTCAACAGCCGTGTATAATCAACTACAACTTAGATAAGCGACACAATATGGCAAAGGACACAGCTTCCAACGAGCGACAAATGCGAGGCGACAGATTGGAAACCAGCATGTGGCTGTGGTGGCGCGCGGGCGCGTGCACAGACCTCTTGCGAGCGACGTTAAACAACCTGACGCTCGCTCGCCTTTTCGTCATTCACATCCTCCTAGTTGACCTCATATCACACCCTCTTTCTTTCCCTTACACCTTTACCCCTTTCACTTCATAGACGATCTCCGAAGTGAGAGCGACCGCATCCCCGTTCGCAGCGGTGTGCCACTGTCCAGTAGCCTCGTTCGAAAGCTCCCCAGGAGCTGGAGCTCCATTGCGTGACAGTCGTCAAGATTATCTCTACCACACCTCCTTTCCACCATGGCGGATACCGAACGCGACATTCGCGAGCCTGAGCACGAGGCCCAGGATGTGGAGAGGCACGAGGAAGAGAGACACGGTGAAGCCGCGCCGGCCGAGGAAGAGAGCAACGATCCTGTAATATGCACCCCCTCCCTTCTTTCTTAATCTGGGCAGCCCTGATGTCTTTGAGGAATGAGCAGCGCTGACCGACTATGCAAAGGACATCGCCGAAATGAAGCGACGCGTGCAGGAAATGGAGGAAGAAGCCGCCAAGCTGCGAGAGATGCAGGCCTCGCTGGACCACGAGCGCCACGACCTACGCGAGAACAGGGAAGACGTGGACGCTCGGAGTATCTTTGTCGGCAATGTCGACTACGGTGCCTCGCCGGAGGAAATCCAGGCGCATTTCCAGAGCTGCGGCAGCATAAATCGTGTGACGATTCTGCTGGACAAGTTTACGGGTCATCCTAAAGGGTTAGTCTTTCCTTGCCAAGAGGCGGAACGATGTCTTTCTCAAGGAATCATTTGAGGCCGCGTGCACGAGCGGGGTGGTGTTACCGCCTGAAACGGCGACCATTCATACGTTTGACTCAGTGTGTCCATCATGGCGGAGCATGCCCGCTTGTGACGACGCCTTATGGATTTCAGAGAAAGAATCTTCGCTACCTGGCAAGAGCTTGGCAGAAAGATTCAGAACGCTAATGAGCGTATGCAGGTATGCGTATGTTGAGTTCACAGAGCCGAGCCTGGTCAACCAAGCCCTTGTCCTAAACGACAGCGTGTTCCGGGGTAGAAATCTCAAAGTATGACCGTTTCCGGAATCTCCATTCTGAGCAACAGGCTGACTTGCTCAGGTCGTTCCCAAGCGGACTAATCTTCCGGGCATGTCTCGAGGCGGACGCGGTGGGCGCGGGGGCCGCGGTGGTGGATACGGCGGCCGTGGATCACCGTATGGTGGCAGAGGTGGATATGGTCCTCCGCGTGGAGGAGGTTATCGTGGTGGCTACCGTCCTCGTGGCCAGCAATATCGCCCTTACTAGACCAGCGCAAAGTCCAAATGGGAACTTAGGTCACCTACCACGATTGGGAGCCTCCTTGGTTTCGGCAGGGAAAATTTTTCTGTAAAGGGGTCTTGTACTTGTACTTGGAGAGGCGGCTTGCACTGGACTAACGGACCTCCAATCGCCGACGGCAACATGTCAAACATCGAAAATTGCGAGAAACTGCTTGGAGCACGATACCGCGGCGGGGCTCATAATGGGGGTCAATTTATTAGAGGTTCACAAATAGGACTGATCCGGCATACTTTGGCATCATTCTTCATTTTCGAGGTCTATCTGATGCAGTTCGTACGCGAGCCACCCCCGAAACCGCACGAAACCGCACGTCACGCTTTAACCTCGACACAGGTAAACCCTTGTCAGAATCCGAAGACCCAGAGATCTATTCCAGCCCAAAAGTAGTCCCGAAAAATCCGAGGCAAACCCCTGCAAAGAGACTAATGAAAGAAGTCGACGTAGGCGCCTGAACTCCCAAGAAATCCCGGTGCTCCGCGCCATGCTTTCAAAACTCATAGAAGAGAGGAACTCAGTATACATATCCGATTATTTGCCATAGCGTCTCAACGGTCCCCAAGGGGGCGCGCCCTCCATGGCCCGCGGCCCAATATCCCGCTTTCTCGAATTCCATTTACCCAGTAGCACTAGCAGCTGGCCAGCTCAAGGCGCAGGATTCTCCTTGACTATCGAACGGATCTTTCGTTCATAGGCGGCTCTATCCTTCTTAAAGAGGTTAAAGGCGTCGGCTTGGGCGGGGGACTCGGGGTTTGGCTCGTCGAGAAGTGATTGGATACCTAGAAGAATCTCCTTGACTGTGATAGCGGGTTTCCAGCCTTCCTCTTCGTTGAGGATCGAGAGGCAGACGGTGCCGGAGGGGTAGACGTTTGGGTGGAAGAGAGGCGGAACGAATTTGCCTGGTGACGTATGTTAGATATTGCGGTCCGGGAAGTGAAATGAACATAAAGGATTTGTCGCGCTGTCACCTACATTTCGGCGGCTTGGTAGGATACTCTTCATACCCATATTGTCAGCTTTCAGCTTTCACTGTCCAGTGTATATAGGTGCATACCGTCAGGGAAGGTCACCTCAAGCTTGAACAGCCCTCCCTCCCATATTGTCTTTTCCTTGCCAGGAACACCGCATTCCCATCTTTTGAGATCCATGACGCCTTGGGCGTTGCGACTGGGTTTCGCGAAGAAGCCGAAGGGATGATCGCGCCGCCACTGCTTCCTATGCAGAATATAAGTTTAGGGGCAAGCAACGCGGACACAGGGAAACTTACCGCTCTTCGGAGAGCCGGGTTTGGCAGAGCGACATTCTGGAGGTAGACTGCGAAAGGTAATGTTGTGTGAACGGCGCAAGTTGGCACAGATGCAGCTCTATATAGCGTGGCAAGACGGTTGTGAAGAATGAGGCCCTTGTACGGCGGGTTCTATACAAACCGGTGAAGTGAAGTGAAGGTAAGGAGCGAGCAGCGCAACGTGAAGTGTGAACTTTGTTGAACGAGTCGTCGCAAACGCGCACGTGACCGGACTTTTCAGCCACACGTTGCTGGCTAGGTTCACCCGGCGCTAATGGAGTAAAAGATCTGGCCCCACTTGAGCCGAGGCAGTAGTGGCACCGAAGGTCTTGTCTCCATGCGGACGGCATCGGCAACGGTTTCCGTATGAGATCGTTGGGAAAAGGTGCACCCTTGGACAGGACAAAGCCATTCTATTCTGAACTTTCTACTACACGATGTCAGAGACAGATTTGAAAAAGGAAGAACTTCCTAAAGTGGAAGTCGCCAAAGAGGAGACCCCGCAACAGGCGGCGCAACAGCCTGTGCCGCAGCCAGACGTTGCATCTGACCCTGAGGAAGATGATCTTTCTGACCTCGACGGTGATTCCTCTTCTCTTATTTAGGTACTCCCTCTGACAACCATCCAGACGTCCTCGATGAGTTCGCCAACACCAAACTCGACGAGTCAAAGTCCTCCGCCCCCTCCGCGCTACCTACCTCCGGCCCTGGCAGACCGGACCCAGCAGATCTCCTTGCAAGCGGACAGGATGACGAGTTCGCGAGGCAGCTACAGGCCGAAATGGAGCAATTGCTCGGGAAGCAGGATTTTCAGAAACAGTTTGAGGATATCTTGAAGGAGGTGGGGGATTTGGATCCCGAAACTCTGGCCGCTGCACAAAAAGGGGAGGGCGCGCCCGTGCCCAGCTCGTCATCTGCTGCGGAGAAGGCGGAGCGGTCATTCCAGGAGACCATACGGCGGACCATGGAGCGCATGCAAGAGTCTGGAGAGCAGGCAAGCGCTGCGGCGGCGTCGGCGGACGGGGATGATATCCTGGCGCAGATGCTGAAGGAAATGGAGAACGGGGGTTTTGGGGGTGAAGGGAGCGATGAGGACTTCTCGAAGATACTCATGGGCATGATGGAACAGTTGACGAATAAGGAGATTCTGTACGAGCCTATGAAGGAGCTGAACGACAAGTTCCCGAAGTGGATGGAGGAGAACAAGGACAAGGTTCCAAAAGACGACCTTGAGAGGTACGAAGAGCAGCACATACTGGTTCGGGAAATCACGGCGCGGTTTGAAAGGAGTGGATATTCGGATTCCAATGCGCAAGATCGGGAGTATATTGTTGAGCGGATGCAAAAGGTACGTCGCCGTGCAACGATACCCATGGTGCTAGATACTGATCTTTGCAGATGCAAGCGGCTGGGTCTCCTCCACCCGATTTAGTCGGCGATATGAACGCGGCTCAGGAAGCGCTCAGTGAAATAGACCAGGGTTGCCCAACACAATGATTGACCCTCAAATTGGCTTTCTTACTCCCTTAATACCCGGCCAAATTTTCGCTCCTGCGTTGTACGAGTCTACCAATATACAAGTTGATCCGACCACAAGCTCGAGGCATCTGATGAAGCATATCCCTCAAACCTTCTCTCCGATATGCCCCCAGAGTGTTACAGCTATTCAACCAGCCGTCATGTCCATGGCATCAGGATCGCGTGATTCGAAGGTGGGAGCACCGGGTGATGCTTGTCCAGCATCACCAACCGCAATCCTCATGAAGATCTCGTCATAGTCGTCATCATCACTGCCGTAATGTTCGGAGGTGTCATCGCCATTCCGTTGTTCCTCTTCCATAGCGGCAATTAATTCTTGCAACTCACGCTCTTCCTGTGCCAAGATATACTCCGCTTCCGCAATATCGCGCTCGGTCCGTGGCTCATTGCTCTGGAAGGAAGGTGCTGAGGAAGCTTCCAACGCGCTTTCCGTCACCAGTTCTTCGATAACGTCGTCTTTCAATTCGGGCGCCTCTCGTGTTTTCTGCGCTTCCCAACGCTTCTGCTCTGATATCCAGTCCAATTTTTGAATCTGCATACAATCAGTCATTGCCACAAATCGGAATCGACACAGGTTGTTGACTGACCTGCTCCCCTCGCGCGTGCCACCTCTGATCATCCCGATCCTTCTGTAGCCTCCGAAAGAACATGTCGCGTCTCCGCTGTGTAGTTGCCTCGCGGCTCTGCATCACGGGGTTCGGCTTATGTGTCCGCTGGGGAACAGTCTGTTTCTCCTGTTCGAGCTGTGGCTGCGATGCCATTGTGGAGAATAGCGGACGCGGTGCGGCGTTTGCGGGGACCTCCGCGAGCGGCGATCTTCTATGAAACATGAACGGGTTCTGATAGTACAGTGGAGGTGCGGAGAGAATCATTGTTAGGGAAGAACGCGTCGAAATCGAGATGGGCGATGCTGGTCGTTCGTGGTGCGGTGGGGGATGTTGAGATGGAATGGCAGGTGAGCCTGCGCGAAGGGAGACGCGGGTCGCGATGGCGCGCGGGTCCGTGCGTGCAAAAGCTGGGGTTGGGTATTTACGCTAAACTCTAAATGATGAGCCAAGGTTCATAGGTGAACGACATCCGCTCCGATGATGGGGAGGGGAACATCAAACTAGAAAGCGATATGGTCATCATCCGCTAATTTGCAAGGGATCTTGTTTGAGTGAACTGGGTTAGTTGTTACACTCCTCGCTGCACGCTCAGACTGAATTCTCGATATTTCAGTTCAAGTTCCATCAAGCCTGAACAGTCATAGAGGTTGACGTATTGGTACACCAGAGGTTCTTCAGTAGGACTCTACGGGAACCGCGCCCCATGAGGGGAAGAATAAAGGGTTCTAATCAATTGCCCGGATCCGTCTCTTCAGTGACCTCCCCGAAAATCGGTATCTGGATGAGATGACGACAACTGGATCATGCCCACATTATCCTTCGTACCAATCGTGCATGGTCGTAGCAGAGCTTACGGAGAAGTCTTACGCCTGTTTATGGTAGGATGCGGAAAACGGGCGGCAGAATCCGATCAGATCTGTATCCAGGCTCGCTTTCTGGGGAAATAAATTGCTCTCCAATCAAAACGCCGCGGCAGCAATATATGTATCCAGGCAGGTGCCAGAATTGATTTTGACTACGGGACTGGAGATATATCTTTGCTTAGCCCATGCTCTCTTCGACTTCTCTTCTGGAGTTCCATCCCTTTCCGGTTTGCATTGCAATCTTCTCTTCTCCTCTTGTTCTGCTCCATTATTCATCATGCACACCAGAAACCTCGTTGTCCTCCTCCCATTCCTCTCTTCGCATGTCTCTGCGCATACGTTCATATGGGTTAGTGTTCTTGCTTCTCCATTACCTAGCCTCTTACACAAAACGTCTCCGGACAGGGCGTCTTCGTGAACGGGGTCGACCAAGGCTCCTTCAAAGGCATCCGCACGCCTCCCTACAACGGACCCCCTGGTGGTGGTGGTTACAACAATTCGCCTGTCAAGAACCTCACGTCAATTGATATCCGATGCAATGTTATGGGGGATATTCAAGCACCGGATACGATTGTAGTCCGGCCGGGGGACAATTTTACGTTTGACTGGTAGGCTTCGACCCATACTGATCCAGTTGCAAAGGATGCGTGTAGTAATGATGTAGGCACCACGATAAGAGAAGCACTAATGACGATGTCATTGCTAGCTCGCATCACGGTAACTTTGATTCCTCCTTGAACCTCATTTCAATATCCATTCTCACACGTCTCAAGGTCCGTCTCTTGTCTACATCTCCCCAGACCCACCGACCGAGAACTCCTTTGTCAAGATCTGGCACGAGGGCCTGTATGAAGAGTCTGTGTTCCCGAACCCAGGGAAGTGGTCCACGACGCAGAACATTGCCGCCAACGGCGGATCGATGAATGTCCGCATACCTCCAGGGTTGAAGTCAGGACAGTACGTCGCCCTATCCTAAGTATTTCCGCAACAACCAAGCATACGAACAAGGCCTATCCAAGGCTATCAACTAACTGACCTCAGCTATCTCATCCGCGCCGAAATGATCGCACTCCACGAAGGCGAAGTCTCGTACCTCAACGTGCCCGCCCGCGGCGCCCAATTCTACCCCAACTGCGTGCAGATCGAGGTAGTGGATGGCGGCGACGTCGAGCTACCACAGGGCGTCTCCTTCCCAGGTGCTTATGATTACGATACTCCTGGTATCGTCTACGATGTACGTCTCCCATCCCCACGGGGCCGTTCAAAACTCCGTCCCATCTTCTGTGCCACACTTCCTCCTTTCTATGGATTACCTAACTTCCCTCCCCACCTAGGTCTACTGCTCCACCGAAACCCCCAAAACCCCCCGCGCCACCCCTTGCACCACCCGCTACCCCATCCCCGGCCCTACCGTCTGGACCGGCGCCTGGGCAGACACCACCTCAGTGCCCCGCGGGCCCATCGAGGGACCTACAACGCATACGTCGTGGTCGACGTGGATCCGGACATCGACGGTTACGTCGGCGTCGTACACGGATAAGAAGAGCATCAGTGTCGTTGGGACCAGTGTGTATACGCCTAGTTGGAGTACGACGTATCAGACCCCGGTAGCGGCGACGGGGCGGTGGTAGAGTGTAGAGGAGATAGGGGCTGAGAGGGGTGGTTGCGTGAAGGGCAGAGTAAAGGAGTAAAGCTTAGTCTTGTCTTGTCCACAGTGTTGGATCATTGCTCGTCTGGTTTTCCGCTGTTGCGTGAAGAATCAAGAGTAAGCGCGCATTATCTGTCTCCTCGCGCCCGAGAAATGTACTTAGAGGCTGTTTATCATTCATCCCGTGCAAGACCTCGCACCCATAAACCTCTTAAAAACCATCTTCCTTGTGTAAGCCTAAAGGTCGAATCCGTGGATTCCAACAATGGGGACAAGGCCAAGTGAGACTGCGTCTCCATTGCAACCTTATCAATCCAACTCGTGAAGGAGAAACTCTTCCTCCCATCCGCGGTTCGAACTGACGTTGTTTGTTTTTTCCTGGACTTTCACTTGCCAGAGTAAACCAACACCTCTCCCGCCATGCAACTCTCCGAAACACAGACCCCCATGTCCTTCCATCTCACATTTATGCATCATCCAAATTGTTCACGCTGAGTGTTGCGTAAGGAGTACATAACGTCTCCTTCCGTTGCTGTAGCGGTTCATTGCGTACGTCTTGTATGCGCTTGCGTACCTAGGTAGTGGATACTGGACACCAACACTGAATAGCAGTCAACCACGTCCCGCCAAACCAGCCCTAGCAATATTATTCTCGCATATCCAATCCCAGTTTCAATCGATCCACGCACTCCATTTGCGCGAGCAAGAGGGATGTATTGCGTAGTACACCCATCGAGCGCCACAATCGTGACGAAGCTCCAAGACCCCCAGATCCAAGTGCGAACAGGAAGAAAGCGACGGGCATCCGACAAACGAGGCAAAGAACGCAAGGCCGTGCAGAGAAAAAGGAAAGAAAAAAAATGCACAAGGCCAGCTGAAAAAGCGAGATGGACGCCATTTTCTTTTGCCCACAAACAACAATTCTCTCTATCTCTCCTCTCCTCTGACCATATCCTACAATATGCGAATGAAGTGCATAAATAAGGCCATCACCAACCTTCCGCTTTTGTCCCTTCCCTTTTTCTTCACTTCCAACCCACGATGCAAAGTAAAAACCAAGACATATCCAAAGCGCCGTCGTAAAGGTCGTTAGTTAGTACCCAAAACAAAATCCGACCGATGGGAATATTGACTCCGCGAAGAATGCTCGCTGCAAGTGCATGCGTCCAACGCCCAAGAACAGCGCTCTGACGGATCATGAACTGTACGATATGATATGTGTCCTTCGCCCCAATTCCGGTCCTTATTCTGACTGTCAGGTCATTTAGTAACCCGACCTCTCTCAGCCCAACGCAGGTCGCAACCGTAAGAATATGCTTCCCGCGGAGATCAACTTCTGGAAATGTTTTACCTCCCGCAAAAGCTATGCCATCCATTTTGTAAATGCAATGCAATGCAACTTTTAAAATGTCTTGGCTCAAAGGCCGTGCATGCTACGTCATGATTCGTCGCAAACTTCGTCAATAGGCGTTGGTGGCACAAACGTCGATGCCCCCGAATTGGCAAGAAGCGCATCCAACTCCTCCCTCCAACCCGCCCTCTCCTCGATACAAGCAGCTTCGAGCGAATTCGTCCATTTCCCACTGGTTCCCGCATGGGTATGCTTCAGGTGTTGGCGGAAGTGGTCGGTCCGCCAGAAAAGCCTACACTTGGAGGCATCGTCAGTTTTGTGGACCTGGCTCACGTGTTCCTGGCGAGCTGTCCAGTTGGGGGGATTGGGAAATTCTTCCCCGCAGTAGCCGCAGACGTCGGTGGTACCGTGGCTGCAAGGCGAGGGCGAGAAGGCTGCCCGTATCCCTGGAATTCTGATGCACGACCAGGAGTATCGTCGGATATGGATGGACTGCTGGTGCCGTTCCATTTCGTTCTTGTTCTTGAACCGGTTCGGGCAGAATGCGCACTTGAATTGGCGCTCGGCTCTGTGCATCCTAAAAGGCAACGGTCAGCTTGGTCATCGCTGGGGCAAGAGAGGTAGGCTGGGCGTGCGAGCACTCACTCTAACTCGGCCTCAGTTTCGAATTTTCTGGGCTTCTTCGGACAGCAGTCGCACTGGTAAGGACCGGACATGTTACCGCAGACAGAACTATGTCGAGAATGGAAGACGCTATCCGTAGACATCTTACGATGGTCGTAGTCATGTAGCGGACGCTGATGTGGTCTTGATATGGAACCACGCCAGCTTGAGTCGCCGGGGCGACTGGCTGTATAAGGCGATAGAGACCCAGACTCAGCTTCCGCCAGGGGGGATAGTGCGCCAGGGGAGTGCCGTTGGTCGCCGTTATAGCTCGTCATACTACTTGCTCCAGAGAAGGCGAAAGATGATGCAAAGGAGGAATTGTATTGGCTCAAGGAGGACGCGGCGGACGCAGGGCCCTGCGGTACTGGGAAACGCGAAACCATGGGCGAATGGCGCTCATTCAGCCTTGGAATCGAACGTCGATGGAACAATTCGGCGCTCGTCACCCCTGCTGTCCGATTCTCGGACATGGACTCTGAGACTGGAGGTGACGATGCGCGTCGCTTCTGCCCTGCCTTGTTTGCCGACGAGGGGTCTTCAAAGGCGGCTGGGCTGCGATCGCGAATGTTCAGATCCCGTATGGCAGTATCATCCATGCCCAAGTCGGAGTCAGACAGCACAAAATCACAGCTACCCCGATGCTGCCGCAACGGTGTAGGCTCCTCCAAGTAGCTGACAGCCGATATACTGCCAAACCTCCTCGGAAATGGCTCTGCCTCGATACCAACCGGACTACGAAAGCCAGAGTATCCGGGCGACAAGGTGGCAGAAGGCGGACAGCGCACAATAGGAGAATCGCTCGAGCGGTGCGGTCGTTCCGGTAACGATAGCGGTCTCAGTTCGCTACTACGCCTGTTGAAGGAAATGTTCGAGACATCCTGGGCGCTGACGGAGAGCGAGGGGGCGGACGTGCGGGTTGGGGTGATGGGAGAGGCGGTATTGGGGCCCCCAATCTTGGAGAGAAGCTGCTTGTCGTATGCCTGTGAGGAATTCTCGAGGGTCTTCTGTTCGAGTTGTCGTTCGCTAGTGAGCCTGGATGGAAGCGAATCGACTGTCAGCGGATGCGGATACGTCGAGCCTAGGATTATGGCGGCGCGGGTACGAGATAGATTGAGCAGCTCTCACCTGTAACTGGAAAGACTTGGCCGTGCCATGCTGCGGTCCTCATCACTCGGGCCATCCAGGCTATCGGAGCTCATGTCGTCGTGAGGTTTGGAGCCAGACCGAGTCAACATAGTACCGAGGAGACTGGAACCTGGCTTGATATTTGCGAAACCATTCTGGCTTGTGTTACCAAATTGCCAACCAAGGTCGGGACCGCTTCCAATGTTGCGCGGGGGAGGCAAGGGAGGCGGTATCTCTTCGCGGGCTCGGGGGATAGGCATAGCTCCGGACGGGCGCGGGTGCGAAATGGAGGCGATGTGCTGGGGCGCACCCGGGTCATATACCCTTATGGCCGGCGTGGACGTCGCCGGCGACATGCTCATAGTGAAAGGAGCAGGAGGAGCTCAGCAGCGGTGAAGCAGGAAGGGATGGCGGATGGCGGGAAGTTGCCACAGCGAGGGCAGCTGAAGTCGAGCGTGTCAAGCGATGGATCAATGGGCCGGTATGCAGTGTGGTGAAACTGCGCGAGTGGTGGCTGCGATGGGCGCACCGAGCAGCGCGAGGAGAGGGGCGGGAGGCACCGAGGCGTGTGGGAATGAGGCTAGTGTATGGAGCACGACGGGAGGAGGTTTTGGCGCAGGGCTGCAACTGGGTCTTGTCGACAACCACTCTGACGGCGTCGCCGGCCACGGGGTGCTGGGACGAGGGGCGATGGAGGTGGTGCGGCGAGCAGCCAGGAATTAACGGAAGTCCCGTCGCTGGCCGCGCAGCGTGGGAGAGATGCAGAGGTGAGAAGGGTGGAGGGAGTGGTGCACGGGTGTGTCGGCGATGTCCCTGATGAAGGCGGTTAGCGCAGCGGCTAGACGTCCAGGGTTCAGCCCTACAGTACCACCCACCCTACCACGGGCGAGCCCCGCCGAACACGAAGGAATAATGAGGCTCGAGCAGCTGATGAGGGAGACAGATTTGCGCGATGCAGGGTGATAGCTAGGTAGAGAGGACAGACTGGAGGCAGGTCGAAACTGCCGTCGTAGCTGAGGCGGGCGAGACGGTCGTTGTCGCTGCTGTCGGTGCTGTCGAGGAAGCACGGGGCATGGTCCTACTGCGTATACCGCGTTCCACAGGCCTTGGTATTATTCACAGGGTCGAGTTCAAGGGCCGAAAAGCGCAAAGTGACGGCCAAAGAATAAGAATGGGTGCTGAGAGAAGAAGAAGAAGCTTTCCTTTGGGAAGCAGCGGAGGACGCAGCATAAAGGTTGTCGGACATGGGCCGTGTGCGGGAGGAGTCGTCGAGACCTGTTGGCAGCCCTTCGGCCGTGATTGGGCGGCGGGAAGAGGAGACTGGAGAGTGGAGACAGGGGCCCTGGTGGGCAGCAGCTCATTCACTGATCAGAAACTTCTTCTCACAAACAGGGCTCTGGAAACAGGAAGTCCGGGGCTTGCATCCAGAGAGCAGGGCTGCGTCCAGGGCTGTCTCCAGGGCTGTATGCACTGCTGCAGCCCTTGCACTTCTCGTGAACCATTGGGACGGCTATTTTCTTCTTTTCTCTTGTATGGCGCTCTTGCAGGCTGAGCACCCCAGCACACCGGCCTGCTTGCCCAGTCATGGCGGTAAAGGACCCAGGTATTGGTAAGAGTTGAGGTAATCATGTCCGGCCTCCGTCTCTCTCGAGTCTCTCTCCTCCCAATAACCTGGGACGGCTCACTCAGCCCTTCTGGTTACTTTACGGTAACCTTTTCCGCGGAGGGGCCAGTCGGCGCCATGCGCAGTACACAGTACAGAGTACTGTGTAGGTACTCGAATTCCCGTAGGTAGTGGATTGAGAGGATTCCCAAGGTTGCGTCAAGCGGGAGCAACACGGCAGCCGTGTCGTAACGGCGTCCGTGCTTTTTCCCAGCCTTACCGTATTACTTGTTACTGTGGTACACCAGTCTCAATTCGTACAAGCCCCGCACAGCCACTTGGTGGCGTCTACCCAGCCCTATCGCCCCTGCCGAGGTCCTTCGCTTCCACCTGCACGTCCACCATCGCCACACACTCACTCTTCTTCTACTACTGTGGAACATAGGCTACCCTCTTCTCTGCGCCCAATTCTAGCAACGCTTGAATAGCTTGTCCCTGAGAGTGTCAGGAGAAAAGCAGCCTAGTAAGATTTCTGTGACACCCTTTGGAGGAGGGGTTGCACGTTTCATCATGGCTCTCATCGACAAAGTACCCGGCGAATTGAAGCTGTACATTGGCGGGTATGTAGCCAAGCTGACCTCACATCTATCCATCTCTTCCACAAACAGAACCATCTTTCGCTCGATAGCTGACGCCTCATCGCACTCACAGCATGTTTACCTTGCGTCGTCGCGAGGCCCTCGAGCAAGCCAACATCACCCATGTCTTGTCGGTGCTGCGCTTGCCCCTGGACAAGGCCTTGTTCGCGCCCTTCAAGCACATGGTCGTCGAGGTGGACGATACCGACGATGAGAATCTATTGGAACATTTTCCTGCAACCAACGCCTTCATCCAAGAGGGCCTTGACGGCGGTGGTGGCGTTCTTGTGCATTGGTGAGTCGCATTCCAGCTCGGGCTGAGCCCCTGCATATTCATCACCGTTCAATTCATCCACATGAACCCTCTTTTTTTCTTGGCCATTTTGCCCTTCCACAACCTCATGCTCTGCTGCACGTATCATTGCCTCGCCCTCCCAGCTGCCGCTTTTGCTTTCCTCCTTGTCGAGGCGAGCACGGAAACGCCCAAGAGTGGGCGAAAATGGTTACCGTAGCCTTGGTCGTTGACTTCTACGTTTGGTTGGACCTCAACCTCCCAAACCTGAAAGCATGTTATGAGCTGCGGATACATCTCCGCCCACGCCAACGTCCCATAGACCTTGGTCAATCTCAGTTCCTTGTCCACCTTCCTCCTCTCAAACTTCCGAATTTTCTCCCCCCTCAATACACCGCTCCTTTGCCACTCTATTTTCCCACCCTCAACAGCTCAGCTCAACAATTCGTCATGCCAACACCTTCTCTTCTAGTGCCATGGGAAAGTCTCGATCCGCCACATGTGTCATCGCTTATATGATGCACAGATACGGGAGCAGTGCTGCTGAGGCCCTGACTCTATTGCGGCAGGCCCGCTCCATCTGCGAACCAAACGAAGGCTTCATGAAACAGTTGGAGCTGTACGAGAAGATGGCCATGCCCCTGAATGTCGAGCAAGTCCCGGCCTATCAGCGCTGGCGGTATCAACAAGAGATCGAGTTGAGCAGGGCTTGCGGACAAGCTCCCGAGGCCGAGAAGATTCGGTTCGAGGACGAGTATCATACAGACGGTAATGCCGCGTTTGAGCTGAGGTGTCGCAAATGCAGGTAAGTGGAGCATTGATGTGTAAAAAAACGCAGATCCAGAGTCTCCTGTCCCATCCATTTCCTGCCGCCAACCAGGCATACTGAGGAGTAACACTGAAACAGACGGCCATTGGCCACGTCTCAATATATCGTGGCGCACGCTGTCTCCGACACTACTGAGAACAGCTCCTGCAGACGTCCTCCCCAAGCTTGCGCCCACTATTTCCTCGATCCCCTATCATGGATGCGTCCCGAGCTTGAGCAAGGCAAATTGGAGGGCCGACTCGAATGTCCAAAGTGCCACACCAACGTGGGCAAGTACGCCTGGCAAGGCATGCAGTGTAGCTGCAACGAGTGGGTCGTTCCGGCGATTAGTATAGCGAAAGGCCGCGTGGACGAAGTACGCAAGTTGACCGACACAGCCAGCTCTGCCATCCGCCTTCCCCCAGGGGCCTCCGTCCGGCCGCCAAGTGGACTCTCAAGGCAGAATCTCTGAAGCCGGCTAGTCGGATACTTGCACTGATTCAATCTGCCTAGAGTCACATGCCAGCGGTGATCAGTATCAGGCACACCTGGGCAGTCAATTGAAAGTCACGTGATGTTGCTCCCGATGCCCGAGTCGAGCAGAGGAACACGAAGAAGCCTTGAATCTTACTCTGACCGGACTCCCTCCAAAATCCCACAAGCAGCAAAAGTCTTTCCCAACGCCGCAATCGCCTTCCTGCCAGCCGGTATCTGCACTATCCCGAGCCTAGCACAGCCACTGTCCCATCGTCTTGGCATCCCTGTCTCTCCCCGCCTAAGCTTATCCCATTATTCTACTCCCGAACATATGCAAGCCTGCAAACACCTATGTAATTTTTTTGCACAGCCTGGGAAACTGCACAAAGGTTATGATGGACCCGGAGCCTGACAAGCTTTCAGGTCCTCGTGAGTCGCTTGGAACGAAGCACCTTTGCCCCTAACCGTTGCGCTGGGACGGGTGTGCGTAATAGTGAGGCGATGTTATGCCTGTCTGTCTTGGGGCTATAGTCTCGGTAATCCGGCTAGTGGAGCTGTACACCGTGTGGCGATACAGTTAACCCGGTTGACAAGAAATTGCACTGCACTGCACACTACCTACCGCCACGGCCGTTGAAGAATTGCGTTTTGGGTTTTATCGCCGTTGGTGAAGTTGCACTTGTAGTGTTTGATCGCCTGTATTAGAAGGCGCACGTGCAGCGATGAGGTCGGTGGATTCCACGTGCTATACAACTTTGGAGCACCTGTTGCTGTGATGGAACGTCCACAGTATGCTTGTTGTGGCGGACCCTGGAATGTTTATTGCTGCTGTGAGAGTTCGTATATTCCTAAGGGGACAGACGTGGACGAGTCTGCTTGTGCTAGATGGCGGCTAGAGAATTTTTTGATATTGATGTCTGCAGTAAATGTTTTAAAAAGAAAGTACTGCGCTGTGCTCCGTACTTGCCTCTGATTTTCGTTTAGAGGTTTGATTAACCCTTGGAACACGCCGATATCGATTTGGTTACTGCGAGATCACGCATTCTCGAGAGCTATAGGAGTTCTGATACGTATGATCTCAACAATTGGGAAGTCAAGATTATTCGAACGCGCATCTACGGGAACCGTCTATCATGCATGTTAGACTACTCCTAAGGTCGAGACTCGACCCAATAACATGATCACATATAGTAAGCACCGTCTTCGACACGTTTAACGGGTATCTACAGACTACCCGAAAGATCATCTGCACACCCCCAATACCGGCATACATGCACGACTCCGCACATTCACTTATCTAATCGTCCTCTTCCCCTTCTTCACCCAGCAATCCAGCATACTCTCGGCTCCACTTGTCAAATCCCCGCAAGTTCAAGCGTGGTACATATCTCACCGGTCAGGTTACCGATGGAGAGCGCACCCACCCATCGCACCTCGCAATTCGCACCAACGACATCACGTCCTCGCACGCCACCCTGCCATAACTGATTCATCTTTGAATGTATGCGAAGTTGCAGTGTAAGCGGTGAGCGAGCCAGCTAGGTGCACCCGGCTTACCACATCACAAGCGCCAGCAGCAGCCCACCGCCAGCGTATTCCATCTTGGGATCCAAGATGGCAAGATCGTAAATGAATAATGGATCAAAATCAAAGTCAATTGAACACACATGCATGGGGTACATGTACTATGATATCCAGCGTCTGCAACCTTGTGAGTCCACCAATGAAAGCTGAGCTGATGCAGATGAACAGATTGGCGGCATGGGACCCGAGGTGAGGAGTGAGTTCAGTGAGATTTGTCGATGCGGTCGATATGAGACGCGTGCAGGTTGAGGAAATGACGAAATGGTTACTCCGGACTGATACCCAGATAGGCGCTCGCGGCTGGTTGGTGAATGGTGTACCTACCAGTAGGTGCCCAGGCGTGTTGCCGCCGTGGGGGAAGAGCGCGCTGCGGGCGGTGTATGGGAAGGGTGGAGCGTGGGAGGGTGATGTGGGTACGATGTTGGTTTTGCGGTGTCAGCAGTGCAGATATGCGTTCATCCATTAGTTACATTGGGGACAGCGCCAAAAAGTAATGAGGGAGTCAAACCGAACCGTAAAGAAACTTCCGATTCTCACACTCCAAAGCGCAAAAGTCACCCCTTCGTAAAAGGCAATACGTGTCACCAACCCCTCATAACCTGCCTTTCTTCTCCACGTTCATCAGTCGAAAAAGGTGGTCAGCATTCCCGTCTGACAGCGCTTGTCCGTTTCGAGCCAAACCCAGAATTAAAAAGGCTGCCCCCGTGCGCACACACACAATGTGGGCCCGTAATAGTAACAGATGGTAAGGGCTTGGATAAGCCCTGCTCTTCGGAGCCGGCCGCTAATTGATGACTGCAGTACGATGCATCGGTGAAGGAGCTTGCCGGCCGTGCGTGGTGTAAGGCTGGCGGAGCGGAGCGCCGGATGTTCGGCTGCGAGTCGCAGGTATTGGTGCAGAGGGAGGGAGAGGGATTGTAACGAGTGAATTCCGTCTTCCTCGACGTCACTGATATGAATGGTCCTCTCCGTAGTACAGGATGATGGCATATAAGAACCAGGATGGCACGTCATTGCCGGGCGCTTGAGGATGGGTCGTTGCTGGGTACAGATGGGAAGTAATTTGGATCGCTCATTTTTTCGCGGTTGCGTTTGGCGATTTCTGCGTTGCGAATCCGGTCGAGCCGCATTTGGTAGAAACTCCTGGCGCATGTCAGCACAGCAGGGCAAGAAAACCTGGGTCAAGTGCAATCGAGCAAATTCATGCCCGCGAACCCGATATTTCCGTTTCAAATGCGGCAGCATTGAGAAAAGAGGCACAGAAGAAGTAGGTAAGCTTGCACAACGAAAACCGGGTGCCCGAAATTTTGCGAAGTCTGAGACACATTGAACAAGGAAATAGGGAGACATACTTGTTCAAAGAGTAAATTCGAGGCCCTTGAGCTGTCTGCGCTTCATCCTTAGTTTTTGAAAGCTGCGCAATCTGATCAAGGTCAATCAGTCATGAAATTGCGACAGTTCGAATCCCGTACCTTAGCGTCTTTAGCTTTCTCTTCGGCCTTGTCCTCTTCCTCGTCCTTCTTCTCGGATTCCTTGTCTTTCCCCTTCTCCTTTTCTTTCTCCTTCCGCTTCTCACGCTTCAATTTCTGCTTCTCCTCATACTCCTTCTTGACCTTCTCGATCTCGCGGTCCAGTTCCGCTTTCTTTTTTCGCTCCGCAGCAGCGGCCGCTTCGTCGGCGTCGGGCTGACAGAACTTGTGGTCTGCCAAATGGCCGACACAGATGTAGAAGAAGTCCTGCAGATAGAAGTTAGAGCAGCCGCGTTGCCAATCTGATGCAGTCGGCTTTACCTTATTGTCTGGGGTAATCAAGACGCTGCTAGAAGGCTTATAGCAAATCCAACATGGCTTGGCCGACGCATCCGCCACACGCCGATGGTGCCAGACGTTCTGCAGCTGAAGCGACATGTTGACACTACTTGCACTCCGTTACCAGCGGACAAGTAGGGGACGATCAGATCTGCTCAATATGTCTAAGCGCCTGCTGACGTTAAAGAAGAGTCAGTGATGAGACGCTTGTCAGATAGCCAGAAAATCCTCGAACAGCTTAGCAAAATCGTTCGGGCTTGCGGTGAGATAGAAGTGTTTCTAAGCAGTTGCGGAGCTGCTTTTATACTTCTTATTTTATAGGATTCGGGGAAAGGTAGACTTGGTCAACAAGGCGGTCGTCGAAATAGGGTTGCGCTAATACCAAACAAGCCTAGCGTGCCAAAACCAGATCTACAAGCACTCGCTCGAAACTCCAACCCTTGATCTTTCTATCATGATTATAGCAACATATGTCCCTCATTTTCCGGCGAACGCGCTTTTTGCGGGAAGCTAACAAGCAGTTAAGGCCGTTCCAGTCGTTTGAGACTGCTTACAGTCGTTCGATTTCGCCATTTGGCTTTTACACTTTCGGTTCGCCATGTCCATCCATGCATATGTATTTGACTGGGACGCATCCTAACCGCTTTTAGTACCTCATTATACATCATCTTCTACAAGAAATAGTAGTACCATCGGCATGGCTTCTTCTAATTCATCATTACGATACGTTGATGTCCGTCTCCGGCGCCTTCTAGCCTTTAAAAGCAATATCGTCGAGTCCCTAACTTTCAGAAGATAGGAATCAATCTCGGTGACCCAGTCTTCCGTGGCGAATACCACGGCACGCAGCGGCACGAGGACGACTTCGAAGATGTTCTGCAAAGAGGTTTAGACGCCGGATGCAAGAAATTCATGGTCACGGGCTCGGATCTCGAGGAGTCCAGGCATGCGATTGAGATTGCAAAGAAGTATCGTGCGTGCCTCCGTGCTGCTCTTCATCCTCCTTCACCCGGATTTTGGGAATTTACTTACCAAGATGCCCTACAGCCGGAACCTGTTACGCCACCGTCGGCGTCCACCCCTGCGCCGCGAAACACTTCGACTCCTACCCCGGCGGCCCTCCCGCCCTGCTCTCCGCACTCAGGGAGCTAGCACAGGAAGCCAAGGCCTCCGGCCACGCAGTAGCCTTTGGAGAAATCGGGCTTGACTATGACCGTTTGTTTCTCACTGGCAAAGAGCAGCAACTCAAGTACTTCGAAGCGCAGCTGGAGCTAGCAGTGGAAATACAGCTACCGCTGTTTCTGCATTCGCGCGCTGCGAGCGAAGACTTTGAGAGATTGCTTGGTGCGAAGTTGCCTCAGCTGCCGAAGAGGGGGCTTGTGCATAGTTTTACGGGGACCGTGGAGGAGATGAAGAGGATGGTGGAGATGGGTTTGGATGTGGGTGTGAATGGATGTAGTATGAAAAGTATGTTGTTTTGTCTTCTCTCGATCTGACTTATTGCTGCGAGTTTCGGAACACCCGCGTACTGACCCTCATACAGCGGAAGAAAACATCGAAGTAGTTCGCCAGATTCCGCTCGACCGTCTACAAATCGAGACAGATGGTCCGTGGTGCGAGATGCGGCCCAGCCACGCCTCAGCCAAATATCTAAAAGACGCACCTCCACTGCCCAAGGCCGTCAAGAAGGAAAAGTGGACTAAGGGGATGATGGTCAAGGGCCGTAATGAACCTGCCACTATTCCACATGTTGCTTATGCCATCGCGAAGATCAAAGGCATCACGGCGGAGGAGGTGTGCGAAGCGTAGGGTTCCCAGCCAATATCCCTGAGTTGATGGTAGACTGACAATCGTAGGGCGTGGCATAACTCGATAAAGATGTTTGGGTTAGGCGAAACGGTGGATAGTTGAGGACTTGCGATTGCATGCGTCATAGAGTCCAAAAGGTTCCCAGTATTTGAGTCTCTCAAACCCGCATCGGCATTCAAGAGATACTAAGGTCGTTTTCCGAACGCAATGCCTTCGAATGAGTAAATCTAAGTTTCAGAGCCGTGTAATGGCCCGTGGGAGATGCAATGTCAAAGTCGAGGGGCAGGATCGGCTGAGGAAGTTCTTAGTGGACTCAACAGCTTGAAGAAAACTGCTAGTCTGAAAACGTTGAAAAACTACGTAGAGATATGTGCAAGGCACTAGCGTACATCGGTTTAGAACCTTGCTACATTTGGATGAAGTTTTAACCGTCTCTATGCACACACCTTGCCTCGTCTGTTGGCATTACTATTCGTATCGCGAGTGCTTTTGGGGTAGTCCCCGTGTAGGAGAGTGTGACTGTCTCTCACCAGCAATATGCACAGTTAAGCAGACAATGGCTTCCCAAGCAACAAAGTCAACCGTCTAAACCACCGATCTCTCTGAGTTCGATTCCATGTCAGAAGCTAGCAGTGAGCATAAAGGTTTATGTGAATCGTCAAACATCGACATGTCAAGAGCAATTCGAAACACCGGCACCATATCAAAGTTTGCTCCGTTTTTAAGAAGAATTTGTATGCTTTCAGTTCGATTCAGATGTCTGACCGCACAATTTCATTCGTCAATGCTTCGGAAATGACCGGCATTTTTCCTCTTGTCGCCCGATTATGATCCGTGCAGTTCTGTTCCATAGCGAACGTGGTGAGGTCTTGCTGGTTGAAAAGGTTTTCAATGCCAACATTCCCAGCTGCGCATAAGTATGGTTTGATACCACGGTTGCGGCGGCTCAACATAAGAACGCTCAGTGATCGTCCGTGACCTCTAAGCCCTTCCGTTGCAGAAGCCGGTAACATGCTTTCGCCCCTTCTCAAGGCAGTCGTCGAGGGCATCAATATCGACAGTAAGTCTCGGGATAGCCTGGATTGGTATATGAAACTGCCAGCTTCCGTAAAACTCAACTTTGAAGCAAAGCCTTCGGTCTGTTTTTCCTCGTACCGAGCGCAAACACTTCCGTGTATATGTCCCTTTCAGTGTCCTGCAAGCTGCTTCATAGGACTTCGTAGGATGTGGTTGATCCAAATAAAGAGTCCCGGGCATCACAGCAGTATTTCTGAGCACTTTTTGGCCGTTTCATACTTCCACATGGCGACGACCTGTGTCCGTGCGGGGGCATTGGAATGCATGTCGTGAGGACCCTTGGCTTATCAACCAGCCTTTTAAGCTGGATTGCTGTATCACGGTGAGTGTCTCGAGTGCGTTCTCGTTCTCTCGGGTTGCCCGTTTAATCGTCATGATTCAGTATGCTGTCAGAACTGTCCACTTCCTTCTTCAGATATCCTTCGCTTTCTTTACACCTTCTCGCAAATGTCTTGAGCTCATCCGGCCACCAGAACGCATGAAGGGCTCGACCAGTGGATTTCTTCTTCAAGGCATCAATGGCTCCGGCTAAGAGCTGGAGGAGCGTATTGTAAAGGCATGTCAGCGCATCCTCGGACTTGGAGAGAGCAATACGGAATCCAAGGACTGCTGTGTGTGGATATATATCGCAATTAATTATAAATCTAATCAGAATCTATGTTATCATTTCCAGGGTGACGGATCTGCGAGACAGCCGCAGGAAACCTCGAAGTCGTCCAGGCATTTCATCAGCAGACTTCGCCAGGGATACCTATCACTTGAAGGAGAGGACAAGGTGCGTGGGATGGGATATGGGTGTCCCTGTCAATAGTCCTGTACCACCGGTTGCAGGCTGCGAAGGTGAGAAAATAGGAGAACGAAGGGTAGAGCTCAGGCTCACGGAGGCTGATCGAACAATTGGCCGACCTCGGGGCCACGGCCCACCGTGAAATTTCCATCGCTTCTACAGAGTATTAGAGATAGTAAACAGCATCGTGACGGACAGTTTTGGCATTTGCCTTCATGTTGCCGTTTACTGTCGCTGTATCAACTACCATTCAACATGCACTGTGGCGTGTGCCTTGCGCAAGTTGAAGGCTCCACAAGAGCGAAACGAAGGCGTATAGTATTCGAAAGAAGTGATCAAGGTTACAATTTCTTGCTAGAGTTCCAATACATCCTAACCAACTTAGATCCCATTCAAGTGAACCAACCCGCATGTATTCTATCTATGCTCGCGTATAAACATTGCTGCAGTACAAGGTACGACCTGGCTTTGGCCGTTGATTCATCGGATTTAACTTCAACCTTCGCACTGCGGAATGTGCGCTTAAGCTACGTTAAAGTTTCAGACATAGCTCCGCCCTTTTACGGTATAAAACAGAGTGATCCCCTTCCGCTTCTTATTATCTTCACAAGACGACGAATACAAGGACGTGACAAGAAGGCCACCTACAGTTACACTATAATAAACCCCGTCCTTATTTGAATTTGTTAACAGTCACATTCATTTGAGACATTCCCATCTATTAGCCAGAGTAACAGTTTCTGTTTCTGTCTCGTTCAGTAAGCCTCAGATTTAAATTCCAAGAGACTAGCATGAGTGTACAATCATGTTGTTCTCACAAATAGAGCACTGAAGCTATGGACATGCACTACTTCCACCGCCCGTTTATAAAACATATGTGCATCCTTAGACAACCTGTTCCATGACCTACGAACCCCTCTAGTGCCTGGGATGCATACAACGGGACATGAACGCTTTGAACTATCTTAGTAGATCCACCAGTGCATCCCAGCAAAGATAGAGATAAACCCCTTGACGTCTCACCGCCAACGATCGTGCAAATAAACCTGGCTTGTAGCATGCCATATTCCGGAGTTGTTGTCAAGCGAATCCCATGTCATCTTACCTCCGGAACGGTGGGCGGTCTTGCACCAAGTCAAGTTCATTCGTCCGTTTATTAAATTGCAATGTCTTCCTCAGAGGAGCGTGGCTTTCGCGGTGCCCGGTTACTAGATATCCATGCCGAAACGGTGAGTTATTACTCCGTACTGTTACAAGGAATCGACATCAAATCAGCTGAAGGAGATGTGAAAGAAAACTCCTCACAAGCCATCCGAGAGCCCCATCCAGCACAGGCAACCTGTCGCTCACTGCTCGGTCGTCTCAGCTCGTCACCGCTCAGCTCAGCCCAACCTAAGCCCTAAAGGCAAGCCCTAAGCCCTACGGCCGATCCCGTCACCGCTCCTCCTCAAACGGTAAAAGGTCTGAGAATCAGCCACCACCTCTCGTGCCATGGGAGAGAGAGCGGTGGCTATCGTTCGCAAGCATGGGCCCAATTGCGCACTTTGTGCGGTTGATAGAGTTGGTCTGGTGGAAAGGATGAGAGGCACGGTCATATCAATGACATCACCACATCCCAAACCAGATCTCATCACACTCATCACATCCCACCTGCAGAATTTTCATACCTCCCAAGCACGCTAAACCTTTTTTACCTTTGTATAGCAGTCATCCATCGAAACAACCTTGGAAATTCACGCGCGATCTTGACAGGGACGACACATCAGTCGCCAGTAATCTGCGCGTGCGGTTCAAGCGTGCCTTGCTTTCATCAATGCCTTGTTGTTGGTTCCTGCGTCCATGTGCGCCCGCGAATGTGCGTCTTGTGCACAGGGCCAATTCGGAAAAAAAAAAAGGAAAAAAAAGAAGAAAAGAAAAAATAGGGAAATCGCTGGCTTGCCCTGCGTACCTGCTTTTAGCCCTTGAATATGATGATCTACGAAAGCATACGAGCAGCTCTCTGCAAGAACAATCTATGTACACATTTTCATCGTGTGCGGTACATGTATCGTCCGTCTCCAGATCTCCAGAGCGTCGTCTACGGAACCCTAATTCCATCACCAAAGCAGCGGCACCCATCCTGTCCACCTCGCCAATCTCAGCACAAGCTCCCGTTCCCCTTTGTCTCCCTTTCTTCGATCCGTCCCTTCGATTCCCCCGTCCCGTTAGACGCCGTCCCGTCCTTTCTTCCAAGATACCGGTATCAACAAAAGTATTTTCTCCGATGGACAGATCGATTTTGACGGAAGGGGGGCATGCGAGCGAATCGGAAACGGAGCGAGATGAGATTTTGGGACTAGCTGATTAGCAATAGCGTCGGTTTGCTTCTTTCACGGCGATGGCTCGTTTAGGTTAGTGAAATGCGGGGAAAGTCACGTGGACGGGATGTACCTTTCGCACCTATATTTGGACTCGTTCAATCGTAGATGGGACGGGGAAGGCGAGTCGTACAGAACGGTCAGTAGAATTCGGCCATCCGTGAACCGTCTCACGGTTGGACTGAGGGGCCGTACGAGGATGCAGTACTGGCTACCTAGCTAGGGCATTACCGATACGTACAATAGTTGCGTTGTATGAAGCAAGAATGGTGCGATATTCCCCACACCTCCAACTGAGAGTACTGTAGTATAAACACCACATCACACAAAATGACATCTTCACTTCCCAGCACTTGGTCGATGACGCCGAACCCAACCCAACCTCACCGTCAAGAGAGGAGACACGCGAGGCTGGTACTTTGCGCGCCGTTGCAACTTTAATACAAGCATGTACTTACAAGTACGTCCTCACAAACCTTGCTTATAACTAGTAGTGTGTAGTAGGTCACGCCGGCACGAAGTGACGAATCTCATACAGAGGGGTTGGGCGGCAGGTGTTGCTCCACGATAACCGCCACCGCGTACTAGGTAGAGAGAGTTTAATGTCGACACCCACTGCCCAATCTACAACCCAACGAGTCGCGTCCTCAGTCGTTGTTCGGGTTTATTATCGTCTCACTGCTGTTGATTCGCACGTCATCACGCTTTTCTGCTCCGTAGATCCCAAGACACCGTCAGCTATCCAACGCCTCTCACCATCAGACACACCTTCCGCAAAGACATGCAGGAAAAACAGACATACTTCTGATTTGCCCTCCGGCGTGGGGACTTGTGTGCGCATATCGTCGACACACCCCATCGTTCTGATGACCCTGTGCGGCCGGCAGACGAGAGGAAGGAAACAAGGGACTTCCCTGCTCGCCCAATAACGAAAGTTCAGCGGGCCGCAGCCACTGCTCCCAAGTGCGGGGAAAGGGAGTGAGGGTGGAACTTTCCACACAGACAGGCAGGCGAGGCAGGCAGCCAAGGCTCGACTGCACTTGCCCTCCAGACCCCCCCTTCTGCATTTCAGTGAACTCTATCGCGCAGTCGAGGAGGGAGAGCATGTGCAGTCGAGCTACGAGCCAATAACCCTCTGCTGCATTGCATCGCATATTCTGTGTGCAGCCTTGCTAACGAATCAGATTCTCGGACAGTCCTGCGTGTCGATGCAGCGTGCTATGCGGAAGGCGGAAAGGGACCCAGCGGAACCAGAGTGAAGGGAAGAGGTCGGGTGGGTGGCCGTCATTTTGCGCGACTCTGGAGGGGGTTGCCGTGCTGTTGGCGCACCATGATGAGAAAGAAGAGCGAGCGAGGCAGGGAGGCAGGCAGGCAGGCAGGAGGGTTTATCGTTGCCTCTGTGTGTCTCAATGTCTGTCTCTGCTGCAGCTTGCACCAGCACGCTGCTCGTTGATGAGCGTTGCTCTGGTGTTGAGTGTGCGGCACAGCACGCGCCCACCTCGGAAATGATCTCTCGCCCCCTCATTCATCTGCTCGTTCGCAAAATCCCCCTCTCTCAAAACACCCTTACCACCTCATACAACAGGAAAACCAGGTCAACCAACGAAATGAACTAATCTCCCAACACCTCCATACAGCGCAGGGCCTCCGCCCCACACACATTACCTGTGTATCGGAGTAGAAAATTTTTTTTCTCTACCCTCCTTCTCTTCTCCGTTCCCATGAGCCATACTCCCCTCGTGGGCATATCTAACTGGCCGATTCGCGAGCACTGAACAAGCCCCTTGGCAGCTTGTCCCCGCGGCTCACGGGCGAATGGGAGACGGACACCTAGACAGGAATGCCCCGTGCGCAAGCTGCCAAGCTGGCAGCAAACGGGGTGGAGCAGTTTTGGAGGGGTCTGGAGGAAACTTGAAAAGCGCCACCAAAGTGGACCTGTTGCGGGCTGCGTGCCGCACCTTCAGAGGGAGAGGCTGGCTAGCGGGCACGCTACTTTATTAAGGGAATGATGGAGATGAGAAGGGGAGACCTGGAAAGTTCAGAGTCAGTGGTGGCATGGGGTAATTACACAGTAAAAGGCGATGTGGAACTTGGAGGAGCAGAGCTCGCACTTACTTGTCTGAGTACCCGAGGTTAGCAGAGCAACAAAACGTGGGGAAAAGGAAGGTAAGGGGAGTGTGAGAGGCTGCGTTATCGTGTGGGAGGTGGGAGAGGTGCAGGTGGCAGATGCAGGTGCAGATGACGAGAGAGGGGTTGATTTGAGATTGCAGCCACTGTAGCACTCGACAGCCTCGTTATCTCCCGAAGTCGTCTCGTGGTAGACATCATCACGTGTGCGGGAACGCCAACTTCCAAGGTTCCAAGATTGACCGACAAGCTTGCGAAGAATAGCCCTGGCAGGTGCACCATTTGTTGATCGCTGCGCCAAAAGAAGATGGAGGGCGGGTGAGACATGTCTGACAAAGGTCTCGGGTAGCGTGACACAAGGGGAAAAAACTTCGACACAAAAGGACACAGTGGAAGAGGGAGATGATGAGGGTGTTGTTGGTGCCTTGTTACCACGCGTACGCGGCCCAAGCGGATCCTTGATTCGAATCAGTGCTGCCTGAAGGTAGGCAGTCGCTGCTGCTAGCTAGAGGGGGAAATGCAGAAAATGCAGTAGATGGTAGAGGAGAGAAGAGATGACAAGGAGACACGTAAACCATCTCGTAAGAGTGAGTGGATATTCCATCCATGAGGCAAAGCAACTCCGTCGCCCGTAGATGCAGACACATAAGCCATTAGCCCGTTCATCCTGTTCCTCAGGACCCTAACCAAACAGCCAGTGTCGAATCGACACTTGGCGACAAACGCTCATAATAATAACACAGTTTGGACAAGACGAGGGCCCATGATCCTCCTGGATGGAACCGAACCCTCGAGGTAAGAAATGCTTTTTGATACATGGCTTCGCGATGCAAAACAAGCCAGGCAAGGCGAACTCCAGCGTAATTACAATGAGTCCTGGGATATGCAAACAAGGAAACTCCGTGGTGAACCAACGCCGGATCTCAGCATCCGGAAGGCCGAGACGATGCGGATATATGGTGATGGTGATGGAGAAGCAGCGGAACGCCCGTTTCCGAAATGTTGATGACTCCGTGATTGCGACAGACTCCGAGACATGAGTAGTAAATGGGTGGATTTTTCTTAGTATTGGGTGAAGCGTCGGCTCATTCGTCGCACGTCGCGAGCGTTGTCGAATGACCGGACGTAGCTGTTTAGCTGCTGGGCGGCCTGAGGCGAGATGCCTGATGTGGTCGGCTGCGAGGAAGCCGAGGAGAGCGATGACCGTGAAGACGAAGGGCTTAGGCTCCGCCCTTGCGACGGACTCGATGTTGAGGAAGCAGCAGCGTGTGACGGCGCATAGTAGGAACTGTTGGAGGCTGCATAGTTGTACGAGTTGGAAGGTCCCAAATCGAAGCCCCGTGATGATGTAGGTGTTTTGAATGCGACGAAGTTGACTGCTGGTGGGAGATAGAATCCGTGTGTTGATGACGATGTCGAGGAAGCCGAGGAGGAGAGATTCGAGGAGCTTTGAGAGGTGGTCGTGCCAGCCTTCTCGAGGTCGGCTAGGCGGCAAGCTTGTGAGCAGTAGGCGCCGCCCTCTGTGATTTGTCGGTCGCAGGAGAGGCAGAACTCGTGAGACCACTCCATCTGGGAAGCCATTGGAGACGTAGCCGTGTTATAAGGGGAGAATTTCTGGCTCGTCGAAGCTGTGGGCGGCCGCGCGATGCAGTGGGCCGACGGAATGAGTGGTGGTGGGGGCGGTTGAGCGGAGGAGAGGAGGAGTTGTAAGATGGAGACAAGGTGGTGGGAAGAGGAACAAGGGACGATGATGTTTTATAAAAGTCGAGTGAGACAGGTGACGGACCGATTGTGCGAGGAGTCAGAGCATCGAATGACCATGGCCCACTATTCTGAGCTGGCAATTGCTGGTTCAAGGTTGCCCAGGTGGAGATGAGAGACGGGAGCGGGCGTGGTTTTAAGCCCGGGCTCTCGTCCAGGCACGCCATGGGGGCGAATCAGGGCGCAGGCGGGGCAAGGGTGGTCCTGGCTGTCCCACGCCCACGCCAGCCTTCGTCCGCAGATGTGCGCAGGTGGTCCAAGCGCCCGCATTCATGCAGGACAGGGAGAGAGCGACCCCCAGCCAGCCAGCCAAGTCCTTTTTGGAAGGGGAGAGGGGAATCGATTTTTCGAGCAGCCGCCGCACGCAGCACTTGCAGCACTCGCAGCACTCCTGTTGGTGCGCAGCTGATGACTAGTCATCCCCATCCACTCATCACCTCACCTCAACCCGCCTGCCAGCCAGCTGCGGCCGACGAGGACCCTGCCCGTAGCCCGCCAGCTGCTGGCATGCCCTGCGCCGGCCAACGCGTATGACCAGTCGAATGGCATGCCCTACGATTGTCGACAGAAAAGGAAGAGAGGGACGACGATGACTGGCGTGCTAACCCCGCTCAGGAACAGCTCGTCCAAGGCGGACGAAAAGATTCCTTGTCTGCGATAGAAGAACGAGAAGGTTGCTTAGGACGGATGACTTGGGTTCTGCTAGCTTCTCAGAAGCTTTCCTGCGACAAGAGATATCGTGTCGTCACTCCACAACGGTGCTACCTAGTACCTGCTCCCACAGCGGCCGCTTGTCGTCGGTAAACACCAGCGAGCAACGACAACCGACTGATGAAGCTGCACTACGGAGTACTGAAAAATTGCGGCGGCGTGGAATCTCTTTACAACAGAGGGGCCCTTTCGGCTTACGGACTTCAGCCATGCAGGTGAGCGAAAACGGAATCAGAGTGCAGTAGTCTGTACAAGTAGTGAAAAGACGTAGGTAGGTACAGCCCACAACAGAGCGCCAGGTACGGTGCACACGACCTTCGGCCCCCTCAGTTGAGGTCATTCGCCCGCCCTCCCTTGCCCTCGCACCTGGGCTGTCTGTTCTGCAAGGAGCCAGGGAAGTCAATGGCAAGCAGGAGTTTGTTGTTTGTCGTTTGTCTTGCAGGTTCCGCAGCGATCATCGTCTTCTGCTCCTCGGGGATTGAACAAGTGCCGCCTCTCGGATATGATGATCAAATTATGTTGAGAAGTGCCATGTCGAGACGCTTTGGAGTGCAGCGAGTGGCGGTATTACCAGACACATGGCGTTGCTGCAACTTGCTGCACATCACACACACCAAACTCCGTCGCTCGCTTCCCCCTCTCACTTTTCAGCCGTGTGTGTACTCCAATCAGGCAACTGCAGCGAGCTGGACCCTAGCCAATAATCCTTTTGCCCATGGATGGGTTCGCTCGGAGCGCCTGTTCGTCGGCGGCATTCCCATGCTGCTGGGTTCTCTTCCCTCTGCCTCTCAGCGTCTGATACTGTCTGAGAGAGCTTCCACTCCGCCAAACGCCCCTAAAACTATCTTCAAGGCGTTCGTAACTTCATGCTCGTTTTCTCTTCTGGCGTAGCTTCGACGCTCTCGACTTCCAAGGTTGACGCCCGTATGCACTGCTGCTGAATATTGCTCACAGAAGAGAGGGTTGGCATGGCACGGGCCAGAACTGATTCCAAAAGCCACCGAAGCGTGGGGGTCAGCTCCTCCAGTTGAGCCCGCGACGCTACTGAGCATCACGACGGTGGAGCAATATACGGAGTCCAGGTACTGTACGCTTCCTTATCTCGACGCTGGGTGTGATACTGTACACTATCTTGACCTGCGGTTGACGGTTGACGGTTGACGGTTGACCCTAACTCCGCACGCCATGCCAGCGCCAAAAACAGAGGTGAAACTAGCCTCGCATCATTCCAACACGGTCCACACGGGAGCCAATGGAAACAGAATGGCGCCATCAGCGGGTCTGGTGGCTTGAGGGCTTCCCCACAATCGAGCACGGGAACCGTCTGGACCACGACCCCGTGCGTCTGCCAAATCCGATCAATTGATGCAAAAATCTGCAGATGAGGTGAGATGTCGTGAGAGACAAGGACTGAAGGCGAGAGAAAAAGCACACAATTCTCAACGGTCGTTGCGACGGCCTACGGGAGTCTAACGCTGGCTCCCTTGTGGCAAAAGAGCAATCACCTCTCTTGACTCTCGCAATCATGCATCATCTTGCAGGTCCAAAGTTGCTCGTGCCAACCCCCAACAACGTCAATCAAGCTGCACATAGCATACTCCGTACATACGGATATTGGCAAGCAATATAGAAACGTTCCGAGCGCGACCTCGACGAACCGACGCGGAAATGCTTGATCACTCCTCACAGGCGCTTTCTCTGACGCCGTGGAACCAACACTGCCGTGTAACCATGTTTGTCAATCTATCGCGAACACTGCACAGACCTCTCGTAAGATGCCATCGTGAATCTGACGGGATTTTTTGGCTCATCCTCACCAGCGACTTGTTGCTTGCGTGGGTTGATGCGAGCGAGTGGAATGGCGTGAGCATCACGTGCAGACGCTCCTCCTACGCGGCTTCCGCTACTGTGTACATTTTTTGTTCGTGTATATCGCATGAGGAATCAACCAAGTACAAAAGGTAACACTGGGGAACACAGAACATCGGAAACTTGCTTTGTCCATCATGATCCTACGGCAAACCGAACTTCTCCGCCAAGCAACGCGGCAGCCGGACCATTCCTTCTTCCGACTTCTCCGATCCTGTGCAGGGTTTTGTGCGGGCCTGCCGCTGTAACGAAAAATGGAGCCCCAGTTCGACATCACGTCACCGCAACAAATTTTATCGAAGCAAGCCGAACAGCAAACTTGTCGCCTGCATGTTGCTATAGACACAGGATTCTCAATCCACAGCAGCGGGAACTGAGGACTCTACTTCGCAGTTGACGCTGATTCTGGGTTGGCATATCTTCAAGAAATAAAAACATCAAACCCAGACCAATCGTCATCATACACAGTAGTAAACAATAATGACACGAAGCCCATACGCAGAGGACCTCGCCCTCGCCATCTCAACCGTCCATGCCGCCTCCCTCCTAACCAAACGCGTCTTGCGCACCTTCTCCACCTCCGTTTCCGCAGAAACAAAAGCGGACGACTCCCCCGTCACCATCGCGGATTTCGCCGCCCAGGCCATCCTCATTGCCGCCCTCCACGCCGCCTTCCCGAGCGATGCATTCGTCGGCGAGGAGAGCGCGCAGGCGCTGAGGAGGAATGCCGAGTTGGCGGACAAGGTGTGGGAGCTTGTGCGACGGGCTGCTGCGGAGCATGACGAGGATGGAAGTGGAGGGCTGCAGGAGGAGGTGCACGTGCAGGCGCAGGAGGAGGAGGAGGAGTCGGCGCATCGTGGTACAGCATCGCAATTGCGGCGGAGGTTGCACTTCCCGGCCACCAAGGCGGAGATGCTGGATGCGATTGACCTCGGCGCTCAAAGCACGCAGCAGACTAGTCAGGGCCGCGTGTGGGTGCTCGACCCCGTGGACGGGACGGCGAGTTTCATGGAAAACAAGCAGTACGCTGTTTGCCTCTGTTTGCTGGTCGACGGTGTCCAGGAGGTTGCCGTCACCGGCTGTCCGAATCTGAAGTGGGATGTCATTAGTGAGGGGGAGTGGGATGCGGAGGCAAATGCGAAGGCGCCCAGGAGAATCCATGAGGATCTGGTTGATGCCGAGGGATACGGGGTCTTGCTGCATGCTGTCAGGGGCGAGGGGGCATTCATCAGGAAGATTCACGAGACCGGGCTGGGAGAACCGCAGCGGATTGTTATCAACGACGATGTCGCCACAACTACGTCAAAGGACCTCTCAACTCTCAACTTCATCGAAGCCACCCTGGGCAAATCCAGTCTCTCTCAATCCGATCACGAAGCCGTGGCTCGCCTTCTCTCCGCTCCCTGGCCCGGCACTATCCTCTGGTCCCAGCAACTCAAGTACGTAGCGCTGGCCCTCGGAGCTACCGACGTCATGTTGCGCATTCCAACGGACAAAGGAAGGTACACGCACGTATGGGATCACGCTGGCGGACACTTACTGTTGACGGAAGCGGGAGGTATTGTTCGGGATCTCGAAGGTGGGGAGATCGACTTTGGACGCGGGAGGAGGATTCTGGGGACCAGGAATTTCGGTATGGTTGCCACGAGGAAATGGTGTTTTGAGGGGGTCATGCAGGCGGTGAGCGAGGTGCTGCGTAGGAGAGGGGGTTGAGCGGGGGAGTGCAAATGCGTCATGATGGGCGCTTTGTGTATGTGGAAAGTATCACGACATCAGCGTCGTTTTCGCGGGAGAGCAAAGACAGGGCAAGACAAAGCCAGGTCCGAACGTGTGACCAACACGACCTGCGCGAGGCATCGCGGATTACTAGGGGGAGGAAGGAGACACAAGCTGTCTAGCAAGATGATGCTAGCAACCGGCTCCATGCGAGTGTCTTGTACTGCATCGTTCACAACCAGGAAGAATTTGAACATGCATGATCGTGCTCAGACTTGCTCTCGTGATTCCGCCGCGTTCTTCGTGCTTATCTTGGTATCTTCATTACGCATCAGCGCTGCCCATCGCTAGCTATTCGCCGCCGCCATTTTTCCGGAAGGATACTTTCTCCACGGCAACGTTCTCCACACCGTTAGCGTCTTTCCTCAGCTGGTACACGTACAGCACGAGCACATCTCCTTGTACCTTACAGAATGTCAGCATTGAGTCACCCAAAGTGTGCCCATGTCACCAAGCAAGTGGCGGTAGCATAGGCAGACGATCCCAACTCACATCCATAAGCACAAAGCTCGGCGTCGGGTCCTCCTCTTCCGGCCACCACCCCGTCGTCATTGCTCCCGTCGCGCTCCCCGGATTCACGAAAAACTTCCCTTCCATCTCGTACGCCTCGAACCGGTGCGTACCTCCCCATAACAGAACATCCACATCCATCTGCCTCGCGGCAATGAGCAAACTATCGCCATCACCAGGCGGAATGATAGTCTGACCGTGTGTGAAGCCTATACGTAGGGAGCCATGTGTGACGACTTTGGAGAGGGGCAGGTTCGGCGCATCGACGTCGAAGTCGCCCTTGACGATTTGCAGGTCGGGTGCGATGCCGCGGAGGAATTCGAAGGTTTCTTTTGAGGTGATGTTTCCGAGGCAGAGGATTTGGCCGATTTTCCCGGGGCCGAGGAGTTTTTTGAACTTGGTGAGGGATATGTTAATATGCGGAGCGGTGGAGCGGGGAGAAGTACGTGGTGGGAGGATGATTGATGCAAGTGGGTGACGGCTGCGGAGGGTATATAGGAGATGGCTGTGGACATGATCGTACCTTGGCTGGTATATCCTATGTTTCCTGTAAGTGTGTGAGGCCAGTGGATTGTTGCGCTTTGATATGGGGAAGCTTACAGGAGCTCTGTCTGGTATGAAGAGGTCGCCGAGGACGAGAACAAGTCTTGAGGCCATCGTAAAGACCTGGTCGGATGTGACGGGGATCAAACAACAGGAGAGATTGAGAAATTCCTTCGGAAGCAGGGTCAATGATCAATTTAAGGGTAGGCCCTTGAGTGATTCTCATGGAGCTTGAGAGCTCATCAATCGGTCCATGGGGTCAGCTCTCCCGAGTGCGGTGGCAGATCCCTAGCCTTGGCAGGAACGATACGGTCTAGCTTGATCAAGTTAGCTTGGGGCTTAACTGAACGACATGCCAAACCCTCCACAGCATTTGCTCAGAATCCAAGGTTGACAACCCTCTGTAGATACAGGATACGCCCTTGATTTACGCTGTACTGAGAACAGGTTCGCAATGAATCCCACGGAGAGCGTGCCTAACTAAGAGATACCACCTCATTATCCAGTAGACTCTTGTAGGCATACAGATTGACATCCCGATTCTTCACGCTCTATGACGGGGTCATAACCACTTGCTCCGTTCGCCTCGACTTGCCGACATAATCGCGTTCCTCAACCGCTGGGAGTCTCAGTTCAACCTGCTAATCCTCCAGATGAAGCGATTAGCGACTTGATCCGGAGTATATTTGCGACCTATTCTAAATCTGTTATGTTCTCCCCTAACTTACCGTTGAGGCCTTTAGGAGCACACAGCACTCTAACACTAAGGTAGAAGCGTCATACAGGAGGCATATAGCATGCTTAAATTGTTTACGAAGATCATCTGCATAGAGAGAGAGGAAGTCCGTGAGGAAGACTCGCACCATTCAGAGAAGAAATAACAGATGGTAGCGGGTTGGAGTTTAGCATGGGGACCGGCCGGGGAGATGAGGGTGGTTTCTTAAAGGATTCCTCTCGCGCAGAGAATGAGCAAAAGTTGAGAGATGGATGTAGACATGCGTCCCAATACAGCTCTTTTTGCAGTATGTTTCCTGTCTTTATGGCTCCTCCTGACTAGTTCCGGCTCGACATCTTTCACTATTCTCTCCTAGCAGAATCCACATTAACATACAGATAGATGCCGCTTCTTTCGTTGTGTCATTTCAGTGCAGAGATTTCTCATTGCCCTCCATACTTTGTACTAAGTAGAAGTAGTACGCGTCTCGGGTTATCGTAGCAGAACAAGCGCTGGCCTCCAGCTTGAGCGCCAGGGAGGGACGGGAAAATCACGTGGCTCAGCCACCGCCGTGCCTTCCAATCAAGGAAGCCGTCAGTTCAGGTACCGGCGTACATCAAGCAGCCATTATTTCTGCAATCTCACACACGATCTTGATTTCAATTATTACCGCGAAGCCAGACATACGTTCTGCGTTGACAGTTTGCCCTGAACCCGCAGAGTAGTTCACCACGAGCTTCGACACCTTTACGATCACCGACTCTTTGGCAATCTGCTGGCTTAGACCAACCGTAAAGATGCAATGACGCCTCTAACCCTCCGACCGTACAATGAACAAGCGCAGTCGCCACTATTTTCACTTTTGCCACTGGAGCTTCGCCTTGCAATCTGGACTCTCTACTTTGAGGGTCGAGTCCATATCATTACGTGTATGGGCCGACTGTGTGGGATTCCCTGTCTCGTACCTGACCTAGCCAAATTTTCAGAGAATGCACACGGGCTCTGCCGGCTGCTCATTCGTTCGAACCAGACGGAGGATCAACACTATACAGAGCTGTTCGAACGTCTGGCCCTGACAGGCGACGAAGACTTGCTTGGGGGTCAAGACTCCTGCCAAGGGAAGTTGGCCTTGCTCTTGACCTGCCGCCGGATGTAGGTTATTCTCACATTGATACCATCATACGCCCGACTAATAGCTCTCAGTTATGCCGAGTGTATCCCGCTATTGTATTCGGTGCCTTTGTTCGACTTCTCCTTCTCAACATACGCTCTGACACACATCCATAATTTCATCCCCGAGGCAGGACTGGAAAGCATAACGCGAGTGAGCTTTACCCTCAACCATATGCATAGGCCACCGCGGAATGGAAGGCTTAATGGCAGCGGAAGGATATGGCGAACTGCATGTGCCAACTTGGCTCGTATGAAAAGATTGAAGTATCTCCGAGTAGAGATAGAAGTCGATCCGGACGAGAGCCCACTTTGGACAGCAGCCGAGAATGACATTCTGGAACCAGCTAGATCACTGACGATTGCACAATTGTTCGAGCTCATTCTTCACTGGCCCGCGAATCCAAACACTAAGCAGATAGGCAACGTGGTCATTCGTCGTCCTGGCCCTGGCAGGGGGGTTCACGTCGACTGACCACTGCCGACCTCCAGATTCCACTGCTCGGAACGTTGGGAATGTTCCATATTACCTGACCGAACAATTCCAGAATGAAAGCGAGGAGTTGGGTCAACTTATAGGGCTGCCACAGGTTTCCCTTCCAATGAAACCGGTTAGTAGGAGACCTTGCGCGGAAAGCCTAGGATTCCTGGGTTGCACGTGGGTGCCTCTTATCTTTTGGTTGTGCCTGATCTTGGAGACTCCATCGTGGACGAAATGATAGCACTGGGAATGGGCCCGAATTGGAACAGACAATGCGCAGACAAATGTGGAGAACATGTCATCAAGGGGCCATGTAGCGGGTAGACGCCCATTCATCATGACCAAGGTTTTATTCTTTCAGGATGCTCAAGTTCATTCACAAGCCACTGTTTTGGCCGGACATGTTGTCAACGCCCACATCAATATCGACTGACAGTTTTCATGTTCAGACAGTGAGTAACTAAACTTTAAGGTCTTTCGTTAACGCTAATCACCTTGGTGGGACCATCTTTTTGCTACTACCACCCCATAAACAAGCTTGTTGAAGCACTCACTATTTGCGTGGCTTGTGTTCACGTAAGTAAACCAACCTCTCTCCCGCTTATTGCGGAGTTCCCTCACCGAACCGACTACGCAATATTCTCCCATCCTTCACCATCTCCGTAATCGTCTTGATGCTCTCCTCAACCGCGAGTTGCGCAATCTGGTTGTCGTTACCACGCATTGTGTCTCACCGTATTAGGACGTAGAAGAAAGAAGTAACAGTCACTGCTTTCAGGTCCTTGGCCTCGTCAGGCGATGTCTAGATTGAGTGGAGGGCAAAACGGTGCATGTAGCAAGGAAGGCACGTCCGACGGAAAGGTATTTGCTCAGTCGAGCTAGCTCCAAAGTCCATATACAGCACCCAGGATGTCCTTATTCAGAAAAGCAAGACTAATGGAGTGATTGCGATCGATTCCCCACACTCTCGACGAAGGAGCGAAGCAAATGCCGTGAGACGCGGTCACAAGGGTGTCTGCCAGTTGAGTTCGCTTCAAAATTTAGGATTATTCCATGGTTGAGCAGTGGTACAGAACACCACGAAGCTCGCTTGACTTCTATGGACATCTGCAAAAGGTTGTGCAGTGGTGAGGACATAGTAGCTCTTGGTCAATTGGCTGCACTACTTTGAACAGCTGGAATGAACACCAACGAGGTGCGCGCGAACGAGAGGCATGCATCCACCAGAACTGCTCAATGAGAAATCGAAGCTGCTGTCTACTGTATCTTACCCTTATTCACAACGAATGCCTCCAAAGCAGCTGCACCAGCGTTAGCAACCATCACGTCTCAATGGGTTGGGGATGAACGGACAAATGGCGGACCACAACCGGTTCTCTGCCTCCCTGAAAACAACGGACCTAGGTCCGTAGAAGACTTCGTCGCTAACCTCTTCCGGATGCCGGGGTAAGCAGTGCATGAATGACCAAGTCTCCTTTGCGCCTCCACGCTTCGCCAGTTCAGAGGTTATCTGGAAACCCTTAAACGCAGCGAGACGCTTGGCTGTCTCCTCCTCTTGTCCCATTGACACCCAGGTGTCGGTGACGAGGATGTCGGCATTCTTGATGGCCTCTTCTGGTACGTTGGTCTCGAATAGCTTGCCAGCTTTCGGTGCTGTAGCAGCGGCCTGGCTAATCACCTCGCGCATCTGTTGTGGGATCTCATAGCCCTTGGGTGTCGCTACGGCGATGTCTACACCGAGTTTGGCGGCGCCGACGGCAAGATCAAACAAGACGTTATTCGCGTCACCGACCCATGCGATCTTCATCCCTTCCAGACCGAGCGTCGAACTGGAACTTGAGAGGTTGACCTCCGCGATCGTGAGGAAATCGGCGATGATCTGAAGGGGATGGTAAAGGTCGGAGAGTGCGTTAATGACGGGTACAGAGGAGTGTTTCGCTAGGTCCGCAACATCGGAGTGCGGCCCTACTCGGGCGACAATGGCAGAAGTCATGCTGGATAGCACAACGGCCGTATCGTAAAGAGATTCGTTAACCTGATCATCGTGAGCGAAGGAATCACCATTGCAGTGTATTTTCCTACACCAAGTTGTATGTCATCCTTGCCTAGAAACATGGGATGCCCTCCCAATGTGACAACAGCTCCCTCCGTGGATATCCTCGTACGGGTACTCCTCTTGCTGAAGGTCATAGCAACCGTCTTTCCGGTCAACGCTCCGCGCAGCGATTGGGGAATCTCCCCTGATTTGATAGCCGTTTTGTGTTTATGAGCATTGCGAACGAGGGTAGTGAGTTCTGCTGGCGTGAGATCCGCAATTGAGAGCAAATGTCGAGGTGCGAATGGAGAAGTCTGTGGTGTTGCGGCGGAAGAGTAGTAACGGTGCAGACGGCGCTGCAGTGTAGAGAACGCTGGGAAAGGACGAATCGATGCCATTGACGCTAGAATTCACACTGATGAGCACGGCAGTCCCAAGGAAAGGTGACCCAATTTATAAATGAAGCTGGATACGCCTGTGAGTCAATAATCCTTCTCTTGTGAATTTGGACTCACCGACTGGGTTGCAGTGCACGCCCCACTGATGCGAGACTTCGGATCCGGGGAACTTCAGCGCTTGCCCGCTTTAAGCATAGCGCCCTTACACTTATCGGGTTATCGATGACGAACGATGAGCGTTTCCCAGGCACGCACGCACCCATCAACAACCACCATAGAACTTGCAACACGGTCGACTTCTCTCTTGGTTTTGCAGAAACAGAAGAGGAGACGACGGCGACTATGCAGTCGACGGCACCCAGCTCTCGCCCAGGGTCTCAGAGATCCGGTCGATCGTCTCGATCGCGGCGCTCGCAGCCTTCCAGCCGAACTACAGAGGAGACGCCCTTGATAGCTCGCGAGGAGAGGCGTGAACATGAGGAGACAGACGATGTGGACTCGCAGGCCGAGTCACTGAAAGGAAGGGGGTGGTCGTTGCGGAAAAGATGGCCTAGCATTCTTGCGCTGCTCCTGCTCTGTTGCTCGGTCGTCTTCGTAATGCTCGGCTTCCTGGCTACGGAGGGTATCGAGGAATATGCGGTGCAGGCTGCAGACTTCAAACCGACAAAGCTCTCGTTATCCTCGTTGACGAAGACTGGTGTCAAGGCGCACGTGGAAGGCGATTTCAGAATGGATGCTTCTAAAGTCAAAAAGAGCAGTGTGCGCAATCTTGGACGTTTTGGGACGTGGGTTGCGAGGGAGGTCGAAAGTGCACCGGCCGATGCTGAGGTTTATCTTCCCGAATATGGGGATGCGCTGATTGGCACTGCGAGAATACCGGGTGTCAAAGTGAATATCCGGAACGGACACACTACACACATATCCTTGGATGTGGATTTGGAGCCCGGCTCCTTGAATGACATCCGGAATATCGCGCATGACTGGCTTGATGGCCGTCTGGCTGAGGTTCATGTCAAAGGAAAGGCCTACGTCCCGCTCAAGTCCGGTCTATTCCGGCTCGGGACTCAAACTCTGGAACAGGCGATGGTCTTCAAAGGTACGTGTTGCATTCGCTATGGCTAGACTTATGTTCATTCACTACTAACACTACCAAGGAGCTGATATTCCCACCCTACCTGCGTATAACATCACAAGGGTTAACCTTAGAGAGGCAAGGGGAGGCAATAAAGGCATGGGAGCTGACGTATCGGTGTCCGTGAAGAACGATTTTCCGGTCGAAATCACAGTCCCTGCAGTCGCTGTGGATATGCTTGTCGGAGGTTGTCAACCTTCGGATCAACTCATTCTGGTCGGAACCGCAGAGACGGCGGAGTTGCACGTGGAGCCCTTCATCGACCTGAACGTGACCGTCACCGGACGCGTGGAAGAACTTCCCGACGAGCTCACCACTCAGTGTCCCAACTCTGCCAAATCGCCACTTGATTCTCTTTTGGGAAGTTACATGCAGGGTGAAGATGCTACAGTTTATATCCGTTGCTGCGAATTCCCGGATCCGTCAACGCCGGGCTGGGCCAAGGATCTCCTGCAAGACATTACCGTTCCAATACCGTTCGCTGGTCGGGATATGGGCAACCTCATCAGGAACTTCTCCCTTTCAGATGTGCATTTCTTTCTTCCTGACACGACCGCCGATCCGGAAACCCCAGAGTCCAATCCGCAAATCTCGGCTGTCATCCTAGTCGACATTGGCTTGCCAGAGGAGATGAACTTCCCACTAGCCGTTAAGCATATCAAAGCTGATGCTGATGTGTATTATCACAAGAAGAAATTTGGAAAACTTAACTTGAGGAAATGGCAGAAGGCGAACTCGACGCGGATTGAAGCGCACGGCCATGAAGGACCGTCTCTCTTGGTGCAAGCTGATATCAAGAAAGCTCCACTTGAGATTACTGATGGCGCAGTGTTCTCGAAAATCGTTCAAGATATGTTCCTATGGGGGGAAACGGTGCTCCTCGATGTCAAAGCTGCAGTTGGTGTCGAAGTGAACACTCCCATGGGCCAATTCGCGATACGCGATATTCCTGCAGAAGGAGTAGTTCCGGTCAAACGTTCGTGACCTAGTCCGTGGACCGTATCTGGGCCTGCATCTTAACAGGTGGGCTAACTTCTGTGATCCAGCTATTGGGCATGGCACTGGGGACGACGGCGGCTCCATCTTCAGCAAACTTAACCTCAGAATGGGGAATCTCTCGATTCTCAATACCTCGCCTTCGTCCCTCACTCTCCAAGCGCATGTCAACTTCACCAATCCCACCAACTACTCCGCAACGGTGCCTTATGTGAACATCAACGTCCTGGTCAACAGCACTGTAATGGGACAGGCCACGGCGGATCATATTGTTGTACATCCGGGAAACAACACCAATCTTGTTGTGACTGCGATATGGGATCCATTTACCAATAGCGGCCAGAGGGGAAAGGCGATTGGTAGTGAACTCCTCTCCCAATATGTATCAGGTGCGATATTCCTAACATCTCTTACGAGGAACGCTTTCACTGATCCAAGCAGGTTTCAACACATCCTTCACTATGCAAGCTCACGAGGGCACAATACCCCATCAACCGTCTCTCGGCCGCCTTCTTTCCAAGTTCCCCGTCACCATTCCCGCACCCCGGCTCTCGGGCCCGAAGCAGCCAGGGGATAACGATCCAGACGAAAAAGACCATTTCATCCAGGATGCCACCATGCACATTCTCTCGTCAACCGCCATCTTCACTCTCGCATCCCCATTCCGAACCACGACTATGTACGTCACACATCTGAATGCAACAGCGTACTATGAAACGCATCCCGCCGGAAAAATCATCTACGATTTGCCCTTCGCCATTCCACCCGGTATATCGACCTCGCCCCGACTACCAGTAGATTGGAGCCTGGATAGCCTGGGGTATGAGGCTATCAAGAAGGCCCTGGGCGGGTCGTTGAAGCTGAACGCGTTTGCCGAGGTGGGCGTCCGGATAGGGAGTTGGAGAGAGCAGATATGGTACAAGGGTCAAGGAATTGGTGCGAAGATTCGGTTATAGTGGCTGTTACAGTGCTTTCTGTTTGTTAAATTCTGGGATGTTTTATGCTTTTATGTATAGATACGAAGCGAGGCGTTGGTGGGGTCCGTGGATTGGGGTTCTGTGCAGGCACAATATTTCTGTCACGTTTTGTGATTTTTGTTTCCCTTGGATAGGATCGTTTTACCGGTCTTGTATAGGAATAGACATGCACCTTTGAGCATGGTTACCGTTTAATTACGTCTCAGAGGGCTCTCTGTTCATGCGCAATCGCAAGAAAGGACCGACTCACGGACTGCAACTTCCATTCCAGCGGGTTGAAATGTCAACGCAACCCAACACAATTACGCGACTCTAGTAATGTGCATGTTGACAGATAGGTCGTCCTCCCCTACATGAAGACAGATGCTCCACGCAGCGCTAAGAAAGGCCTGAGTGATTATGTAGCGGCTTCGCAATGCATGCCAGACACACATAATTTGGACCACTATGGCAGAGGCTTCTTCCGACCCATGATAACAATGTTTCATTGCTGCAGAGGGAGAGGGGTATCTCAAAAATGCGAGTGTCCAACGCCATGCCATATCGACGATAAATTCCACATCCTCTCCTCCTACAAGAAATCCTTCCGTTCCCTACGAAATCATCCTATCGACAAGGTCGCAATCACCATTTTTCCTTCGCTGCGTTTGCCGCCTTGATTCGACTCTTAATCCGAACCCGCCGCACCACGTATTCGAAACTCCGAGGTTCCCGAAGCAATCCCTCGGATAGAAAACCCACCATCGCCGGCACTCCGTGGGACCAACGGTTTCCCATTTTTCGTCATCCTCGATAAAAGCGATCCCTTCCCCTTACTACTCTCGTCATGCGTTATCCTCTCCAAAAGACTTCCTTTAGCATTATTCCTCGTCTCATCCGTAGCATCCGATCTCCGATGATAGCTCATTGGCGATGGTGGACGACGTTCCCGACTCCGACTCTTCCGGTAGTGATACCGACTTGACCGTCCCTCTTCGGAAAATCCAAAACGGCCATCTTCATCGGAGGCGGGGGATGCGGAGCGGTCGCGAAGGCGCCCGTAGTCGTTGTAATGTCTGTTTGCGCGGACGGGTTCACTTGGCATTTCGGCGAAGCCGTAGCGGCCATCTTCGGAGGAGAGGGGGGACGCGGACCGACCGCGCAGACGGCCGTAGCGGGACTCGCGCTGCCTGAGGAGGGTTAACAGAGAACTCGCAGAGAGAATGAAAGCACGAACCCCTCGGGATCAGGACGATAGGAATCCACAATGTGATGGTGAGGCCGGGGAGATCGCCTGTTACGCACGCGGTCGCGGCTCTGCGGCTTGTGGTCGTCTTCATCGCCATAATCTAAGATAGTGGGGGACGGTCGCCGCCGGCGCTTCTCAGGACGCTTGTCATGGGGGCGCCGTGGTTTGCGGTCGTTTGTGTTGGCTATGCGGATCCAGAGGGAGACTTCTGGCATTTTTGAGTATGGAGCAGCGCGTCGCGACTCCTGGGGTTCCATCATGATTGCGTCTTCTGCGAGCTCCGGGTGAGTTAACAGGGATAGGGCTTCGGCGGCTGCAGCCTCGTTGTCGTACACCAGGTTGACGGAGCTGTCATTGATCCATTGCGTTCTGATAGGTACGATTGCTTGGGAATGCTCCTCGACGTATGCGACTGGATCTTCAGGGCCGAAGTCGTCTACTCCGGACAGGTTGAGCATGTTGGGCGTGGGCTGCGGGGCGATATTTGTAGTATCCAAGGATTCATAGTAAGCCGCTGGGACATCGGTCATATCTTGATCGGTGGAATCCATAATAGCGATATTAGGTGAGTTGAATGAGAGCGGGAAGAAAGGTGGTTATTGTTGAAGCTGCTGATATTGTATGAGAGGTGAGGTGAGAAAGCTCTCTGGCGCGAGAAGCAACTCCAAGCGCGCCAAGCTCGAGCTTAACCACAACGGATGACTAAGCAACTAGGAGCAATGATGGGGCTAACATATATATATATATATATATCCGCGACATTGGTGTTTGATTCTTCAGGGAAGGGTGCGTACTCGTACTGCTGATACAGAACCAGAAGGTTGTTTCAAGTTAGTACTTCCCGTTGCTTGTGTTATCACCGTATAGAGCATGCCGAGCGCTTCAACTTTGACTTTCATCTGGATGCCCGGCCCTCTTGAATCCGTCTATTTCAAGCTTGTCCTTCCAGAGTCAAAGTTCCTGTTTTTGTGATAAGATACTCCGCCACAGCCACATCCTTCCCGGACTCTTTCCCGTATCCCGACTGCTTGATACCACCGAACGGTGACTCTGCTGCCGACGAGTTGCCTATTTCGTCAACAAGATATCTTCTTTGCGTCGTGGGAGGACCTACCAGTGTTCATTCCAATCATTCCAGCGTCCAGATTCTCGAACAGCCGCCACATGCGGTCGATGTTCTTCGTGAAGCAGTAAGAAGCCAGACCCATGCTGGTATCATTCGCAGCCTTTACAGCCTCGTCCTCTGTGTCGAATTTGATAAAAGTGCTGACGGGTGCGAAGATCTCCTCCTTCGCAATGTCCATGTCCGGTTTAATACCAGAAATGACAGTCGGTTCGAAGAAATAGCCTCCGTTCTTCTCGAGCTTCTTGCCTCCGACGTGGATGGTCGCGCCTTTGGACTTTGCGTCGTCGACAAGTGACTGAGCCTTCTCAATGCCTCGTGCTGTCGTTACAGGGCCCATGGTAGTGGTGTTGTCCGCACCGTGGCCGACTACAATCTTTTTGACCTCTGCAGTCCATTTCTCGAGGAACTTATCAAAGATTCCGGACTGGACATAGATACGGTTCGCCGTGACGCAGGCTTGCCCAGCATGTCGATATTTCAGTGCGAATACTTGAGCTAATGCTTGATCCAGGTTGGCATCATCGAATATCACGACAGGACAGTTGCCGCCAAGCTCCAATGTGACCTTCTTGAGGCTGTCGGAGCAGAGCCTCGCAACCAGTTTGCCCACACGAGTAGAGCCTGTAAAGGACACTTTTCGAACGAGCTCATGTCGGCAAAGCGCCTCGCTGAGTTCGGGTGTCTTCTCCAGATCAGTGGTAAGGATGTTCAGGGCCCCATCAGGGAATCCAGCCTTGCTGGCAAGATATGCGAGTGCAAGTGCAGTGATGGGAGTTTCTGGGCTCGGCTTCACGATCATCGTGCAGCCTGCAGCAAGAGCAGCTGCAGCTTTCCTTAGCACCATGGCAATGGGGAAGTTCCAGGGTACTAATGCTGCGGCAACCCCAAGCGGCTGCTTGATGGTGAAGACCCGTCGGTCCGGCAGAGAAGGCTGGAACACTGTGCCCTGAATTCGCTCCGCTTCTCCGGCGAACCACCAGGTGAATCCAGTTGAGTAGTCGATTTCGCCGTACGCCTCCGCTTTAGGTTTGCCTGTCTCGTGCACCAGGATAGTTGCCAGGTCCTCTCGGTTTTCACGGATCAATGCATCCCATTGAAAAAGCAACTGTGCTCGTGTCCTTGGGCTCACTTTGCGGTAGCTCTCGAAACAGTCATGTGCGCTCTTGACGGCGTCATCGACGTCAGACGCATCGTTGATAGGGCACTCTATCCATGGTTTTCCAGTGCCAGGATCTGGATCGAGGTAAGTCTTGTGTCATGGGCCAAACCAAATAACTGACCAACCACTTCAAATGTCTTGCCAGACTTTGACTTGACCCATTTCCCACTCACGAAGGACTGATTGTGGAGCAGTTCTGGATTATTGAGCTAGTGATAACGGCTTAGCCCACTATACGGAATATAGAGGCAAGATTCAAACCTCGAAGGGCAGTTCGTATTTCCCTTTTAAGCCCATAATGTCTATGTTATGTTTCGTGGCTCTATGCAAGGTGGTGTTACGGTCGTGCCTGGTATGCAATGGGCCTCGGTTCGGTGAGGGAGCTTCTGTCTGGAGACGACTAATATAATCAAACGGAATATCCCCGGTCAAACTGCGCTGCATAAGAATCACAGTGCTTCAAGCTAGTTCGGTCGTCTGCTGAAGCTTCCTCGACTTAAAAAGAACGCTTATGTTCGGCTCTTCACTAAACGCCCGTGACGCTGCCCGGCGATCTCCCAACCCCGCCGCCACTTCGCCATCCGAGTCCCGACATGTCACCCTGATTGGCCCTTCCCGCCCTTGGGAGTACTGTATTCCGAGGCAGTTGCCCTAAATCCGAATGAGCCTCACGTCTCTTGAAGTTCCGCACGACGTTATAGAGCCCCTCATTCTTGGCGGCAGCTAGGATTGCTACCCCACGGTGAATACAATGACCAGGAATGCCGAAGCACGGCTAATGCTTCTACGGATAGACGGCTGACCTTTCGGGCTGCCTACTAGAGATGTGGGACCGCCATTGGAGTGCCTTGTACAGCAGGAGTGACTCCCGTTAGACTGCACACGCCTGAACCAGTTCACACCAACTATCGCTACTTCTGGTAGCCTCTCAATTTCCGGATATCTTCAAGAAAGTCTTCCCGCATAGCAAACATGGGTAGACTCGACGGCAAAATCGCCATCGTTACTGGTAATCCCTCTTGACAATCCTGCACCATGCACCGCTAACCTCCTCCCTAGGCGCAGGATCCGGCTTCGGCGCCGCCATCTCAAAGGCCTTCGCCTCCGAAGGCGCCAAAGTCCTCGTCTGCGACATCAACGAGACCGGTGGCCAAGAAACCGTCGCCTCCAACCCGTCCTCCCTCTCCTTCCATAAAATGGACGTGACCAAGGCGTCAGATTGGAAATCTACCATGGAGACCGCCATCCAGAAATGGGGCAGAGTGGATATCCTGGTGAACAATGCAGGGACGAGTTATAGGAATAAGCCGACGCTTGAGGTGACCGAGGAGGAGTTTGAGAAGGTGTTTGATGTTAATGTCAAGGGGGTATATTTGGGGTGTAATGCGTGGGTGCCGCAGGCGATCGAGCGGAAGGAAGGTGGTGTGATTATCAATATTGCGAGTGTCGGCGCTACACGGCCGAGGCCAGGGCTGGTGTGGTATAATGCTTCGAAGGGAGCGGTATGGAATGTAGGTTTGGCGGCAGCGCTAAGATTATTCTCCCACTAACGGTGAATTAGGCGACCAAGGGACTGGCAGCAGAGTATGGTCCTCATCAGATCCGCGTAGTCAGCATTTGTCCCCTGGTAACCAGTACGGGACTCTTCTCCCACTTTACTGGGGTAGAGGATACTCCGGAGAATCGGCAGAAGTTCGTGAGCAACGTACCGATGGGTCGTATTGGCGAGGTGGACGACGTTGCTTCAGCATGCGTCTTCATGGCCAGCTCGGATGCGAAGTTCATCACTGGTGTAAACCTGGAGGTGGACGGCGGCAGGTGCATCTAGTCAGAAGGCTTCAGAAGGCTTGCAGAGTTAATGCGATCATACCACAACTTGAAAGGTTCCCGTGCCAGGGTCGTCAAGTGAGCACTGCAGTATATCGATGAGATCCAATAGGTGATCGTGCATAGGAACGGATAGGCAGTTACAACACACGTATATGCGCAAACTCAGGGAGCCCAATCGAAGTAAGACTTGCGTGCAAACTACTTAGGTTCCTTCATCATGGGGTATCATCGTCACGCTAATCGTACAATCATCTCCGTTGCCTTCAAATTATACAGAACATCCAAACCCAAAACAGTCACATCGTGCGCACCTTACAAATGGCGACGGCGTGTAGTGGTCGTAGTACGACCATCAGTCCCATGCATACGGCGGGTTCCCGCGGCCTACACTCGTCAGTCACCCACTCCTTCTACATCAAAAGAGAGGATAACATACCTTCAGCCCCGGACGCCTCGTCAAAGAACCCCTCAATTTCATCAGGGCACCAGAGACCTTGTCTCCCATGGTAACACGACGCCTAGGGTGCGCGGCAGCTACCCCATGCATATGACCGCCATGGTGCCGCGTAGTCTTCGTGGTAGTAGTCGTTGTCGTCGTCGTGGTGACTGGAGCACGACGACCAGCAGTTGTGCGCTTGGGGCCGAGAATTCTGGTCCTCAGACTGGGTCGGGCGGTGCTCCTGGTGGTGCGGGTGGTCCGGGGTGCAGTTGTGCGGTGGGTGCGGCGCAGCAGAGGCATGTTGATGTTGCTGGTTGTTGATTATTTGAGGTTGTGTAGGGTGAATACGTTTTGAGGATGTTCTTGGAGTTGTAGTAGTGATGGTTTGAATCAAAGACTGCCCGGAAACGACCATTCCTCCATCTTTATATACGTCTTACCTTTCCCGTACACATGGGTCGTATAAAGAGACGACAACGACGTCATGCTAGCACCCAAGCCTACACAGTACCGTACCGTACACAGTGCAGTTACACAGTACGAAGCGACGCCTGAACATGTGGCGCATGACGCTTATTAGCGTACATCTCGAGTATTCATTGGCTTGCAAGAATGGCCAACAGAAAGTTGGGAGGGTGGGTTGGCCAGGGCATCCGCGGGAAGTGTGGGGTATGACGTCAGTGCCTCCGGCGCGCGTCATCTTTCAGCTTGTGGTGGGCTACGATTTGATATGCGCAAATGGAATACACAATGAAGGATTCCGTTGCAGGTTTTTTTGAGATGGTACGCATTCACGGGAGAGCGTTGTCTTGGCATCTATTATGGGGTGCACGATGTGTGTGAGCATTTCGTTGCGATAGCCAGCTGCAGTAGAAGGGAACCTCACCCTGAGATGTCCGTAGCACACAGTATAAGTACTTGTAAACAAGCAGAAAACTCGCAAATCCGAGATCTAAGCGCTGTGGCATCTGATAAATCGGAAGATGGCAATGTTTCCCCGAAACCATCGTCACCGCTGTGTGGTCGACGTGGTGATGTCACTTAAAAATCACAAGTGGAGCTGATACACAGTATATATCCAACAACGCGCCCAAATAAACCTCTCCTCATAGTAACGACTTCCTCTCCACGCACAGGATCCGAATCTCTTGCAAGCCGCCCTCATTGATCACTAAACCTACCTACATAAACTCCTATACACGTCTCATTAAACACAATGTCTGACAAGGGACAATTCGAGCAAGGTACGCACGTCGTTTGGATTTGTCTCTCCAATACCTAACATGCCCAGGATACCAGGTGCCTGTCCAGCATCAGGACGTCCCTGGACTGCAATCAAAACTCAACCCCGCACCCCAAGTTGACCATCTCCCCACGCCGGATGGCGGATCACAACTCTACAAGGCGGCCGGCAAGTTGGAAGGCAAGAAAGCATTGATTACCGGTGGAGACTCCGGAATCGGACGTTCAATTGCCGTGCTGTACGCCATGGAGGGTGCAGACAGCTACATCGTCTATCTCCCCGAGGAAGAGACGGACGCACAGGAGACGAAGAAGCTAGTCGAGCAGAAGGGAAGGAAATGCTGGACCCAGGCCATTGACATCCGGACGAAGGAGAACTGCAAGAAGATTGTGGAGGATGCTTTGAAGGCTATGGGAAGCATCGACATTTTGGTTAATAATGCCGCGTATCAGATGATGGTGGAGGATATCAAAGACCTGTCTGAGTAAGTACTGGGAGATGGATGCATGTCTGTGCGAAGCTAATGGCGTACTAGGGATCAATGGCATCGGACCTTCGACACCAACATCCATCCCATCTTCTACCTCTCCAAGTATACCCTCCCACACATGAAACCCGGCAGCACCATCATCAACAACGCCTCCATCAACGCTTACATCGGCCGTCCCGATCTCCTCGACTACACGACCACCAAGGGTGCAATTGTCTCCTTCACCCGCGGTCTGGCGAACCAGTACGTATCTAAGGGTGTCCGTGTCAACGCCGTCGCTCCGGGACCCGTCTGGACGCCACTTATCCCATCAACCATGACCGATGAGGCTATCAAGCAGTTCACTGCCCCTATCGGAAGGCCTTCTCAGCCTAGCGAGATCGCTACCTGCTTTGTGTTCCTGGCTGCGCCAGATAGCAGTTCCATTACTGGACAGGTGATTCACGCCAACGGCGGTGGCTTCACTACCAGCTAGAGAAGTGCATCCAGGCGCGCAAACCATGCTTTTGCGCACGGTATACGAGATACGATTGATGATTATCAAAGTCGAGGAAGCTGGGACAGTATGAGCACTAGGTAGCGTTCGATGTAAATGATGACCAGGTCAATTTGATTCACTTCGAAACCTTTCCGCTGTCTCACCGGGTGAAAATTGATAAACGATGGATTCATATTGCTGGTTATCCACACTTACGCCAATTTACAGGGTACTTGCACACACCAGCCACGCAGAAAGAATCAAGCGAAATCAGATGACATTGAACGCTTAGCCGGGGGGAAGCATGCTCTGGTCAACAACGTCTTCAGCTGCCTTCTCTTCCACCTCGCTCGGCTCATGAAGCGGGGACCGAGGCAATGCCATCAGACCTGTCTCAAATTAACCAATTGCTCATGCGGCACATTAGGGAAATACTAACCTGTCCTGGCGGATTCAAGGATACCAAAGGGAGCAATAAGCTTCATGAAGGAGTCAATCCTAGTTGACTTGGCCGAGACCTCCACGATGCAGTTGTTCGTGCTGATATCAAGCACTTTTCCTCCGAATTGGTGTGTAAGGAACGTGATGGCTCGCAGATGCTCATGCTTGTGCCTCAGTGCTTGGCTGACAGCGAGATTGTTCGGGTGGAAGTCCTTCCTCAGGGACTCACGAGCGGCAGCCTCTGCGAGAGAGTCACGCTCCGCATCCGACAACTCCTCGCCCTCAAATCCCTCCTGGACCGGGGGCATGGAAGCCATCTCGCGGTGATGAGCTAGGAGCTCTTCGAAGTACTCTGGACCAAGAATGGAGATCTTGGCAAGGAGAAGCTCGCGCTGGACGAGGGGGGAGCTGGTATAGTCCAGCACAGCCCAGACAGGGACAAGATCTTCCAATTGTCGGCGGGCCTGCTCGACCACACCGTCCTGGCCTTGCAAGACAATTGTCATGCGGGAGAGATCATCAACCTCGGTATTGCACACAACCAAGCTGTCAATGTTGAAGCCACGGGCAGCCAAGATGCCGGAAACGCGAGAGAGTACACCGGGTTCGTTCTGCACTAAGCAGTTCAGGATATGGCGTTTCGGGGGAGCTTGGGACGGCAGAGGAGTCTCGTAGAGGATGCTGCTCACGGCCGCTTGAGCGGACCACGCGGGAGGGCGGTCATCGGTCGGGAGAGGCGCAATACGACGGTGGAGAGCCTTGTATGCCAACGCCTGTGTCGACGACGAGCTGGAGCTGGAGAGGCGCTGTTGCTGGAGGGGAGCAGCGGAACGTTGCTGGCGGAGGATGGAGTGGAGAGGCAGAGCTTGGACAGCTCGCCGGGACGCCATGGTGCAAGGAGAGACGCTGCGAGGCCAATTGAGGCAGCGGCGAGGACTGCTGAAGAGAGTGGGAGCGGTGGCCGGCAATCAAGTATCTGTTTGTCGCATGCGGAGCAAGCAGCTCGCATACGACGAGATCAATGAATGACTGGGTCGGCAGAATTTCTGAGCCGAGATCGGGGTCGCGCAGGGGCCATGGGTGAAGGTCGTCAAGATGCCTGCGCGGCCTTGGCGCCAGCTTCCGCTAAGCCTTTTTGCTCGCACTACTCGAACCGCAACTTCTCTATCCCGCTTCCTTCATTCGGGATCTCAACACCTGCGAGTTCTGCTCCTACAGTCATGTCGGACGACGGCCGCCCCCGTTCGCGCTTTGATCGAGGCCCTTCTGCTCCGCGCTCCCGTTTCGACCGGCGCTCCCGCTCGCGCTCGCGCTCACCTTCAGCCAGAGATTCCACATCGCGTAGGACCCGCAGCCCAGTCGCGCGTGAGGCTACGGACAGCCCATCCGCAGCGGAGAAGAAGCCTCCTTCGAAGGAAGCTGTGTTGAAAGCTGCCGAAGCTGCCAGAGCCGCTGCCGCAAGGATCTCAAAACAGCTGGAAGCGAAGAAAGGCATTCAGCATGTCGATGTGCCGCCTATTCGCACGGTGAGGCTGTCTAGCGTACCCTCGGGGTACAACTCGCCTTCTAATTCTGAGAAGGCCGTATCGAGCCCTCCTGTCGCGAAGTCGCCATCGACCACCCCTGGTGGTGCCGTCATCCGCGAGGCGTTCCAGCAGGATGGCGACTACATTCAGGACATAGAGATCAATGATCTGCGTAACCGCTACACACTGACCAAGGGATCTGTCCAAAAAAAGGTAAATAGCTTCTGTTGTCCGACTGATCGGTTCAGGCTCTCCCTCCTCTCCTTGGCTGTCGCCCAGGTGTGAATCCTGGCGACGTCAGTCCAGGTTCTTTTCTCTACAACCCCTTTCGCTGTTACGTGTAGCTGAAGCTCACTGCTTATAGCTGCCTGGCACCACCTTTTTCAGAATGCTGACCTTGATTGTGTGACATCTAGATTAAAGACGATACTGGCGCCGGTACGCAGCCTTCCAAATATTGACTAGAGAATTACCTGCTGATGCTTGTCAAAGATGTCACAACTCGAGGCAGTTATTATCCAGACAAGAGCTTAGCCACGGTCGCAGTAAGTTCCGCTGATATTGGAACAGTATGCTCGGTCTAACAATGTCAGAACCCACCACTCTATCTCCGCGTCACGAGCACATCCAAAGAAGGCCTGGAAGCAGCGGTAAAAGAGATTGAGAAGATGATGCAGCAAGACCTTCCAAATCTGGTGGATGAACGTAGGTTCCGTCGGAACCGTGAACAAGACCCGGTCGAGCGTGACGAGTTTGGACGAGTACGTTTTCCTATTCAGGCATCGCTGGTCCCATATGCTGACTTACGTAGCGTAAATGGCCCGAAGAGAAAATCCCTATTGACCTCGAGCCAATCAATGGGTTCAACCTGAGGGCACAGGTCGTTGGCCGCGGGGGAGACAATGTCAAGTATATCCAACAAGAGACCGGCTGCAAAGTGCAGATCAAAGGTAGAGGCTCGGGGTTCATGGAACCTGTTTCTGGCCAAGAGAGCGATGAGCCGATGTTCTTGCACATTGCGTATGTTGAACCCCGTCTAGTTTTCGCTGTCTAGTCTGATACTGACGGCTCCCAGCGGACCCAAGCCGGAAGGCGTAGCGCAAGCCAAACAGCTGTGTGAGGAGTTGCTTGCCAAGGTCAAAGCAGACTATCAAGCTTTCAAGGAACGCCCGCCACAGCACCGCTTTGGTAGTGACGATTACTCGGGCAGACGGTACGGTGACCGGGGCGACCGCGATCGCAGCCAGAGCTATGGCTATGGAGCTGGTTATGGAGGCCATGGAGGTCTCGAGACGCCTCAGGCAACGCACTCTCCTGCTCCCATGGCTGCTACCGCTGGCATGAACTCCGCTGCTGCCTCTGGGGACTGGACGGCGCAATATGCGCACTATGCTGCATACTACGCCGCTCACCCTGATCAGGACCCTTATGCCCAATATGGCGGATTCGCTACATACATGGCATACTACCAGCAGTACTACAGCGGAGCTGCTGAGGGTGCTGCAGGGTCCGCAGGTTCTCCTCCTCCTGGAATAGGCGGTGCTGCTGCCCCTCCACCTCCCCCTCCTCCGCCATCTGAGCCTGCGCCTCCTAGTGCAGCGCCTCCGCCGCCTCCTCCGCCACCCCCGGCTGCATCTCCGCCAGGTGGATACAATGCTGTATGTCTATCTTTCCTTACCACTGAGACTACACGCTGACGGTCCTCCCTCAGGTACCCCCACCCCCTAGCATGTAGCAATGAAAGTTCAGAGGCACTCCTCGGTGATGGAGCAGCGGCGTCGTCCTAAAGAACAGGGGGTTGGGCGGCACATTATAGATCTCCATGGGCGATGATTGGGATTTGGTCGCGTGCAGGAGGCGTTCACTATGCTCTTGGGGACCAACTTGATGGCTTGAGACTTCAGTACGTACTGCAATGTCGCCACTATGTAAAACTGTATTCAGGGACCCACCATGATTTTCCCTCTACAGTAATAGTATCATACCATGTCAATGAACCGTACACACCTGGGCAGAATGCATGGTGACTTTGTCTTGTTTCTGATTGGTTCAAATGCCAAACCTCCCGTCCCAGTAACATGCATGGGCAGCTCGGTGTTGTGGGGAAGTGAGCACGGGCCGAAGTCGGCTACTTGAAACTTTTGTGATTAACAGTCGTGGTGGCACCTTGACAACATTACGAAGGCATTGCGAGCTCTCTGTTGCTCAAAATGCGGGCTCAAGCACTGCGGGCAAGTCAGGCAGCGCCTTTGAGGGTGAGTAGATATGCAGCCCCCTGCTTGCGCTTCTGTGAACCTGCAAAGTGGAAGACGATCAATGTTGACCCTCCCAGCCTATCTCTGCCCACCTTCGATGCTCCCAACCCGCACTGCGAAGATGTCTCGCCACGAGTTCCAGCCTTCCCTCGCACAGAGTAGACCTTGCGTCAAGGACGCCGCCCTATAAGAAGCTGGCCCACAAGCTTGAGGAGGTCAGGAAGATCCTAGGTCCTGGGAGACAGTTGACGCTTGCGGAGAAGATCCTGTACTCACACCTCGACAATCCGGAGGACTCGTTGTTGTCCAATACGAATAATGGAAGGGATATTCGGGGAAACGCAAATCTTAAGCTCAAGCCCGATCGGGTTGCTATGCAGGACGCGTCCGCGCAGATGGCCCTGCTGCAGTTCATGTCGTGTGGGCTTCCCTCGACCGCCGTTCCTGCAAGTATCCACTGCGATCATATGATTGTTGGGCAAAAGGGTGAACAGGCGGATTTACCGAGCTCCATTGCGGGGAATAAGGAGGTGTTTGACTTTTTGGAGTCGGCAGCGAAGAAGTATGGTATTGAGTTTTGGCCACCTGGTGCGGGTATCATTCATCAGACTGTGTTGGAGAATTACTCGGCGCCAGGATTGATGATGCTCGGAACGGACAGCCACACGCCTAACGCCGGTGGTTTGGGGGCAATTGCGATTGGTGTGGGTGGTGCGGACGCGGTCGATGCGTTGGTGGATGCACCATGGGAGTTGAAGGCACCTAAGATTCTGGGTGTTGAGCTCATTGGCGAACTGAGCGGCTGGGCCTCTCCCAAGGATATCATTCTGTATCTTGCGGGTCAGCTTACAGTGAGGGTAAGCTTCAACTGATGCCTGTATCGCGAGCAGACGCTAACAGGCAGTACAGGGTGGAACTGGATACATCATCGAGTACTACGGCCCAGGCGTACAGTCTTTGAGCTGCACTGGCATGGCAACGTGCTGCAATATGGGGTACGTTCATCAGGATCAAACGGACTGTGCATCTGGCTAACCATCGATTACAGCGCTGAAGTGGGTGCGACGACATCACTGTTCCCCTTTTCCCCGGCTCACGTCCCCTACCTCCAAGCAACGCACCGTGGCCCTATTGCTGAGGCCGCTTCCAAGATTGCCTCTGGGCCAATGGCTCAAAATTTGCTGCGCGCCGACCCTGAAGCTGCCTATGACAAGGTCATCAGGATCGACCTCTCCAGACTCGAGCCCCACATCAACGGCCCCTTCACGCCCGACCTCTCTACCCCTATCTCCAAGTTTAAAGATATCGTTGAGGAGAAGGGGTGGCCGAAGGCTTTCGGTGCCGGTTTGATTGGTAGCTGCACCAACAGTTCATACCAGGACATGACCCGCGCTGAAGAGGTGGTCAAGCAGGCGTCCGCCGCGGGCCTCAAACCCAAGGCAGATTTCTTCATCACGCCCGGTAGTGAACAGATTCGTGCAACCCTGGATCGAGATCAAACTCTGTCGACGTTCTCTGCCGCCGGCGGAACCGTGCTGTCAAATGCTTGCGGTCCCTGCATTGGCATGTGGGACAGAAAAGATGCGCCACCAAAGGGTGAGGCAAATGCCATCTTTACATCGTACAATCGCAACTTCCCCGGCCGGAACGATGGAAATCGTGCAACCATGAACTTCCTCGCCTCCCCTGAATTGATCACTGCGATGGTATACTCCGGATCCACTACCTTCAATCCTGCCACCGACTCGATTGACACGCCAAATGGTCCCTTCAAATTCACACCTCCGAAAGGCTCGGATCTTCCATCCGCTGGTTTCGCGGAGGGCCGGCCTGAATTCTTCGCCACTCCCGGCGTGCCTGACCCTACTGTGGAAGTAGTCGTCGACCCCAGATCTACACGTCTTGCCCTCCTCGAACCCTTCGCTCCCTTCCCCAACTCCGAACTCAACTCCCTCCGCGTCCTCTACAAAGTCAAAGGCCAATGCACAACTGACACCATCTCCGCGGCAGGACCCTGGCTGAAGTACAAGGGTCATCTTCCCAACATCTCCGAGAACACGCTCATCGGCGCCGTGAACGCGCAGACGGGTGAAGTTAACGTTGCTTACGATGTCGATGGCACCAAGTCCGGGATTCCCGAACTGGCGAAGCGGTGGAAGGAGAAGGGTCAGGAATGGCTCGTTGTTGCCGAGCATAACTATGGGGAGGGCTCAGCACGCGAGCATGCTGCGTTACAGCCCCGTTATCTCGGCGGACGCATCATTCTCGCCAAGTCGTTTGCTCGTATCCACGAGACTAACTTGAAGAAGCAGGGTATCGTGCCCTTGACCTTTGCCAACGAAGCGGATTACGATCTTTTCGAAGCCTGTGATGAGGTTGCTACGAGGGGTCTGCTGGATGTATTGAGGAGTGGAGGGAAGGGTGAGGTCGATCTTGTGCTGAAGAAGAAGAGCGGGGAGGAGGAGGTTATCAAGACGAAGCATACGCTAAGTGAAGATCAATGTGGATTTATACTCGCGGGAAGTGCATTGAATCTGTTGGCGAGGAAGGGGAAGGAGGGGCTCGAGGAGATTACGAGGCAGAGTGAGCTGTCTCTCTAAGCTGAGGGATGACTGTCAAGGGAGGACTTTGGTGTAGACGGCGCGTTAAGGGCTTGTATTATATTGCATAGCCCAGTGAAGGGCATCCTGATACCTTACCAAATTATGATTCTGACTTCCTTCCTCGATGCCGGACCTTGGCCGATGGAGATGGTTGTGGGACATGTCGAAGCGCGATCCCACGTGGTATGGGTCGCCAGCCCTTTGGGATTTGGAGAAAACGACATGGAGCGGAGCTCGGTCTCACTTACACCGAGCAGGATCATTTGTATCATAGAGTATGGGTGGCGCCATGCCCAATCTATCAGGTATATTAGCAGCCCGGACTTGAGGGACATGAATCGATTGGAATTGGGGGGAGAATGCCTGCGAAGTGGGCGTTACATATGTATAGATGAACTTTGGAGATTGATGATCTAACAGAAAAAAACAATCGTTTGGTTATAGTAGAGCTCCAAAGTACCAGGGCTCATGGAGATGCTTCATGGTGTTTGGCGACATAATATATGCTCTGCACTATACCATATGTGGTAAGCGCAAAATGTGGTGGTGTAGGGTGCACCTTCCACCCTTCACGTCTCGGAGCAAACCCTCAACAACCACGCAAGATTTGAATTCCAACATGACATCCAAGTGCCTGGAGATTGTGGAGCGCGACGATGCAGGAGTTGTCACGGCATCGTACCTGGAGTCGCGGGGCCCAACATCTGATAGCCGGACACGCATTGACAGGATAGTTGGTCATTCATTCCGTTAACGCACATGTACATTTAAGGATGAAGGCAATCGCTAACAGGCAATAGCTTCCAAAGCAGACGAAGACATATGCTCAGCGGATCTTGGATGTGTTTCTTCCTGCCGGATATCCGCATAGCGTCACTGAGGATTACATACAGTAGGACCGTCACGTCACTGTTGATACTATTGATCGCCGCTGATACATGTATTCTGGCACGTGCAGATACCAAATCTATGTAAGTGTCACAGATTGCTTGCCTATTGCTCTCTGATCTTTCGAATATGTCCGATCACTAACATAGCATTCATAGGACTCATTACAAGCTTTCTCCTCCTCAATAGCCGGTCTTCTTTCATCGCGAGCGGTCCTAGAAGGTATGTAAGCATGCAGACTAGGTTGTATGACCTTCATCAACTTTCATGTATGCAGAGTGATATGAAGTCACTCAGAGTCAACCGGGACATCGGGACAACATGCAGCACATCAATTTAATATCGGATCGCTTAGCACTCGTACATTTTCCCAACACTGCAACGTCCAACACGCTGACGATACCAGGTGTTGGCGTTGGAGACGCTTCAGCAAGCCCCACTGCAGCCTTGCTTTTGAACGTCCTCCAGGAAAGCATGGGACGCATCGCCACCATTCTGTTCGCGCACAAACTCGGCACGTCGCTTGAGCCGGAATGCAAGATGTACCGGCTAGCAGCCGATATTCTCAACGACATGGCCATGGTTTTAGATTGCCTCTCGCCGGCGTTCCCAAAAGCTGGGAGAGTGCTGATATTGTCCTTCTCGAGCGTGCTGAGGTCCCTCTGCGGCGTGTGTGCTGGAAGCTCCAAGGCTAGCTTATCAGCTCATTTTGCGAAGCGGGGAAACTTGGGTGAATTGAACGCTGTGAGTAACCTGATATCTGCTTCAATCTTTGCTGAAGTATTGGTGCAATTTTTCGCTTGACGAGACGTATATGAGCCGACCCGCTTCCACAATATCGAACGTCATATTGCTGCCACGTGCAGATTAGCTGCGCCGATAAGCTCATTCAATTGCTGACTCCATGTCGCAGAAAGATTCCAGCCAAGAGACGGTAATATCTCTGCTAGGAATGGTGGTAAGTGATATGCAAAGTCTCCCTGGAGTTGGGACTGCCTAGCCTACTCGGCGCCAATTCCGAGTGCTGCAGAGTCCGGGTTGATTGACTGCAATATACAGGCCGGAAGTATTGTGGTGTCGTGGGTATCGACGCCTATGGCAACATGGGCAACTCTTATCGGACTGCTGTCGATCCATCTGGCGACCAATTATGCCGCCGTAACGTCGGTCAGCATGCGGACGTTAAACCGGCAACGAGCGAACATAGTATTCAGCAGGATTCTGCAGGACGGTGAAGTGCTGAGGCCAACAGACGTCTCGAAGATGGAGCGAATCCTCGAACGTGATGGGGTGTTGAGATGGACCGACGACCATATCCTCGGACACTGTTGCATTGGGGTGCCATTGGCAAAATTGCTGGGCACTATAGGGGAGAGCCATGACCGGACAGGATCGCTTACTCTGCAGGACATCAAGATCTCCAAGTTGCTACAACTCTTTGAGAGCGAGGCTTACATCCTTTGGCACGCTCAGTCGACGATCACGATTGTCCTGAAGGAGGGATGCTCTCCTGTGGATCAACTTCAAGCATGGATGCATTCCCTACTGCTTGCCCAGCGCGCAAGAGAAAACACTTCCAGGGATCAGCCTGAGGATGACAGGAATGGGCTCGCTGAGATAAGAGCTACGTTGAGGGAGGCGAAGAAATGCCTCAGCACCAATGTCGCCAGACTTAGAAACGCAGGATGGGACTTGGACACGGCTGTGCTGGAGACACGCGCAGGTACACGGATTTCGGTCGATTTTGGGCAAGGTGACCTATGAATAAGGCATACTCGTCATTCCCTTCCTTTGTTTCAAAGGAGAAACATCACAACGAAGGAAGACTCTACCCCTTGCAGCTGAGGAGACGCTTACGAGACGACATGAACAACAGCGGACATTGGGTTTCTCGTGCGGTACTGTAGTGCACAGAACAGGCCTGCGAATCATAGTTGTTCACAGTCAGCTGCGGGAGACTGAATGGAGTTCGTGTCGGTTCCAGATTTGTCTCGTTCCGACGTCACTCGATGGTGGTGAGTGCTCGGCCGCTTCTTGTACCTGACGATCAGGCGTGTCTCCACCCCAGAAATAGGATGACCCTGGAATTGAGAACCGACAGGCGCGGACGTCAACAGGACCTGACTCTTGAGGAAGCCAACAAGTACGAACCCCTTGACAACTATGATGCCGTCGCTGATTTTTTATGAGGCTTCCAAGAACCGACTCCGTCATGTGAGGTGAGATGTGTTGTTGTCCTCCAGGGCTGCGTTTTACCGCCTCAGATCCGGGTTGGATAGCCCACGGGCCTCGCAAAGCTGCAAGTATCCACTTAGCACCTAGCAAATCGGTGAGCAGCAAACCAATCCAAACAGTGTTCTGACTCTGATGGAACAGCAACAGAACAAGCATTTTGGATTCCTTCTTCATCCTTTTGCAGTGTCAATCTGTTGGCGGGGAATGCGAGTCGGGCTGCATGGCATGAGCTCAGCAAGCGTACGGTAAGGCTGTGGCTATTATTGAAGTGGCGTCTTGCAGCTGTGCCCAGCTCTGAGTCCGGTGCTCGCCTGCCGAGAGATCTGGATCGGCAATGACAGGATAGTCTACCCGTAACCCAACTTGCGGTGAGCAAGATGGGACCACGACAAAACGTCGAACAGAAGAGAATGAAGAAAAATTTGCAACGCTCCTCCACCTCTGGCTGCTTCTCCCGGCGGCAGGACCGTCTGGTCGGTGAATGGCAGGCAGCATCTGTGAGTCCAACTGCTTCGATCGACGGCGCCCGCGACGTGGGATTTCTTCCGCGAGAAGACGTGGATCCGCTTACAGCCAGGATTCGATCTTGGCCCTTCTAGAAGCATTCGCTGCGCAGCCACCATTGCACACGACGGGCATGAGAGCAGCGCAAAAACGGCAAGGCAGGCCAACCACCGCGAAGCGCCGCAGAAGCCGCAGGAAGCCACTGCTCGTGTTGGTCATCTCTCGGGTTGCCCTGTTGATGATGGCTGGAACCAGGATCGGCATGGGCACACCACAGTAAGCGCTGCATCAAGCATGGGCATTGCTCCGATGGCCGTCGCAGGATGGCAGCTAACCCGTCTCAGTAATTTTCTGGAACATCTGGCGGAAGGGACATGATTGATCAATACACAGAATGAGTGTGACTCGCAGGAGAAGAGTGTGCTCTGAAACGTCAGAGTCTGGAGACGGGACTATGTAGCGGTACATTCGTGAAGCCCTTCCAAAAAGGTTGGTTGTCACTGGCCAGGTTTCGGTTTGCTGGTTTCCGTTAGGCGCCCGCTCCGCAGACAATTGCGAGCTCGCATCCCTATCTGCTACAGTACTGGATACAGTGACTCTACCTAGGTAACTCTGGTAGCCGAGGCTCTCCTCTACGCGCCGGAGAGCGACCAACAGATGACTACTACCTAACATACTGTGTAGTAATAGGGATTAGTCTACGGAGTACGGAGTACACCGGTTGGTCTCTAAAACCAGGCACGGGCGATTGGTACCTAGCTGACGTGGGAGTGTGGGAGGCTCAGGCCACAGTCAGGACAGGCGCTGTGTAAGCCAGGCAATTGTTACCTTGCAGCCAATCAGGCTAAGGCGCTACCGCCGGCAATACTTCGCTACATTGTGTCTCATGGACGGCTGGGCTGGACGATGGCATCATCAAAGTGGGGTGCGAGTGGCGTCGCATGATGGCATCATTCTTCTTTGATTTACATAGTCGTCGTGCCCTCTTCAGACAACTTGCGCGCGTTAATTCCGGCCCATCATGTGCTCCCGTGACCGCGAACGGACGAGAAGAGTGCCTAAATTGGTTGGGAATGGGCGAAAGCGTGAAGAAAGGACGGGCTGCTCTTGTATCCTTCCTCCATACGCTCCTTGTCCTCTTCTTCGTCTTTCGCCTCGGAGTGTCAAGGTCGGAGAGGGCAAGCGCTGGGAGGGATTTGTTGAGGGCGTGATGGAGTCATTTGGAGGAGAAGCTGGATTCAGCAAAGGCAAGACCCGAGGGTGGGGGACGAGGGACACGGTATTGTTGAGGGGAGGGAAGATGGCGCCCACGGGTTTGCTGCAATCGCCCATGACACACGTTTGCTCTCTACACCGGAGTGGGTGCGGGTAGTGGCGACACTGCTTGACTGGGTAGATACTATTCGTACTGTATTTTTAACCTACTCCGTACTGGAGATGGAGGATAGTGTGTAGGTACAAGACAAGTACTGTCGGTGGCCGGACCCCGGGCAGGGGACCGCAGAAAGAAAGCAACAAGTTGACAAGTCATCACAGCAGCCATCATTGATCCTTGGAGAGTCAGGCGTCTCAGCAAAAGGCGTCAAGTGGGCCGTGCGCTCAGCCCAATCGAGCTTCGCACCAGTCTTGACCCGGCATAGTCTCGCTTTTCGCAAAAAGCAGTTTCTGCCAGGCCTTCGAGAAGAAGACTGGGCCCTGAGTGGGTCCACTTTGCGCAAGGATAGCCCCTGCTACTTCCTTTTAAGTAAAAAAACAAGGGTCTGGCTGTCAGCGCCGCTTTAAGCCTGCATGTTGTCCGCCTCAGGCTAGGGCGGCTGCCCTGAGTCCTGACCTGCAACCCGCCCGTCCTCTGCATCCGCCCAGGTTGTTGTGTGAGTGTGGTTTTCGACTCGCTCCTGCCTGCCCATCATCAGCAGTTGCTGCTTCCCAATCTGCGACGCCCGCCGAGCCCTTGCCCTTGGCGCCCTTCTTCACCTGGGCACCACCACCACCACCACATTCCTCTTCCCTTTTCGACCCCGTCTTCTCACGAACGACACACAAGAGTACACAGTACGACTGCACAGTGCTGTGCTACGGTACGCCTTCTCTCTCCCTCCTTCCTCGCTCTCTCTTTCTCCCCACGAAACGACCCACGAAACGACCCACGACCCGCGATCCAAGACCCAACAGCATTGAAGTCCGTCCCCAACGCCCTGCGTCACGATTCACCACCGCTCCGCTGTGGGTCCTGGCTCTTGCTCGCTTTGGCCCCACCCTTCTCCCACCATCCCAGCGACCGCCGTCCGCTCCGCTGCTGCCCAGTAGTCAGCCGAGCCTGGTCCTCTCCCGTCCGGCTTTGCTCAAAACCACGCTGAGCCGCACTTCTGTGCCTGCCACACCAATAACCCACGCCTCATCCTCCACCCTCCCTCAGACTGCCCTGCGACTGCGACTGCGACTGCGAAACCCACCACACCCCAAACGACGCTCTTCTACTGCCGTGCGCGCGCGCCGCTTGTACTACCGCCCATTCGTCGTCGTCATCCCGTCGTCGTCCAGCGCCTGCGTCCTCCCGTCTCTGGTAACCGCACCTCGACGCCTGTACCAACCCCCCCCGCGTCACGCTCCGAAGCTTGCATTGGACAAACCCCCTTCTCGCTTCTGCTGTGCCCGCCTTCGAGAAGTTGCTGCAGCGAAGCAAACCCGCCGCACCCTCTCTCCTCCACGCTAGCCTGCGCCTCGCTCCTATCGCTCCCCATCCATGCCGCCGTCGTTGAAGCCGTAGAACGCGCCCCTTCTCTCACGTTCTCGTCGCCCGGCACATAGTGGTCCTTGTGCCACGACCTCTTGGTCAAGCTGGCGCAACCACTTCGCCCTGAGTTCTGTTCTTGCACCGGCACCGAAGAACAGAACCAACCCGACGCCGCCCCCCTGGTGTACATGCAATTGTGGAGGAGCGTCATGAACGCAAGGAGGTTTGGCGGCAAGCCCATCATATCAGCAACATCATCCCTCGCATCGTCCCCGACGTCGCTCACCCCCGAGGGCGACGACGACGACACCAAAATGTCCGACTCTTCCTCGAGGCCGCTCACTGTCTCAATACCCCAAACCATCACGAACCCTCACAATCGAAAACCTAACCTGTCTGAGATCCTCGCCAACACCGCCCCTCCCCCATGGACTCTCAGCAAATTCATGGCCTTTTTGTCGCAGAATCACTGTCTTGAGAACCTGGAATTCACCATGGACGCGTCCCGCTATCGGAAACACTACTCAAAGTTGATCAGCAGGAACCCTGGGAAACCCCTCTCTCCGCTCTCTGAAGAATGTGCATACGTGCTCATGTTGTGGAGACGATTGATCGATGCCTACATTCGCGAGTCCGGTCCCCGTGAGGTGAGTACTGCCGTCGTGCCCGTTACCCTGCCATAGCCCCTTCGCACCATCGTGAGCGCTGGGCGTCCGGTCTCAAGTGCTAAAGTTGATCAGGTCAACCTCCCTGCCGACGTCCGCGACACCCTTCTCAAACTCTCCGATTCACATCTTCCACCGCATCCTTCCGCATTAGACCCGGCCGTCTCGAAAATCTACGAGTTAATGGAAGAGAGCGTGCTGGTGTCATTCCTCAACTCCGAATGCCCCCAGTCGGCATATCCCCGGTCAGCATACCCATCCTCCAACAGCCCCGAAGGCAACGATGCTACCAGCCTTACGCGTGCTTCGACTCGCAGCTACGACGAGCGCGCATTGTACCATACCAAGATCCAGCCAGGCCACCAAAGAGCGTCCGCGCCCTCGGCTCTCGCTTCCACTTTCATGCATCCTCGACACTTCGCCCACGCACGCTTCAATTCCCACCCTGCATCCACCTCAGCAGCGTCATCGCCATCGAGTCGTATCCCTTCGGGATATGGAAGTGGGAGTGAAGCCTTGACCGACGACTCTGGCAGCGGTAGCCCCAGCGGATTGGGTGATCCTCTCACGCCACCCGGCACTCCGCCCATGACCGACTATCCCATGGTCGACTTTCATCAATCGTATTATGAGCCTGCCCCGGGTCCGAATAGTTCAACGCCAAGCCCCCGAATCAGTCGAGGCGAGCACAACCACCTTGCTCATGTAACGCGAGACAGCTGGAAGCGTGTGAGTAGCAAGCTGTGGCCGAGAAAACGGAGCGGGGGAGCGCTCCGAGAAGAAGAGCAAGGTGTAGTTGAGGGTGGCCTTTTCTAACGCGGCCTCTTCTAACGCGGCCTCCGAAGAGAAATACTTCTTGATTTCTTTTTCTCGATCGAGCGACGGACATGATTACGAGCACGCGGCATTACCATACCCTTTGCTTGCATTTTAGGTCGACATCACTGGCGTCGGCAACACCTTCTGGATCCACGACTGCTTCACTGCACGGGGAATGGGCAAATATTTCTGAGCACATATTGGTTGCATATATATACCTTCAAGACTTGGGTTTTCTTCTCATGGGATGATAGCGTTTTCCTTTTTTTTCGTCGCATCGATACCATCAATAGGGAATAACGGGTTCTGGTTTTGTATTTCACACCTTCCCGTCCTTGACGGGATTTTGGGTCACGGATGGCGTTTTGACTGGTTTTCAACTTTGAAATGTGGGATGATGATTTGTATATATTCCCCTTTGAAAGTTTGCACCTGCTGGTGGGTTTGGGCGGTCTTCTGTCACTTGGCATCATGTCGCGGGATTGCTTACTTGCTGCTCATACGCAGTTTTAATTCCGAAGAGAGTATTATTCACATCGGATACTTTGACTGTGATTGAAAGACCCAGTCTACGTCTTGATGTTGTATTGCTCTGTTAATGCCTCCAGGGCTCCTAAGACGTGGTCACGCTGCGCTGCAATCACTACATACCTAGGTACCCTTTGAACGCTCTATACTCTGGAACATGGGGGAGGACTAAGACGTAGTGTGCATACACGGTCTAGACAAATCGGCCACCTAATCACTCCTAGGAGATAAGGGTGCTTGCTAAGCTACACTGTGTTATCCATGACCTTCGGCTTGTTTATTCTTGGGTCTTTGTGACGTGTGAAGGGGTGCCGCTTTTGCAGTGCTAATATCCGTTGGGATCGGACCTTTTCAAGGCTCGCCACCCTGATATCTAAGCAGGATCAAGTGGGTTTGGGGTTGGGCTTAGGGCTTGGGCTGGGGATTTGGTCATTGCGTTCTATGGGGTGGGACACGGGGATAACGTAGACATAGTGTCATACTAGGTACCACACTGTAGATGAGATAGGGAGACATGAGCGAGTCTTCGCCGGTCGGCCATATTGGGTATTCAAAAGTCGGTCGGCGTTCGGCATTCCTTCTCTGGCGTCTCGCGTGTGGGATATTCTCGGAATCAGTGATGGGGGTGCAGGTTGAGAGCCAGAAGTCCATGGGTGAGTGCCGTTGACGGTGCACGTGATTCGTGAATACATGACTCTGCGTATGCTTCTGTGGGCTGGTTTCTGCAGTTGGGAAATAGATTGGGAAAGAAGCTTGTGTTGCGGGGTGGGGGAGGGCTGACTGGATGGAATGCCTTGCAGCGTTGGAATGAAATAGGAGCAAAGTGTTGGTTTTTGGTTAGTAGGAGGGGGACCGGGTTGGCGGTACTGTACCCGAACATTGCTACTGGTAGTCGATTCCGTACCGTACTTGCTACCTGGTATGCTGGAGCCTGAATGCAATGCATGGATGCTTGAGGAATTCGAGTTCGAGAGGGTTGGCGAGTGAGCCTCGTATTTTGTCAATATATATACCCGGTAAGAGTCTCCCACTGGATTGGGAAGAGAAGAGATGGCAGATGGGATCATGAGACTGAAGAGGGGATGGGAGCGGATAGGCGAACTGTTCGTGATTGGGTTGACTACTGTGGATAGGTACGTAGGCTGATTGCCGGAATAGATGGCGAGGTAATGTTCCCCATGGTGATGGATAGGGATACGAAAGTGTCTTGAGGAGCGTGGGGTGCATGTTCTGGTGTGATTGGGAATGTGCAGAGTTGAAGGAATAAATTCATTGGGGGAGAGATTAGGAATGGAGGCTTTGGACTCGTGGGCCATTCGCTCTGGTAGGTAGGGAGCAGTGAGCATGATGGTCTCTTTTGGAATTGGAATCATTTTAGGAGCTGGGGTGTTGGAGTGGAGCGTGGGATTGTGATGGATCAAAATGTATGCTTATGGGTATACGGCTCTTGGTTCCTCTGGACCTCTCAAACAAACTGGAAGATGGTTGTTGCCTCTGCAGCTGTCCCGAGGCCGGCTCATACGGATGAGCTACTTTTACACATTTGTTAAATAATGTTTTCGTCGGAACCGTACCACCCATTCCACCATCTCCATTCCTCCTCCTCTCACGAAATCCACCCCCGTCCAAGATGTGGAAGTGTTTCCACTTCCAGATTACCACCGCGGTTGATGCGCGTATGAGCAGACGTTAGGCACTCTCGTGTAACCGGGTAAAACGTACAGGTCCGAGCTTCCAAGCTGCTTCTAGATTGCATAGATGTGAGGTGGACGAGGCTCGTGTTCGGTTCCGGATATAGAAATTAACACGGGGCTTCTACAGCAAGGACCGTGGCAGTGACGTGGTAGCTTGGGCAAAAAAAAGAGGAGGAGCGAGGCACGTGGATTCGATTTGCTATTGCCGTGTCTTATCATGTTATTCAGATTGGTGTGGAGATACGCCTAGGGGTTGTGAGTGTGGGGTTAGGCGGTAGGGCAAGTAGGGTAACTGGTTAGTGGGAATTGCGAAAGCGTCTGGCCCATCTCAATATTTGTTGTAGCCTAGTAATCGAAGGGAAAAGGAAGAATGCAGTGAGGTTGGAGAATTGCAGCAGCCCTGAGGTGAGGTCTTGTATTGTTATCGATAAACCGAAAGGGAAGGCTTCTAGAAGGGTCAAGATGTTAGCGAGGCTGGGGAAGTTGCTCCACACCTGCACCTTTGACGTTGAGAATTCCAAGGTTGGAACAAAAAAGCCCTACCGCCCTACCAAGTTACACGTCCTCTTACAAAGCCAAATGGGCAAAAGAAGCCTGGAGGGACAACTAAGCCGAGAGAAAAGTAAGCAGGGTACAGTCATAGATCTCCAACGAGAGCCTCATCCAAGCCCTTCCGTTCTTCACCCAACCACCTCACCATTCTCCATCCCCGTCCCCATCACGCCAACCCATCCCCCGACATCCCATCCACGTCTTCAAACCCCCGACTGATAGCAGTTGCACATCCGCCTTCCACCCCCTCACCCCATAATTCCAAAACCACACATACCACCTTCCTGATCCTTACATCTCCCGCGGTTGAACCTCCGTGTGCCCCCATGCAGCCATGCAATATATATTACCACCCTCGCCCGCGATCGACTTTTCTTGCGTGCCGAGCGATTTTGATAGTGAGAGCGTGATTCTGAACCCGGTAACACGCGCACGCTTTCATTTACCTTAATTAATAATAGAGACGTGGAGGGCCTTGGTAGAGCATCATCGTGCATCCATGATCCCGAGTCCCTGGTGCGGCACCACCCAGAACTGGACAAGGTCAAACGGCGCACGATCAGCAAAGACGAGCATGCACGCATGTACTTAAGCGAGGAATGATGGACGCGAAGCCGAGCGGAATGCCGTTTTTCCCGGTGAGAAGTGCCGAGCTGCTACGACATCATTCAGATTCGTCATGCACCCGTACGGCCGGACACTGGGGTCGATGTTGGTGAGAGTGATAAATGCGGGGGCGAATATCCAGAAGGACTGCTGGGGTTGTGATGGGTCTCTAACTAGAGGGGATGTGCGTGAGCTTATCATCGGTGGAGAAGGAATGATAATCGCCATGAGGGGATGTGATAGGATGGAGTCGGGTGGGGTGAGGGCATTCCTTGTGGGGATATGGAAGAGATGCGTGGTGTGCGATAGCTAGGGGAACCGCATGCTGCTTTTACAAGATGAGAATCCTTCATAAGTCCCGTCTGCTCTGATAACAGCAAAGGATGAAGTGGTTGAGGTAGCTGGTGCTGATCTCTCCCCTCTCTCCTTGTATTGATCTGGCAGACAACACCGGAAAATTTCTAGTGATACATGAGCTTGGCTACGATGGAGATGTCTGTGAGATATTGGTTGCTTAGGCAGACTGTACCTGCCGCCCTATATCATAGCATTATAATAGAGGACGAATGATGAAGTGGTACGTGACCATTGATTGTTGCAGACATGATGCAGTACAAGTGCACCTATATCGCAAACCTTGATGCATGTTACGTCTCTGTGTCGGTGTTGCGATTCGGCAAGAATGCCTTATGCTCCAGGAAGCGGGGGACTGGACTTGGACGTTACTGATCGAGATGTTCTTATACCGTCTAGTCTACGTCTTCTTGAAGATGACGCCCTTCACAACCGATGGCACTGTGGTGATAATATCATGGTACAACGCTCCGGCTTGGGGCTCAATTTGAACTAGTCTCATAGCTGGGTAGACGCCGATGCCACCCAGTGCGTACCTTCTGGACTCCAAGTGGCAACTTGAGAAATTGTACTTTACATCGCTCAACAGTCCATCACCATGCAGTTGGTGTGCAGGCACCGTGGCCGTTTGCGGGACTTGAGGCTCCCCGCCCTATGGAACTTGAACGTTTGAAACTATCCCTTAACGAGTCTAGCCTATCTATCGCCAAGCCTGTCCCTGGCGTGTTCCAGGCCGACAACCACACCACGACAGAGTACCTGACCTGCATCACGACGCAACGGAACATGTGCCTTCTCGCAGACACCTTCGAAACGGTCCCTGTTCGCGCCCCGTCCAGCTCACCATGAGCAGCGAAACCGCGACGTCCATCTCCGACGAGGAGGTGGTGGCGCTCGCACAAAACATCCTCCGCCAGTCTCGCGAGGACATCGACCAGCGTGCCGGGCAAACGACGAGCGAATTGCAGCAGCAGCAACCGGGAATCACTATCGATTTGGGCCACAAGAACATTGTGAAACTGCCGGATGAGGTCATAGATGTGATCAGAGCCGAGATTGAAAGGTTGGACGCTATTTGCCCCTGCCACTCCATATTGCCCGGCCGCCGTGATTGTATCGAGTACACTAGGCGCAGAGGTTGCTTACACAGCTAGACTCGCCCTCTCGCATAACCTCCTCACGACGCTTCCTTCACGGCTGGTAGAATGCAAGCGGTTGCGCTATCTCAACGTGCGCTACAACTCGATGCGCGAGATCCCCGAATGCGTCAGTCGCACGACCCTTTCAACTTACAGTGGGATGGTGTCTGACCCAAATGCAGATTCTTGGAATGCCCTCGCTCGAGATTCTCGATGTTAGCAGGAATCGCATAACGGCCATTCCGCCCGGGATCGCGAACCTGACGTCGCTCAAAGTGCTGGCGATTGCGAAAAACCGGATCGAGGAGCTCCCCGTATGTCTTGGCGATATCAATAGTCTACAGGTGCTGAAGCTCGATGGCAATCCGTTGAAATTCCCTCCGCCGGAGGTATGCAGCATCAATGCAAATGCGCCGTCCCCTGCGAATGAGAATGAAAGAGATGCGGTCATAGCCACGCAGGTCAAGAAGTTCATGAGGCTGCAGAGTTCAAAGGAGAAGCAACGTGTAGAGACTGAGAAGTTGCGGATAGAGTCGTCTGGGGACGAGAGCTGGACCGAAAGTAATCCGGAGACGCCCCGTCCTTCAAGGCGAACGAATGGCGGACGGTTTCCCGTCAGGCCTAGCATTGGCAGCGTGGAGGGCTTCAATGAGAAACCGCCGGAGTCACCTGGGATCCCACCGCCTATTCCGACGAGATCGCACTACCGGAACCAATCGAGCCAGAACAACATCACCTCGCGGAGACCGAAAATATCTCCACTCATTTTGTCGAACAACGCCAACGAGAGGAATCGGAGCCAGAGTGAAGGTGCTGGACCAGTGAGCCACAGGCAGAAGAGAATGGGAATTTACACCAACAAGACAACCGATCTGGGCTTTGTCGACGAGCTGAAGAGAACCAGCCATTTTAGAGGTTTCAGTCAGGGTTATGTTATACATGCGAACGCGGTTCCCAACGGGATGTCGGGTCCAGCAACCGCCATTGGCTACGGGGACAATGTGACCGTTAGGAGCTTGGCCAGTCGTCCTCTTTCCGATGTTCGTGAGCACAAGAGACGTTCTCGACAACCCGATGTCGTTGTTGAAGCCGCCAAGAATTTCCTGTATGCCGTATCCCAGCTACACGATACCATTTCCCATATGATGCGGGTTGATAGGTCACAGGACAGTCTTCATCGCAAGGAGGATTTCTACCGCCGCTTTACCTCGACGTACCTACACATTCGCGCTTTGGATGACTTGTTGCGCCGTTTCGATACGCTTGCGGAAGAAGATGAGGAAGAAGCGAACACTCTTGCGCAAAGCATTTACGTGTACACCCTGAAGTGTCTTGATCTGTTCATGGCGATCAATTTGTCTATTGCGGAGAACCGGACTGAGATTGCCCAAAGCGTAGACCCTCGAATCCTCCGGACGTATCTGCTCCTTCAGCAAGGCAGTCTCGCTGAAATGAGGAACGCTTGTGCTATTCTGGGTGCCGTCTTCAGCGACCCTCCCCGCAAGAGTATGCGCTCAGATGTAAATGCGACAGTCCGCGCCCGACCGTTGAAGGTTCGACGTTTCCAGGCTTCACCGCCTCAGCGGAACGTGTCGTACCAGATACCCCCGCCTGTGATTCTCCACAGCAACGACAATAGCCGCACCAATACGTTGACGAGCATTAGTGCTGCCACCCCGCGATCGGGAGAGTCGTTTGCCACACTGGCAGCCATGTCACGATCCAACACTCTGAATGGCACTCTGGACGAGCAAGATGAGGACATCTACTTTGAGCGGGTGTATGACAAGCTCAAACTTGCTTGCGACGCCTGCGCGAACACCATCCCTATCATCACGAGGTCTTTGGAGGAGAAGTTTGAGGTTTTGCGAAGGGATCTTGACATTGACGACCCGAAGCTCAAGGTCCTGGCTGGACTTGTGGAGAAGAGCAACCTGGTGCAAGACAGCATGGAACCCCTGGCTCGCCGCCTCTCGCAAATGCAGTTGAAGGACAGCTATAGCAGAAGCCAGCCTGTTTTCTGGCAGCTCTGCATGGCCTTCATCAAGGTTGGTTCCACTATTTCCTCGTACTCTTGCCGCTTGAACGTCTTGTAAGAACTGACTTCGCGATTAGGCTTGGGGCGATCTGGCGAGTGCATGTAGTCAAGAAGGCCGTAACATGGGCCTTGTCGGCCCAGTAGAAGTCAAGCAATTGCTCAAGCCGCTCCACCGAACGGTCAAGGACGCCAGCCTCGCCATCAACGATTCTCCATGGTCCCATCTCACGGCTAACAACGCGGGAGCAACGACGCAACCCCATCTGGCGTCCTTTACCTCTCGAACGCAGCCGCCGAGATTCGCCAAACCCGCGATGCCTGCTTCGAGCGGCTCGTCGTTCCCAGGCCCCATCAACACAACCATCACGTCGACGTCGGCATATTCCCAACCGTACTCGACGACTGGTGTCGGCTCCGGCTCCGCTGGCTACGGCACCCCGGTGCCTGCTACGCCGCTGTTGAGTGCGGCCCTGGGCGCGGCGGCGCAGGCGACGGTGCCGAACACGCCGAGCTATGCTCCTGTGGGGTCCAGTAGCACGATCAATGTGTTTGAGAGGGCGGATAGGCTGTTGAGCCAGCAGTCGAGGCGCGTTTGATGGGGAGGGCGGGTGGCATAATGACTTGTATTATGGTTTAATAACGTAGAATTAGCGATGGCGTTGGGAGTCTTCTCGGCGGGCAGTATCCAACTGGCACGGCACGGGTTTCTTTCTGCCAAGGGACGACGTATGATGCATGCAAGGAGTTTCTATGGGCATGGGCAAAGGGATCATATCATGGATGGGGAGTTCAAAGTGGGAAGGCAGCTGTCATGGACGTACGTACGCAGGCATGGGAATGGGATCAGTGGGTGAGAGCTAGGTAGCTGTGAAATGCCGACTGGTTCTCCTTTCTTCCCGTGACAGTGAAATCAAGTATATGTGCTGTTAGCTCTGTCGATGCGGTCGTGTATGGAGAGGTGATGTTGGGGAAGCCGTTGACCACGATGGACTAATTGGGTGGACGTTTTGAAGCAAGCGGCAAAGGGGATAGTGTGGACGTGACTGATGCTGGTATGGATGAGGAGGTTTTTTCTAGCAATTGGACTTTAGTGCGGTATGTACAAAGAGAGAAACGAGGGCTATGTACAGTTACAGCCAGAATTAAGATGCAGCGAGGAGTGATATCAGGATCAACGTCCGACACGTCGACGGGTTGAGTAAGTAGCTACAACAGGGGAAGTAAATCTATGTAGATGACCAACCAGCAAATCTAACAGTCACAATATCAGCAGCAATCCACCCCAAGGAAGGCCCCCCCTATCTATTCGCCCCAGCCTCCGAACCCATGACCGGATTATGACCAGCCGGGTACCTCGCCGCCGACTCCCGCGTCCCCGTGGTAGTCCCCGCATCCGCTCCCCAGCCCAGCTTCCCGCTCTCCACCTCCCTCCTCGTCACGCCCAGCTTCTCCCTAGGCAAGCCCATACTCCCCAGGAATCTCACCGAATCCCTCCACTCCCTCTCCTTCCTCGCCTCGCTCCACGCCAACTCCTCGGCCATGATATCGATCACGCCCGGCAACGCCTCGAGCGCCGCCCTCGCGTTCAGAAATGCCAACCGCATGCGCCGGGCAAGTACATCCGTCGCGCGCTCCGCGTACTCGTTCCGTACGCAATACCGTACCTCGCCATCGATGAACGGGTACAGAGGGGAGATGCGCACGCCGCGGACGGGGAACGTCCGGCCCGTGGGCGAGCTGAGCTCGACGACGCTCCATGCTCGATCGCCGTACGCTTGCGCCAGGTACTTTGCCACGTCCGTCTCGATGCCAAAGTGCTGGATCAGGTGGATGAAGAGCGTTTTGCTGTACCCGTGCGCGCCGATGAGGCGGACCCGATGGGTTTGGCAGGTCCCGTCTAGGGGGGCTTCGTCCTTGATTTCGGTGCCCGAGACGCGCGGGGGGTTGGGCAGCGGTTTGGGGGCGAGGTGGAATTCCTTGATGGCTTCGTCGACGGTTTCCTCGGCCATTTGTCGGTAAGTGGTCCATTTTCCTCCCGAGCAGGTGAGCAGGCCCGAGGGCGAGGTGGTGATGAGGTGATTCCGGACTAGACCCTCGGTTTTGGCCTTTTTCGGGTCACGGACTAAGGGCCTGATGCCGGACCAGGCGGCCAGGACGTCGGAGCGGCGGACGCGGATGTCAGGTTGCAGATAGTGACGGATTTCGTTGAGGACCCAGTCGATTTCGTCGTCGCCCGCTACGGGGTCCTTGGTCACGGTTGAGGCGGTGTCGGTGGTGCCCGCAATGGTGTTGCCTTGCCAGGGGAGGAAGAAGATGACGCGGCCGTCCGAGGTCGAAGGGTCGATGAGGCCCATGTTGGAGGGAGAAAAGTAGCCGGGGAGAATGACGTGGACACCCGAGCTGGGTGCTACGATTTCTTCGACGCTCGGATCGTCCAGTTTGCGGATCGAGTCGGTGAAGGGGCCCGTGGCGTTTATGATGCCTTTGGCGCGGATGGAGAATTCTTGCGCGGGTTTGCCGCTGAGCTCGGGGATGCGGTCTTTGACGCGGGCGCCGTTGAGGCGGCCGTTGGCGTCCTTTTCGAGCGAGGTCACTTCCATGTGGTTGACGACGGTGGCGCCGTAGAGGGCAGCCGTCATGGCGAGGGAGACGTTCATGCGGGAATCGTTGTGTGCGCCGTCTGGAAATTGTCAGTTTTATGTCCTCGACTCTGAACTATTTCGCGAGATATTTGTCCTACCATAGTACACCAAGGCGCCAAACAGGCCCTCCTTCTTTAGCATGGGAAAGGCATCCAGCGCCTTGCTCTTGGTCAAAAAGTACGAGCTCTCGATATTCTCGGACCCGGCCAGGAAATCGTAGAACTTGGTGCCTGCCCAGAAATAGGGCACCTGCCACCACTTCTCGATGGGGATCATGATGGGGAGCCAGGAGCTCAGATGGGGCGCCGTATCCAAGAAGTAGCGACGTTCGCGGAGTGCTTCCACGACGAGGAAGTACCTATGGCAATATATCAGCCGTCTGCACCTTATTGAATAATCCCCTCACGAGCTGAAACCTGGGGAAACGGGACAACCCACTGATTATAATCCAGATTCCACACGGCCTTCTCCAAATACCTCACCCCACCATGCACCAGCTTGGTGCTCTTACTACTCGTGCCACTACTGAAATCATCCCTCTCCACAAGGGCAACCTTGAGTCCCCTTGTCGCCGCATCCAGCGCAATACCTGAACCCGTCGCGCCTCCTCCGATGACGAGTAGATCGTATTCCTCGCCTCCCTCAGCGTCTTCTGTCGCATTCGCACTCTTTGTATCGTCATTCTTCCCCCACTTGCCCGCTAATAACCTAGTGTTCTTGGTGAAGTTGGACGGATTACTCCGCTTCAACGCCTCAATCTGCTCGTCCCTGCTCTTCACCCTCGGGAACTGCGGGGGCTTCAATACACCGCCCTCTCCGTACGTCGGGGGCGGGACCTGGGCGGCTTCGAGCCCCGGGATGTCGCGCGGGCGGTATGCGACGTAGAGGGCGGCGCCGCCTGCAAGGCCGGCAGCGGTCGTGTAGAGGAGCGGTTTGAGGAGTCGGCGGGTGGTTCGGCGAGTGGCCATTGCGGGCAGGGTCAAGTAGGTCGAGGAGACGTCGAGGGATGGGGGACGAAGAAAGATGGGAAGAAAGAAGAAAAGAAGCAACGAAAATAAACGAAGAGTCCCAAGCAAAGATAAATAACAACTGCCCTCAAACTCGGTCCCCCAAGCCCCTAAAACCACATGCAGAAGACTTATTGGTACCCTCCCAATTCCCTTTCGCCCTGGCCTCGATTCCCCGTATACGGAGTACCAATTGCCAATTCCCTTTTCAATCCGTACCGCGGCCGCTCAAAGCTGCTTTTCGCACCCGGACAAACGCCCACTCTTTCACTCTTGGTTTGAAATCAGAGAAACACGTCGAGGGGTTTCCTCCCAAAATTTTCCGGGCACCACGAGCACGCTTTGGCGAGGTTGTGGCTATAGAAATTGAAGATGCAGGTCCTGTTCAACCTTTTGAGTGAGGGATGACGACAGACGGGGGGAGATCGGCGCCGGGGTTGGCGTTGCTGGCTGTGCCTCGCCGGGTCGGGCAAAGGCACCCCGAGGAGCGCCAAGAAGGCCGCGGAGCAGACCGAGAGTATGTGAGCCTGTGGAAGGGGCACGGGGGAGTATGGATCCATATCATATGATCATAGCTGGGTAAGAATCGTATGGGCTATACACAGTATGAGGTATTTTTCTTTCCCTTTCGCATATGTCTCGTACTCCTACACAGTACAGTAGAGCTCACCGTCTTTCGATATTCCTAGCCCTAGTGGCGATCACATGCTATCTTCAACTACATAGGTAACTTTAGATATCGAGTGGACTTATACAGTAACAAAGCTCGCCTCAATTCCAGGGATTTATAGAGCATATCGTGCGGTGCGGACTACATGGCTCAATATCGGATTGTAGGCAACGTCTTGTATCTATCTCTAGTCGGCATGTCGTATATCCCATCTGGTTCATCTACTCCTCCCAGCATCCTTCGCTCTCTTGATCATCTAACGCTAAGCTCTACATCAGCCGTGACATTGACATTATCATGCGCGCAATGGTATCCAGCTGCAAACGCCAATGGAAGAATAAACAGCAATCCGACTTGAAAAAGAAAAGGAAGGCAACACCCAAACTCCGCACTCACCCCTCCCTCACGGCACAACAGCCCACTTTAGCAACACCGCATCCACCATCACCATCCCACCCACCAGACTCCCCAAAGCAAACCCATGCACCCACCCAACCCTCTCCCTCCTCTGACAGAAACTCGTCACCGCAACAAGCACAAGCACAAGATTTGCCACCACCCCCAGCAGGACCGCAATGTCGACCTGTCCCTTCAACTTCCTGCGACTCGTCGTCACCAGTACGGCCAGAATGATGTCGATGATGGCCGCCGCTGCGACGAGGCTCGAGTAGAGCTTCAGGATGGCCATTTCGCGCTCGCGATGCCGCGTGTGGATTTCGATGAGGAGGGCTTCGCGCGCGCGTGGATCCTGCCAGCCGAGTGCTTGAGCGTCTTCTTCGTCGTCGGCGCGCCAGCGGCTGCTGAAGGCGCTAAGGAGGGAGCTAACGTAACCTTTTCTGGAGGAGCGGCGTTGGGGTCGCGCGGGGAAAGGAAGAGTCCCGTAGTCGGGACGTCCTGGGGTTGCGAGGGGGGATTCGTCGCTTGTATCTTCATCGTCGACGCTCGAGGCCGTGTTGGCGGTTGAGACGCGTGACACGCTTTCTTCTTCCTTCCTGAATCGTAGGAGAGCTCGAGCTCTGCGCAGGACGGCCTCGAAGAGTTCTTGGCCAGGGAGCTTGGTTGAGGCGTTGGGGTCAAGGTAGATGTAATAGCCTTCGTCTTCTGATTCGGGGTTGTCGTATTCGTTCCAGTAGCGCTGTGTCCCCTGCGGCGCAAGCGTATTATCGGATTCAAAATACTCAGAGTACTGTTTCTTCTTTTTCTTGAATGCACGTAAGGGTGGTGGCTCCGTAAACCCTGGTATGGATGCCTCAGTAGTATGGGAATGATGTGGACTCGTGGCCGCAGTTGCCGACGTCGAGGTCCCAGAGGGGGTAGGGGCGGAACCCGAGTCGGTTGTGCTGGTGGTGCCTTTGCGACGTTGTCTCTTCACGGGCTCCGGAAGCTTGCGAATGTCCTTGTTCTCGAGCAAGGATATCCATGCCGGGCGGGACATGTTGTCTGGTCTGCAGCAGATCCAAACCGCATGAGCTTCCAAAGAGAAGCCGCGGACCCTTTCAACCTAGGAAACGTCAGCAAGCTGTAGATTTTGACCGGACCTTTGGATGGCTCGCGCAGGCGATGCCAACCAAACTGTGAGCGGCATACCAAGTGGCTGGAGTCAAGCAATTGGATCAACTCGGTTGACTGCGCACCCTCACTCCTAACTTCCAGGACGGCATAGGGAAACTGTGAAGAGACAGCTCTCTCTTCACGACCCGGTTGATTGCTGCACAAGCATGCAGGCAAGGACCTATCCATTGTGATGTCCTTGTCCAGCACCGCCCACTTGCCCCTCATGGTACTGTTGTTGAGCCCAAGGAAACGGGTGCGTTTGGAGCCCACGCTGGCAATGGGCAGGATATCCTTTGAAGCTCGAAGCCACGATTGGACCGCAGCCCTTTCGTCATGCGCAGTTGCATCAGAGGTCAGCAACGCTTCAATCTGTCTTTTTCTGAGTTTGGTGACCGTGATGGTCTCTGGGCTTATCGATGCATTCGGCTTCGCGTCTTGTTGCGTGACTGCAGCGGCAGGTTCCATGGAGGTCCATTTCACAAGACCAGCCGCCTTAAACGGCGTAGCACCGGCTACCTCTTCACTGGCGCCAACGGGGCACCCATTCTGCCTCCGAGCAAAAGCATGCGGCTCGTCCAAGACGACAAAGCCTACCTCATCCTCGACACCCGTAGCCGGTCTGTGACGGAACGGTGAGGCCTGTCGAGAGCGTCTAGGAGACATAACAGCAGCGTGAGGCTTCGCAAAGGGCCGCAGGTGCTGAAGCAGCAGAATCTCGACTTCAACGATGTGATCGGGATGTATCCAGTACGTCGCCCTGGTTCCCTGCGTTCCCAACGGCACAGCACCAACAGCGACATCGAAATCAATCGGATCGCCCCTCTCGGTAGCCTTGAACAGCCTCGATGCAGCGCTCAACTGCAGCGCCTCAATCCTCGGACTGATTTCATCCGGTCTCGGCAACGCGTCCCTCAGCGCATCCAGAACCTCGATGTACCTTTCCAGCAGAAAGCCCAGGTCCAGATGGAAGAAGCTGTCGGCGCGGCCAATGACATCAGCCTTGAAGCGGCGTTCCAATTCATGGTCCTTGGCCCACCGCTTGTACTTCTTCAGGATCTTGTAGAAGCCCGTCCGCTGGGCGGTCTGGAAGCGCGACAGCGAGCGGATCTCCTCGCCGGCGCGGTGTGCATCGGCGTCGATTCTGGCATAGTTCTCGACGGCTCTGGCGGGCAATGGCCCTGTGGAGGGCTGGCGCGCCTGCAGCTGTGCCAATTGGCGACCAATGTAGTCTAATCGTCGTTCGATCTCGCCGCTCTTGCTCTTGACGAACAGGTTGATGCGGTCATGCTGGCTTTTCAGGACTTGGAAGAAGGTGTCTCGGAACGCGGTTTCGGTGGTAGAGCCCTGGCCGGGGATGGAGAGAGCGGTTCCGTGGCCTGGGGTGGTGTGCTGCTTGATGAGGTCCTTGAGGTAGTCGTAGTCGATGTTGTCTAGATATGGCGGGGGGAAGACGTCAGTCTGGGCGCTGCAGGAACCTTACGAGAGCCTCGGGCGCAATTGGGGCCACGTGGGGGGAGAAGTGGGATGGCTAATAATACTTACAGTGACCCCACTCGGGAATGGAACGCTGGACCAGCGTGTGGCCGTATTTCATTCCTACGTCGTACTACGTTAGGTAGCAGAGCAATGAGGGAGGGTGTGAGTGTGTGACTTGCACTGGAGGAACAGAAAAGACTGGACGTTCCTGGCAGGGACCTTGCCCAGAGACTTGGGGCAATCTATATCTATGCCAGGGTCTTGCACGTGAAACGCGCTTCTGGGTAGGAACTGGGAAGGCGAAGGTTCCATCACATTGCTGCTTGCTGCGCCTCGCCTCCCCTCTCGGAGCCAGCGATATGTACTGCGCGGTGTGCTATTGGGTCTCGTGCAGCCCTGTCTTCAGCTCCCATCTCCAGCGTCTTGCCGTCAAGAGTTCAAGAGGTCCACTCGCATCCACTCAGGCCGGGCGTCGTTGCGATAAGGCGTCGCTAGAGGAACCGACCGGCAGATCCACGTGCTACGCCTTCAGGTTAAATCGACATCCGACCTGCACGCATGGGGCCATTGGATGAGTCTAGAACTCGGAAAATCTCAAAGTCGTACACAGTATAACAGTAGCGACAAGGTACTTGTAGACGTACGTCCAAAGTGCAGTTGTGTAGCTTTTTGTCCGTCTCTCTCCCTTCCTCGCTGTCGGATGCGCCTTGCTCGGACTTGGAAACTCCACCAGAATCAAAAGCCCGTCTACGCAGCTTAATACACAGCATCGCACTCGGAATCATTCACAGCTGCAACGGTTGCTTGACTTCCTCGATCGTTTCCAGGCCTCCGGCTGTCAAACGGTTGATTTCCAGACACCGCCGGTATCCAGCGTCTGAGCTTGACTCAACAGACCCACCAGTCGTCGAGCGAAACTCGGAATGCTCAAAATCCCACCAGTCGTAGCAACATTCGGAGGGCCTTTCCGTTGTCGCTGTCTTTAACGACCGCTGGTTCCTACCACTGCACCGTCGGTACCAGTAGTGACTACTAGCATAGCGTAGGTACGCACCCGAAGAAGACCCAAGGATTATTAGCCATTGAAGGGGACGATGCAGGGAAGGCAAAGTCTTTCTGTTGCCATCATCCACACTTCGGGGCCAGATGCCTAGTTCAATCATTGCTGAGCCCAACAAAATCTGCTTGTCAGTACTATGTAGAGTCCGAATGGCAGAGCCCACCGCGATTCATGGAAAAGGTGGGAAAGTGTTGCTGTTGACCAGATGATTCATTACGCAGGAGCCATGGCATCCTACGCCTTGACCTCTCTCGATATCCTCATACCTCTATAATTCCCGCCCCTTTTATTAACCCATCTAAACAGCACAACTCTACAGAGTACCGCTTCCCATTACAGCAGATACCGATAATCCGGATTCATATCCCCCAGCTCCGTCTTCTCATACTCGGTCAACCCCACATCCCTCGCCGTCCTCTCCCTCTTCCGATTCTGCCACGAACACAGCACAAAGTACACCAAGCAGCTGATGGCGCTCAGGCACACAAACGCCACACTGATGGAATACCCGGGGATATACTTGGGCGCATCCTTCTTCAGGAACGCATACACGGCGATGATGCCGCCAATGTTGCCAAACGAGACCTGCCACGCCGATCCGATGGCTCGTCGGTGGTGCCCTCCGAGGTTCATGTTGAACCAGCAGACGATGACGGGCATGGCCGTGTAGGCGCCCATGGCGACGAGGAAGAGCGCCGCGTATTGGACCTGGCGGTTGTCGTGCACGGCGAGGAGGATGGCGAAGCCCGCGATGGCGACGCAGATGGGGAAGATGGTGAAGAGGAAGCGGTGCTGGAGGCGGTCGCTGGCCCACGCGATGACCATGGCGAAACCGAAGGCGGCAGCCCATGGGGGAACACTGTGGAGCTGCGTCTGGATCGGGCTGTAGCCGTAGCCTTGGATAATGCCGGGGCTGAAGTAGGCGTAGCCGTAGGCGGGGACGATCTGTGGGCGGATTAGAGGAAGACTTGCACAAGTCGGATGAGCGACTTACAAGACCCAGATACATGAAACCACCGACGACGATCTTGATATCCTTGAACGCATTGATCACGTCCCTGACTTTGATGGGCCGTTCAGCTGCTGACGAGCCCTGATCGAGTTGAAGCCGGGCTTTGACGAATGCTCTCTCATCCTCGCGGAGCCACTTTGCCTCTTCAGGGAAGTTGGGAAGGAGGAAGTAGAAGAAGAATGACACGATAACTGTCAGGAGACCCTCCAAGATGAAGATCCAGCGCCAGCCTTGGTAGCCCCGTATGCCGTCCATTTTGCCAATTGCGCTAGCAAGAAGTCCACCAAAGGCACCTGCGAGGGTGGTGCTGGAGAAAAAGAATGTGTAGCGGCGTTGAGCTTCATGACGACGATACCTAAAGCTGTTGGTGGTCTGGCAGACGACAAGTGCGTTGCAATTACTTACCACATGCCGATCAAATAGAACGCTCCCGGAAACATGCCCGTCTCAAACACACCCAGGAAGAAACGAGTAGCCAAGAGGCCCGAGTAGTTCTTTACGAAGCCTTGGAGAAGCGTAACTAGACTGCATTAGTCAAGTTATACGTTTGGCGCAATGTCCCGACTCCAACGCACCAAGTCCAAAACCGAACATGCACAGCGAGAGCCAGACTCTGGGCTTCAGCTTCTTCAGAAGGATGTTTGAGGGAATCTCGAACAGGATATAGGGGACGAAGAAGATGACAAGCGCAGTATTGTACTTGTTGCCGTTCGCTATGTTCAGCTCCTTGGATAGGCCGAATACATTGGCATTCGCGATGTTGACTCTGTGTAAGCCCGTGATCAGTATTTCTCATTCCGAATCCCGGGCTGCGAGGAAGAGTACCTGTCGAGAAAAGCCAGGAGGTACATGATGCAGAGAAACGGAATGACATGGAGATCAATCCTGGTTACTAGTTTTCTCTCGGTCGTGTGCGCCGGGCACTGAATGGGCTCAACCACGGCCTCGTCATCGTAGCCGTCATACTTTGGGGGGACATGCTGCTCGGCTTCTGCGGTTGGCGCAACAGCGCTCTCTGGAGTGGCCTCATGTTAGCGCATGCTGGGGCACGGGGATTCAGATGGGAGCATGCTCACTCACTTTCTGTGTCCAGCATCTTTCCGCTTGTCCTCCACTCTGCCGCCCGTTATTAGTGATAGATAGTCTATGTTGAGTGTAGGAGTGCAGAAGAGCTTCAGGAGTTGACGCGGCAGTGCTCTACTTAAAAGTGCAAGGGGTTACAGAAGGCGGTGGCCGAGGCAGGAAGGGATTAACAAAGTCTGTTTTCCGAGTAGTCGGATGCTGACTGGCGTCAGCTTCTGCTGGCGTGTTGTGCGATCTCCTCCATGGGTGGCACACTTTCCCAAAGGGAGACGGCCATCCGCGGTCACGAGCCACCCGAGGTCGGAGAAGTTAAGGTTGGGAAGCAGAATCAAGCGGGGAAACGGGGCCCACGGAGCATGGGGTTACCGACGAGGGTGAATGGGGATCCATGGGGTTAGCCCAGTAACAAGGGATATTCTGGGGTTCATAATTGAGCGATGGATCGCCTGGCGAGGATGGCGTGCGTGTGCAAGCTTCAGACGAGAAATCGGGGGTTTTGCCCTTGGGCTCACAGGCAACCGGAGTGTCCTTTTTCATACGGAGTACACAATACTCCGTACACAGTAAAATATTGCACACCAAGGACACAGGCCTCTCTTCCGCTACTTTGATTTCGTCCATGGTTCACCGGCGGAGCGGCCGTTAGGAGGCGCCATGGCGTTTCCCCGGGCTCAACGGAACCTTGGAAGGCAATTGCTTCGGTTGCTTGGGAGTAGCTGCTGAGTCAGCATCCGAGCCAATCACACGGTCCAATGTGGAACTTGGCAGAGACGCTTCTTCCCATGGGTTCTTCATGCCGCGACGTCTGGCCTTCCTCCGCGCAACAACTTCCGACCCCCAGTGGGACATGGTGAACTCGAAACTCGCCGCTTTCAGAGTATCCAAACATTCCACCCATAGTCCAGTGACTCCTCAAACCGTCGATGCCGTCCTCGACTGTCGACCACAGTTCAGCCAGGGGGACCACGCCATTATTGCCTTGACGTCGTCCCGCAAGCGAAAGGCCAGCCAGGAAACCCAAGGACGGGGTCCAGACTCTCCTCCGGCGCTGACCGTGTGCGAGTGGATATCTGCTGGGCATGTCGACGTCGCACCCAACCGTGCGGCTACCCAGCGTAGGTTGACACATGATTCCGTGAACCCAGGGGCCGATCTTCCTACAAGAAGACGAACCAGGCCATGCAGATTTCGGGTGAACCGGCCTGTGGGGAGATCCCTGGACATCGATTGCTGGTTTCTGATACTCTGTTACTGTCACCCTGCCCTGCTGCTTGAATTGTACCAAGACGTCGCTCCGTTTTACCGCTTGCTGAGAGACAACCCCATGGTCTGGAAGCATAGTAGAATCAACTGCTTTGGACACGCACTTCCTCAACCGCCGTCAGACCTCAGCGAGTTCCAATACGCCCGTTTGCGACACGGCACTGGTTGCATGAGCTGCGGCCGTTCAGCTAGCAGGAAGACGTATTGGGCCTTTCTCCGCCGGTGGTGCAAGGCTTGCTTCCAATCCAAGACAATCCCACAGGAGGAGACAGTGCCATTCTTCAGAGATCAGAACGGTCAGGACCTGTTCTATCTCCAGAGCTGTCTCGATTTTGCCTATATCGACTCGTGGGGGAATTACGCAGGAGTGGCCCCGTACTTTGCCCAAAGCTGGTCCTCTGTGCAGAGGCCTCATAAGATTGTTTACCTACGACGGGACGTCCAAGCAATAGTTGAAGAATATGCACAGCGAAGCCGTGAGAACCCGGCTCCATGGCCCGCCGATGCGGGTTCGTGGGCGACTACGAAAAGTGACGCAGCCGCACGCCGACGTCGATTTGCTCACGACATGGAGCGATGGGAGGTTACCTGCCGTACAGAGAAGAGGCAAGACAATTCATGTAGGAAAGCCCAGCGCAGGGAGTATTTCGTGAACATGGCCCTTCAGCTCTCGCCGCCCATCACTCTGCAGGAAATGGAGAAGTGTCCCTCGTTCCTACGGGCAATTGCTATTCCCAGAGAGCCAAAGAACTCTTCGTGGATGCAACTGAGACCGAAGCTGGAGCTGGAGGTGGAGCAGTTGCGACGAAGCCTCAACGTAACTCGGCCTATACCTGGCATAGCCTAATAGCAGCGACTAGAGATGTTTTCCAGTAGAGGGTACTCCGTAGACCATGCGTTATTAGAGAGCGCCTTGTCCATGTTGGGTCATTCATGTCGGCCGCGAGGAGCGATTCGTGTTTCCAAAGAACCTCGTGTCTAGACCACCCTGCACCAGTCATGGTGCGGACGGAAGAACGTCAATAATGGCCGACATCCAACGACGAAATACCGTGTTTCTCGAACTTGTCGAGGTTATAATCAAGTGCAAGTACTACCACATGCTTATAATAAGGAGTTCCCGTACTGTGTAACACATGCCAACGGATTGATATCAGATGAAAGCATCATCTACTCCGGTATGAGGCTCTGCGGCCTACATAGAAGATGTGCAACAAGCAATCCAGATTGCCTTGCATATGTAGGATTTCCAGTCTTTCATTTTCGTAAGCATAGTGTGTACCAGTCTTTTCTGTGCATGGGCGCTGGCGAATCAAATATTCCAGTCGTAGCAATGTCGCAACATGTCGCCGGGATTGCTCAAAACATCTGGATTAGATAACATTCAACGTTCCAGATCTAATGAACTGATTTTCGCTGACTGTACAAGGCTTCTGCCAATAAGAGGGCGCGGTCGGCTATACCAGGAATGGCGCGCTGGAATCCGTTCGAAGATTCAACGGCCTTTCCACGGGAGCTCGGCAAGTGGCACAACCCTTTCCCGTTAAAGCTGTCAACACCACCTCAATCCCCACGATTGACCGTTGTTCGCCTCGCCGCTCCTGTATCCGCTCATTTCATACCTATCCTCGGTTGCTCAGAGGACATCCATCAATTGTTATCTGGAGAGGTTGTCGCCGTCATCCGGAGCCCCCAATTCCTCATCTCCCGCACCCATCACCGAGGTAGTCGCCAGATAAGCACTTCTTCGCAATGGCCTCCGCATCCCGAACCTTCACACGCGCTCTCCGCACAGCGGGGCCAAACCTCCGCACCCCCTCCGCCCGCTCCGCCCGCTATGCCGTTCCCCAGTACGCTTTCCGCGCGCAATCCCGCGGATATGCCTCGGAGAGCGAGCCCAAGGAGAAGTACGAGGGCAACCCGAAGGGCATGCTCTGGGGAGCCGTAGGCCTGCTCACGCTAGCTGCTGGATACGGTCTGTACAGGCAGAAGCCAGAGTTGTTCGGTCAGGAAGCCAAGGCGAAGGGACCTTTTGTGCCCAAGTACGAGGACTATCAGAAGGTGTATGATGCGGTTGCGAAGAAGCTCCAGGATGAGGATGACTATGATGATGGGAGCTACGGCCCTGTGCTTCTGCGGTTGGCATGGCACGCTTCTGGAACGTACGTAGATGCTCGCAGGAAACTGTTCTTCGTCAGCGGTGCTAACAAGAAGTAGGTACGATGCTGAGACCGGGACTGGAGGCTCCAATGGCGCCACCATGAGGTTCGCTCCCGAAGGTGACCACGGCGCCAATGCCGGCCTCAAGGCTGCCCGGGACTTCCTTGAGCCCATCAAAGGTACGCTTCTTTCCTTCCCGCCTCTTCCACCAGTGGCTAACCCTGGGCTTAGAGCAATTCCCCTGGATCTCCTACTCCGACCTCTGGATCCTCAGCGGCATCTGCGCCATCCAAGAAATGCAAGGCCCCAAGATCCCATTCCGCCCTGGCCGGACTGACCGCGACGTCTCCTTCTGCACACCCGACGGCCGTCTCCCCGACGCGTCCAAGGACCGCAAGCACATCCGCGCCATTTTCGGCCGCATGGGCTTTGATGACCGCGAGATGGTCGCTTTGTCTGGCGCCCACGCCCTGGGCCGCTGCCACACCGATCGCTCGGGCTACGATGGCCCGTGGACTTTCTCCCCCACCACCCTGACGAACGACTACTATAAGTTGCTGCTGGAGGAGAAGTGGCAGTGGAAGAAGTGGAATGGTCCCAAACAGTACGAGGATGTCAAGACGAAGAGCTTGATGATGCTGCCGACAGACATGGAAATTGTCAAGGATAAGACCTTCCGCAAGCATGCTGAGCGTTATGCCAAGGATAACGATGTCTTCTTCAAAGAGTTTGCGGATGCGGTGCTCAAACTGTTTGAGTTGGGCGTTCCCTTCACCGTTTCCGAGGACCAGAGGTGGACGTTCAAGAGCTCTTTCGATTAGAGTATTGTTGCGGATAGATTGGGTAGACGGCATGAAGCATCGATCAGGTATCTGTCAGATAGTAGATCTCCTTCTTAGACTAGGGTTGAGACTCTGCATGTGAGCGACAAGGAGCTGGGTGGAGTATAGATTTGCTTCTCCGGTTCTTGTATTTTAATGTCTGATAGCTGATATCCATGTAATTTCCCACCCAACTCAGTTTCGAAATCATGTTGTGACACCACTCTCGAGCTTCAGGGTTCGCAAAAAGTAGGACCGGGATGGCGTGTGCCATACACCACACTGCAACGCACATTAGTCATGTCGCGGCGAACAAGCCGCATGGTAAGTGGTGAAATATATAGTAAAGACAGATGCTTTTTTTCATGTGCGAGCATTGGTATCTTGCCTTGCCTAAGAGATTGTCAGTAGAGTACGTCCGTGCGGTCAAGGCAGACACTTACGAGATTGCGATACCCACAAGAACGACAGCTAGATATCAGATCTCTGCCTTCCAGACAGCTACCAGCTGCTTGATCTTGGCTTCAAACCATTTCCCCTGGTCATGAGCCAAGCGTTCCAACTCCTTCATCTGTTCCGCGCCCAAGCTGTCGATGTTTCCTTCCAGCGATTTCACTTCTTGAACAGGTGCTTCCGGAGAGTGAGGCAAAATTCGTGCCGCGGTCGGCGGGTGATTGAGAAACGTCGGAAGAGGCTCTGTGCTGCAGGGGTGGAATGACACACGCTTCTTGTCCTTTTCCCGCTCCTTGATTGGTGGTTGCGGGCAGTCTCCTTCCTCTGGGACAAACAGTGATGGCTCTCCGTGAAGTGGTGGATCCTTCTCGCTGTGGAGAAGCTCACTCATCCTCTCATTCCCCAGCAGCTGCACTCCGCAATTCCAGATCTCGCCAAGCACCCTTTCCCACTGAGTTTGTAGCATCATGGTCTCTTTCTCCTCCGTTCTGACATGTTCTTCGAATAAGGTGAGACGTTCGTCAAGGCTCATTTTTATGGTTGAACGTTCGCCGTCCTCGCCCTGGTGTGTGAAATTCAGAGTCGTGGTGCCCAGCGGAAGATACAGGTATTCAATCTCACGCACAAGATGCGTCGCTCGTGTCAGGTTGAGGGAAGAGGAGGAAGCATAATCTCCGTCTAGGTCTTCGACGGGCAATATGTTGGAGCTATGCAGTTGCTCAACGAGTGCATCATGCGTCTCATTTATCTTCGAGGCCACAGCATTGTAGACAGCCGTGCGATAATCTTCGGTAGCCTCTGCATTGCAGTTTAGCGTAGCTAGGGTGGGAAAACGACTGACCATCACTTGCCATTGAATGAGACAGCAAGAGGATGCTGAGCAGAGCCGCGTGCATTCTGCTTGCCAGGCAGCACGTCTCCATTCCCCTCTCCGCGTTGAGGCCAGCCCACGACCCCACCATTCGGACCTGTCTTCGAAGTAGATGTATTTATGGATTTGACCGGGTGGCGATGGAAGACACTGGCAGCAGAAACGGATAGCTTCGCTTTGGAAGGCTGCGGCCCTTTCTGGCGGATATCACCGGTCGCCTTGCGGCGTGCGGGAGTGATGGTGTCCACCGTTGTCATGACTGGGCGCAGTGAAGCCATGGCAGATGGCTGAAGGAGGCAGCGAGATCACAAGGCTGGTAGTGAGACTAGAGGACTGATAAGAAACGATGGCCTCAAGAGTGCGGCAACGGGCGAGCCGAATGGTGAGGAAGGAGCGCTGGAAGTATTGTCGGTCACGTGTCCCGCGGCTCCAACGACCCGTGCGCAGGTGGACATCTTGCAAAGCAGGTGCTCGGTGTGACTTCGAGGGTTCTATACTCCCGTAAGTGCAATTTTATAGGCATGCAATGCACTTACGTGTAGACTGAACGCGGACATAGCCGGTGAAGCGCATGTGACCAGGTGAGCTTCCAGCTCGCGATAGCATGGTAGAGATTAACCTTGTGCATTGTCGTAACATACATGCTATAATACTACAGGAGCACCACCCTCACAATCTCCCTATTTCGAGGCGTCAGCGCTCGGCTCTTCGGCCGGCACAAGCACGCCCTTCTCTTCCAACAGCTTGGCCAATGATCCGTCCTGGTGCATCGTCATGAGGATGTCGCAGCCACCAATGAATTCCTTATCGACGTAGAGCTGAGGTATAGTGGGCCAATCCGAGTATTCTTTGATACCTGAGGAATTCAGTTAGTCCTGTCTCAAACCCCACTTCAGGAGAATGGGGGGATTCCAATATAGGTCCCTCCAACGCAGGATCCATGGCATTTCCATGACAATAGCCCCTTACCTTGCCTAAGCTCGTTGTCCTCCAGCACGTTGAACGCAGTGAACTTTGCCGGATCCACACCCTGCATACCAAGAATTTGTATCGTAGCTCTTGAGAATCCGCATTGAGGGGTTTCTGGCGTTCCCTTCATAAACAAAACCACCGGCGACGACTCTACCGCTCGATCAATTGCTTGTCTGACTTCATCGGATAGCAGGCGAATTTGTTGCGCCGTCGGGAAGCGTGGCGGAAGTCTCGATGAAGCGAGGACGCGCGTAGTTCTGCTTGCGGTTCGAGCCGCCTGTGTTGGTGTTAGAAGATATGGCTCTGTATTTATGTAGATACTCACGGCTGTGAAAGCTGTCCTTGAAAACATGTTGATCGATGTGGATTCTGCTCAGGGTGCAAAGGCTTGTGATTGCTGAAGTTCGGATGAGGTCAAATGCCAAGCCACTTGTACAGCAATTAGAAATAGTAGCATCTACCACTCGCCACCACCTGCCTCACCAACTACCAGACATTGGCATGAATCTTCCAAGGCTGATATTATGTTTCGCAAGACGAAGAGCATTCCGTCAATAGTTCCTGATTCCGAACGGCTCCAAATTCCCGCAACGGTCCGCTACTGAGAACCCTCTTGTGCTTGGAAATTTACAAGTGGCTGGAGCTAGCATTGCCCAAGTAGAGAGTAGCTTTTACTACTGTGTAGATGTGTAGGTCTACGTCTCCATTCGTCTAAAGGTTCATTCTTCCTTTGTCAGTCGCCTTTATCACATCCCGTCCCATCGTTTCCGTCTACTCTATCACCCCACCCTACCTCACCTCCGATTCTCTCCTTGTCTCACAACACCTTCTCGATTTGTTTTTACGGTTCGTTTTCAGCTACCATATATTTTCTAATCGTAAACAGTATTGATCGTTCATGCATTATCACATGGCTCTCAATCGTCGCTTTCTACTCGCCGTCCCCTGCACAGGATTAGGCCACATTTGGAGTGCATTGCCCACATGTTACCTATAGATCAGATCATTGACCGATCTCATCCTCTGATGCCACCGGAGGCCAAAATAGCTTACGTGTGCCGAAATTCGCATGGCGGAACGATTGTTTATACGGACTAAGAGCGGCATGAAAAGCCTTAAGAGCAAGGACGAAGACTTCCATGTCCTCTTTCTTCCCTATGCATGGTGAAGTCGGCGAGGACAAGACCTTAGGACCAAGCGTCATCCTGTTATACTGGTCACCGATGGCGGCGCTGTCTTCCCTCGCCTGCCTGTCCTGCATGTCAACCAAACAGGCAAGAGCGTGGGACAAAGAAGCTATCCGAACCTCAACCTCAACCTCACCTTCAACTGCGGGCCTCGGACTGACACTTGCAGTAGCTGCTCCTTCGGGCATCTTCATATAGCAGTCCCACGCTGGAGCTGGGTTTCCGGGTTACGGATGCGAGGGCCAGAGTGTTGGATGTGGCACAGTCGACTGGGTATGTCATCCTGCCCCAAGGCTGTCGTTGATGGCAAACGATGTCGCTTGCTGGAGGCTCACCGATCAGAGTCCTTGGCCGCGGTCCATCTGATTTGACCCTTGAGTGGACAACGCAGAAGCGGTCGTGGGATCGCGTATGTGACAGCCAATGACTTCCTAGAGTGTAAAGATCGCAAGGATGGTATATGAATCCCGTTCTTTCAGAATACGCCGCGGCAACCTCGACTGCGGCACGGACTCCATCTGGCCTCGAAGCACGACCCAAGGGACAACTGACTATTGAAGATCTACGGAGTACCCGACCCAGTGCTGCGCCGCATTGATGGCTAGCTGGTGAGTATCGTCGGTTCCGAATCCCACCTGTGGGTTCCACAGGCTCACCGCCATGCCACCCGAGCATGAGTAAGAAAACGCCATCCACCAACGTGAGAGGGTTCCCCGAGAATATGCAGTTTGCAGGGCAATACGGCACAGCTCTCCACCCTGGACGGACTGGACACGGAGCAGTCCCAAGCATTCCTTCACGAACCCAGAAACGTTAATTCACGGCAGACCATGTTGACCAATCCCATGTGTCCAAGAGAGAGCTCACCATTAGTAGTGATGGAAAGGTGCAGGCCAACACGGCAATACAGCCACTGTCGTCCGAAAGAGGCTGCGGCGGGCGTGCGGCACAGCACAGTGACAGAACACATGCCCTCGAGGCATCATGCATTGAGCAGGGGAAGTCAAGGCCCCAAGCTCCTCCGCTCCAATGGAATCACGACGAGCTCAAAGATTCTGAGAGCACCGTGGTCTCTGCAGGCTGCACAGCGCAGTCCTTGGAGTTGAGAGTTGATACCCGCACGTTCGTCCAACAGGACTCGGATGACGCGCTAAGGTCGCTAATCGGTAACACAAGGCGAGCCGAAGCGCGGAAGGGCATTGATTATTAAGCATCAACTGGATGCCACGCCTAAACTGTGTCACGGTTGCTGAAAGCATCTTCTCAAAGGGCATTGCAACCATTTTCAACTCTTTGCGACTGTGATGATGGGCACTTCCGTCGCTCTGGGACGCGGACGGAAGGGCGCTTGGAGACGCGGCCATGTGGCGGCATTTGAAGACGCTCTGATCCGTTGCGGGAGCGGGACGGCGCGGGCCCAAGGGGCAAGAAAGAGAGCGGCAAATTCCACCCTGCAAAAAGGAGATGGGAGTTGATCAAGAAATCCAAAGCGGAAGAAGGTTGTTGCCGCTTGCAAGCCGCCCAAACTTTTATTCCATGAAAAAGGTAGGGCCGCCTGGGGTGGGTGCGGTCGGTCGTCCAGGCATGAATGGGCACAAAGGAAGATGATGGTGGATGATATCGGGGCGAGATGGATGGGCGGCAGAGAAGTGACAACGAACAAAGAGAACAATCATCAAGAGCTACTCATCCGCCCAGTTTATCCATCCACTTACAGGGCGCTGCTGGCCTGGTGAGATATTGGAATCGGCTCCCAGGCGCATGCATATGGTAGCCTCGGTTTGAGTGACGACGTCGACGGAGGAGTATGGGACAGGTGTGATGTGGCACCGACCCATCCAGATCGATGGCTTGAAAGTTTGGGGGGAGCAAGGAAAAGATTGTGAGGCTATATGTACAAGTGGAAAGGTTTGGGCATGCAACCAATACTTTGATAGCTGTATTGATGGCACCTCGTGACACAGCACGAGCGAATGAGAAGGGGTTTGGACTATTCCCAGACGGCCAACGAGTGGGAGTTGGGAGCCCTGGAGGGGTCGGGTGGACCACTTTGGGAAGCGGTTAGCGGCAGTGGCCGCAGAATCGAGCATCGAGAGCACGGCCGGGCCCATGGTGCCAAGGCACTCGGTCAACGGCCGGGCATGCCCGCCAGCAGCAGACGATACTGCGTATGTACCGTGCAGTGAGTGTTAGACGCGAAAGTGCGCACAAGGGATGCGGTGGGCAGCATGCAGGACGCCCTGCAGGCTGCCTTTGATGATTTATTGCATGGCTTTTGCAGCGAGATATTGCGGGCAACACCGTTGGGCGCAACGGCGGGTAAGAATGAATTGTTGTTGCGGACTGAGGACAAGGTCGTGGGACGTGGGAGCACGCACCATGACAAGGCGAGCAAGCTTGAGTGCATGTTTGAAGACGATGACGAACCCCGTGACAGGTAGCGCACGAAGAAGGAGGAGTCAGGACAGCGGAGACGACCTCCGTCATACTACTCAGAAGGGCTTGCGATTGATGGTGCGGCGACACGGACCTGGCAAATGAAACGGGTGGGCGTGGGCGTGGCAGGGTGCTGATTGGACGAGGGGCGTGAAACATGAGTGGGCTTGATCCTTCCGGGCGGCTAGAGGAGGGAGGCAGTGCCGCCAGTGCGGAGTCTCTCTCTCTCTTCCCTTTGGCAGTCTGCTGGCTGCCGCCGACACGCGGAGAGGCGGCGCTAAACAGGGCGCCGCAAATACAGTAAAAGGAAATGAGCATATGTAACGAGAGCAGCATTATTATCTTTTTCGGAGTGTTGAGCTGTGAATTCGGTGACGGAGAGGACAGGCTGGCGGGTATGGCTGTGACTGTTGAGTTTGGGTGATCGGGGGTGGTCGTCGGCGGATGGCTCTGTTCTTCCTCAGCCGTCACACACACAGGCACACGCACACGCGCGGGCCGCGGTTGGGGCAAAAATAGGGCTCGCTGGTTGGGGCTCTAGCGCCCAGTCTGGCGCTCTCTCTCCTCTCTCTGTGGAGTCTGGTTGGCGCTGGCGCTGATTGCTGATGCTGCCTGCTGCTGGCAACTCCTTGTCTTGTGGTCCGACCGTCGTCGTGCCGGTGCGCGCGCTCTTCCGTTGAACTCTCAGCGGCTTGCGAGGGCTGGGGGAGATGGGGATGGGGGCGCACCCACTGCAGGGGACAGACGGTGAGGATGCTGAGGAAAGTCCCGCGCTCCCCATTGGCCCACCGGGAAGGGCCATCTGCAGCCCCCAGGTGCCCTTCTGGAGCTTACCGCTCTGTTCATGGCTGCCCTTGGTGGCCCTCGCGTCGCCGCCCAGCCGGGATCCCGCCAAGGCGCTAGTCATCCGTGCTCGACCGTGCCACCCTGGGCAGCCAAGACCGTTCCTCCCCCTCCACCACCGTCGACAGTCGAATTTGAGGCCCTAAACGTCGTTTTTTCGCCGAAAAAAAGGTCGACCATGTCTTACAGATGCGGGTCCCAATCTGATAAAAAAGGCACGTTCTCCAGGCACGCGGCTGCTGGAATCTGGGGAAAAGAGCCGCGTGGTCGATCGCAGGGGTCCCGCACTAGCCGCGGACATCCCTGCCACCCTCCGCATGCTGAGACGCACCCCGCCGCCAATCAGCGCCTTCCATGCCGGGGGCCCCAAGCACGCCCATCGAACAGCCGCCGCCGCTCTCGAGCATGAGCGAAGTCCAGCAACTTGTTGTTCCAGCAGTCTCTGAGCGCAAGCCGTGACCCGTCCACCTCTCCCGGAAAGTGGTGAGAGGAAAAAGAGAGACACAGACGAGGGCCCTGTTCTGCGCCCCCTCCCGCACCCTCGACTGACTGCCCTTGACCACCACCCCCCGTCGCTCCCCCGTTTGGAAGCTGCAGCCCATACCACTTCTCCGCCCGCCGTCCCTTCCTTCTACACTTCACCGCCCTCTTCTTCTCCTTCCCCCCAATAACAAACCCCCAGCCCGCCCGCCTGTCGCCTGTCACCCGTCCTTCGTCCTTCCCTTTCCCCCCGCTCCCTCCATCACCCCCTTTGCCCGTCACCCATACTACCGCCATCTCGACACTGAGAGAGCCCATCTCTCGACGACGGGCTGTCTGTTGTTGTGTGTGCGTGCGTGTGTTTGTGGCATTCTCCTCAACCACGAGCGCAGACTGCTGCTGTTGCGTGCTCGCATTCCATCGCTAGACGAATCAGACAGAACACCACCGCCACACCACTGCCACAGCAACGCACTCAACCACCTCGAACCACCTCTCACCGAACCTTCCTGAGAACGACCTTCTAGGAAACCAGTGCATTCCACCAACTTGCAGGTGGCATCGAAAGCCTCGTTCTCTGTCGCTCTCGTTGCCACTTTCTAGGCGCGAAAGCCGCCTCGGAAAGTCCCACGGTGCAACCTGGGAACCGTCACCATCACTGCGCTCTATCACTGTATCACGGAGCCCCGAGGACCGCCGCAGTTCCAGCAGCCTTTAAATCCACGCTTGGAATTCCAGCCGAGGCGCCGCAGTCCCTCAGTCTCCCGCCTCCACCACAACGGCCGGCCTGCAAGCGTTCAATCTACCATGCCCTCTGTTGTGCAGACGCAAACCCTCAACAACGGCAGCATCGGATTTTTGCTCAAAGACAACCCCCCAGAACCTGTCGTTGCCGGCTTCACTGCCGTCAACGGTCGAGCCACGCCGCCCTCGCCTCCCAGGTTGAACCCCATCAACGGAATGGCTCCTGCCTGCCCGCACATGGTATCGTATTCGCACCATTCTACGGGAACCCCACAGGAGCAGAGACCACTGCCTTCAAGCGAGCACTGGCAGTCAGTCCCAAGTGCTCCGCAAAGCAAGCACTCCTCCACCTCCCCTATCCTCGTTGACGGTGAGCGCTCCTCGCATAGCCCCATCAAGAGGAAGAGATCCGTTTCAGGGGAAGACGACCGCTCCACTTCGTCTCCCATCCCTTCTCCCCAGCAGACCAGGCGTCGCGTGGGATCCTACCCTTCCCCCGAGACTTCCCCTCCCATGGCCAGCTCAGCCACCATGGACCAGCAGCAACGCACTCTTCCCCCTATCAGCCAGGCCGTCGCCGGACATGACAAGAAGTGGTCCGTAGCCGAAGTTGAGGCTTCCAAACCAGTCCCCTATCAAGATCCTCAAGAACCTCATCCCACTCCTCACTATCAAACGCCCGGCCCAGCGACCATTGACCACTCTCAACAGACGTCGCAAGTGTCAAGCACGACGGAGATTACCCGTGCTGGTGTGCAAGTAGATCCCAAGAAGAGGAAGAGGGTGAGTTCATTCTAGCTAGTGCTTGCGGTGCCTATCTAACGTGACGAAGCAATTCGCCAATCGAACCAAGACTGGCTGCGGAACCTGCCGGAGGCGCAAGAAGAAGTGCGATGAGGCGAAGCCTGAATGTGAGTATCCCGAGACAGCAAGCGTGCTCAACACTGATGATATTCTCCCAGGTAACAACTGCCTCCGCGGCGGCTTCACCTGCGCAGGTTATACCCCTCGTCGCCCTTGGAATTCTCCAAGCGAGGCCAAAAACCGCC